CCAGAATCGCGTTCTAGCTTAGAAGAGTATATCACTTGACCTCGGGAATTTCTTTCAAGGCAAGTCCCAAAATTCAGAATGTCACATGACAGGTGATCACGGACCTCGTGACGATGCAATACACTTACATACAGTCGACAGGGATATCCCAGAACCCTTCCCATAGTGACTAGTTTGTGTTGGCGGAGTAACGGAATTATCATCTGGAAGAGTATAGGCGGTCGCACTACTAAATATTGTGAAAATACTGTACAATACCAAATATTGCTTATTTACCAAATTTCTTTCCCGAGGTCGGCAAATCACACCCTGGAATAGTTGAGATTATTTACCCGAGTGATGGATCATCGAGATGCATAAGGTTCACGCTACTCAGACGCCATCTTAGTTGCGCAGTCAATTCGCATTATGGTACGGAGTAGTACTGACTAGATAGCCATACCTATCAACAGCGCTCAAAGTGAAACGCCGGACAACCTTAGGATTTGTCAGGCCCTCTACACCAGAGAGACTCCGGATTAATAACACGCTATTGGCCAAACTTGTGACGTGACCAGATGCCGAGATTTGGTTCCTTTTGCCACCTGGGACCGGTTTTGGTGTCGCTGAAGCCCTCGAGCGTTGAAGCACTGATCTCACTTCTCGCCCCGGGTGGGCTCTAGAGAATTCCCAAGGTAACCTTTTTACACCCTTCATAATCATTTTGATAAAAGCCCCAAGCCTTCCCATGAATATCTGTTATTCATAATGTCGTTCCCATTTCCGAGAGAAGCCAATGCCCAATCCATGCCTCCTTGCTCCCGATCCACTACCATTGTTCTATCTTATTATTCAGCGAATTCGTCTTCTGAGGTATCCTTGAAATACACATCCTATGGCCAAAGCCACAATGTCGCCAGCCCCATACTAGCCTCATCGTATGCTCATGGGGAGGATGTCAATAATGATCTAGTTGACTGGGACTTCTGGCTTACCCCCGAGGCCCTAGTCAATCTTTGACTTGGCAGAAGCCTCAATGGAATGGAAGTTAAGACGGGATAGGCCAAAATAGGACCAAATGAGTCTCGAATCTTTGGGCTGCCACCTCGTGACGTGGAATCATTGATCTTGTTCTGATCTTATATATGCGGCTGATAGCAAATGGTTCTTGGGCCTACTTGTTGTCTCAAACCTCCCATTATCGGTACTATGTAAATGAACTTGAAGATGATTGATAGATTTTCTTTTACCTCTTGTGCCTTGGCTCTCACGACGATGCGAGGGCTCTATAAAGAAGAAGGGTGAACCAAGCAACGCTCACTCAACGATTCAGAGGGCCCCAAGCATCGGGAAAGAAATAGAGTGGCATCAAGAGAAAGACTCAGAAAATACCCCTTTTCATGATCCAGCTTACACCCTTCCCATATAAGAAAGTCTGTCCAAAAGGATCTTCACAGAGCAAGAGCAAGGGTTGATCAGATCATTCTGCTATCCTATTATAATCCAAATAGAATTGGGCTGTAGTCTACTGAATGGAACTCACATAAAACAAACACCAACAGAAGGTGCTGTGGTATGTATAGCCGGAAAGTGATTGATATTATTAATATGGAGAGAAACAAAGCAATATTTCACATTGTGAGTATTCTAATACCAACTTGTCAGTTATGCAGTAAGATGGTATTTGATCGATTGAACAGAAAAATGAGAAAAACAGTCTCTCTTCCCCCTTCACATCATGTCACTATCAACAACCTCCGGCTTCACCGTAACAATGTCCACAGAAGATTCACTGTCCGAGGAAGAGTGATCATTTTGGTAAATACTTTGATCATTGTTCCCAGAGGCGCTGTTATCCGAATACCCGAGAAATGCTTCACTAAATGTTGCTCGCAGGTCCCTAACCATCTCCTCGCGTGCGTTGAGAGAAGCCTGCAAATAGGCAATTACCTCGCGTAAGCGATGGTTTTCCTGTTGAAGGCTTTGGGGTGCAGTTGTGTCTTCTTGCTGGCCCGAATTCTGACTTAGACAATGCAACAGCTGGTCAAGCATCGGATACAAGTCCGCCAGACGTGACTCGAGGACCTGAATCTTGTGTCTTTCAATGTTCAAGTCGTTGGCAATAGCCTGGCAGGTCTCTGTCGCGACCCGGTGAGAGGTTTCCAATTGCGCTTTCACATATTCTAGACCAAAAATCTTTCTTTCAAGATGACCACAGTGACTGCTTAACTTCTGATGGGTAATTGAGTCAGTCACCACTCTCGCCTCCAGCTGCCCTTGATAGTACTTCGATGCCTGTTCCTGGCGGACGAGCTGGGTAATTAAAGAAAATATCTCGGGCTGGTAGTCTTTGATAGACTTGGGCTGGAGGCTCTTTTGTAAGCCTGGTATTCAACAAGAACAATAGAATAGATACCTGGGCTTCCTCCCCGCTGTAAGATATTAAGTTTCCTTCATTCGACATCATAGACAGATACTTTCAGAGTTTGGATACGAGAGAGAGATTGAGAGAAGGATCATGATTGGGATCTCGGACATTTTAAGCATTTTCGGGAAACGCACGTACTGTTCAAGCTTCAAGCACCAAAAATGGTTTGCTCTGGCCAGGGACGGGGTCGATGTTGAAATTTTTATTGCCACATTGCTGCGCGATTTTTTGATACCCGGACAGTATGACCATTCTGGGACAGTTTGGATACCCTCGAGGCCAAGGACAGGAGGAAAGGAAAATGAGACTATGTGAACTTCTACATACGTCTCTGGAGAAAAGAAACTCACTGTGTCCAGATGCGACCTAACAGAGGTTCCAGTTGCCAACCCGGCCCGGCGACGGTCGGGTCCCGCTAGAACTACCAAGGGAGATACTGTAACACAGCGAAGTATTTACAGCACATGAGTCTATAGTAGCGCTTACTGTACTGCCACGGTCAAATGACAAACCTAAAGATTCCATCTCGTTAGAGTCTTCCAGTGGACCAAAATTGGGTCGCAGGATTATGTTAACAACTCGGGCGACCCGTGAGAGGTAGTACTTCAGATATCGTGCGACGACTTCCCAAGATAACATATCGTGGTCGCCTACCCTTTCCGGTGAATCAGAAATGAATCGATCTTCGCCTCGAAGCCTGCCCCCTATATCCGAAGAGATAAGTCCAGCAGACCACGAGGTTCTTCGCCACGGTGGAAGCTCCTCAGCCATCGAGAGACTTCAATCGCGTCTTCAGCCCGCAAAGCAGCTCCCATCAGACTTCAGAGCCCAGCTAGAGCAGCACGCCTATGAGGCAAGCTACCTCAAAGCCGAGCTACAATGGCACAAAGAAAGCAAACAGGTTTTTCTCCGATTTCATGAGACAATGAGTGGGATCTTTGCTGTGATGGAACGTGCAATCACCGAGTCAATGGCGGAGCTCCATGAAGCAGAGCGCCGCTACCTCAGTATATGGGATGATAATCTGGAGAACGCCCCAGAGGGCAAGCTTTAGGATAGATCCCCTAGGGACGATGTTTTGCAATATTTATGTCATAGCTGATACTCGGTAAATATGTTGGAATATGAAATTTGCAAACAGCTTTGTTTTTCAGTTTGCCTCTATATCTATCAAATAGAGTGACATTGATACTTCCTCTTACTTTCATGGAATGCGACCCTGTACAAACCGAAAAAATTTCCTGGTTTTAAAAATGTCCTGCCGCGGAAGATATGTATGTTGTGAATAAAGAGCGGGCCATCGTTGAAAATTTAGTTGGTTCAAGAAAAAGCGAACAAAAGTAACTGAAAGCACAACCCAGGCCCCGGCATGAAGTAAGAGCAGCCGTGAGCTACAGAAAGTCTGATCACATATACGACTCTCCCTATATATCCCTGGCCTTTGCACGAGTGGCCAGAGTCTCGATTCTTTCCATCGCTGATTGTTCAAGTCTGACCACACGTCCTAGCAGACCCTCCAACGCGTCCATGCTCTCTAGCCCACGAGTGACTTTGTTCTCAAATTGCTCGGCCAGGTCAACAAAGGCATCAAGTCGTTGAGACAGACTTGCGGTCCAAGTGTTCAGAACATCAACTGAGACCTTCAAGCTCTCAATGCCTTTGCCCACCTCGTTTGAATGCCCAAGAACACGGACCAGATCGTTGACCGAGGCGTCGAGAGAGTTGATAACTTCTACAGCGTCATTGGCAGACCTGAGAAGGCTGCTAACACTTAGTGCAGAGATTTCTAGACCGCGCAGACTAGATTTGCGTTTAGTTTCTGGGGACTTAATTATATCTTGACCTCAAGGAACGTACCTTTCTGGGGTAACAGAAGCATCAAGCCCAGTCAGCTCGGGGCCATAGTCATCCACGTTTTGTAGCAGAGAGCTCATCAATTCTTCATCTATATTGATATCTTGAGAAAAATGATGGTCAAACAAAGAGTTGTCAGACGTATCATTGTGAAAGAATGAGTCAGACATAGTTTCACTCGGGCGATTCAGTGGAAGGTAGAAGAATGTAGCTTTGACTCGTACCTAAAGAGGTTCTTATAAGATTCGGCTCGGGCCTGGGGTCTGGCCACTGACCACATTGTGCCAATCACCCCTGCCACCCTCGTTGGTTCCCACCCTGGCTCTTTGTCCGTCATTACCAACCGCGCTTGTGTGGCAGGGGTTGGAGTGAGACATCGCGTAGCTCTTTGGAAGTGGGTTGTTGGTTCTTTGTGTTCAGATTATTGGATGTGGCCGTGGGGGATTTGATACGAAAGTACGTATCACCTACCATCACAGGAATGAAGATTCCATTGAAAATCATTGGCCTATAGGATCGTGATATGTGGTATTCTAGAGCCCTTCTTGGAAAGTCCAGGGGTGAGATACGTACATGCGAGTCTCCTATTTCTCTCACTCAGGTCGATTAATACAGCCTGTGTAAGTCCAATCGAGCGAGCCTCGTTGCTACCAGACCTTATGGTAAATTAGGATTCCTTGCGTATAAATAAGAACCTCTCTCCAAGGTCTAAACCGAGAAATCCTATCGGTCATCTACCATGCCGCCTAAGGAGGATATCGGCTGGCTGGACATTGGAAGGCAGGAAGATTCTTGTCCCGCTATCATTAACAACGACCGACTGGAAAGCATCATTTCCCAATTGAACAAGCCCGAAGAAAAGTATCCATCCGTCTGTGCATATTTAGGTGGCCGCTTTAAAGACCATGTTCTCCAGAGGATTTACCCATGGAATAATATCAAGCGCCATGTCTCCAACTACCGGTTGAGGTTAAGAAGTGATATTGCTTCTCTGGGTTGCCGGCAGCCAATCCTCTTTGTAGATGGGGACATTGGCCAAAACAACCGAAAATCACCGCTGAAACGGCTAAGCGCCGGGGTGGGCCACCCCGTCCTTTGGGAGTGCGGCTCGGTCCAAGATGTGCTCGTCGTTTTGTGGGCGCGATTGGTATTCTTGTTCACTGATGTCATTTGCATATTTTTAAGTGATTTTCCTGACCACGAGAAAATACTGGAGCTGTTGACAGTTTTTTCAAAGGCTCGGTCTGGCTACCCCGTTTTAGCCAAGCTTTTGCCCCGACTTTTGTTGATATCCGAAGGAAGACGAGATGATGGTAGAGGCAATACCCCAGCATTCACGTTGCACCAGACGCTACACGGGCCTGAATATACTAGTGTCTTCGAGTCCTTTTCGGGGATTACAACAATACATCTAGAAGGAACGACGTTATCTGATACCGCGCGCTGCGAGCCATTAAGAGCCCTTGTGGGACGTGAGCTTGACGCGATGAGGTCCGTGCGCCAAAGGCAGCGTGTCCAGCCTAATGGCAAGCACTTGGTGGATCTATTCCAGGCCGCATTTCAGCATATTTTAGTGGATCCTGACATCCCGTTCGACCTGATCCGGGTTACCCGGGCGATCTACACAGTCAGTCCCCATATAAAGCAGAATCTCGTTCACTACTTCGACGTTTGTAACAAGGCGGGGGTGCATGGGCCGCAAGTCGCACCAACAATCGCCTCTGCCGTGTTGATGGACAATTATGTTCCTGGAATGTTAAGTCAGATCATTCTCCGTCCCGGATTTCCTCCGAGTGGCAAATTTAACGAAATGTACCCATGTAGTGTTGGACCCACGCATGGTTTTTCGGACTTTCTATCGATCGGCGATCCTGGAGGCCTACAACGACCGCGCATCCTATTGGCCAGATCTACCGTCCCACGATCAGGCCAGTGGGGTGGAATCGCATCTCGTCGGTTTGTTTGATACACTCATACAAACCCATCAAACAGCTGTTGAGGTCCGTAAACATCAACTCACTTCCCAAAGCGGCTGGTTGTGCCGAATACGAAGTAATCGGATTTGTGTGTACTGCTTATTTCAAGCTGCACAGCATGTCCTGGGTTGCGGGCACACGTTGTGCGACCGCTGCGCTCACATTTTCGGCACACCTACCGCTGGACTGGAATATCAATTCACGATCCAAGGTTGTATATACTGTCTTTACCAGAGGCCCCTCGTCGCGAGCATATTGCCACCAACAATGAGTCCATCCGTATTGGCTATTGACGGAGGGGGCGTCAGGGGTGTGATTCCCCTGGAGTTTCTCCTCCTCGTCCAGGAGCATTTACAACCATGTCGAATCCAGGATGTCGTGGACCTTTCTCTTGGCACGAGTTCGGGTAAGTTGTTCAGTGGTCATGGAGAACTTTTCCTTTATCCCGCAGCCACAAAGTTTACCAACCAACACAGGCGGCCTCATCGCAATTGGCCTGTTCATCATGTCATGGGATATGTCCACATGCTCGGAAACATTCGATAAACTAGCGCGACGGATTTTTCGCACTAGACGTCGTTCTCCTTTTGCACTCCTCAATTTCTCGTGTCGGAATGGCTCGATGCTTAGTAACGTGGGGAGATGGCTTCACTGGCTGCTTCACGATAGCTGTTACGATGCTCAAGTCTTTGACGATGCACTCAAAAGTGTGTTTGGCGAGAATCGCCTTATGTTTGGCTCCAGTCGAGACGATCCGCGCGGAAGTCTCCAATCCAGGTCTAAAATTGGAGTGGTGACCACTAGCATATCTAGGGGAACAGAGGCATTTGTAATTGGCAATTTTAATACCGTTAGCGAGCCGGAGGACAAAGGGGGTAAGTGCCAGTGCCGATCATCTCTTCCTACGCTGTTAGCTCATCTTCCCATGTGGATCAGATACTCAAATCCTCCGGCCACCCAATCTAGCTCACGAGCCAAATGTATGGAAAGCGTAAGTGAGATCAAAGCTATTATTTCAGTCTGGAACTGATAAGATCTTTGTGTCCAGAGCTAGAGCAACTGCTGCAGCCCCTTTGTAAGTCAGGGTCTCTAGTATACACTACATATTAGCTCGCAGCGACGCACTCCGTACATTGGCCGGCTTACATAGCTCCACTGACTAACCGCCTTCGGCATCGGGGTATTTTAGTTTTTTTACCCCTGCAGATCTACCAGGAATCGGATCCTTCCAAGACGGGGGATTAAAACATAACTTCGCGGGAGAGATTGCTAGCCAAATTTCCCATTTGATCTGGCCAGAGGCCATAGGGTCCACTCGATTGCTTTCTCTAGGAACTGGCGTCACTCAGCCCGAAATCAACCCGACCCCTCACTTCCGTCATGTATTCCGGGATAGTTTCATTCGCCGTAGCTTTGATGCATGGATGTCGACAATGGACACAGAAGGTGATTGGAGAAAACTGAAGGGTCAGCTCAATGTGGCCGTCAGATCCGAATACCACCGCTTGAACGTTGATCTGAGCGGAGAGTCCAATGCCATCGACAGCGTGGAATCGATGGAAGATTATCGAAACTTGGTTCTGAGTCAACCGGGGAGTTCCCGTAGAGCACGAGATGCTGCGACCACCCTCTTGGTCTCGAGGTTCTATTTTGAACTGAAAGAACTGCCTCAGAACACAACGGGCCCGTTTTGGTGTCGCGGTCTTATCCGTTGCAAGGGATCGGCTAAGGATCTCATCTTCGCACTCACCCGCCTCTATCCCGAAGGATTGACGTATGTGTCGGGAAACAATGTGGTAGACGATTTCAATGGTTTCGATGAGCTCTGTGAATCTTGTGGCAGCTATCTTCGCCCCTTATCGTTTCTAGTTCCTCACATCAACCATCCGGCAGATCTGTTTCTACAAGCCTCGCCAACTAAGCGCTGGAGACTAAGCGGATTTCCGGAAAGTCTGGCTACTTTTGCTGCTAAACAAGGGTTGACGTCTTCTTTTGGCCATGGTAATCACGGGCTTCCGAGTCGCATTCCGTGCAGTGGCTGCGATGCTTTGACTGGGCCGTCACAAAGTACCACCAAGCGACGCAGGCGCCCATCTTCAACAACTGCAGGGGTATCGAAAAAGTTCTGCCTTGCTTTTGAGCGTAGTGATTAGCCAAGCAGATCGTATTACGTTATGGATAGCCCTGGAATCTACTTCATTTAAAGTCGCAGACGCTTTCTTGTCCCAGTAAATCTCCGGCCGTCCCATTTCAAGGTTGAACCATCTTTTGGATATCTCAAAGCCAAGGATGGGTGGGCCAGATCCTAACAGACTACCTCGGAAGAAGCTACGACAACGATCCCGTACTTTGAAAAATAAGGCACGAGAACTTGCGGAGCTATGTGATGCAGACGTCTATCTCATAATATGTTCCTCGCGAGAGGCATATGTGTACAATTCCCGCGGGAAATCATCCTGGCCTCCGCCAGATCACGACCTGGTACTGTTTGAAGCATCGACCAACTCCAGGGGCCCGAGCTAACAAGGTCATCAGCAACATCGCTACCCTGGTTTAGTTCGAGACCGACCTATTACAGATAGCCCCCAGCTCTCCGAGTTGTCTTGCCTCTCATGCATCTCGCCAGAATCAGGAACCTCGACCAACCCCTCTGAGGATCATGTACAGTTGGACCTTATACTGGACTACTTTGCAGAGAGGCGACATATGCTTGGTGAAGCTTTAGCCATTGAGAAACAGCTTCAACAGCGCCCTGAAAAGCGCGTTGAGTCCGACGGTTAACATGAAACCGACTACTTCGCACACCAATGGACAAATCTTCTTCAATGCTCCAGTTCACGGTGTCCGCTGCTTTCATTCACTGAAATTCCGAGTTCATAGACCTTATTTCCACGCAGAGGATTCCAAGGTTCAAGGTTGCTGGTCGGATTTTGGTGCGGCAACGATGCGTCACTCAATATATAATGAGTAAGGACTACCGTCAATGAAAACTTCAAAACTATTACCCCTACCTAGTAACATGGCAGTAAGCCCAAATCGACAGGGATCTCTTGCTTCCTATGAGGATCTTGAGACTCCATATGTACGAATGATCGTGGAGGCCGACAAAATCCCCTGGGAGTATAATGTTCTTGCCAGCTCCGCGAATTGGGTTCTACTAGCTGGATATCTCGTTGTACCAGGAACTTTCACCTCGTTGCGAAAGTCCGATGCAGTCAGTGATACTCTTTCCCAGAACTCTGCTGGAAGCGCAATTCTGAATACTATCCAAAACCCACCCCTGCTGGCAATTTCATGTGTTCTATTTGTAATCGGCACGGTAATCATGGGTTGGCTGTTTCGCAAACATCAATTCAATTATATATGGCTCACGAGCCGTCTATTCATGTAAGTCATACATGTGAATCGATTCAACCCAGCTAGCTTATATGATGCTGAGAGACTGACATCTGGACGTCATTGAACACTAGCCCCACCCTTCTAAACGCCTTTGCCGGTCTCCTTACAACCGTAGTAAATGTGTGCACTGCGCGTCACGGGGACGTGTCTATAATGGCTCTTCTGGCAATCATCGCATCTGGCCTTTCCGCGAGTCTATCATGTGGACTATTGATCGTGTATAAGAAAAAACTCAACAAGCTGCGGGAACAACATCAGAATCGTACATCTCCAAGAGGCTTTATTCGATAACATGGAACATGCTTCGCACATTGTGCCCTTTCCGTCAGGTGGCAGTCAAACCTATAAATCACATGAACACGACTAGAGTATCTATAGAAACTGGTTTCCTGTTGATCGAACCACAAGACCCCAATGAGCGACTGTATCTAGGTAGTGGGGAATCAAGTACCAAGTCCGGTGGTCAGGATTAGCTTGTTGTAAAAACGCGTGCTTCGGAAGACAACTGATTCAGTGAAGAGAACTTGGAACATCTCGGAGTCTTGGACAGAATTTTGGCTTACCTCAAATATGTATGAGAACGACGACGATCCAACTTGGCTCACAAAATGTTGACCGTATTTTGAAAGGTTGGTAGGAATCCTTTTTCGAAGTGGATCGAGGATAGCTTTGGGGTCGCTCATCTCCAGCAGGAGATTTCCAACGTTGCGGCAATCATCTTCCATTGCAGATAATGGAACCTTGTTCAACATGCTAGTGCCGATGTTTGCTACGCAATGTTAGGCGTCACCTCAGACATGAGACATCTTTTCTAACCTATTTTGACGTCCCCATTCTCGCAGAGTAGAATATTGCTTCTCATGATATTACCATGTCCAACACGGAGCTGGGTATGAATATATTGAAGCCCATTCAAAACGCTTCTGCAAATACTTGCGAGATCGGGCTCCGTAAGCCTCACTGCCGGACTTGTACCAACCTGAGCAAGATCCACAGTGAGCCCATAGTAGCCGTACACCATAAAGGTAGTTTCATTGTCAAGGAATGCCTCTATCACCGAGCAGACATTCACGTGAGACGCCGGCTGGAGGAACTTAAAGGTTTCTAGCGCTGGTATGACTTCAATCTTAGTTACAAAGACTGCTGAGTGCCCAAAGTAGTTTCCCAGACCGAGCCAGCCACTTGCAGCTTGATGCACGCTCCAGTTTGTCAAATACTTTGTAGATGGGTGGCCAATATGTGGGAATCCTAGTCTCTTTCTTCGCGTTATTAGAGAATGTCTCAAACTTCTCCTGTATTCCGAACCTACTTTGATGGCGACGATTTACCGTCTTGGGATGGTGTGGGAAAAGGTATGGACATTTCGTGATGTAGGCAAGTTGAAGGATAGGGAGCACTGGGGACTACCCCGGTACCGTATCATCGCTGGGATTAAATATATCTAGCAAAGAGGAGAATTGTGTGTTCTCTGTGCTTGTGACTAGCTAGAACGTTCTGCGGCACAGCTTTCTGGCCGCGCGGCGAATGTTCTCCAGGCTGTCGCAATAAGAGAAAACCCCACAACCCAAGGAACGCTTTTTGGTAATTTAGATTTACTTCAAGTAGACATCTGGACCCCGTCGCGCTCAGAATACAGCCGGCCTCGAAGAATCTTCTGATTTTACGGAGCAACTCATACCATGGAGGCAACATTCATTTACGCTATCATCGCGGGCTCTATTTTTCTTCTTCTTATAATTCTGAAACTCTGGCAGATGCTACTTCCATGGCAATCGACTTTGAAAAGAGCTTTCGCACGTCATATCACATACCCATACGTACTTCAACGTCATCGTTTAATGGGGCCATGGAGTCGAGGAATCGTTTTTATCCATATAGCTTACTTCGTGAGCCATGTAGTTATCATCCTTTTCCAAGACCGATCTTTAGTAAATATTAGAGCTCGTGCCGGGGTCCTATCCCTGGTCAACCTGATACTTCCGCTGAGCGCGATTCATCTCAGTTATCTGGCGGACATTCTCGGATTATCCCTTCGAAATTATCGGCGTCTTCATCGCTCAGTGGCCTGGATGTGTAGCGGACTACTTCTTATTCACGTTGGGGCCTCATTTTTGGAGGGCACAGCGAATGTTACCACAAGCAGATCACAAGGCTGGTCTCATGTAATTGTAAGTAAGCTTGCTAATCTATCCAATATCACTAACCTAAAGATAATCAGGGTGGTTCTGGCGTGGGGCTCTTGATGTTATTTTCTCTTCCCGCTGTCCGAAAGCTTTCTTATGAGATCTTCCTCCGTCTACACCAAGCCCTTGCCGTACTGAGTTTCTACGGGATTTGGCAGCATGTGCCCGCAACACATCTTTTTCCACGGCTCTATGTGTACCTGATTCCAGGTATCTGTGCATCTACACTCACACTACAAGTTGTCAACCTACTCTATCGGAATGGTCTGTTCTCAGGCCGCGGCTTACCCCGCGCAATCCTATGCTGCAATTCGGCTGCTACGATTCAAAATGCCGCAATTAGGATCAAGCTCACACTTCCCCGGCCAGTGAAGGTGCTGCCTGGGCAGTACATCAATATTTGGTTTCCATCCGTCAGCATGTCTTCTTGGATACAGACTCATCCATTAACAATCACCTCCTGGGCTCCCGGAAAGCAAGAGGCCCTTGAGTTATTATTGCATCCTCGGAACGGTCAATCTTCCTCTATTTATCGGCAAGTGCGGGCTCTTGAAGTAAGGGAATCTTTGTCTCTGGTGGCTCTATGGACTGGGCCACACGGCATCAGCGTGTCTGTGGGCAGCTACGAGAATGTTATCCTTGTAGCCAGCGGCCCCGGTTTGGCGGCGGTAATCCCCTATGTTTCGATGCTGATACACGGCCACAACACCTGCACCATGAATGTACGGCGAGTTCATCTGATCTGGCAGGTCAAAGAACTTGGTAAGCCCTGGCTGAGTTTTTAATTCCGAATATTCTGACTGAATAGATTTTGCGATATCCTCCGAGCATCTCCTCAATGGGCTATTAGAGGACGATGTACTTGATAATGGCTATGTGAGCTTTGGTGGTCATGGAGCTGATAAACTACATTGACACAAACCTAGATCCTAATCATCTCAATTTACATCGAGGGCTTACTTCAAGACCATAATAGCCTACTCTTTGGCCGCCATGACCGAGCCTTTCTATACCAAGGTCTTCCAGATTATAGATCCATCATCGATTTCGAAGCTTCAGGGGAAGCGATATCAAAATTTTCTACCGTTAGAGATGAACATGGCAAGACACTTATGATGGGTAAATGAACTACTATCACAGGCATGTCGACACTGGCTAATTTATATTAGTCTCGTCCGAGGATCGCACACGAGATCATATCAGGAGTTTGGTGACTCGCTATCTGTCGACCGGCGTTAGCATGGTGGAAATGGAATATCAGCCTTAATCCGATGCATCTTTTATGCCATCTTCAGCACCAAAACCAAACGGTGAAATTCATGATATGACAGGGAGGAGTCAAGTAAAGAGATAGAAGCTGTCCTACCTCTATCCTAGAAAGGAGACCGCCGTTGCTTGACAGGCGGATCTCACAACAGTTCAACCCCTCGAAGGTCATCCTACGCTATCGTATCTGGTCTACAGAACCTTTCCTAATTATATGGGAAATGATGTCGCTGGAACATTGTCCCTTTCAGTCTCTGAGATATGACTTGTATTCTCGGGATCATCCATAGGATGGTTGGATTCCGAGTTGTGATGGTAACTCTCAGCTTTCTTTTATTTCTCTAGTTGTGGGCTAAACCTGGTCCATGGAAGTATGTCTTTTTGTGTGAGCAGGGAGGTCCCTGAAATATATTCATTCATTATTCGCAATCTTATTGTCAAATATTCGTCATTTGTCGCTTTGTAATATCAAAAATAGGTTTTTTTCTTGATTATCCTGGTCATCCATCGAATACGAATCAGTACACTATTCCATCCAGGAGCCCCCATTTTAACACCCTCACGTGGACCGATAGACTCGGCATTGTGAATTGAATACACACCAAATGTATCGAGATCAGTAGTTGCCTCTGTGAAGTTCGACTTGGAACCTTGGAAAGGTCCTTCGCTTACACATACTCCTGGTGTGAGAAAAAGCCACAAGCATTAGGTCATCTATGACTGAGAGCTGCTCAACACATGACAATGTTGTGGAACGGATGGCTGGAATATCGCTTCTAGGAAGCAGATCTTCAGGTATTGTGCAATGCAAGACAAGTATTCCGTCAAAGGCCAAACACGTGGCGATAAATACGCTCCAAGTTGTCTTTTCACCCTTGTCATTCCTGCCCCCATCGTCTAGACCGTAATGTAGTGCATTGGTCACTGGGGTCGGTGCTTGCCTGATCTAAATTCTTGAGAAGCGCACTCTTTGATAGGCTGCAGCATCGTTGGATTACACAATAAACTGCGGATGGTCATGCTTATATAAGCTCTTACGCAGTCCAAAAACTCCGATATAGACTGTTAGTATGCATGACATATCGGTGCGTTTCAGAAGCCCTCATTAAAGTTTCTATACATCAATTCTCATTTTAAGTCTAAAGCGGAATCTATCAATCACCTAGTAAGCGGCAGGCGACCCCGCAGTTATTCTAATCTCGGCGGCCAATAGCTGGCAGCTAGTACCGCCGGTGGTTGATAGCCTTGGAGCATGGCATGTTTCATGAATCGGAATGCCACATATAAAAGGTCTCCTGGAGTTGCTTCAGCATTCAATCTGCCCTATCTGACTACCAAATACCTCGGAGAAGGCAAATACTATACCTTCTGTATGCAAATTCTCGCTTCTAGCTTCAAGCAAAGTTATTTTAGATATAACTTAAATGCCTTAAGTAATATTGGATGTATTAAACGATGTCAGTCGTTTTTCCCCCATGTCTAAGCTAGTTTTCTTTTTCTTTAAACAAAAAACATGTTGTCTTTAGATGATTTTTTTACCGTCTGTGGCGTTGAATTAGTTTTGGAACTCGGCTATACTAACAGGAAAATACGCTATCGATATTTAAGTTGTAAATGAAGGCTATCGGATTCTTCGAATCAGCAGTGTCCGAATGTATTGAGTGGTTCGAGAGAGGAAAGACTCTTTAACTATGGGAGAGATGACTATCAAGGTGCAGGTTAGCTGACCCAGCCGCATAGCTAAACAGTTCCATTGGTGCGTTGGCTCAGGAAAGAAATCTGGTTGGTTTTTGGACAAGGTCGGTGTTAGCTGTTAACGCGCATGCATACGAAAAGTCCGGGGACAGCATTGGGGAAGGGAACTTTCAGGTTAGTTGAAAATATGGGACATAAGCTAGGAATGATTGAGTCAAAGAGTCGAGACAAGGATGTTTGGACTTAGGGAAAGGGAGAGAAAGAAGGGAGAGAGGAAGGAAGAGGACCCAGATACCATCTAAGTACAGTAGTACTCCGAATATATGGAGTACGGACCTCGGGAGTACTTACATAACTACCTAGGGGAACTAGCCCGCACGCCTGACCCTGCCCAGGTGGGAACAGATAGCCGTGACTAAGCGTCCGCACCCATGCCTGATGCAAAATACCCACTTCCTGGGTATTGAAAGAGATACCCTGTCATTAGGTAGGAAGATGGCTTCAGCGAGCTGACTGATGTATTGAATTGTTCGAACAGTGGTGGTCTATACGGTGAAAAGCAATCAAAAATTTTTATGTCAGGCATTAGTTTTGGATAAAGCATTCACTCACCCACAACCAGGTAAGCCGGTTCGAAGGTTCCAAGGCTCCAGGGCCCCGGGGCCGAGGGTTCGGCTTATGTAGTCACATCACAATCACCATCTTCTCAAGACCTGAAAAAGATGGGTTCCAAATTTACAACATTTACGCCATCACGCCACTTAGTAAATCATGTGATCGCCCCTCGCCCTTATTCGCGTGGTAGGTACCAACCTCTTCCAAAGTTGGAAGGTTTGGACTCCGATACTTTAGTGACTCCGGGAAATAGAGTCACTTTGCCTACGCCATTCGGTTTAAGTGGGCTTAGAAGACATAGTATGTAGATGGTCCGGGCTAGACTTCCGCACCAGCTCAGAGAGCCCAGTAATGGGTTGGGATTTGGGCCAAACCTCGGGCCCAGTAATGGGCTCTGGGCTCAGGGACAAAGCCCAGTGCGGTTTTCTGGGGGCCCATTAGGCCCCAAACATTACAAACATGCCAAGAATTGGTATCTTCACAAATAATGCAGATCTTGGCAGTATCCTTAGGTATAAAGTACTATCCTTTTAGACTAATAACTTCAATGAATCTTAAGAAAATCGCGTTTATAGAAGTGATAATGATAGTAAAGAAAAAGAGAGAGAAATAGATTTAAATTCAAAAGCTTTAGACCTCAGTATTGTCCCGAGAGTCTAAGTAGATGAGTTCGCGAGGCTCTTCTGATTATAGTGCAAATACTCTATTTATATTTGCACCATAGTCGGTTGTAAGATTACAAGGTAGAACAATCGTACAAAAAACGCATTAATCAGCAGACCTATGCATGCCAAGACCTCGGGCCCAATCCGGCCCATTGCGGAAGTCTAGTCCGGGCCTACAGTCAAGAAGCCCCCACCGCCGTGCAGTCAGCCTCGCCGCAGGCGGCCCCATAAGATAGATAGCTTCATCGCTCCCTCCATCACTCTTTCCATCACTCCCTCCATCACTCCCTCCATCGCTCCCTCCATCACTCTTTCCATCACTCTTTCCATCACTCTTTCCATCACTCTTTCCATCACTCCCTCCATCGCTCCCTCCATCGCTCCCTCCATTCCTCCCTCCATCTGTTCCTGTAGCTAATCTCATACTGTCTCACTGTCTCCTACCATTATCCGTTTTAGCTATTATGTAAGAATCAGAACCTCTGCGTAATATTCAATAGGCGAGTAGCGATGTCTCATACCCGGTTAATAATCTATAAAGAGTCTGCCTTGTCCCTCACAATATTCATCATATCGTAATTTCGTTTTGCGATCAAAGAATTTTCCCAAAATGAACGAAACCATCCTTGGCTACCTGACGACACGCAACCCAACTGTCCACGCGATCGAAAGACCAGCACCGAGCTATACCTTCAACTCGGATTGGGAACCAATTGATAATATAAGAGAATGGTCCGAATTCAACTATGATACTCTCAAACTTCTGTTCAGGGATGAGCTGAACCGTCCCGTATCTCCTTTTGACACTACCGGAAGCTGTGAAAAAGGAGGCTACAACAAGATATTCGACGAACGGGGCCTATCTGATCTCATATGTATGTCCATCATGGGTCCTGTATCGGCAGTGCTTCCTTCCGGCTCGTTTATCACTTCTGGTGGAAGAGTTACGCAGCACCCAGGATGCGTCCCTGACTGGGGCGCTGGAAAGGATGTGACAGGAAGGTCTAAAGCTATTCTCCTTGGTGACACGAAATTCAACTGGTCATCAACCAACGCCATCAATGTTATTCAACGCACAACAAACAAGTTCTATGAAGATTCACCATTGCTTGATCTGGTGAGACCCATAGAACAGGTCCAATATTACGGCGCTGTTTACGGATGTCGGCATGTTTACCTTATCAGTGACCAGGAGCTAGTAGTAATGCAGCTCCATTTGGCACCATCCCACGTCCGAACATCGCCCAGACCTCAACGCACTCGCCCAGCACCCTCACACCAACGGGTGATATCTTCTTCCACGGTATCTAAGGGAACGACAGATATGTCTATCGACGAGTCTTTCTTCAAAGCTAGTATCGGACTGGTGGAATACAAGAAAATCCCTTGGAGCGCCGCAAGCGGCCTTACGATCAAGATGGCACTGTATTGCCTTTTCCGGTTAGCAGACAAGTATGGGCATGACCTTAAACTTGACTACCCTTCTTTGGCATCTCAAGCCGAGGCATCTGTCGCCCAGAGTCCTCTATCCAGCACCATGCTGAGTTCACGGCCGCGAAATCCTGTATCAACAGCGAGCACAGTCAGCAGCACACCGCAAACGAGCAGTAAACCAACATCCGAATACCACGAAACTATTGTGGTCTGGAACAAAGCTCGCACCGCTTACTGTTACAAAGACAAAGAAGCCAAAATGGTCTTGGATGATCCAATTTCCGAATGGAAGACGATTGGGGACAAAATTTACAGATTCAAAGGAGAACGGCCGTACCTACGCTCGAATATACCCCGCTGAATACGTTGCACTGAGGTCAAACTACTATTCAACATAGGATGATGCGACGGAGTCTCATCATGGTGATTCCTCCGTTCAACACGGTCTATGGCATTGAGATATATATGGTCCAAAGTCTTTACTTGGAGGCTCGATGTAACTTCCATGACGTTTGCAATCCACATTATCAATTTTGAATTTTCTTGAAGTACGTCGTTATCAATATCATCTTACTTTTACCTCCAATCATGTCAGAAAAGACGTTTATCAAGTCTTGGTAACGAAATATACTAAAAAAATACGGTATTCGTTTTACTCAGTATTTCTTTCACGCAGACTTTTTATTGCCGACCCGTTACTGATCTTCCTTAGCTTGAAAACTATCCCACATAGGCATTATGATATCTACTCATACGACAGGCATACGTAGACTTCGTCACATTGTGCTATCTTACATTTAAGATCCGGTCTGCCTGTATACAGTATAAATATCTATTTCGCTTGCCGGCAACTGTGCAATGGATAGTGTCAATCGCTTTCCAGGGAATGAGCCTGGTAGAGAAAGTTTTTGCGTCTCCTTCCAGGAATTTTGCTATATTGGGAATTCCTATTTCGTTACTACCCTCAGCCCTAATATAGTGCTCGCAGCTATGTACTTCACAGAAGTCTTGTGTGCTGAAAGGGATAAGCCAGCTTCACCTCCGTAGTACAACGCGATTCACGAAACAAGGATCATGGGAATACCACTCGAATTGCGTACAAAGCCGATATATATATGATGACAAAGCTTATCCCTCGATAGCCTTTTTGGCTACAATGTTTCAATAGAGATAAGTGTTTATGTTTTCCAACCGTCTAAATTGAACCATTCGGTTAACCACGCATCTATTGAGTGATCCTTCTTGTTTGCAATTCTATACAACTGGTGCATAATACCAAGCTCTCTCTATTTGACACATAAGTGAGACGGTCTTTCCCAATGAGTTAAGGATCGATATCCGACTCCTGTGCCTAAAAATTTAACGTTTTCAAAATTCCCAATTTCAGGCGGTAGTTAGCGGTATAAAGATAAAAAAAAACTCGACAGTGTATACTGCAGCGAAATACATTGAATTGGCTAATTATGTCACTCCTGGCTGTCTGTGTGGTATTTCTTTAAATGTTTGTATCAGTACAATTCTTTGCGGCACGTATATCAGCTTTTCACAGGACTTTTGATACCACTATGTTCGTCCATAGCGATCTCTTAATCAAGGGCGAGTATCTGAGTCTGCTTTTCTATCTCTGCTATTAAACGATCTTTGCATATAGGACATACGCACGTACTTATCCACTTGTGCAGCTCTACTTTACTTCGGTCCCTAGTGCGATTGGTTCCATTGATATGCAAGATTGTAAGTTCGTGACTTACCATTATATTGCATATAGCGTAGACTTATTTATGCACTAAATTTGACGGAAGGTGGATAAAAGTGTTCATTAGGAGAACCGACGAACAGATTTTCCAAATGAATGGGCCAGACCGTGGACTATGGTCTGGAAACTCTACCAAACCTGTTATATCTCGCGCTCAGCAGAATATTCCAACGAGATATATGAATGTCTACGAAGCTTGGGAAAGGTCCTTGCTATTGCAGATCAAGGTAAGCGAAGGCAAACACCATACCTTTTGCATGCAAATTCTCGCTATTGACTTCAAGAAAAGCTTCTTCGGACATAATATGTGTGCCTTGAGTAACATTGAATGTCCTGAACGATTTTAGTCTTTTTTTTTCCTAGCCTTAGGCTACTTTTCTGTTTTTTCTTTTTTTTTTTTTTTTTAAAAAAAAAAAAAAAAAAAAAAAAAAAAAAAAAAGCTGTTGCCTGTAGATTATTTTTTTTACTGTCTGTGGCCTTGAACCAGGTTTGGAACTCGGCTTTACCAACTGAAATGCTTTACCAACTGGAATCTACGTTATCGATATTTCTGTTGATCACTGCTGGGTAATTCAACATGGGGAAGAAGGTGGCCCCAAATTCAGGTCACAAAACAGACACACTCGAGTTAAAAGTTTTATTGAGGTCGACATGTCGTTTTTTGTTGACGATCTGTGCGCTTAGCACTTGTAGGAAAATACTCGATTTGTTGCTGCGGCACGGTATATGATGACCTTCTCGTAGGACAAAACACAGCCTCAAAGCTGAAACTTCTCCGCATTCTTCTAATACAACTCCCAGCTGCTGGATGCGCTGATCCGCCGGCTCTAAAATTCGTCAAGGCAACTGATGCAATGGCGTTGAAAAACTTTCAAGGTAGCAGCTTAATAACATAAGGAGATTTTGAGGCTGAACATCTTCCTATAGAAGCTACATCTCAGGTGAGACCGATCATTTATTTATACAAACTCGATTGAGTTTACTCAGCGTCACCATGCTCTTTCTTTGAGCCCATAATTTTCCCTTTCCGTTTTGTGGACATTGCAGAGAAATCTATATGAAAAAGTAGAAGACTTCATCGGATCTTCGCCTTGTGCACTCGAGTTAAGCCAATGTGAAATCATACATGAATCATAGCCTCTTTTCATCAACGCGGCGTTTTTCTCATACCCGCATCTAACGGACAATGATCTAAGATTCCATTTCTCGTCGTGATAAAGAAGAAATTTTTTTTATGTGTTGGGGCTACAAAGGGCCAAGGAGAGATCGAAGACTTGATTCGACTAGACTAAGGAAAGAAAAGAAAGAAGCAAGACTATCTAAGGGAAAACTGAGAGCTAGACACACTGGGGGTCGTGTGCTCATAGGGCTCAGATGACTCACACTATGTTACTCTAGATTTCCTCTCCAAATTCCGCTCGGCTGAGAATTATTCCAGGCCTTTCTGCTGCAACGAAACTCGAACAAATTTTTCGCAGGCTTGTAAGTCCGGATTCAGTCTTCAATGACGCAGAATCCCACAAATGCGGTAATAAGCAAAGTATGAAGCGAGTATTCTCCAATTTCTCAATTGACTCGAATTGCGGCTCAAAATCAAAAGTGAGTAATTCGGGATGAGCTTTATCGTCCGAAAAGACTGCCCAAACTGACTCATAATGATGTAAAAGCCTACCTCGACGAATATGCCAGCAGAGGTCAGAGCTTGGGCACACGGCTTCCAGAAAAGGAAAGATGGAGTTCAAGGTCGGCATCGAAAAGGCTAGAATATTCAGTAATCAATATGAAGTATCTTAGAACGGATCAATAAAACTGACCATCTGGGTGATAGAAGACTTTCAGTATGATTAACTCTAAAAGTTCCTCCTCTTCATCTAAAGATTGCCAGAGTGCGTTGTCAACAGAAGAAGTATGTTTAGAGTCAATGCCGGTAACCGAAGTTTTGCTATTAAAATATATGAGATGGGAACGAAGATCTCGCGAGGCGGTTCTGAAAGTATATTAGTGATAACACGAATAATGAAATATCTTTTCTTACCGATCGAAAATGTGTAAAAGTACACGTTCGCGTTCACCCTCTGATATAAGGCTTAGAGGTCGAGGTCTCCCGCCATTTACCCGGAAAGGCTGCTTCATAGAGAAAGTATACGATTCTGAGAAATCATATAGGACCGTATCGTAAATATCATCGGGGAGTCGAAAATGGTGATCGCGGATATCGCCGTGGGTTATGCCAATTCGATGTAAAGCATCCAAGCGACGAAGTCGGTCTTTTAATAAAGAATGATACCAATCTTGCTCAAACGGGCTTAGAAGAATCACTCCAGGAGTGGTACAAAACCTTTCAGAGAGCATTCTTAGAATCGTTAAGAAGCTTTCAGACTGAGAATTGACAGCTTCACTAAGAATACGTCGAGAACTCAAATCCGGTTTTATTGCCTCTACCACAACTGCTCGTTCATGGTAATACCCAGAAGAAAATCGAGATTTTGGCATATCGGTGATCACTCCGTGGAATTGTGGGAAATAAATTCTTGCACGCGCGGGACAGCATAGGTCAATATGACTGTATGCCCGGGCCTCCCGGTAGAATCTATCGAACTCGTATAAAGCATCGAGTATCCTTTCAGGAGCCAGTTGTTCTCCGATGCGATGAAGCTGTATCTTAGCATCTTGCTTAGAATAACAAGGAAACTAGGAAATGATTAATCAGAGCACGCATATAATGATTATCTCCACTTACGACTTTGGCGATATATTTTCTGTGTCCCCGGATGCGAAGCCAAAACACTTGTATAGTGTTCGGATCCGATAGTCTTGATCTGTCTGCCTTGGATCCTAGTTTCCAATTGTTGTCTTCAGCACAGAAAGGTCGGAATTTTTGGCCCTCAAGTTCGCTTGTTTTCAGTGTGTCTGGACGACTGCCAGAGAAAAATAGGTTCATCCAAGTATCACCTTCCATGGTAAGGAAATAGGATATAGAAATCGCCCTGTACTCAGTTTGAGGCTAGTCGTAGAAACAGCGCTGGTTGTAGAAATGGTCAAGGTGTGAATATGTTGCAGTCAATTGATCAAGGCGCCTCCCGAAATTATTGTCATGTGAGATACGTTATCCTTGTATTATGTCACCCATTCTTAACTTTCCCCGCTAGTTAGCTCCGTCATTTCCCTCCACCGATCCCTCCACCGATCCCTCCATCTATCCCTCCATCTATCCCTCCATCTATCCCTCCATCTATCCCTCCATCTATCCCTCCATCTATCCCTCCATCTATCCCTCCATCTATCCCTCCATCTATCCCTCCATCTATCCCTCCATCTATCCCTCCATCTATCCCTCCATCTATCCCTCCATCTATCCCTCCATCTATCCCTCCACCGATCCCTCCATCTATCCCTCCATCTATCCCTCATTCTTATCCATTTCTCCTATTATGGCCCGGCCTGCCAGAAAAAGGCCCCCTCGCAAACCACTTACCATTGCACAAGCCTGGGATAAAGTAAAGAGCACCGCCCAGAGCCTTGAAACTGGCAGGTGTCTAGGAAAGAAAGACTCCAACCGTGTTTCCAAAGCATTTTGTTTGCTTAATCATCCGCTACAATCTACCGGTCATCAGGAGTATCGACTCTTTCTTCTCCGGTTGCATGAAAAATGCGGCCCTCAAGGCGTAGGCTTGTGCGCCGTAGCGCTCGGCCATGACCATATCAGAGACATGAGGAAGAGCGACCGTGATGCACTCCTCCGTAAGCTGGGCGAGATGAACCAGCCATTGATCAAAAGCTTGTCCTTTCCCTCGGGTGATATACAAGTAGATGGCCCCTTGAATGGTAAGCTTCGACCTCTCAGTTTTCCTCGCTTGCTTAGAAAGAGTGACTGACGAGACTCAGAGCAACTGAACAAAGAAGGTCAAATCATTCAAAGTGACGGTCACGAGTCTTCGCCATGCTCAAATTCTAGTAGGATCACTACTCCTCGACCCTTACTTATCAGCAATGCCGAATCCGACCGTTCAATTACTTCAATCGGGAAATCAGTGAATTCAGAGTCTGGGTGCCCCCTTGATGACGACCATCATATCATGGAAAATAGAGAACCCGCAAGGATTTATCGTTAGTTCATCACTGCTTGTTTATTTTACCTCCTAATGGGGTTCAACAGCATCTGTCCGAGACTGCTATGCAGATCAATACTTCACGGCAGTGTCACACCTCCCACAGAACAACGGACGAGCTGATATCACAAACACGCAGGAGATCTTTGAGCATGCCTCTCTTGCGGGGATTGCTACTGTTTTCAGTGGGCTAATTTGTAGCGCTATCAGAACAACTTTATTCCAAGCAAATGGGGAGAAATTTTGGAAAGCATCGGTGACAACAGTATTCCCTGCCTGGGGTGGACCAGTTGATTGTTTACTCAGTCTTGAGGTCTCTGAGTCATGGGTGCAACCTCTCGCATTGGCTTTGTTCACTGCGACTGTGAAATGGGTTGGGAAAACTTTACATGTTGGCTTCGAAAGAGGAACAACCCTGACTATTCCCAGCTCGGAAGTTACTTTGAAAGGCGTGGAAAATGAAGCTATTGCCATGGTGTTCGGTTCCGAGATACAACTGGCAATTAAAGAGAGCCGTATCCGCTTAAGAGAGTTAGCAGAAGGAAAACGGGCTACTGAATGTGTTTCGATGATAGTCACAGAAAAGGGCGCCATCGTGAACCTATCACTTGGTCTGGTTCAAGGCTTAGAAATACAGAAAAAGCTATACACCTAGAATGCAAACATATTACAATTTGACCCATTGAACATCTCTCACTCTTTGACTTGCCCTTTTGTTATGTAAAGCTTTACCCCATGTTGAGTAATCCCTTGCCCATTGGGAATGCCGACGAGTTGCCTTGTCTGTTCCTTTCCTTCCTCATCAAACTCATAAACAGTGACATTACTCCCCTGCCAGTACACTGTCTGGCCTTTTCCAACAATCATTGTCACACGGTTGTCAGGCACGTCGCTAAAATCGATGGCGGGATCGAGAGGTTTTTCTTCGAAAGCCTGGGGGATCATTAGTGTGCATAAGATACCATACTATATATTTGCGACTAACCATTTATCCTTTTGAGATAGTCAGGTAGGTATTTCCCCAAAATTAACGTGCGAATGATCAAAGTGCTGCTCTCATACGATGGAATAATGTTGAGCCACAGAAAAAGCTGTCCCAAGGCACTCTGTGCGAGGCGAATGAAGAGCAGATCGTGCTAGTTGTGCTAAGTTTAACTTTAGCTGCGAGCAAGTAGAGAAAGTGCAGCGTTGTAATGCTCACCGTTGTTTGCCAAATGATCACATCACCAAGTCCTCATTAATTAAGCGGTACAGTGACTCAGTCATAATTGTCGCGGAGAGGAGAGGCGCGGAAGAAGCCGGTGATCATGGAATTGAGGAAACCGATGTGGGATGTGATCACGTGGTTTGTACACAGACGAGGGCGGCAGATGCCCCGCGTTGGGCACCGAAGAGCTGTCTTCGGTCGAGATTCAAGAATGCAACCTCCTCGCAGAACATTTGGGCGTAATTCTTCTTGATACATGGGTTTCCTGTCAACTGGCAGCATCATTGTGCTGAACCTACTCATCCGAATTCTCATCTCCATCATCGGCGCCCTTCTCAGTCATTTCCTTAAGCTGACAAGTGATCATAACTGGATGCGTCTAATTCCATGACTGTAAACTTAGTGAATATTTACTGCGATAGTCTATTCATGTTGGCCTGCTTTTTCTGAATCGCGAGCATTCCTATGACAAACCGCAATGGCTCTCGAGCATCTGTTCGCTTCCTTCCTCCCAAAAATAGAGACGATTCCTGTACAGAGGGAAAGTCAATTGGGAGAGTGGACGTAAACCCCGAAATTTCCAATGCAACACAGAGCTAAGTTTCACTGAGAAAACGCTCCAAATCTCTTGCCAAGCATCGCCTCCGCCCAAGACAAAGGAGAATTAATAGTTCGTCATATCCAAGACCGCCTCAATAAGAAGTTGTTATGGAGAAGGAAAGGATTAAAAGAATCCATGTGGAGTACACTTTATTTTCCATATCATTTTCATATCTTAGTCTACTCTATCTGATGTGATGAGACAACTTAAGTAACCTTCCACCGGACGAACTCTATCCCGTCTGTCATCTTTCCAGGTATTTTTCTTGTGTATGATTCATGATTGAAATACATATCAATATGATAAGGTCATATTTGAGAGACTGTCAGCTCCATACCTAGGTAGGGAGTAACGGTAGCTTACTATTCGGAACTGAGGGAAGAGAATAGTAATCTGTAACTGACTGCATGTATTAGGTGAAGACACAGCCTCACACTCCAAAAAGAAAAAGCAAAAAAGCAAAACAAAAAGAATGAAACCAAGGTTCTGCAGCTATGTTGAACAGAGAGAACCATGATCTGTAGCCCTATTCTAAGATCCGTTTCGAAAATCAGTTTCCTGCCATCTATGGATTCCTCGATCTTATTTCAATTCGCGTGTGCCTGCTCATCCATATTCTCGTCTCTATCATCGGTGCCCTTCTCAGTCGATTCGTCAAGCGAAAAGTATCCGTCAGTTCCGAGGGCTATAACAACCTCCTCGGGATATTGGCGCAAGTGTCGATGATCATTTCGTCTATGACAGAATTTAACGCATCGATTTCGTTTTGTTTTTCTCGTACTGCAAGAGTGTTTGTGACATCAATTTCCCTTGGAATACTTTACGTACACGTAGCTTTATGCATCAGGAACCGAACTGTATTCCAGAAATTCTGGAACCGAGGCGTTCGCGTCGCTATCTTCTCATAATTTGCCATCTTCAGCCTCGGAGCGTAGGTCCGCAGTCGTGGAAGATCGGAGGCTTGGAATTTATAGTCTGGCTCAAGGACTCGATCTTCCAAAATCGTGAGTAAAGGTCTCTTCGTCTGGTAGATTGTGTTTGGCATTTGTTTTCTCTTTACGCCTAAAAGCTATTACTAGTCAACATGTGACCCGGGCTTCTTACCTTTACACGGGTACCCATGGTGAAACAAAATATGCTCAATTCTACCTGGGCGCTTACGACATGTGTATATCTCAATATCGTGGTTTTTTGGAGACTATATATCAGATTGAAATAGATGCCCAATAAGCTTCAAGCTTTCACCTATAACTTTATTGGCTGTTAAAAATTAATGTGACTGTCATTACTTGATAAATTATCCAACCTGGTACGCTATAGTACGTATAGAGTATATAAGAGTAAGTTGATGATTTAACCTGGCTCATAAAATGTTAACTATGCTTTGAAAGGTTGGTCGGGATTCTTCGACAGAGTAGATTAAGGATGGTTTTGGAGTTACTCATCTTGATTAAAAGGTTGCCAATATTACAGTAATCACTCTCCAATATACAGAAAATAGGATTTTGTTTAGTAAACTAGTGTTTACGTTTGTTGTCCAAAGATGGATTTAATAGAATAGGAGGGGAGAAACGGTTTGCCTTATTAATTTCAATGTCTTTATTTTCGGAAAGTAGAATGATGCTCCTATTAGCACGACTATATCTAATATTGAGCAGTATAGTGTCGGATTTACCTCATAGATAGAATGATGGGAGGTCTACGCATACAGCCTAAATACTTCATAAAAGTACATAAAGTACCACATATAAACCAAGTATCTGAGGAGACAATGAGCCGAGTGTAATGCGGTCTACAGAGGGATCCACGTTAAGTTCCCCTAGATAAGGAATGAATTTTGGTAGTCATTAGTTATTTTAGCTGAATGGTATTGTGCCATTTTCGTGAGAACTCTATGGTGATCTAAGGATATGGACAATCCGGAGAGTTAAACCAATACCCAACTAGATTTTAGGTGGGGTGGTAGAGTGGCATATCATAGCAGTGACCTGTTGAATCTGTGCAAAGGTGCCAAGAGTTTTGACTCATAAGCTCTTTAGGTGCCTGGGAGCAATGACCTCCAATGTTTTGCAAGTTTGCAGAGGCCGCAGGCATGTCGTAGTACCTTAGGGGAGGTAGAGCTCTTCCACTCGTTGCTGAGCCGTATTCGGCCTGGCTGGAGACGTTTTGATAAAGGCCTGTACTGAATCCAGGGCCACAGTGATCTGATGCCGCAGCGTACTGGTGGTTCGAGGTGGTTCCAAGGAAAGAATTCTGACCTGAGTAGCTGAAGAAAGGAGAGCTTTGTGGACCGATTCTTTCCGCAGTCTCAGAAGTGCTGAGTATAGGCCGCGATAATGAGCCAGTGTATTGGGGCGTCGCGGTGTAGTCAGGATGATTTTGCAGACCATCTCCTTTGAAGCCAAGAGGCATGGGCATAGAGAAGCCACATGAGTAAGCTGATGCCGACGCACGAGCGTTGGCTGTTGTGGCTAGGGCAGCAGATCTTTGCTCGACGAATTCTGTAGCCAGTCCTTGCTCAGTTTGTTTAGACACTCCGACAATCAGTGAGGTTGCTTCGGCAAACGCATCATCTTCATCGTCCTTCTTGTCATGAGTTCTTTGACCATTCTTGACGTAGACAATCATACTAGCATCTGGGAAGTGTGAGTCAAGTGCAAAAGTTTCGCTAGGAACACTCGGTAGATACCAATTTGATCTTGATCAAATAATTCCTCCATCCTCCGAACCCGAAGGATCTCATCAATGATCCCAACGTGACTTGGGTCCCTCAGGGTCCGCTTGGTATCCTGTGCGACATCTCTCAATTGATCGGCAGTGATATTATAGTGACCGAGGTTGCAGATAATGTGAAGGATCAGTTTGATGCGATCTAGTGCAGTAAACTTTAAGCACAATTCGGACAGAATCACTTTGCATAGAAACATACCCTGTTTTCTCAAATGGTCAGGCGCCTTGTGCATAACACCTGGTGGCCACCATTTAGGCTTGGTTTTTTCTGGGTCGGCGGAAGTTCCAGGGCCGGATCCTGACAGTAGCTTTCCGCCGTTATAAGGGTATCTGACTTGCTTGCGTGGCTCGATGTGTTTTATAAATGCTTTGGCAATAATGGAGCAATTAAACTGTTGGAAGTTATTGAGAGCTCTTTGATAGTAAGCCGCAACATTCTCTGTATCTCCGATTCTGAGAGGTGTTATTTTAGTTAATCCATTCAAGAAGTCATTATTTTCAGATCCTTGCTCATCTGAAAGCTGCTGAGAAATGGGCGAAATGTTCTTTTGGCGCTTGGATAGACCGGATTCTGCCTCTTCGAACAATAAGCGTGCGCTCATAGAAACAAATTGTGGCTTGACATACGTCGAATTGGTTGGGGGCTGCCGCATCGGCTGCCCACCATTTCGAGGAAATTCTGGAGAACTTCCGCAGTAAATACGCCGGTGCTTTCTTCCTGGATAGACCTTGAGACGATAGTCCGTAGTATACCCTCATTATCAATATAGACCATGGCGTAGTGATTGTATGGGAAAGTGAGTGACGGTTGAGAGGTAGACATGTTAGGTTGATGAGCGACCTTCAACTCCATGGACTCTTGGAGAGTAAAGAAGGATCTCTTCGTAGCACGAGGTGTAGTAGTGGACATGCTGGAAATAATCGGGAGTACTTATGAGCAGCGATGTTAATAATCAATTGAGGACAAGTAAAATATTAAATAGCTCAAGGATAAGTTTGGTTGAATGAATATATGCGACGAATCCCCATTAGGCAAGGAACAACATAACGTAACCACGCCTTACATCCTTGGAACAAGATACCGGATAATCGATTTGCTATTTGCGAGGTTGCTATAATGTTTATCTAGCATGTTTAACATCAAATCGGAGGACTGGCATTCGAATAGTATCTTGCCCTCTCCCCCCGCGCTTGTCCAAGTATTCTATGACGGTAATCCCTCTTTCATCCACACCTCGGTCGATCCAAACTTTTTTTGCTTGAACAAAGAGGTACACGTCTCCATTTGCATACTCTATTGCGTTATTTGACTCCACGTTGGAAAATTGAGATCTACTGCCAGAATTGATGATACTCGCTCCTATCTCGTACCAACGCAACTCAGTATGACAGACTCATCTCTCAACGAAAACCAGAGCCTCCTTCAGCCGGTGCAATCTAACTTGCGTAATTATCACTTCCATGCCAACAAGTCCAACTCCATTGGCCTCCAACTCCATCAATCAGCCGTTTAAGAGATCGGATCTTTGTACCGAGCTTGCTAGAACGATCTTTCCAATACCGAAATATTCCCTCTCGATGCACGAGGTGTTGTTGATCGGACTTCGTATATATATAATCCCTCTAATCAGATAGCGTATTGTTATATCAGAGTAACAGGGACATCTGAAAGACAAAATACTAATTCTTGATAAGCAATGAGGTGATGTTTGAAGTAAAGGAATTTACCATATCGTGATCGTCTCATCAGTTCTGAGTCCCGAATCAGTGCCCATATTATCATAAGCACCCAAACTATAAGGGAGATAATAAAGAATATACCAACCATTCTAATATAGAATAGATTTCTATAAGAAGAAAAGAAGGTATAGACGTGATGATTTTATATCAAAAGGTATAGGGAGAAAAATAACAAATAAAAAACCTTGTAGACAAGTGGAATTGTTAAGTAAATACAAAGCCAGAGGGAAAGCGACATTGTTTTAAATCCACAAGAAAAAATCTCAACTATTCAATCTCACAACAGTCAATATTCTAAGGTTTGAAACAGGAAAGAAGCCAAGATATATATGACTGTGATCCGGTGTCATGCACAACACAATTGTCTTCTTTGGCGTATTTCATAACATTTTCTGGGCGTCCACAATATCCCAGATTAGTAGATGCATCGCCTGAGTTTGATAGAGCCGGGTGAATGGCCTCAGAGGAATAGTCTGGGTGCCCACCGGGATCAGCAGGAGCATCGAGAGGCTTTGATAAAACCAGATCAAGGGCCTGCGAAGAGTCTCGAGCAGACCCTTCAATTGTATATGCAGCGCTGGCGGAGGCAATCTGATGCGTAATCTCATCGGATTTTGTTCGACACACAAAGTGTAACGCTGAAATGCCTTCCATCTTACTCAGCAGATCGCGGTATGCCTTGTTGTTGTCGTCAGATGATACAAGATGGCGGTATCTCTCTATTGCGTATTGTGTTGGGCAGCTTGATTGAATCATCCCTTCGATAACAGCTGTCGCCGAGTAGAGGTTGCGTAGAGCAACAAGGTCCTAAAGAGTTCGAATTAAAACGGTAGCTTGAAGAATGGAATGACTGAGTTACCTCGATAAGTTGAGTGAAGTATTTGTTTCTGTTTTGGCCAGTTATCATGCAATCGCTCACCAAATTGGCAAGCCGACTCCATCTCTTCTTCAAGCCGTGAGCCCGTGAGTCTCCATCAATCAGTTCCCGTGGACAGATATCGCGGAAGGCAAAGCAATCTTTTTCCGACAACCGTACCGCCAGACAACGAGGACTGAGTTGGCAGATGTCATCCAAAAACTTGGTCTGTACGTTAAAGGATTTCCATGTTCCAACTTCTTTATGGTATTGCCTCTGGAAACGAGCTCTGAGAACTTCCAGCTTCTCGTTGAGTTCCTCGGACGATTTGGTTTGGGTCAACATATAGTGTATATCGTCAATGATATGAAGACGAGGATTGAAAGTTCGGTATTTTCCAGTTGCCGCTGAATAGCAAGCATTTTTTATGGCCTCGTAAAGGAACGGATCAGACTCAATCCCGTATAGTTCCTGCTATAGATTAGATATACTCCTCCTTGAGTTGTCGGTATATATAAGGTATAAAAGCTAGATACCTTTATAACTTGATCTAATGTTTCAATCAAGGTCGGAAATGATTTCAGCTGCATAAAAAGCCCTGCGCTCAGTTTATCGTATAGATGGCAGAGAAGCTGTATTGTTGGACTCCCTTGGTTGGCAGCCTGAACAACAGCCTCAAACGAAAAGAGAATCTTGAGTTTGCTTTCACTTTCAAGGTGGAGTAATGTGGCGATTCGTCCAGGACTTGTATTGTGTGTCGTCAATGGTCCCCAATCCCGTATTGCACCCTTGTGGGCACGCGTTTCAAGATCAAAAGAACGGTGCAGTCCCATATTTATAGGAGGTCCAGGTGGTCGGTTATCCCCATCCATCTGCAGTATATCGTGGGACAAAATCGCCATAGTAAGATCAGTGATCGATTTGCTCGAGGGTGTATGATATTGGATATAGCGCCGCTGAGTTTGAAACTTGATATAGACGTTGAAAGAGACTGTCTAGCTTATGAGGAGAATGATCGATATACTAAACAAGGAACAAGATTGGGAAATGAAGAGCCCACAAACCTTTATACACATATTCTCAAGAAATCTATCGCTGTGTGTGATCAAAGATCCGATTTTAAATGATCTAGGCTTAGCTTTGGAACTAATCTATTACCTCGTCGTAATAATCATCCTTTTAGCAAGCGAAGGGCAATGTGGTTGTAGTCATTCACCTGGGTACCTGGATCGGCCTTGAATCAAAGTGGGGTAGAAGAATTGATCTGGTTGGTTAATGCGTGATGGAAACGTACCAGCAGTAAAGATGGTCCTAGTGGCCCAAACCAGCGAGAATGCAGGGTCTCATCATATAACTTTGAAAAATTAAAGTCTCCATAAACTCAGGGCATCGCTACAAAATTGTAGACTTGGAGTGTAAAAGTAAAAATAGGCGAAGAAAAATAGAAGAGAAAGTGATCAAGCCAGTCGTCCAGATCCCCTGATCACCTAACTATCATAGTCTGACTAACCGAAAATAGCATGACTAAGTTCGCTCCAACGGTAAGATGTTCCAAGCGTCCCACCGCTGATAGACTTAACAAGTAGAATACAAAGAGTACTCAGATTTCCCTTGCTCCGACACATCTTCCATCCCAGGCCACCAAAAGCGATTCATAATATGTTTTAGGTCTCCACAAACAGATGTCTGGCCAGTAAAGTCATTCCATGAAACATCCACAGTCTATATCATCCACGCGTTCTGTCTCAGTAGTGTCACTATCCCTGAGCGGACAGTGAGGTTATATCTATCCCGCTCACAGATCATCTCTCCATCCCAACGAACTGACACTTCCTCGCATAGATTGGTTGCGAGAAATGATATATAGCGGCCCTTCGTGCTATTGGTGGTATCCTTGGCTTCAAAATATAGCAAGTTTCGAATAGTTCTTCCAGCATTACCGTGGAGAGCTGAGGATTGGTTTGTGTGGATCATGGCTGTATATAGCTGGGGAAGGTAGAACACCATCTTATCGCTCTGGAACAAGAAGCGACAACAATCGAAGAGATTTGTGCTGCATGGAGTGCCACAATACCGGTTGCAACTTAGTTGAAGGAGAAAAATTGTCTCTAAGTAGCAGTTGGATATATACCACTTTAAAAGGAGGCGCTACGAACCTTCTTGTCCAAATTCGTCGAGCTGGCGCACACTCGAAGCTTGGTAAAGTTGAGGAAGTAGTAGTTCAGATCCCATGGGCTTGAACAAATCCTTATCAGTCCTTTCTGACTTCAAAGCACATGATTGCTCTCTGCCATCGGGGCTTCCCACCAAGTTGAGCTCATCGTTGTCCATTCTGAAGTCGAGTGCCCTTCCGACATAGATAAGGGTACCACAGGTATTTCATATACTATCAAATCACTTTCATAAGATAGTGGATCATCCCAAAGCCTCTCTTACAAATAAGCCTTTACTTCGTGTTAATGAGATATTGGACAAGATGAAGCAAATAGAGAGTGAGAAAATTGAGAAAAAGATTCAAAGATCAAAAAATTGAATTGAAAGACATGAAAGTGGAACTAGTTGGATAAATCAACGGAGCCTCAGATTTGGACTGGTAGAGTTTAGAGAGGACGGTGAGTGGAGTTGGGGCTAACTGACTGCATGTTAAAAAAGATTAATGAGTAGAAGATGAAAATTTCAAAAACTGTTCTAAGTAAGGAGCCCACGATTTCACTTGACATATTACGTGGATAAGGAGGAGTATCAAATGGGCTTGTTGAACAATTTCTGGATTTTTCAACCACACAACCCAGAATATAAATCATTTCAAAGTTCGCGTCTGGTAAGCTAGGAAAATAACGGAACCTAAACAAAAGGCACAAAATACTGGCATCAGAAGGTCACGACCCCAAGGACGAAATGTAGGAGCTCGACCGGTATCATGTTCGTAGTGAGCAAAATCTTCTTGAAGCATGCTCGCGGTTGTGTAAGTGGAATTCCAGCAGTTCTCAATAAGGCTGCGGTATTTGAGACCCTTTAAGCTGGGAAATCTTTTGATAGCATAGAGCTCAGTGACCTTTTCAGCATCAACTTCGTCGTACGGTGGGCTGCCACTAGAAATCTCATAGATCAGGCACCCCAAAGCAAATATGTCGGTTGTAAAGGATCGAGGTGATCCTGGTGTTAAGCAGTATCTATCCTCTTCCGCAACGCAGCTCTCCATATCATCCCCCACAATGACTGAGCCAGCAAAGTCGCATAGCTTTAGAGATAAGTCATCGGCAACAAGAAAGTTTCGTGGCCCAATATCAGCATGGACAACACTATGACTGTGGACAAATGCGATAGCGTCGATAGCATTTTTGATCCAACGGCCTCGTGTGCTTTGTGAGACTTGATGATCAGATAGGTAGGTACGGAGGTCCCCGAGTTGGTGGTAGGGGAAATAAAGTCCGCCGCCTGTGATTTTCAGACAATCGAGGATATTCGGATTCTTGGGTAAAGTTTGGTAGATGAGTTTTTCGCGAGCAATACATACATCAGAGATGTATTCCAGGTGACGATAGTGTATGACGGCTGCTTCGTCACATCCTGTGAGATCATGGACGATAGGGATCTTGTTAACGATTCCATTGTCGTCATGGAATACAGCCCCCGCTTGACCTACGGCAATGAAGTTTGCCCCAGTAGGTAGGACCAAGGTTGGATGATTCGCCATGTGAAGTGAGATGGGAATGATCAGAATGTTTGAATAAACTGCGCAGAGTTCTGGGCAGATAGGTTAAATACTTTTGTCTAACCCTGAGCTACTTTATGTAAGGGGTAAGTGGGATAATTTAAAAAGGAGGCTGCCAAGAAGCCTCACGTGACTATTGTATCCAGTTCACCAATCCAAGGTACATCCTAAGGTAGTAAATTTAATTAACTATAATATGTCCCAATATAGATGGTGAATCATAATGTGAAATCATCCTAAATCCTAGCTTAATAAATACTTTAATGAAAATATTGACACCTTACAAAGTCGATGATTTCATTCAAGTCCAAAACAATCTCCAAACAATATGCTTGCTTACAAATAGCTTGACTGTAAAAGAAAGAAGATAGTTGGTAACAGTCCTCACACAAACCCATTTCTCAATTCCCATGCCGAAGCACCCATGGTCTGACCATTATTTTGGTCGCAATGTGCTCAGATAACCACAATACCAGTACATGTAAGCCTTGAATGCGCCAACAGTTATCATTTAGTAGACTAAGCAAGTTACTCCTGGTCTTTGATCGAAGGGAGAGGGTGGGTAACTACCTTGGCAGCAATACAAGCTGGGCAATCAAACATCCGATTGGTGGTAGCACCTGCTGATTTGGTGCTCTTTACAACACCACACTTGTTGCAATCAGGATCGGGAACTTTTATACCGCTTGACACTTTGTGTCCGCATTTGTATTTCACAGGACCTTCAAGCAAATGACACATTCTGTGTGATGATATTTTGAATTAGTGATTCATTTTCAAAGATGATAAGTTGATCTTACTTGTTCCAGCTTGATATAAGGGTTCAGATAAAAGGTAATGTAGGAGAAATAATCTGGTAGAATGAGCATGTAAACATGAAAGGGAGGGTCTTAGAGAGAGTATTTAAGGAACTAAGCCAGTGAAGAAATTGAAGAGCATTGCTAGATGAAAGTGATACTTCACTCGAGACTCGTACTCCTGACATACAATCCGACCAGAGTGGACTAGCTCTACGTTCATCTTCTTCCTGTATCAACCTAATTCTCCTAGTGTTCAACTTCAATAGACTCTATAGTCTTACGAAAATCGGCTTATACGCTAGACTCAATGTCTGCTATATGCTGTAGGTATATATAGGATATATGATTTAAATATTTCTAATCATGTGACAAGTTTTCTGTACTCTGGCTTAATTTTTGGAAAGCTCTTCTGGAGTGTGTAGAATTAAGGCGCTAGGTCGTGACAGAATGTGTATTACATAACAAAGTCCGAGGAAACTAGGGTGTCTGAAAAGGTGATCAATATAGTATCCATGCATGCCAAGATTGGTCTAAGAGTTACACTAAGCCACATTGGGTTCAAACGATTGGGATCCAAATGTTTGAACCCAATGTGCTTTAAGTTATTTTCAAGGTATTGATTGACTAAGCCCTTTTGGGTTCAAACGATTGGGATCCAAACGTTTGAGCCCAATACAGTTTAAGTCATTTTGTATTCACGCATGTGGCTGTAGGTGATGGTAGATGATGGTTTGGGTTATTGTACGGAGTTCATCTGCTCTTCTTCATCTCCTGGTGGATACTGTACATCCTGTTGTAAAGGAGGAAGATAGATAATTTGATATCAAAGTTGTCTGGATCATAATTAGTGACATGTAAAATAGTGTTAATAGTGAAGGTCTTTTTGGTCATATGTTATGAAAAAAAGATAAGTCTTGAAAATACCTAGGTAGCATAGCATGTCTACCAACAATTGCAATGTAGAGATGATGCGATAGGTAAATTGTGTTAACTGTAAGAGAGGATAAAAGATATATTGACCTTAAAATCATCCGAGAGAGGGCAATAGTATATGTAACAGAGCATAGCACATTGATAAAAACCGAGCTGGATGTTGAAGTTACCAGAGAGTGAAATAGTAATCCTGAGAGAGATTGGGAGCTACTAGCTAGCTATATATACCCTCTACCGAGAATCCCCAGCTGGGTGGAGTTCATATTACATACACTACATGACATGCTTTAGCACAAGCGACTTAATAGAAAATTGTCAGGAGCTCTCTGGAGCTCTTGATTGATCAAGACCGCCAGGACTGATAGATGTAACCGCATAGAGGGCTTCTCTCTCCTCTCTCTTTTTCTTCTCTTTTCGCCTCCCAAAATACATGATTTACTGTATGCTACCTTGCTCCGTTTCTGATAAAAATGCTTCTTCTTGGCATCAGTACCTCAAGAAGGCAAGTTGACGAGTCAGACTCGATAAATAGTTCAATTTTCCCACGGTTAAAGCTCATCTATTCAGGGAAATGAAGAATATTTTCCATTAAATCACTTGCTTACACACTGTGTTGCTCACCAAATTAACTAACTACCTTACATTTCCTTGACTTCAATTTTGGGCACCTGATCATGTGATCATCAGGCATCGTGACTCGACTCAGTAACAGGCCCCGCTGTTACCCCTCTTCATCGGTCGCATCTTCAACAAAACCACTACTCTTTATCACACATCCTACACAAACGACCATTCTAAAGTTACACTTGGTACTCTGATCTGAATCACTTCATACCATATCAAACTACTCCGTGATCACAGATGGCTAGCGTGCTATTATCAGACAATGCGAAAGAGATCGTGCTGAGCATGAAAGCCCTTATACAAGCCGATAGCGCAGAGCGCGTACACGAGAGTCAATCAGGCTGGCAGTATCCACTTTTCGACCAATGCAGAGCGATGAAAGCAGATATGGAGTCTCACGGTTTGAAGGTAACTCTGGAGCTTTTATCCAAAAGATAACTATTAATTCAATTCTCTTAGGTCTACGATTGTACCGTTTTCCATTTCATGGTCACAACTAGAATCAAAAATCCCACAAAACGACTCTTGCTTATCCCTATACAAGGTACTTCAACTTTGACGCCAGCTGATGCCTTGTCGCCTGAATCTTATTGGGATGTCCAAGGTGACGCCGACCGAATCCTCGTTCCAAATAAAGACACTGGTTCTGATATTGTGATAATGACGCTTATTTGAAGTGGACGATGGTCAAGATTATCACAAATGAAACATGGGTTGAAGACTATGAGATGTCAGATTACTATATGTACAACAATCATAGAAGCATGGCAGCAAACAAAATCCGCTCTTGAAAATGCTTGTATAGAAAAGCTCGTGGGGAAGTCAATCAAAGAAGCTAAGTGAGTCGATGCAGCTCGAATTCTGACACCATGGGGTTTGTTTGAGCGTCAAATGGAACCGGGTTTGGTATATCAAGTGTAATGAGCTCAGGATGTGACTCCATCAGGGCTGTGTAGCCCTCAGGTGAAGCCAGACTTGGCGGCAGCACAGTGAGTGGGTTCATCTCGAATTCTGACACCATGGGGTTTGTTTGAGCGTGTAGTGGAACCGGGCTTGGTATATCAAGTGTAATGAGCTCAGGATGTGACTCCATCAGGGCTGTGTAGCCCTCAGGTGAAGCCAGGAATGGTGGTAGTTTAGTAAGTGGATTCCACTCGGTTTCTGACACCATGGAGCTTGTTAGAGCGTCAAGTGGAACTGGATTGGGGATATCAATTGTATTGAGCTCAGGATGTGACTCCATCAGGGCTGTGTAATCGTGTGGTGGAACTAAATTTGGTGTATTGGGTGCATTAACCTCGATTTCTGAAACGATAGGATTCGTTCGAGTATCATGATGAAGTACATCAGAGGTATTGCGTGAGCCCAAAGTAGTTTGTGAGTCTGGGGAAGTTAATTAGATCCCAAGATATTTATCAAATTGTCCTCTGAGATTTTCAAGAGTTTTAGACAGATGGACTGGTTGATATCTTACCTGTAGGATGGCTCTGGCTATTAACTGCAAGATAGGCATGTGGAGGGCTTTGAGGGTTTGCCGTCCAAGATGATAATGGTGTGTGGGTGCTCCCAGTGAAGCAACCAGTGTCATTGGAGATGTTTTGGTGTGAATGATACGCTTTTAAGTATTAGTAAAACAATATTAAAACTCTTTACCACATCCAAACGATATACTCACTCAGTAATGGTGTTATCATATGAGACTTTTGCAACCCAACATGTACACAAAGCTGTGTAGATATCTTATGGGCAAGCTCTTTCAAACTGCCCATATGGTCCAGTCCTAAGATTCCACGGCTTCGCAGATTCTCTATTTGTTGTTTTCTCACTTCTCCATCCAAACGGAGCTCCCTAAAACTTTGAGGTGATCAGTAAAGATATCAGCAAAAGATGTTGATTTACTTACTATTCTGTCTCGAACGGTAAACAGAATAACATAGAAAGATGTCTATCCCCGCTTTCCGTATTCTGATAAAGTTCACGACACAAGTCGTCAAGCTTCTTTCCATCGCGTGACCAGCGAATCACTCGTTTTTCTATCTCTTCGGGTTTGTCAACTAAGCCAGCCGCCTTGATCCTTTGGACTACTTCCTTGATATTTTTTGACCCAGAAATCAATCGTTTTGCTTGTAGACTGTCTCTCATCCTGGAGAACACAATCTTGATGAACCTGGACCGTATTATATTAACCTCGTTGTTTTCCTCAAATGAAAGTAATTTCTGGTAGCAAGAGATAGGGCTGAACTCCATATCATCTTTATCCCCAAAAAACGATAGCGGCTTCGCTAGCCATATAGCTAAATTGTCGGGAGTGACCGTGCCGGGCAGATTAATTGGTCGTTTGACCATATCCGAGCGTTGTTTCTGCGAAGTTGATGTGGTCTTGGATCTTGAAGGCATGCTGTGTAATGATTTGCGAGGGTGTTTGGTGGCAAGCTGAGGTACAATTGAGCTTTGAATCTCATCGGGAACATTTAACCATAGCAAGTGAAGTGACTTGATCAACTGCGGACTGTTAAAAAAGTCGGCCAAGTAGGTAACAAACTCACAGAGGTATCTTGGAATTCAACTGTGAGATTATTGTTTCCGTTTCTTTCAGCTTCTGAGCATGCACTCTGGAGAAAACCAATTGCTATTTTACTCTCAGAAAGGCCCATTATGATAAGCTTGATTCACAGATTGTGATATGATGATAGTATGAGAAAATGATATAAACAAATGTTGAGCTTATTTCTCCGTGCCTCAGATGAGAGAGGGGAAATGGTCAGGGGAACCAGTTTGATTTACAATAAAGGGAAGGGACAAAAGGACGAAGCATTTAATATACCATGTATGGAAAAGACTCCGGAGAGGTTTGTGAATTCACGTAAGTTACCAATTATACAGAGTGATAACACAGGCATCAACCCGTTGATTGGTATGGAGTAGACAGGATAGCTCTAGCAGCCTATTGGATAGAAGTGATCATATCCTATCACATGGAAATACCAACGCCCCCGCCCTCACTTCTCTGTCACAAAATACTTGTAGCACGTTCTAGATAAGTCCGTCGTTACGCCACAGGAAATTGGGATCTAGAATATCGCTGACTATATATAGTAGGATAGACTGAGTTATTATGATCTCTTTTGTTTCTAAAGAAATATTCTATAATGATCACAGTGTGACGATTAGCAATTCTAAGGAGTACGTCTACGAATAAGCAGTATACGCGATATCAAAGACATATGAATGCGTAAAGAGGGGAAGAGAAGAGAGAGAGAGAAGCTCTCTCCTTGATTCAATCTCCTAAGCGGACCTGACCAATTAGAGGCTATAGAGGAGTTTTGAAAACTCGATTCCAAGGTTATATCTTATACTCGATACAAAGAACTATAATTCTATTATATAAGAAACCACTCTAGAGAGGAGAGAAAAGAATGAGGAGTACTCTGTACAAAGCTGGATCTATTCCTGTTGTTAGATATAAAGAATACGAAAGAAAGGAGTAGAAGGAATTAGTTTGGAGCTACTATGTATAGCAGGAGCGATCAGAGTATTAGGCTTTAGGCAGAAATAGTATCTAGATCTTGGAGTCTATAATTTCTCAGCGATCCTGATAATATTTATAATTCATGTACGGAATACAGCACTCCGTCTCTGTTCTATTTTAAAGCAACAGGCAAACTAAGACAACTAATGCACCACTTGCAGGATGTGATGGTCCAATCACCAAATTGTTGCGCGATTCGCGCGACCGACTGTAATTCTCACCCGACCCACCTTCCCCTCTATAACCAACTCACCCTGCTCACCCCCTGTCGCGCGACGCAAAAGCAGCGCTCACCCATTGCTCACCTGAGTGACACCCACCCGACTATCGGCCGCGTTCAAGCAACACGCCGGTGAGTTAGTAGTTGGGTGGGTGACCACCAGCGAATCCTCACTGTTGTATGTTTTTTTCTATTTTTCTTTTTGCATCAAATCTTGTAGTTCAATGAGTTTTGCTGCCCAGGTGGGAATTCAGGCTGAGATTCATCCCTGTCTTGATAAAATTGTAACTTATTTCCTACCTTCTTTCTATCTCCCCTCTGCCTTCCAAGTAATCAGCCCTGGAGGTAACACTACCTAGGTAGCATAGACCAAAGGTTTGTCCTACTAGTATTGACTTTTGTCATAGTGACCCCTATGAAATAATCTTGTATAATGATATTGCTCATAATTTAAAGGCTTAAGAACGAATATTGTTTTGCTAGTTTCCCTTCAACTTTGACACAAGAATAGACCCATTTCGAAAAAACAATTGTGATAGTGTGGCAGAATGTGGAAACTCGCACGGGCTCTCTTTGTACGGAATCTACATGATGGGGTTCCCTTGCGAATCCTTCAAATCCCAGTTGATGTTCCATGGTGAAAGGCCGTTGGCGACCTTTTCCATGTTCTCAATCATCTCTACAATGTCCTTGTTGGACTGGATGCCCTTTGCATTTTGAGCGCCTGATGGCGAATTCCAACTGCGCAGTGTTGATGCCCAATCTTGAACAAATTTCCGACACTGTTGTTCCACTGCCGAGTGTCGCTGCTTGACGTATTCACGCCATTCACCCGAAAAGCCCTGTTTACTGTAAGGGGCTTTGGGATTTCTATATCCCAGGATCCCACCGATCTGAGCGTAATTAGCCGGTTTTCTTTTTGCTTTTTCGTGAATTTGGAGGCCCACGTTTTGCAGCTTGCTGTAACAGAGTTTTCTCCGCTTGCTCCCTGCGATCTCAAGTTATTATTTCATTCCAAGGTTCCTGTGTCACAAGTATTATGTGGATGAAACGCATACGTGTGATTGGCAACCCGATTGACCTGCTTCACTAGAATCTTTTGGACTTCGGGAGTCCCAAGGTACCTGATCTGTCAGTGTTCTGCTGATATTTCCAACGAAGGCTGAGACCAACTTGTAGAAGTAAATATGGGCCTTGATATATTTCAAAGCCGAGCCCCAGTCCGGCTGTTTCTTGTTTTCGGCAGCCTTGATATTCTTGTTCAAATTGGCTTTGTGGGCCTCCTCGTTTCCTTTGAAGTACTGTAGATTGTCAGATGAATGCTTCGATTGGATGAGTGAAATAGAGTTGTAACTCACATTCGCTTTCACTGCGGAGTTGATGTAGTCAGGAAGAAGAACCTTGTTGGTTTCGTATGTCAGCCGGTATTCTTGGGATTGTTAAAGGCCGAGAGTGAGAAACATACAAACTCTGCAGCATTTATCTATTTCCCTTTCTTTTTTCCCGGATATGCCTCCGCAACAAATTTATGGGCACTCCATCCATTTTTATCGTCATCATTCTTCGCCCACCAAACCTTCATGTAATCACACATTTTGATGACCCCCGTGTATCCTTGGCGAGGGTCATTGAACTCTAGTGCATTGGGATTAGAGTCAGAGTCAGAGTCACCATCCGCATCGCCCATCTCGACGTCACCGTCATCGTCAGCATCGGCCATTTCGTCGTCAGAGTCATCAGAGTCACTGTCATCGGGCAGGATATTGGATCTCTTGATTGTCATATATCTGAAGAATTGAGGTAGCTATCAAAATTTAGCTTCACGGAACATCTTCTACAGATCAAAACTGGAGGGAAGTATTGAGCAATACATACCATCTGGGCCTCAAGAACGTGTTCAGCTGACAGAAAGGCAAGAACTAGGATATTACATAACTGATAATGCAGATGGCAACACTTACCTGCATACACCGGCTTGGTTTTGCCTGGTGAGTTGGGGGTTTTGATGATTCCCAAGTCGAAATTGTTGCCGTCATTAGGCTTGATTCCGTCATATGTCACTACGATAGATGGTTGTAGCTCCTTGACCAAATCCCCCGAAGATGGGAACAATGGGAACTTGATCTGCAACCCGTCGGCCGTGAAACCCTCATATTGAGTGGCCGGACAGGAAATGTGTGAGGTTGACCATGCACACTGACGCTTGGATTCCTTTGGTGTATCCAATGCACGGCTCTTCAAACTGGTGGAATTGGGCAATGTCATGATGCCAGTCTCCGACCGCCCCGTTAGCGAGGAGAATGGGATGCTCTATCATGGTTTTGATACAGATGGAACCTGTGCTCAAAATGCGAGGCCAATGCATCCGTACTCGAACAAAGCATCTCTCTTTTTGCCCAGCACCTTCCGCTCTTTCAAAAGATTCAACCTATGTCGCTTTGCCTCTTCCAAATTAATGGTATCGTCTGCTTGTTTCCTTACCATGTCACGTAGTTCAACAGGAAGTTTGGCCAATGCTCGCTCGAGTACCATTTCTCTCTCCTCCCACCAAGTATCTCTCTGTGGCGGTACATTTGCGGAAGAAATGATTCGTATGTGCGGGTCTACCAGATAAAACACTAGCAGTTTGCGGTGACCCGGCTTAGATGGGTCCACCAACGAAAATGGCGACATGCTGTGTTGGAGCGTATTGGGGAATGTGATCAGACGACCTTCTTGAGTCGAGACCTCGCCCAGATCTTGAGTGACTGAAGTATCATCCCACGGGTCTGTGAATCCGTAAATGGGCTCAAGCCATTCATAGTGATATTGGGGGTAGGTGGTCTGTTGAATTTCAAATGGTAGCGAGCGTTGGCGGAATGCAACTTTGTGTTCGGTCACATTTTCACTGTCGTAGCAGTACATAGCTGTGGCACAAATATGTTCATTCTAAGAACCGAGGTCAGCTCCAGATCTCATTCCGATGATAAAGAAACTCACCAATTGCCCATCTAGACACCACGACTCGCCCTTGTAAGAAGGCATGTCGGGAGTCAACTCAACATTCGTCATTTTGACAATCACTTGAAATCCCTGTGCGAATTTCTGCAGATCAACGCGATCCTCCACTTCAGGGGGTGTGAAGTCTCCGGGCTCTGGGAGTATCACCGTGCAAGCATCTTCATGCGAACCAACCACCTCATAATCCCCTTCCAGAAATTCAATTTCATCGCACCGGATTCTGGCCCACTTGTTTTGAACATGTGCCAATGTTAAATTCCAAAGTGGTATCGTTTGACTCAAGACATCTTCGATGATTCAGTATAGCTCCCGGTTGTCCCAAGGAGGAAGATTGTTAATGTAGGAAGTGATATGACATCTTTCATCAACCGCCACGTCGCATGGTAGCCACTGAAATCTTCGACTGTAAGGTTTGCCCTTTTTCCAAAGTTCTGGCCAATATTTACTAAATGCCGGGTCGAGTGTTTGTTCCTCTGATGGGACTGGGATGGTAACCCCTTGCCCCTTATCTAGGCAATTTTCAACACCGATCGTCTCGTCTGGAAGAATGCGAGTTCGCCCGTAAATAACAGGACAAATTGAGGGATCAACAGGATTGAAGATTTTGGACTTTTTTTCTGGACAGAATTTTCCACCAGCTGGCTTCAGCGACCGAGATAACTCTTTTAGGGCTTTTGCAGTGGAGGTTGGTATCGCATGCGATTTGAACACCCCCGGATCCAGAGCAAACGTGAACCCGGTCTTCAGGAAATCTTGAGCTTTCCACTGGAGTTCCTTGATGATCCAGCTGCTCATCTTTGGGCTGAGATTTTCCCCGCTCGCCGTTTGTTGCAGCACGTCTTTCAAAGCCCCTTCATCAGAAATCTGTTGAGAGTGAGCCCAATAATTTCTTGGCGTGTTCTTCGAGCCTCTCATTTGACCTACCTTGTTGTACCAGTCTGGTATCTCTGTGATTTTGTTGATGATTCGCATCATTACGATATCCCGATGAACATTAAGGCGGCCAACGTCCATGCCCAATTCCTCACACCGAAGTGCGCAAGGAAACTCCCAGCTTGGGCCAAAGTTCAAGGGCACAGAAAACCCCGGAAGCTCTGAGGCTTTTTGCGAAGCCATTGAGTTATAGACAACTCGCGTACAAAATGGTCAAGTGAGCTCTAAGTGAGGTATGTGGGAATGGTGCTTCAACAAGGACATAAATTTTGGCTTTGTTTTTCATTCTCGGATAAATTCCTGTACCTTCGCGCACCGGCGATAAATGGTCCAGAAGTTGACAACTGAGAAACCAAAAATCGAGTAATCCAGCCCCCACCATGAACCATGACCGTAGCACTAAACCCCTGTTTTGACCTCCGCTGTCTATAGCGCACCCTTGTCATCCCGACCGCAAGGTTGGGTTAAAAGACCCTCACTTCGCTAGACTGTGGACAGGATTCAATATTTATTATAATGCTCTCTACATATTGCTTTCCGGAAATACGTCAACTACATACGACCACAGGGTGTGGAAAACAGGGCTTCCCGTCCGCTCAGCCGTACTTAAGCCACACGCCGGTGAGTTAGTAGTTGGGTGGGTGACCACCAGCGAATCCTCACTGTTGTATGTTTTTGTTTTTTTTTTTTTTAATATTTCTTGATCATTTTAATCATCTAAAAAAGGCCGAATTGCTCTCTCTCTCTCTCTAGAATCGTAGTTACAGAAATATGAAGCCTCGATCCATTTTTTGCAATATTTGAATGCTCCATCCAAGCTGGTGATAGGCCAACCACGAATCCACGATTGATCTCCCAGTTCTTTTGGAGAAAGGTAACTGGTGCTCAGCCCTTGGATATAGATCTCATACGACCCATGTATGGAATGAATAAAGAAGCAGGAGCGCTATTCGGTGAAGTTTTCACGCCTCTTCGCTTGCTGATTGGAGTTTTCAATACAGTCTGGATAATGAGCATCACTTTCGAATCCCAATGCTACCACTGCTAATGTCTCGCTTGGTTCCTCCCTATATCAAGGGATCTCACTTGCACGCCATATAATCCACGACACGGTCATGACTGTCCTATAGCCTCGCGAGCAGCCGCCATCTCAGCCTCAGGTGGCATATTCACAATAGCCAGGTACAGGACCTTCTGCTCGCGTAGCTTTGCAATCGGGCTGATAAGACCAATATTCCTCCCTGTAAGCAACGTTTGGCTGTTGCCAGCAACCGAGTCCGAACCCCCAGACGAAGCACTTGGTCCGAAACGCGATCCTCGAGCACCTCTAATCCCCGAGACCATCCCTCCCATACCCAGAGGTCGTCCATGGGCCGCGTGTGGTGCAGGGGAGTTGGTCCGAGAGCCATTCCCCTCGTAGGCCTGGCTGGCGTATGGGTCTGCGGGCGACCCTCGGCGTCCGAGAGGTAATCGACCACTCCCCATACCCAGGAGCTTCCCTCTGGAGATGTGGCCTCCGCTCACCAAGGCAAGCAAATCACCACTACTAGCAGGGTGCTCGGGGTCTGCATAGCGTGAGCTGAAAGTAGGCTTTGGGCCTTGTGCCAAATGGCTTTCGGGGTTTTTGGCTGCCTTTGTTGGGGTTAGTTAAGTGCTTAGAGTCATGGATATTCTGTGTCAACTTACGAATTGAGCTTGTGCTCGTTTGTCGAAGTACCCGTTCACGAATTCCATCTTTTTCTTGGTCTTCGAGATCTTCTTCGCTGCATCCTGGTCTGAAGCCAGCTCGTCGAGACCTGGGAAGATCAATGGCGCAACTTCGGGGAAGATATTGCCATAGGTCTTGCCATCCGATGACTTGAATTTGTGACGCAGGCGGCTTAGCATGTCTGAGCCCGCATCGGAGGATTTGAAGACCATCGAAGTCATGTCTAGTGTAGTTGAAGGCTGATCCGCCAACTCAGAGTTCCAGGTCATCACTAAACAGAAAAGGCCACGGGGTTGGAAGAGCTCCTTGTTCATTTTGTCAAAAAAGTTGTTTGTTCTAGATCCGGTAAGTCTTCCGGTGATATGACCATCTGGAGAATCGACTTACCTCCTCGTGCCATCAACGGCAATTGCAACATCTGTCGCTATCTGAATGGCAATTGAGACAGCGAGTCCTGTGACACTGGGCATGAACATCGTCCCAATGGATGCCAAGTTGATACAATTCAGCCATTTTGCTCCCTGGCATGACTTCTCGGCTGTGTCGAGGAATTCAAGGAACATATGCTGGTCGATAGAAAATGCAGCAAGATCTGGTGCGTATGCACGAATGAATCCGCGCTTGCGCTGCTTGGGCCTTCGCTGGGGCAAAAGGATTGGCGCGGGGAGCTTGGGAACTCCATCACTTGGATATGGGGGAGGGGGATATTCAGACGTGAATCGATGGATCGCTGCGTCAATGGCTTCTTCGGAAGAATCAGGCTGTGCATGGTTCGGATCGGCTTCTTGGCATCGAAGCTCGTCTTGGGTCTCGTCAAGCTCCCATTGCTCTTCCAGAGAATCAATGGCGGTCCTCGTCTCGTTGGGCGGTTCGCTATCGCGACGGTTGTCGACAGCTGAACTGGGATCTTGTTGGGTGTTGTCTTCCCTTGTGTGGGATTGCGAGCCCTCTTTCTTTGCCTTATGTGCCGAGATGGACTCTGATATGAGACCAATACCGGCTGCTAGGCCTTTCACGGCCTTTTGTCCGACAAATGCCATTGGATTTGGGACAATAGGGGACTTCCGAAGAGTAGAAGACCAGACTTAGAAGTTGAAAGCAGTAAGCCCTCTGGTGTCTTAGAAGTGTAGGGGTGTCTTATTGTAGGTATAGCGTCCGTAGGCTTTCGAGCAGTTCCAAGTTATATGGAATTTGAACAGTCTTCCAGTCGCACAGCATGCCAAATAGGGTGTCCATCGCGTCAACTAAATATGCCAATGGGAATGGCCCCCACGGCCCCCGGGATCGTCACTGGTCAGCACGGGCTAAAGCGCTAAGCATTTTGCATTTACGCTACGTATTTCGCGGAATATACACAGCCACTTGGCTCGCAACTTCGCCCATCGCATCCTGAATTCCCGCTTTGGTCTGCGATTGTGACAAGATACCTAGGTATAATATGGCTCTGGGGGTGACCTCAAGGGTATACTCGTAGCCTAGTGCGTCGTGTTGGGCATACCTAGGTATATCTGACCTCAAAGATAGTGGTCGGGAAACCCCCGTGGACCCGTGGACCACATCAGTGCTTACCTGCCCGGCACTTTGACATCGTGGCGCAGATCGACATGATCCAGGAGTCAGGACTCTGTTCCGGTGTCAGCGAAAAAAAAAAAAAATCCACGCACTTTGATCTCATGATCCCACATGGTCCGCCTAGGCCTCGAGAGGTATCATAGATTGCCCAGGTGGACACACTTTGGAAAAAGTGAAGAGTGTCTATATCTCTTCAAGGCTGTTGGTCAAGCCCACCATCGACCGCTGATGCACCCATGGATTGCTTCGGCCGTATACATGAGCGGGCGCAAACTTGAAAAGTAGTCGAATGGTGCGATCAAAGAAACGTGAAGCCCTCAGATTTATCCGATCATGACAGCGAAAGGTCTTTCAACTGGTTCTTATACTGGACCAACCCGCCCTCGAACAGAAGGGCAATCCCCAAATTTGAGATCTACCAGTCATTGCTCTAGTGATCTGCACCGAGAGTCCGAAGCATTATTTGTCAATGCTTCATCCCAAGGATCAGAGGATCATCCGATACACCCATTTTGGCTTGTCGACCTTGACCTTTTAGTGGCTTCCTCAGTGTCTAGATCTTTTCTCGAAATTTTCTATTCAGGATCCAATTGGGGGATCTTCCTTTCCGTGACTGTGAAACTTGGTGTTGATGAGCAGTCCCATATCCTCTACCGTGGGGTGCGGTGGCTCTCTGGATATTAGACAAAGTTGTTCTACAGGGTGTGCCACGGGTGCTTTCCAAGGTTATCTCTAGAAATGAGCTACTGCTCCTGGTGGACTGGATGCGATGTGGCTGCCCAGATGGGTCCCAATGAAGTTTGATATATAGGCAGAACTACTGTAGAGAAACGGACAGTGTGACAATGTGTTCATGAAGCGTAAGTCTTGACGATCAAACATAGCAGTGGCAAGACCAGGAGTTAACTAGAACCAAAATAAAGGTGACAGAGCTAGGTGAGATGTGACCTGCGTCCGGACTGTATCTTGCCACAGTTGATCGCATCATATTCACTTTTGCAGGATTGCTTAGACCTTGGTCTCCTTGAGGCCATCCTTCCAGATAATGGCGTAGGGGGTGACACCATCCTCACGGAAGTCAATCAGGACGTATCTATTAAAATTGTCAGTGCATGCCCAAAGACCGGGAAAGATTAAGGGGTACTCACTGGCCATCGGGGCTGTGGCTCTCACCGACCATGAAGTCATAGTTGTCGTAGTTGGCGCTGAGGGCCTTGAGGGCACCAGGGGCAGCGGCCTTCCATGCGGCGTGCTCCTCGGGGGTCTGGATCTCAACGAGGTACTTTTGGAGTCTCTTGAGGTAGGCTGGGAACAAAATTGTCAGCGAAATACGTCTAGGAATACTCCCTTCCCCCACTGCGGGGTTAAGGGGGTTGAGAAATGTCTTGATGAGTGCAAGACGATGCATTGACATACCCTTGAGGCCGGACTTGAAGGCCTCCTTGGAGGGACGGAACTCGTCCTTCAGCCAGTTGAGACGGAACTGATCCTCGATATCGTGGACCATGACCATCTCGACCTCACCACCACCGGACTCCTCAACATCCTCAGCGGAGGGGTTGGCACCCTCGAGCTGGAAGTTATCGCCACCGACGGGACGGCTGTACTTGCGGACGTCGCACTCCCAAAGGATGGGGGAGATGGGGCTGGGCTTAAGGTTGAAGGTGTCGGAGACAAGCTCGTCACCGGTGAAGGCGTCCTATATTTTCTGGTCAGATTCAATTCACAAAATCCTTCCTCGGAGCGAAAAGAGGGGCAATCAAGGCCAAGGCTGGTGGGCCGTTGAGGGATTGCAAAGCAGTAGCACACTTACAGTGTAGATAATCATTTTGAAGGGATTAAAGCTTTTGGGGGAATAAAAGAAGAAAGAAAGAGAGGCTGGAGAAAGGAAAGAAAAAAAAAGAGAAAAAAACAGAGAGATTTTCTTAGATTTTATCTAAGTGGGGGGACTGACCCGGAGAGAAGGGGGGGGGGTTTGCCTAGTTTGCTCGCCACAGAGGCTAGAGCGTTAGACGGCTACTACTTTGAGCAATATGGCTTCTACATTCTATAGTCCAGGAAGATTTCTTGCAGATGCTCAAATATATCAATAGCTTTGCATTTGTAGTGAATTCTCCAGTACTCATACTGCACACAATTGAAGTCGAGCATACCTGTACATACTCCGCGCACCGGGGCAGAATCTTCGAACATTTGCCGCCCTCCGATTGGTGCATCGCCCGTCAACCCTCGGTGCCTAAGGCCGAAATGCGTTCAATTGGAGAATACCATACCGAACGGTATTTAACCGCCTCACCACTGCAAAGGTATACAAATACCGTCTCGTCACGATCACCACGCCACCTGGGCCGCCGCCTCCGGTTTCATCATCTCCTGATTCGGGTTATCTGAATCGTCTTCGTATCCTCTCCTTCATCTTTAATCAGATCCCTTACCTGTTTCCCCCGCAGAGATATTCCGGGTGCTTTGCAATTAATTTCTTCGTGGTGCCTGCTACCCGTCAGCTTCCGGACTCGGCGTGGTAGGCAGTTACAAGCGTTCTCTTTTTCTTATCCCCCATCCTGTTTTCTCACCCTCCTTTGATACTCCTTATAATATTTTTTCTTCCTACATCCTTATTGCTACTTTAACCAAAACGATCTCCTCTCCGCCATCATGGCCGTCAACGCATCCGTCGCGTTTGACCTCCCTCCGCTCCCGACGTACACAATGAGACCGCGGGAGAATCTCATCGCCGCCATTCCCGATAACATACTATCGCTAATTTTGCCTATCGTCGCGTACTGGGGCTTATCCATGATCTACCACTACCTGGATGTCAATGATTATTTTGTCCAATACCGCCTCCACACCCCGGCCGAGGTCTTGAAGCGAAACAAAGTTAGCCGATGGGAAGTGGTTCGCGACGTCGTTCTGCAACAGATCATTCAGACATTCGCCGGCTTGGTCTTCCTCTGGTTTGACGCCGAAGAAACGGTGGGACGCGAAGGCTATGATGTCGCTGTTTGGGCGCAGCGGCTACGCATACTCCAAAAGGCCATCCCGTCATTGTTGACACTTGTTGGAGTGGATGCGGCGGGCCTTGCGAAGTCCGTCGCCCAGAACGGCCACACAATGCTGGCCGGAGCAATTGCCGGTGGATCTTATCCCGGGGTGACCCAATCTCTGGTCCTTGACACCGGGGCCACGGCTGTGGTGCCCGCTTTCACGGGATGGGAGCTTGCCGCTGCGGGCTTCATCTATTGGTACTTCGTCCCGGCCCTGCAGTTCATGTTGGCGATTTCCATTGTCGACACCTGGCAGTACTTCCTTCACCGAGCTATGCACCTGAACCGCTGGCTCTATGGTATGTTTGACTTCGCGACCGCTGATCGTTTCGATTCTGACCATTTCAGTGACCTTCCATTCTCGTCATCATCGTCTCTACGTTCCTTACGCCTTTGGTGCTCTTTACAACCACCCTTTCGAGGGTTTCCTTTTGGATACTGCCGGAACCGGAATCGGGTTCTTGGTTTCCGGAATGACCACTCGTCAGGCGATGTGGTTCTTCACACTATCCACCATCAAGACCGTCGATGACCACTGTGGCTATGAGTTCCCCTGGGATCCTTTGCAGCACTTTACATCCAACAATGCGGCTTACCACGACATCCACCACCAAAGCTGGGGTATCAAGACCAACTTCTCCCAGCCTTTCTTCATCTTTTGGGATCGCATGCTCGGCACCCAATGGAATGGCGATGTTTCCCAGCGCTATGAACGCGCGCGTGAAAATGCGCAGAAACAAGTGGATCTCGACGCCGCCAAGGCAGCTGAAGTCGCTCCAACTGTGACGGTCAAAGAGGAACGTGAGCATGAGCGAGTGGTAGTATCGACAGAGGGCCCCGCCACGCGCACTCGGCTTCGTCGCAAGACGGTCGATAGTCTCAAGGGCCCTAGCCATGGGGTACCCGGGAGTGTCCTCCACAACTAAAGCTCTAATGAAACGACCCTGAAAATGCGCCCATTTCTTCATGCATCCCCGAATCCGTCCTTGGAGCTGCTGGCCGTCTCCGCCAGACCGTGGGGCTTCCCGTCATCTTTCTTTTTGTAAATGGGACAAGGTGCCCAGTGTATTAATACTCCACGATGTGCCAGTCAATGCTTTGTACATGGTTTTGGTCTCTGGCCTACTGTCAATAATGTCTATTCATCTTTTCTATCCACGTGTTATGAGTACTTGCTAATTGACAACTGACTTGATTTGCGACTATGATAAATCGTACTTGTTTTTCTTTGTTTCATTCCTCCTTTTTTGTCTTTTTTTGTTCTTTTTGCGTTTTTTTGCTTTCTCTTCTCTGTAAAATCAAACCTGACAGCACCCATGCATTCAAACCTTGGAAGCAAACAATCGTCGGACTCGACACACGGTTACCCAACGAACCAGCGACATCAAAACAAAACAGACAAACTCCAGTGATACAAAGGAAAGTGTGCAAAGACACTTCAAGAAACTACTAACCTCGTTGTGAATCACGCTGTGACCCATCTGCGTGACAGACCAGGCTCCAGGTGGTCATCGCAGTAGCCAGACTGTCAGGCGTATGGATACTACCAGACTCCCGATCCTCGCCCTCGCCCTCGTCGTCGCTCAAATCACGCGGGTTCACTTCGTAGGGATGTTCTGGCATATTCAGATACAAATCGATTATTTCTTCCACCTCGTCTACCTCTGACGATGCCTTGCTGGCAGACTCTGAAGCCGTGCCTGGTTCATGATCAACGCTATTACCGAATCTTTCATGCTCTCCGTAAGAATATTCCTGAAGTCGCGTAGAACGCTCCGGATGCTCCAGACGCCCCGAGCCTTGATTCGTTGAAGAGCGCACCTGATCCCGCGAGTAATTCGACGAGATATTCGACGTCTTTCTCCCGGTCTGCCCTTCGTCGCCATTGTCAGTATGCTTGCGGCTTACTGATGATGGCTTGGTTACGTACCGTTCCGGGCGGCGTTGCTCATAACCCGGCGTCTGGGTAGCCTGGTCGTTCATGCTGCGGGCAGCTTTACGCTCGCCGCCCTTGTACTTCTCGTCGCCAGTTTCGCTAGTTTCGCTGCGATGGTGGCGCTTCCTGAACTGGATCCCAGATGCCTTCCGTCTCTGCGCGCCCTCCTTCGGGTCATTGTACCATACTTTTCTGCAATCCTTCCGCGCCTTTTTCAGGATATACCCGCACTCGCTGGAAACGGAGTGGACCCTGTCCACTTGATCCGGGAACTTATTGATGCAGCAGTCAACAAAACGCATCAGTCGGCAAGGGGTGTGGTCCTTATGGGTTTGGGTACGAGATACCATCGTGATGCGCAAGTTGCACAGTGCCTTGATATCGGTCGCCACTCTGGCAAGCATGCACCCTTCACAGCAATTGGCCTGGAAAGTCCAGAACGCAGTGTTCTCTTTCCGCGGCTGCTTTGGTTTATGCCACATGCCTCGGATACCGTTTAGTTGCCGCACAATCTCGTATGAAAGGTCATCCATAAGATCTCGGTGTGCGAGAAAATACCTGAGGTGGTAGCCCACCTCGCACTTCAATAGATAGAACAAATCATCCATTAAATCATCGTTGAGGCCTGAGTGTCCCTCGCACAAGTTGTTGCCCTTCCGTGAGAAGCGATCACGGCGCAGGTCTTTTGATAGCTCACTAATGAGTTGCTTGCACAACTCCTCCGTTCTCCCTCCTTTGATTTTACCTAGTTTGAAGATATCTGTCAGTTGAATCAATTCATTTTTCCGCAGGTCGTCCACGGGGAATGTTTCCTTTTCGAGTCCAAGTCGTCGGAGGATTGGCTCTTTACCTTTCTCGTGTCGGCCACTGTCCTTGGTCATGGTGTATTTAGTTAGTAGAGAGATGAACTGGGGTAGTTTTGAATACAGATACAGTACTGTCAGAACAAGTGCAGTTGCGCTGATGAGAGGTCCTATCTTGGCGAATAGATGTATATAAAGTCGTGTTTGTTGTGAGCTTTGAGATTGTTGCAATGGCTGTCCAGGATGTTGTGTTCTGTCTGAGAGAATCAACGAGGATGAGAGGCATTTTATATTCACCGTTTGGGTCGTGCCTGAGTTCAGTCTTTGAAGTGCCTTTGGTTGTTGAAGACTCCAGAGTAAAGCCATTGAGTCCTTCCCATTGTCATTTCCCTTGTTTTCCGCGATTCTCATTGGGCCATCTAAGCCTATTGTTCCCAGACAAAGTCTATTGAAGGTCTCCAAGACCTCTCTATTGTTGCGAGAACAAAGAGATTATCTCTCCCCATTGGCCAGCCCTCAATAGTAAATGCAATAGTCTCATCGCTCTTTCTTCTATTGTCTCGCTCTTTTATCTCAAGAGACATCCGTTCACTCTCATATAATGGACTTGATTCCTCTCTTGTCTCATATCCTCAAACTTCAAATCACCATGGGAGCCCTTCTTTCAACCCCAAGCCCGCAGCAGCCCGACGCTCCGATCAAACCAAACCAACAATGTCGTGGACTCTTCAATCGACGCAACGGTGACAACATTCCTGAATATCTCCATCCTCCCAGTCCATCCCAATACGTGACTGTCTTTTTCAACTGGACTGACCGTATGCACAATGACGAACAACTGATGGCACTCGTAGCCGCTCGAATCAAAGCCAGAGATGGGATTATCACGCCCGAGCCCGTTCATCACGATCTACGCTGGTGCATGTCGTTGCGCGTTCCGAAACACCACGAGGCTACCGACGTTTCGATCGCCGACTGTGCAAAGTGCGTCGCCGACTGGATTCGACAACAGATCATCTACCAAGGGGTCAACATTGACCGAGATTACCTCTTCCGCTCTTCGCACCTTCCGGCATGGAAGGGGTGAGCACTTCTCCATCCTTCTCCTGCGCATTTGCTAAGTTGTCAATAGGTCCAATGTTGAACCGCGGCTCCCTTCAAATGCATCACACCGTCGACACACCCGACGAGGCTCTTGGGACAGAATGCGTCCTCGGCCTGGCCAATCTGGGATGATTAGACCACGATCCTCGCTGTTCTGCGCTGATATATTCCCCGAGTTTTTCCTCGGGTTGTCCTCTTGAGGTCTGACACTGCCTCTATGTTCATTTTCCTGCGTCGCCATTTCTCAAGTCAACTGTCAACATGCTGTTAGCGCTGGCCGTTGTGATCAAAGCCGGTAATGATTCTCCTGGCAATAATCTGCCAAAATGTCAGCCTCAAGACTATTAATCAACCAATATCTATCAAACCCATATCAACTCGGCGTAGGGCATTCTGCAAAATCTATAATAACCTCGTATCAACACTGTAGTCGAATCACATGTAGAAGGTGCGGTGGGCTAAAGTATCACATGACAGACACAGCTAGGCCTCAGCTTATTCTTTTGTCTCGCCTTTTCCTTCTGTGAAACCTCCCACAAACTGTGCCACAATGACCTGCCAGGGCGAGGAGGGTACACCGTTGCCCTACACTGCGTCGCCGATCAGATTACTATGGGGCGACCTATGTCTATTCGTGAGCCTCATCGGACACTTGCCAGGGATTTTCATACCCCTGCATCTATGTCGCACCGGTCCCCTAGATGAATTTTACCCCTCGGTTCACAATATATTCATCGTGGCAGTTCATTTGTTGTTAGCGGTGTATCAACTGTCTTTCCTGATATCGCTCCCGCTGATGGTTTTGTGCATGGTTCCTGCATTGTGGATCCTTGCCTATCTTGCCATCGGACTAGGACTCAGCTACGGAGCTGTGATGCTGTTCTTAAATGGCTTTGAGCAAGTTTTGGTTTCAAAAGTCCCGGTGGCCGAACGACCAGGGCATGAGCGGGAACGTTGGCTGTATATCAACGGGATCGCTGCCGGGCACCGGTGGGTCCAAATGAACATCGATCAACTGTCTTACACATTTGGTCGAAGGGTGACGGGAGTTCACAATCGCACGTAAGTTGATCAACTATCCGACCTCAGTCTCTTCTACGGTGGCTAGAAACTAACTTGACATATCAAGTGCTGGGATTGTGTTCGATCTGATTGAATGTCTGATCCAGAGAGACTTCTCTTTTGCCACTAGCGATATACGAAGATCGTATGCATTGGTCAAGAAAGCACTGCTAGATCCGGAATGCGACAAAGTCGTTCTTCTACTTCATAGTCAAGGCGGGATTGAAGGTGGACTTGTCATCGACTGGCTTTTGGACGAACTACCGCATGATCTCCTTCGTCACTTGGAGGTATACACCTTTGGGAATGCAGCCAACCATTTCAATAATCCCCGCTGGACAAAGCTGGCAAGGCCAGAATCGGTACAAACGCCTGATTTAGTGCACCAGTTTGGTCAATCCATTGGTCACATTGAGCATTATGCCAATGCAGGCGACATCGTGGCTCTAGGAGGTGTACTCCACTTTGTGGATATCCCAAATCGATACATGGGTCGGCTTTTCGTTCGTCCAAACTCAGGTCACTTACTCAACATGCATTACTTGAGTACCATGTTTACGCTTGGCCCCGACATGAAGGTCCTGGAGTCAAATCCATTCATGGATATGGAAGTCGAGCCATGGGCCACGGCGGGGATCAACGGATTCTCTGGCCCACCACAGAGAGTAAGATATAGACCAACTGTAGCCCGAGATGAGGCGTTTCTTCCCGCCGCTCTGAGTCTGCAACGATTCCAGCCAAATGGCACACACCGAGTGCTGCGTGTGAAAGATTTCAGTCGGCTCTGGCAATATAGAAATGGAGGATCTCCCCGAGAATGCCGTCCAACAGATCAATACGATCATTAACGTTGTCTTTGATTAGCTATTATACGATCAAATGTGAGCAACACGATTGAACATAATCAACCATTAACCCAGATGCCCTCCACCATTACATCCACATCCGGATACTTGTATCTATACTCCCGACGGCAATAACATGTGAAGTCCCCTGCGCAGAACGTATGCTAGGTCCCCATCGAATGGAAGTCAAGAATCTAGATGAACCAACAATGGTCTTCACCAATCGTCCCTCGTTAGATAGATCCCAACATCGTATTGTTCGATCATCACCAACGCTAATCAGGAACTTGCCTTGAGGATGGAAACCGAGCCCCCTCACCCAAGTATCATGACCTTCAAGGGTCTTGATCAATCTCCCTCTCTCATTCCATAACTTGATGCTTTTGTCTCGCGACCCAGTTGCCACAAAGACTTCTCGTCCGGACAGTTTCGTCGACCCCAACACAGCCATATGAGCATGACTTGACCGAGGCGCAACTGCGCAGCACTCGACTGGGCCCGCATGGCCAATCATTTGGGCCGTAATTTCTCCCGAGGAGACATCCCATATGTGAGCCATTCGATCATTGCCAGCAGACACCACCAAGCCACCATCCAAAGACACCGAAATATCTCTGATCCAATCTCCTTGTGAATCAATGGTTTTGAGACAATATCCGGTGATGATATCCCATATTCGAATCGAACCGTCTCGACCAGCTGATACTAGGTTCCCACTGGGCAAGAACCGCACTGCGGAGATTGAGTGATCATGGCCACATAACGTGCGCACATTGATGTACTTATTGCTCGGATCCCAGATCTTGATAGTCAGATCGTTCGAGCACGATGCTAGTCGTGTATGATCATGTGGGCCTCCATAATCCACCCCCGTAACAGGCAATCTGTGTCCCCTGAGAGTCCGTTCTAACTGGCCGTGCTCCCAGTCCCAAATCTTGACAGTGCAGTCTTCCGACCCGGAGGCCAGAGATGAATGGATTGGGTGAAAAGCTACACAAGTGACTTGCTTTTGGTGAGATTGCAATTCATGCCTTGGTTCTCCATCAGGTAGCCAGTTGACGGGGTCCTCGTGCGGATGACTGGCTGCCGCAGAGTGGAGTTTTGTTTCTAGATCGGCGACCTTGGACTCCAGTTCAAATATCTGTTGTAATTAGTGCTGCACATGAGGGCGGGAGATAAAAACGTACTCGTTTTTGTAGTCGCATCACTGAAGTCCACTTCCGCTCAAGGATTCCCTCGTACTTCGTTCGTGTGATGTCGTCGAAGTTCTCACCAACTGATAGCTCATCTTGTAAGATCCCTGTGCTTCTGACATTTATAGATGACAAGTATGCGATGAGAGACTTGTGCCTATAGGATATTAGACTACCGTGGTGGTTGAATGGATCTAGAATTTAACACCTACAGCTCCCCTGCTTGTCTTGCTGTGAGTGCTGGGCGCATGATCTCGAACGTGGTTGAGTGTTTTGATCAACGACGCGTCCCAGTCACTACATAGCAAGGTGAGTATAGAGTATGGCCCCTTGCGGTTGCACAGGGTGATCTTGGGGTGATCGGTTACCCAAGTGATATTCGTACGGGTAGGATAAACTCGCCAGGGTCATGAGAACCCGCCCTAGCACAGGTGAGTTCAGGAACACAAGACATCAAAACGGCCAAGTGGAAGACAATTTTTGGTGGGGATGGTTGGAACCTTGGAAATCAATCCAGATGCAGGCCCTGGTATCAACGAATCATCCTCTCCGAGTGCATCAAATTATAGTCATAAAAAGCAACGCCCATCGCCATCAATGCAAGTGGAACAAGTTACAAATGATATCACCCTCTGCCCTTCTTCTTTTCCTTCTTCTTCTTTTCCGGGCCGGATCCTGAGGGCTCGCCGCCGCCCATACCGCCCATACCACCCATGCCGCCTAATCCACCGAGCATGTTACCCAGTCCACCCATGCCACCCATTTGGCTCATCATCTGCGCCATATTTCCCATGTCGGGCATTTGCGGCATGCCAGGTTGGCCCTGCATACCCTGCATTTCGGCCATGGCATCCTTCAATGGGTTGTCACTGACGCCACCACCGCTGTAAGCAGGCGAGTGAATGGGGAGGATCTTTCCAATCTTCCAGCCACGCGGAGCAGCTGGGGCTTCAGGCAGCTTCTCGGGCATAGGCAAGCCACGAATCCGTAAACGGTACGGCGATTGGTCGGTGGTCGGGTTAGCCTTCAAAAACTGTGCGACGAGAATATAAAGGTGATGTTCTGAATTACAATATCAGTTCTGTGCCACTGCGCAATGAGTTCACATCGAGCCACGTACTATTCTTGATCTTGGAGTTCACCAATTGGCCATTTTCATTCTTCAACTGAACGCGCACTCGGCCAGGGTTGGCCCAGTCCTTGGGGTGCAGCTTCTCGGGCTCCAAGCCCGCATTCAAGCCTAGCATTTGGACCGCATCAACGATGTCTCTGGCAAGAGGGTTTTCCACCGCGAGCTCCGCGCCGACCTTGCGGCCTTCGGCGCGAGTTCGTGTCTTATCAAAGTAGACCGGGTACAGGCATTGGAAGTGCTTGGGAATCTCGCGCTGAGGTTCGGGTGCGGGCATCGTCGGCATGGGCATCTGTTGGGGTTGAGGCGCCGGGGCGGCCTTGCTTGGGATGTTTGCGGGTGAGATGATGGCATTGCGAGGAAGTTCATCATCTGAGTCGAAGGAGGGGGCGACCTCCTCGGGGTCGGAGTCGGAGACTTCTTCAATTTGGGCGTGATGCGACATTGTGGCTGTGGAATGGAGGGGATGTCTGGGGAAGCGTGTGGCCAAGTAGCGGCGGAATGGGCAGAATGTGTGTGCGGGCGGTGGGGCGCTAGCCAGTTGGTGACCTTGGGAGCAGCTGTTGACAGCTATTTTTTTACATAGAATTTGCTTCTCTTGATATATTGCTGGACATTAGATAAACCTCGAAAACTAGTTGGTCTTCGTCTAGGGATTTCATTCCATGACTTTCCAATCGATCGTCGTGAAGCGTGAAGAGTACGAGGCACAATTGCGTTTCGAAAATATAGTTCCAAAATAGGAAACAGACCATGCCAGAACTGAACCTGTCAGATGTACTGATGGTCCAAGCATCTCGTGGTGATATTGTGACCCAATGGAATCAGCATGAGCCGTTTAGCCCTTCTCGGGTCCCTTCTCCCAATCCGACCAGATAGGACCACCTGCAACCCCACGGCTAATTGGCGCCTTGGGGTCCAAGTCGCCCCCCGGCGAATCAAAGTCTCGGCTTCATCGGCACAACACACAGCCCCGCAGAATTCATTACCTCGGGTGCCGTCCTAGATCACTTGCTATATAAGGATCTTCATTTCCTCTGTTCCCTTCTCATTCATACAGTACTCACAACGGTTCTGCAAACTTCATTATGACTGGTAAGTCACATAAGTCTGCTTCAATGCGGGTCTGACCTGTTCAATGGCAGGAATCAAGAGCTCTGTTCTCCACCGGGATACCCGTTTTATCCCCACCAAGGCTGTTGGAGGCAAGGGCAGCTATATCTTTTTGGAAGATGGGACCAAGTTTCTTGACTCAACGGGTGGTGCTGCGGTGTCATGTCTAGGACATGGGAACGAGCAAGTCCTGGACATCATCAGACAACAGATGGATCAATTGAGCTACTGCCATTCCGCATTCTTCGGGACCCAGGTTTCTGAAGATCTTGCCCAACTCCTGGTGGACTCTACAGGCGGAAAGCTTTCGAAGCTTTTCGTTGTGAGCTCAGGTAAGTGAAAGTTTCGAGGCACACTAGCTGATCAAAGACAAATTTTGACATTGCAATCCCCAGGATCTGAGGCCGTTGAGGCGGCTCTGAAGTTGGCACGCCAATATTTCCTAGAACTTCCTACCCCTCAGCCTGAGCGTTATCGCTTCATAGGTCGTCTTCCCTCGTACCACGGCACTACCTTGGGTGCTTTGTCTGCTGGTGGCCATGTGCAACGCCGGGAGCCATTTGAACCTTTGCTTTCGAAAAACACATCACACGTTTCACCTTGCTATGCCTATCGAGGCAAGTTGGATGGGGAGTCCGATGCAGATTACGTGAACCGCCTTGCTGCTGAGCTTGATGCCGAGTTCCAGCGAGTTGGCCCTGAGACCGTCTGTGCATTCATTGCAGAACCTGTTGTCGGCGCGGTAATGTCCCCCGTCCCAAGGATTAAAAAACAACCTCTCACTTATTCTGGCAGGCACTTGGCTGCGTTCCAGCCGTACCGGGATACTTCCCCGCAATGAAAGCCGTCTGCGAGAAATACGGTGCTCTTTTCATTCTTGATGAGATCATGAGCGGTATGGGCCGCTGCGGAACGCTCCACGCATGGGAGCAAGAAGATGTCGTACCCGACATTCAGACCATCGGTAAAGGATTGGGTGGTGGCTATGCCCCTGTCTCCGGTCTCCTGATTGGTGATTCAGTTGTCCAGACTATGGACAAGGGCACTGGTGTGTTCCGACACGGACAGACGTACCAGGGCCACCCTATCTCATGTGCTGCTGCGTTTGCTGTACAAAAGACGATTCAAGAACAGTCTCTTTTGGAAAACGTCAGAACCATGGGAGCCTACCTTGAGTCAGAATTAAGAAAGAAATTCGAGGATCACCCTCATGTGGGTGATATTCGTGGAAAGGGCCTGTTCTGGGGGGTAAGTCGCAATCCCTGTACCTCTGTAGTCGCTGAAGGCAATACTTACTCGACGTCTACAGCTCGAATTCGTCAAAGATAAAGCCACCAAGGAGCCATTTGATCCGAAGGATCGTCTTTCTTTCCTGATTCAGGAAAAAGGGCTGGAGCCCAAACACAGTGTTTCGCTGTACGGCAGCTCGGGCACTGTGGATGGAATCAGAGGGGATCATTTGGTGCTCGCGCCACCATATATTGTTTCCAAGGAAGAGATCGACATTCTCGTCAATACGCTGTCTAACGTTCTGGAGGAAATCTTTGCTACTTTTTAGATACTGTGTCTGAAGACATTTTTTTCCATCGATCTAGTAGATTGGTGCTACACGCTATACGAAACAAATATCTGTGTCTTTTGAAAGAGCTCGCTTGCGCGATCAACGTTCCAAGTTTGCAGAACATGTCAGAACTAAATATAGGGATAACCTTGAATCGCAGGAGTTGATGGTATGTTTCGCTATTTTAAAAGTACATGGGTTGAATCAGGCCTCCTGTTCAAGAACAGCCGCCTTCTTCCTGGCAGCCAATTCAAAGGTTCCTTTACTGTTGGTGGAACCATTGGTAACTGCATCCCGAGAAATCGAGGTCTCTGCCCACAGGCCTGTAGCTGTTTCGATGGCATGCTCCACGACAACACGGATACGGTCTCGCAGGACAGCGTTGGAACATTCAACCTCCAAGTCCTCGAGCCAAACACGGGCAACATGCTTGTCGACTTTGACCTCAATGCCAGGTACCGGGAGACCCATTGTAATGAGACGGTTCAGCTCCGCTGCTTCGATATCAGAGAATCTCTCATCGTTGATTTCTTCTCCATCAGTCTGAGGACCAAGTGCTAGATCAGTTGGTACACGAGGACGCTCAATTGGACCGATGTTGTCACCGCCAAATTGGGCTTCCAGCATCATGAGCAGGCGAGCAACACGTTCTTGTGGTGAGACATGGTGGTGAAGGTTCGGAAGAGATGGGATATCTGTGTCGTCACCATCGTGATGGTGATGGTGTTGCTTGTCTTTGGCGGATTCTGTCATTTAAGTAAGCATTTGAAGTTCAGCAATAGAACAAGGCATCTTACGCTTCACCGAAGCTGGGCTGCTCTCGACTGTGAGCAAGACAGCCATTACGGCATCCGCAACCCCGTCGTTCATCATGTTTCCTTCCCACTCCAACTCAACCTCGCGTGTGCGCGAGTGATGGCGAAGGTACACACAACCCATGACGAGGAATGTATGTGTCACATCCGCGGGAATTTCATCTTCGGCATCCTCTTGTTTTGTCGTACCATCCGTTTCCATACTCTCGTCCGTCTTGCCCCCCTCAAGTTTTTGCGCCTCCTTACTGCTGCCGACCTCTTCGATGGCCCCAAATGTTCCCTCAAGGGCCCATTTGATCAGTTCCATACTTGCGGAGCTGAGAGTGATATGCTGCTTGCAAGTGATGGTTGTGGTCGTTAGTCCAGCATACTCCTGTAGATCATCAGGGGCCATCAATGACAGGTTGAACCCATTTTGGACTAGAACACCAGCCATAAGGTGAGCATCGTCCTCCTCGGAAGGCGGTGCAAGTTCAGCAAGCTTGCCGACAACTTTGGCAATCTTATCCTTTTTGAAAGGGATGCGAACCTCGTCGCAGTTGGCCGGTGTATAAACCTTGACTTTGACGGTTTTGTCCGCGTTGAGACTCAGCAACTTTGACTTCAGTCTCATCATTTGATGCTTTTCGCCGTGTACAAGAATCTGCCGGAGTTAGTGAAGGCTCTTGCTACAATAGTACAGGTAAACTAGACTCACCACTACGGGCGCAGCAACCTCCTCGATAAATGTGCGGTTCTCGACACCATCAACGTGAGCCGCAAAGCTGACTTCATCAACTGTACATCGGCGAGGAATCATGACCTTCTGGTCTTCGTCGTTGGCTCCAGGAACGCGACCACGGCCATGCCCAGTTGAAACCTTCGACATCACAGCAGGAATCTGGTCAGGCTCGTTGAGCAGCTGTTTGGCCATAGTTCCCTCGACACTGTAGCCGGTCATAACGATACCATTGCGATCGCTAGGTGCCCATCGTTCAAGCAACTCACGGCTCGTACCAGTCTGCAGCATACCAGGAGACGCAAGCATCACACATCCACCCACGTCATCAAAGCGTTCCAGACTTCGGAGACTTCGAACGAATCGGAAGTCCCACGGACCAACGCTCACGCTCTTGTTGCCGCTTGCTTCGGCTTCGGCCATGCGCTGCCGGAAAAGACGCTTGATATTGTCGTTCATAGCGCCAATATACGTCTGATATACGACCATACAGCGTCTTGCCATATTTCCAATGTAGTAAATAGGGAATTTCTGTAGCTCTGGATGGGTTTCCCAGTACTCATCCAGAATCAAAAGCAGCTCCTGGGCACGACCGAGAGCGAACACAGGCATCAGAACACGGCCGCCACGGTGCAGAACACTCGTGATTGACTTCATCAAGGCAGCCTCACGTTCTAGCCGTGGTGGATTCGATGATATGCCAAATGTAGACTCAGTAATGAGGACATCGATCTTAGTGCCCTTGGGAACCTCGGCAGGGATCAAGTGTCTGTCTTCCTCGCGGGAGTAGTCTGCGCATAGAGGTCAGCAATCTGATGGGGCTCAGAGGCGGTAGGCCTGGCGATTCACGTACCTCCAGTAAAAAGAGTTACCAGCCCTGCAATGTCAACCTTGAACATGGCCGCCCCAAGAACATGGCCCGCGGGATACGGAGTAATGCGAATTCCATTGATTGTGTGTGTGGTATAGAAGTCAATCGTTTCAATCATGGGCAGAGTTGACAGGTGATCACGCTCAGTGTATAGCGTCGTGCGTTGATCGGAAGAAGAAGATGTGTTGCTGACTCGCACATTGTCCTGTATAAGCCATTTATAGATCGCTCGGGTGGCCGGAGTCATGAAAACTCGTCCTTTGAAGTTGGTTTTGCTGAGCACATATGGGAGGGCGGAAGAATGATCGACGTGGAAACTATGAACACCATACAATCAGCAGCTGCGATGGTCGGGGGCAGAACGGCAGGGTGATAAATGTAATCTCATGCTCGATTGTCGAACGGTCGCGGATACAGTAGGACGGAGCTTATATGCATGACATTGGATTGTATTGGGCTTTTGAAATATCTCATATGTGCAGGGGAGGAATGTGTTTCTCGAGACATCTTCCAGCATTCGTGGGCAGTCACAAGCGATTGTCGCTTCCAACAATCTGATACATAGTTGGAAAGGGAAGGACAGGACAGGGACGTACTGGCTGATTAAAAGAACATCTACTGTGCTCAAGTCGAATTCATCGAAGAAGGGCAGTGCGGAGAAGCCTTCTTTGGCCGGATGCATACCAGCATCAAGCTATAGTAAGTGTTAGCAGACGGTCGTATGTTATGGGATTCCTTCGTCCTACCATCACAGTCTTCCCCTTGTACTCCAAGATGTGACAACTTCGGCCGACTTCGTTGCCGCCGCCCAGACAGTAGAACGCCAGTTCATCCGACGGGTCTACTGGCTCATCATCCACCGCCGTCCCCATGGCTGAAGCTTTGCGCTTGGTCGTCATTGTGCTGTAAACTGTTTTAGACTCGCGTTAAAGTATTGGTGTATTGGTCAAGATCCAAGAGCACTGTGCCCGTGTCGAAGCGCTCAAAGCCCAGAATCTCAGTTTGGCTTGAGCGCAATACCCATGACTTGCGTCAATGGACAATAAGGCCGGTTGAATGGCAGATCAATAGGAAAGAACTTTGAGTTCTTGAATGCGATTCAATGCAAGAATGAAAGGGAAGCTCATTGATTCGGGAATTGGGAGAGCTTAGTTAATCTCATCACGTGTTGTCTGTCGCGCCCGCGGAAGAGTTCGACCACCCTAGGCAAAAGCTCCTTACCCCATCAAGAACTGGTTTATTCTCAAGTCGCCGCCCATTCGCTATTGAACGACTTCAATACAATTCAAGTGTTGCGCTAATGGTTCACATTCACTATTGAGATGGTCAAGGTTGGTGGAAGTTGGTGGTGCGAGCAATCCGCTCACTTCGACGAGCACGCGTGGACCTCCATTCATATCAAAGAGCCCAGCTCCGCTCAATAGACGGCTTCATCTTTGCGATCTCACAAACAATTGAACTATCACTTCTATATCACAATGGCGCAAGCTCGACACCCCCAGCAGCAACCGCCGCCGCCACCGCAGTTCTCAACTCAAGCTTTCTCCCCACCCGTCTCTTCTCCTTCTCCCAACGGCATCGCATCTCCTGTCAACGGTGCTGCTGCGCCCCCTCCATCTAAACGTCCGCGCCTTTCTCCCCTACCACCGTCGCAGACCCAGTCTCCCTACGGTTCACCGAGCTTCAACGCGATGCAATTACCTCAAAACCCTTCCCCGATGAACGGCCAATCCATAAACATGAACACCATGAATATGGCCTCCGCGCCTGCGACACCAGCGCCTGCCCCTGCTGGGACCATGGGACCTCCGTCTCGCCCAGTGGACAAGACGACAGACGCTGCCGAACTGACAGACGTTCTAGCATCATCTGGAATTGACGTCAGAGAGGAAGAAGCATTTCTCACTCGGAGTTTTTCAGGGCAGACTGCGCAGGCGCAACCTCCCCAAAGAGGTCCACAAACCCCACACCCACCACCTATCAACACTTCTTTCAATTCTCAGGTCTCTACGGGCACTCTCTCGGCTTCGACCAGCTTCGGCGAATTGCCTCAAATCAAACCAGCGATCAGTCATGATTCGCATACCGGTACATCCTCTCAACCTTCTGCTCCCTTCAAAGATCCGAACGAACCGACGCGCGAGGACACGGTTGCAGCCAGAAGGGCACAATATCACATCCAGGAACCGTTCTTGATCACCAAACTTCTGGAGCAGAAGCTGCAGAAACGAGGCTTTGACCTCGGTGTTCGCATTCCGTCGGAAGGTCTTTTTCATCCGGTTCCTGGTCGGCCCCAGCCAATCGAAGTCACTGGGCCGGATGGGTCGTCTGTTGTACGCACCGGTCAGACAATTCTGAACCAGGAGGGTGCGCCTCTAGTTGACATCTTGAATCTTCTATCGATCTCCACTGAAGAGCGACTAAGAGGCGTAATCGATTATTCTTCGACACTCGCGCGGAGTCGCCGATCTCATTCTCATGGAGTTATTCCCGAGGAGTGGAAAGATGTTGCACAGCCTCTCGCGCAGACGGCGGGGAATTCTCAGCCAATGCAGACCCCTGTTAAACGTATGCTCTCAACCTTCCTACGAACTGACAGCCGTTCCTTTTGATCACACTCCCTAACATTTTGCAGGTCCCCACTCTGCTGTGGAAACAGGTACAAAGCCAAGCGCAGAGCGTTTCCGGACTGCCATCAATCGGGAAAATTCTCTCGAAGAGAAACGCGCCGCGAAGCGTGCCAAGCGGAATAGTAACGCTATCCTCAACGAGGCCGGTCGAGCCGACTCAGTCGACCCAGGATCTGCTCCCTCCACACCTATGAGCGAAAGACCACCCGGAACTGATAAAAAATCGATGACCAAGAAGGAAGCAAAGAAGATGACGGACTCCAAGGCAACCGAAGCTCAGCAGCATGCGCAATCTGTAGAAACAGCTCGCATGGCCCTTGGCAACTCCGGTCCCCGGACAAGTATGTTCGGTACCAAGAAGTCATACTCGTGGTTGAAGTCTGGAGGCTCTGCCAATGGATTCTCCTCTCCGACCCGCCCGACTCCTTCAACTCCCACTGCCGGCCCCGAGAAGTCCAGCGCCGGGGAACCGACACAACCTCAAACGCAACGCCGCCTTGGATTATGGCGTGAAGACCAAGAACGGGGCGCGGGCATTCAAGTCAGGGATATCCTCTTCATGCTTGAAGGTGACGGACGAGCGACGAGACATGTGCAACGGGGATATCTGAAGGATCCCAAAGAGGATCGTGATCGTGCGTTGTGACCGCATAAATGTTTGTAATCTTATTTTTTTTCCTCTTTAAGTCTCTAATTCCTTTCCATGCCCATCTACGGTTTCAGGAGTTTCTGCATTTTCTACTCTACGGTGGCGCTAGCTAGGTTCTCGAGCCAATCCAGAATTATGGGGCAGAGCATGGAGCTGATCATCCCGGGGCCGGAAAAGCCCAGGTGCTTTACACCATACCCCAATACATGACTCCTATATTGAACGGGTGCCAAGAAATACTACTGTACGGAGTATAAATAGAGGGAATATATCCATGTTCGTATGGAAAGACGTTTCCGTACAGCCAGCCCGACACCCGGGCAAGTCCTAGAACGGCTTTGCAATTTCTCATCCGTCCAAGGGCTCATGGCCAGCGATCAGATCGAGATCTAAGCCCTTCCAAGGCTAAGCCCGAGGCTGAGTCAGTTCACGATGCCACGAATCCATGTTGGGTCCCGAAGTCGCGACACATCGCGCATAGTGTGGGCTTCGGCTAGGGCTACGCGATGCTCCGGTATTTTTCCAATCGCAATTGGAATGAAGCCATAGCCCGCAGATCTCATTCCTAAAAGCGCATGGGCCCCGTGCAGAGGTCAGGCTTAGAGTGTTTAGGAGAATAGCCAGATACATTCCGTAGAAAAAATAGAATCAAAACCCAAGAGGAAATTAAAGAGATCGACAGGTGAAACCAACTGCAGCGCTGATTAGTCAAAAAAAGGTCACTGTCGAATAAGTGAAGCGATCTCAACGGTGCGCAGATCGAGGCGGTCGACCTCCGGACCTCCATCCTCCCCATCGTCATTCTCTTTGCCTCCAGACTCCTCCCCACGTTGAACTCCCTCAAATGTCGCCAAATTCACTGTCAATGATCTTGTGTCGCCCTCTGTCTTGAGTCGAGGATTCCTCACTTAAAACACTGTCTTCCAGCCTGTCACATCTCTTCCGGACAATCTCGCCTCAATCTCTGCCGGCCGCCTTGCTCTCTCAGCGAGGTGCCCGGAAAATCCGCTCGATCAGAAGGGACGCGCAACAATCCTCTCGCTGTGAATTATACTCTTCGCTCCACTCGTTCGTGTGAACGGACAGGATACTTGTCTGCGCCATGTCCACCCCGTCCACGGCGACTGCAACGCATCCTACCCACTCTCAGGCTTACGGATACCCTCACCGTCCCCCTTACCAGCCGACCGCTTCGTACTCATCATCCACGACCACCGGCCCTCGCATCGCGAATCCCTACCCTTACTCGGTCCCGTCCCCGACAACAGCAACCGCCAATCTCCCTTACAGCCAGACCCCAAGAATTCATCCTGCAGCACCGACGCCCTCTGCCATGACCCATCAGAGCGGATCGAGCGCGGCTCCCTCGGTAGGCAGCCGCAGGAAGCAGCCCGACTGGACCGAGTTCTACAAGAACGGGATCCCCAAGGAAGTCATTGTGATTGACGACAGCCCGGGACCGGAGGCTCCCAATGGTGCTGCCGCGCCTCCTGCGCATGCGTCCACTCGACCTGCTCCTGCGGGTCCTCAACCAGCCGGGAAGAAGCGGCGCACCGGGATTGAAACCGCTTACGACCTAGGCCATTATGACCGACCGTCCTTCTCGATCAATCCTCAGCAATACGGCGAAACCTCCTCCACCACTTCATTATCCACCGACCGAACTGCATCTCTGCACACGACGGCCCCGACCTCGCTTGGGTCACAGGGCAGTGCTGGGGCGAGCAATGGCGCATACTACGACGAAGCCGCCATCGGGCAGAAGCGGAAACGCGTGGCTACGCGGAAATCTACCCGCGACGAGCAAAAACGACGAGAGCTGGAGACAACAGGCGCATTCGAAAGTTACATTCCGCCTCCGAATCCGCCCATCAAGGCAAAGGATGTCCCCGTGCCTGTTGTTCGCGACGTGAGTGTCTACCAGTCATCTCTTCTTCCACATCCTAACAGAATTGGCGTTGCAGCAAACTAGCTCCCTCAACAAGAAGTTTGACGACGATGACGGTCATTATATCGTCACACCTGATACGGCGCTGACTGATCGATGTAAGTGCAACCAAGCACCAAGTGACAGGTTCCGATCATACTGACCCGCCTCAGACTCTGTTGTCAAACTATTGGGTCAAGGTACATTCGGCAAGGTTGTCGAAGCCTATGACAAGCAGCGAAAGTCTCGCTGTGCAGTAAAGATCATTCGGTCCATTCAAAAGTACCGTGATGCCTCTCGCATCGAGCTGAGAGTCTTGTCAACTCTCGCATCTAACGATAAAAGCAACCGCAACAAATGCATCCATCTCAGGGATTGCTTCGACTTTAGAAACCATATTTGCATCGTCACTGATCTGCTGGGACAAAGCGTGTTTGATTTCCTGAAAGGAAATGGGTTTGTGCCATTCCCAAGCAGTCAGATTCAGCAATTTGCCCGTCAGCTGTTCACCAGTGTTGCCTGTAAGTGTTCCATGTTCTTTTGTCTTATCAGCATGCTGACCTCTCTCAGTCCTTCACGACCTAAACCTCATCCACACTGACCTTAAACCCGAAAACATCCTCCTTGTTAGCAATGCCTACCAGACCTTCACATACAATCGCACCATCCCCTCTTCCTCCCACGCCACAAATCGCAATGCCCGGCAACGCCGCGTGCTCCTCGACAGTGAAATCCGACTAATTGACTTCGGATCTGCCACCTTTGACGACGAATATCACTCCTCTGTCGTCTCTACCCGCCACTACCGGGCACCTGAAATCATACTTAACCTCGGCTGGAGCTTCCCCTGCGACATCTGGAGTATAGGCTGTATCCTGGTCGAATTCTTCACTGGAGATGCCCTTTTCCAGACGCACGACAACCTCGAACATCTGGCGATGATGGAGTCTGTCATTGGCTCGCGAATTGACACCTCGCTGGTCAAGAAAGTTATGGCGGGCAGCCGAAGCGGTGGTAGCAACTCAGCCTCCAAGTAAGCCACACTAGCATCTTTCTCCATTGCTGTACTGACCAGTCAGGTACTTCTGCCGAAGTAAAATCGACTACCCTAACAATGAAACCACCCGGGCCTCGCGCAAATACGTGCGTGCCATGAAATCCCTGACCGTGAGTCGCATCTCTACCGAATACCCGCCGGGCCCCGACTGATCCCTATAGGAATTCATCCCCGTCAACACTCCATTTATGCGTTCATTCCTTGATCTGCTGCAAAGGATCTTTGTCTACGACCCTAAGAATCGGATTACCGCTAAAGCGGCCTTGCAGCACCCCTGGTTCAAGGAGTCACTCGTCGACGACGGCACTGAGGCATACAGGATCGGCCAGGGACTCCAACGTCAAGCCCAGCGCTGACCCTTCAGCCCAGGGGATAGACGGTTTCATTATTTATGTAATGTTTCAACGGGACGGAATCGGTGTTCGGGAAAATCATGATCACGATGTGTTGTTTTTCTTATTCTTTTACCTGGCCGCGGGCCATGGACTTGAACTTTTACTTGCTTTATCTATGCCTCGGTTTACACTTTATGGAAATCCCAGCCTAGGCTCGGATTATTATACCATTTTGCTTTACGGCGTGTGGCGTTTGTACATAGGTATCTCTTTTCTTCTACATCCCCAGGGCTGTATAACATGTTAAGCCCTTTGGGGCTACCAATAAACCGGGATTCGCGCCGACATACTTACCCCAACGACCCCAACTTCCCCTCTCCAACGGACTATATCAAGTCAACAACTCGGAAGAATTGGACGTCCACGCAAAATGAACGGAATGACAATATCCAAATTCCACAGCGCTCTCGCCCAAGACCCCTCCCTGGGTCCAGCACTAATAATCACCTCCCTCAAATCCATCAACCGCCACGACCCCATCCTGAAAAGCATCATAACCACAAACCCCGACGCCATCTCCGAAGCAATCCAAAAAGCATCAACAAAAGACCCTTCCCTCCCACTGCACTCCATCCCCATAATTCTAAAAGACAACTACACAACCCCCACCCTCCCAACAACAGCCGGCGTCCGTGCCCTCACCATCAAACCCAAGCACGAAAGCACCGTCCTCTCCCGCCTCAAATCCGCCGGCGCAATCATCCTCGCCAAAGCGAATCTCCACGAATTCGCCCTCCAGGGAATAACCCTCTCTTCCATCCGCGGCCAGACTCTAAACCCCTATGGCCCCGCACGAACACCAGGCGGCTCCTCAGGCGGCACAGCCGCAGCCCTAGCAGCCGGTTTTGCAATCGCCGGCTGTGGAACAGATACCGTGAACTCTTTGCGCTCGCCTGCCTCTGCGTGCGGTATTGTCGGTTTCAGGCCTTCCACGGGCCGTATCCCAACTGATGGTGTTGTTCCTGTCTCTTTTACTCAGGATGCACTTGGTCCCATGGCGTTGTGTGTTGCCGATGCCAGACTCTTATATACAGTCATGGCTGGGCTACCTTTACCTTTACCCGTCTCTCGTAAGACGTGGAGAGTCGGTGTACTAGAGTCGTTTTTCGGTCCCGAGGGACTGGGGAGTGAGTCTGTTGCGGAGAATCGGGTCGTTGGAGACGTTGTTAGACGAGCGTTGGATTCGATTCGGGGAGATGTTGAGCTTGTTTCGATTCCCGAGGTGGCTCATCCGGACTGGTGTTTTATGACGCTGTCTGAGAGGGCGGATACGCAGGCTTTTGAGTTTAAGTATTCACTTGATAGGTTTTTGCAGGGGGATGTGGATGCTAATCATCGGTGCTTGGAGGAGATTGTTCGCTCCGGAGAGTACTCGCGTGAGGCTGTTACGGAGGTTTTCTCGGCTAGCTTGGTTGATCCTGATACTTACTCGGTTACGAGTAGGGCGTATCAGGATAGGTTGGAATATATCGAGACCCTGAAGGGGTCGGTGGACATGTGTTTTGAAGAGTATGGGGTCGATGCACTTGTTTATCCGCATCAACGACAGTTGCCGGTTCGGATAGGGGAGACGAAGCAGGGAGGTCGAAATGGTATTTTGGCTGCTTTGACGGGCAGGCCGGCTATTTGTATTCCTGGTAAGTTGCATCTTCATGCTTGGGTTTGTGTTTGATGCTGACGAAAGATATAGCTGGGAGGAGTCCAAGCACCGATACGGCGGTACAGGGTGTCCCGGTTGGAGTAGAGTTCATGGGAAAGCGATGGGAAGAGGACGATCTGCTTGATCTTGCAGAGGTTGTTGAGGGCATTTTACAGGTGCAACAAAGCCCGGACTTGAGCTTCTTCGAGAAACTCGGGAGCATATAGATAAAGTCGTCTGTAGATATATTGACAAATCTAACTTGCAAGTCTACTAATATGTGCACCAACGCCGAAACCCACATTTTACATACCACGGTTGAATTCCACCATGCCACCTTCGCCACCGCGGCCCTGGAACTCCTCTTCAAGGCTGCTGACGTTGATAGCCTGGCGAGAGGGGAAGGCCGCAAGAGCCAAAGGCAGCGCAAACAGCGAAGTGCCCAGCACCAGAGCCAGGTTGACAGGCATGACCATCTTAGGGCGAGCACGTAGCCAGTCGGTCTTCTCCAGACGAACAAGAATCAGAGGAGGCAGAACCATGATAGGTGTGGCGTTCAGCACACGGGAGATGGCAGTCTCGCCGACAGCGAGGGTAGCGGCCTTCTTGCTCTTTCCGAGACTCTGGATGGGCTCGGCATTGGGGTCGGACTCGCGCTTTGCGCGCTCCGCCTCCGAGAGAATGGGGTAGACGTCAATTCCGCGGCGGATTTCCTCGCCGCGCATGAGGAAGACATTGAGAGCGGAGGCAGAGGCGACAGCAGCGAAGGGAACCAGCCGAGAGAGAATGAGACGTGTGTTTGGCTTGATGCCCTTAAGGCGGGGAACCAGGGCATTCAGACCCACTGCCACAGAGCAGGATGCCGAGACGGCCATCAAGTAGGACTTGCCGATCTGCGACATAGAGAGGGGGGTGGACTTGTTGGAGTTGGCATTGTTGATAGCGACGTTAAGCGACTGGTTACCGATCTGCCAAAGGAGGGTACCGGTGGTCTATGGCGGATTAGTTCCTGTCGTACAGAGAGGAGCAGTGAGGTTCTTACGTTCAATCCCGGGGTCAGCATGCCGGCTGTGACCACCAAGTTGGACAGCACGTAGGCTGACATGCGGAAGGGCAGGAAAACGGGTTCGCCCGTGTCTGTCTTGTCAGCCAATGGCTAGTATAATTGATGTGCGTATCCCATACCAGGGTGCAATGTCGCATCGACGACTTTCTTGGCCGACCACAGCTCCGAGGTCATGGTTGGGATTTTGTTCTGCTTGTAGGAAGCGATAAGGCTCTTGGCGGCCTCAAGACCGGACGAAGAAACGAACAATGTCCTGCTGGTGTCAGTAAGTGTGGCCCGGCGATTGTCACGCTACTCACCGAGGATCCGCAATGTCGGCGGAATGACGCACGCGACCCCAGTATGTTTTCAAGTCATATTGGGATGCGGGCATGTCCCGACTGCCAGGGAGAGAGGCAGACATTGCAGCAAATGACAGCAAGGAGAGAAACAAAGAGTGTGTGGCGCGGAGAGACGGTGACTCCGCGGGGAGAAACTGCTTTTTCGATAAAAAGGGCGGTGAGCCGATAAGTACGGATTGGCCAATCAGGTCGAGCGCCGAAGTATATGTTTGCGTCTCGGCGCCTTCTACGGACAGCGAGGGTCGGCGGAATAGGGTTGAGAGACGCTTGGGGTGAAATGAGAGTGGGGTGCACAGCCGGCCTTCCAGCATATATAGCAACAGATTTGCTGCAATGCGATGTACATCTTTACGGCTGCTCTCCCGATCCCGGTTCGCTGCCCCGATATGCGGGGAATCTGCAGGCTCTAATAAATTCAAGGTAGCATGTGCGGAGCATAGAAATATTTCTATTCTGGGGTTTCCAGCAGGGAATAGTACATAGGTATCATAAGGGTCTCGAGGAGACTAGGAAATGTGCAGCTAATGCAGAAAATAGGAGAGTCCGTGGAGGAGAAAGACAAAAGAAATCACCGGCGTATAAGACATGAAACCATTTACCGAAGTCGATATGACTTGTGGGCTAATGGCGAAGGAGGTGCTTGACCCGGAACATAAGAAGTTCGGGATCGGTTCTGCTTCGAGGGAGTTTGCGCACAGAAGATGCAGACGTAGACTGAGGGGAGGTGTGAACGCTCTAACCCAACGCATCTGGTGTGTAGCCAGTGGGTACATGATTCACTGGACAGATCAGTATTGACATATCGGTTTTAGATCAGAGGACACTCACCATTGGATCATTAAGTGCCCACCATTGTCCATCGACCGGCAGACACATCGCGTTCCATTGCTGGGATTGCTATGCCGCTCGGTGCTGGGGGTGGCTAGATCGGGGTCGGTGAGTGTAGTAGGGGAGGCATTGTGCCGTGGAATGTCATAATCACTGCCGAGGCGAGGTGGTGATGACCGGAGATGATTAAAGGTATGTGATGAGCGAGAAAGACGGCTCTGCAGGCCAGTAGACGGCCTAGTACCGCGGCCCCGTTCTTTGAGAACCTGCCGAAGGGCGGATTGGGCATCGCCGCTGTCGTCCTCATCCCCAGGAAGCGAGTCTGATCCACTGCCACGTGTGAAACTCGAGTCGGAATGGAGCAACGAGGAATGCCGCTTTGGTGTACGCTTGATTTCAGGCGAGCCGCGCAATGTCGCTCTTCCAACTCGGGAAGACCCAGCCCACGGTGACATCCGCCCGGATTGAGAAGACCCAACCGTGGAGGTGTAGGATCCCTTCGAAGGGGGGCGGGAATCCGAGTCGCTCCGAGAAGGTGGCGGACGGTGACCATCGTAGAGCGAGAAAGATGACCGCGTGCGGTGCAGAACAGGGTATTCAGAGTACTCGGCAGGGTCCGTTTCACTCTCCGTTGCTGACCCTTCGAGTTCCATGCCTGTCAGGGGGTCAGTCAGGCCCGTCGGCGTCTCATCAACAGGCTCCATCTCGGCCTTTGCACGACCATCCCGTCCGATGCGGAGGACTACAGACGATGAGCGGGTTGGGAAACCGGTGGCAATCGAATTTGCGCGAGGCAAGGGAGCCGGACGCATGGTTTTAGCGGGAGAGGAACGCCCTTTAGCTGGGCTCTTCCGAACACCGCTTGTGGATGCCATCATGCCTTGACTGATTGATCGAGTAGAGGACAGGCCATTATGCGTGACACTCCGTGTCAAAGCGGGCCGAGCACCCCTGGGGGTGAGGTCCTCATCTTCTTCGTCGCTCTCGCCTGGGAAGTTCGCAAAATCCGGTCTACCATTTGCTTGTGACCGCAGTAGTTCCTCCCGTCTGGACTCTTCCGCCTGGTGATGGTACGGTTGACGAAGGCCTCGCAGTGACCTTGTTTCTGGAGTCATTTGAGGGCCACCGAAACGTCGGGCGGGAGAGCTCAAGAAGAGCGCAGGATCCTCGGCCTTGGCGACCGGCCGGCGAGGTGATGTGGAGAAGGGGGCAGGAAAGAGGGCAGCATCGTTGGGTGCGGAAAGACCATAGCCACGTCCGAAATCAGGAAGATTTGCGCTGCCAATGGCGGGCAATTTAGGGACATGAGAGGATTGGCGAGCATCGAAGTTGCCATTGCTCGGCAACGGGATTTCATTGCTCTCCAAATCTTGATCCCAGAATAACCGCTGCTGTGGAAAGATAGGAGAGCCCGCTGGATCTAAGGATGCCAATTGGAACAGATCGGGCGAGGTCTGCCCGAACATTCGGGGTGAGGTCCCTAGCAGTCGACTGGGTGTCTCCAAGTGGCCCCCGATCGACAAGGCCTCCGGTTCGAACTCGGGTATCTTTCTCCTTGACGCACTTGTCGGCGGAGGGGTCTGCATGGAGGCCGCCGACTTGGCCGACCCTATGGTCCGGGGATACTCCTCCCCATTGGTGTGAATCCGCCTGGCGGTATCGGGTTGGTCGGTTCTCTTGTAGGCGGAGTCATTGCCGGCCTTGTGAGAGCCGAGGCCGAATCTCTGGGGTGTGCGGAGGATCTCCGGACTGGAGGCATATGGATCGGAGGTATCCCAGGTGACTCGGGGGTCGAAGAAGCTGGATTCGAGTTTGGGGGGAAACGAGTCGAATTGGGGATTCCTCGTCGGAGTTTGCGGTTCACCGTAGAAGCTGAACATAAACGGATCCATGAGTACTTGAAGATATGGAGAAGGATGAAGCAATCTGACAGAGGCCCCGCCAGGGAATCAAGGGAGCATGGCATACCTGTGGACAGGGTGATCCCAACTCATGTCAGCAATCGACCATTGAAGGTTTGCAGCTGCCAGGCAACCTTATGTCTGAGAATGTATCGATGCTGGGGTCATTTAGAGTTAGTCGAAGTGAAGGGGTGAGAAACTGAAGTAGCCTGGAAGTGAGAAGCCCAAAAGGACGAACCGAACCAAAGATTCCGACCCGTTGTTTTCCTTTTTCTCTGTTCGTCGACTTTTTCCGTCCGTTTGGTCGGTTTTGTTCTGTCTTTTTTTTCCTCTTTTTTTTTGCGTGGGGACTAGTTTTTTTTTTTTTTTTTTCTTTTCTCTCTAATGGCAGGCCTCCACTTATCCACCGTTGTCTACGGAGTATACAGATCGTGTGTCGTGTCCAGTACCTGCAGGAACGGACTCCAAGGTTTGTGCACCTCCAATCAGAAGCTCCAACTTCCCCCTTGTCTTGCATCTCGACAAGTTCAGCTCCAAGTGGAACCTGGCCAATCTGGCCTATGACGACATGGACTCCACGAATTTCAGCCTTGAATTGTAACGGGGGCGACTGGACTCTACAATACTATACGGAGTACCTATGTATCTACCAGTAGTACGGAGTACTCCGTCCAACCGGGGGCCTTTGAGTTCCCCCTTCGGGGACTGGGATGTCTGATTGGAACCTCGGAAGACCTGTGAGATCTGCTCACTGCGCCCCTATCTTGGCATCCTCTTTGTGCCCGAGTCAAAGGGCGTACGGAGCACATGCACGAAATCCTAGACCCGACTCTTTGTGCCAACTTCCTTGGAAGCCTTGATTCGGTTCGAACTTTGCGTCTAGCGTAAGGAGTATAGTGCCCAATCTCGCCCGGTTTTGTTGTTAGTGCTACACTAAACCCACGGGGAGCTCCCCACGCTAATCTCATGAGATCTGATGATCTTAATCTTATTCAAGGTCTCTGGGGTGATACACGATCTGAGGCTCGAATACGAGAGACAAATAGTTTATTTTGTATGTCCCCTTGCAAGTAGTGTACTGTAGATCGTCAATCCATTGTGCATCCAAAACTTCGACCGTTTAGTGCACTGGGCGTTTCCGCGGGGCCCTGCGAATTGCTTAACGCAAAGCGAATGCTCCCCATGTCGACTTATTAGACCCTATCGCAAGAATAAGTCAAATAAAAAACCCGAAAATATATACAGTAAATATGTTGAAGTCCTAGCCATTGACGGGGACAAAACGGATCAAACAAAACAAAGAAGCCTGATTTCCCAGGCACCATTCCCCACCGAGATTCCTGTGAAGCGCATCAAAGTGCATCAGAGTGCATCAAAGTGAGTCCATTGTTGGATGTTGCGTTGTATCAGGAAAATGCCATGAAAGAGGTTGTCAGCCAAATGCTCAACTTCACTTCACCCTCCTCCCACTCTGACCCTCAACATGGCACCCACAACAAACACAAAGAAGATACGCAAAGGCAAACCAAGGCATAGGGGACGAAATCGTGGAGTCCGCAAACGCGATGGCCACACCCGAGCTGTTGGCTCCCCCAAGCCTCTAGAAGAAGTCACCAACGAGAAAAAGCGGAAACCCAGGAAGAAGAAAGCCCCCGTGCCGATTCCTGTGTCTGATGATCCCCTTGAGAAGGTATGACCTCTGACCCCTCGACCTGTACCCGTCTTTTAACACCCGTCAGAATATTCCTGAGGGAGTCCCTATGCCAGAAGGGTACGTGCTGGTTCCAAAAGGCGACGTCTACATTACCCGCCACTGTCGCAGCAAGACCAAAGACATCAGTAAAATTGTCTACGTTGTCTATGTAAGTTCTAGCCACCGCAGCCCAACGTTTTTCTTGAAGAAAGCTCACCCCAAAGAACCGCACTGGCAAACGCACCCTGGGTATTCGCATCCCTGAAGAAATTTACACCGCCGTCCTCGTCTCTGCAGCAGCGACCAAAGAGTCACGCGCGAGTGCTGTCGAATCCCGAGATAAGAAAGATCTCTCCAAGTCTCGTGCCCTCCTGGAAGCCGAGTTTCCGTTCATGCCCGCAGGTTCTCTACAGACTATTCTAGAACACGCTTTTCTCAAAGGATCTGGACGTGTCGGTAGGACGGGCATGATTAGTGATGAAAAGAAGGTGCTTTTGGCAGTTGAAGCTCATATTCGCCATGTGCATACGCCTTATGAGGATTTGTTGGACGGTGGGGTCGACAGGAAAAAGGCTAGGGAGATGGTGAGGAAGAGTATTCTGGATGTAGAACGTGTTTGGCAGGGTGTGCAGGCTGAGCAGGCCGAGAAGGAACTCACTTTGAGAGCTGCGTGATTTCTGAGGTTTCATGCATTGCTGGTGTTAGCAAGCCTGTTGTTTGTCGCATTGTTTGGTGTTACTCTTGGGTTTAACTTGGCAGTAGGGAATTTATTCAAAGTATGGGTTTCCTTGAAAACGAGAATTAGGTTTTGATTGATAAATAGACAGAGACTACCTAATGGCTTACAGATTATTAAGTGGCCTACTAGGCCAAACTGAAGGGTGCCCAGGTGGATACTCAATGTATCTATACCAAGCAAGGTCATATGTATCACCCAAAGGCATCAACACTACGGAGTATTTGGACTGGAGACAAGTCTACCATACCTGGGCTCTACAGACACGTAGCAGGCTTACTTTAAATCTGCTCCCCTTGCCCTTTTTGAAAATATAGTGAGGTCTTACGCATCAGAAAATAAAAGGGGAAACCCTTGAAAAGCAAAACTTCACGGTAATTAGACCAAGGTCATTCATTACGCTGCCATGGTATATGGCCATACATTCCAGGCACAAGAAAAATATGCAAGTATTGGAGATTTCATTTGATTTCAGATTTGCTTCACGTATCATCGCTTCCAAACATGACCACATGGAAACAGGTCATGGCAACAGTCTTCCATGTAGAGGATCCCTGGAGCCGAACTTCAAAAAAGCTCCCCAGCGTTCCACATGTCTCGCTGTTGGCTTTGAAACCATCGTTCTGGATGGCACCATTCCATGGGCTAGTTACCGTCCAAGGCGACGGCCACGGAGAAGCTGAACCCTGAAGTGGGGGTGATTATAGGGCAAGGGATTCAACCAGCCCAAGCCATCCTCACTCATTTGAATCATGATTTCCAGACGGCGAGAGACCTCGTTTAGAGCCCGCATGCGGTCCCTGTGCTCAGTACCGATCATGATCATCAAATGAGCCCTCCGTTCCCCTAGAGGAGTGACATCAGGAAAGACTGCTGTGTTACTGCTGCCCAGCTCACTTCGAACGGCACGCTGGATAAAGGATAGGACCTGAATATCTGTAGCTGGCGAGTCCATGCGATGAAAGTTTATGGGGACACGAAAGACATGACGAGTGATGGGGATAAGTGTGTTGCGGGAGTGACCTGGCCGTCGCCCGGATCTAGGGGTCTGGGAGCCGTTGGTGGATGGAGTGTCAATGTCCATTGCGTCACCATCATAGGTGGTTGTTGCGAAGTTGCTGTTATTCATTGTGGTCAGAGGCGACTTTGGCGATATGGGAGTGAGGTAATGGCGTTGGATAACAACTTGGAAGAGATATGGTGGTGACTGCCAAGTTAAATATGTTTGTAGAAGAAGCAAGATGAGAGGAAGTAATAGGAATATATGGGAAAGAAAATCACTTAGCCAGCGTGGATTGTTATTCAAATCATCTGAGTTTGAATAAAGGTACTGTGAGCCATGACTGAATCAGTTATGAGATTGACCGCTGGCTGATTCCTGTGGGTTATCACTATCATGGATAGAGTAAGACCTCATCTATGCCTCATATATGAGATACCTATTTGTTTTGGCGCCAAAGTGTATTATTATCATATAGCCCAGAGCTGAAGGTACGTCTTTACTCTTCGGTGATTTTTATAGCTCACTCTGTGGTGTCCTGGTCATAGGAGCGGCTTCAGGCTTGAGATACAGAGCTTTTCCACAATACATCAACTTTCATGTCATATTGATGCCTAGTCAAAATTACATCTACAGTCCATAGTGGCCTCGAAGGCGGCTCATCGGTGTGGGTACTATGACCTCTTTCCGGGGGAGTCTCTCCAGAATGACAGCCCTGGACAGCCCTGGGGCCAGTATGTACTGTATATCTGCAGGTTGCAACCTTGCTTTACCCCACATGTGGACTCTGAGCTACACACAGACTGGTATTAGAACCTCCGGATCCTGGTTGAGGTATGTCATGAGCTTCTTTATACAATGAATCCTTGGCTCACCAGTTAATCTTTGGGTGAATCCAACACTTGATAGCAGTGCCTTTTTACAGCATGAGGTCTAGATATGAATGACATGCAATCACTCTCAATCTCCTCATCAGGGCTCTCTCCCCAAAATAGAACGCTGATCCAAGGCCCCGGGGTTTCAGCGGAAGACCCTGCGACCCACAGTAAGCAAGCTCGAGCCAATCAAGCCACAGTGGGGCTTACCTACTTGCCCGAAAGAGAAAATGCCATGCCTCCAAGGATTTTTACGGTTTTCCTCCGACGGCCCCAGGTCACTCAATTTCTACCTCATGGCTGCTTCGACCTGTAGCCATGAGGAACCGCTGTGGCTTGTTGAGCCGGCATAAGTATCTGCTTGCTGCCATCGTGCTCATCCTCGTGCTGTACAACTCACTACCCGCCGCCAAGTCCACTCTCAGCCCCCGCACCGAGCAATCCGATAATCGCCCACGGTATCTTCATCAATCGACCTTCCGCGCAAACCCGGATTATGACTATGAGATAGCCTTGTCGGATGCGCTACAAAACATCGAAAGAGACCCAAACGTGCACCCCGAGGCGACAGACACAATCTGGCAGATCATCCTGTCTACTAAGGACCAGCGCAAGGATGATTCATATGATTTCCAGACACGAAATCTGGAATGGAACTACCAAGTACGCCCAATAAATAACCCTTCAACTGCCAGTACGCGACTAATCGGTGTAGCTGGTAAACGCCGACTGGGCCGACAACTTTATCACCAACACTCTCGCGTCCCTTCCAGACCTCGCCCGTCTTTACAAATCATACCCACATTATGTCCAACGCGGTGATCTTCTCCGTTACTTGATTCTATGGTACTACGGTGGGTACTATGCAGATGTGGACGTGTACCCCGCGAAGAGCATCAAGCAATGCCCGACGCTCCACAACATTTTCAAGGATCCGTCGGCGGGCACTTCTATCGGCAGCAATGTCTCTCTAGTGGTGGGAGTGGAGATTGATGAGCCTTTGGCATCGCCGCAAAAGATGCGAGACTGGCATTGGGCACGAAGGTATGGATTCTTGCAGTACAACATCTATGCGCCGCAGAGGTTCAGCCCGTTATTGAGGGAAGTGATTGTCCGCGTCATGTCTCATACGAAAGGACATGTGGAAAGTCACTTTTGGGGGAAATATGACGAGATGACAACCTTGGAGGTTACGGGGCCCGGCGTGTTTACGGATGCTATTCTCGACAAGCTTTCTGATACGTTGCCTTCCACGCATCCACTCATTGAGAAATCTCTTGAGGCAGATGAGCCGTTGGGAGACCTGGTTCCAACTTACTCGACCTTGCCTGTTCAGCGTGTGACATGGGCACCGTTTCACGGCCTCACGGACACCATTTGCGCCGAAGACTCGGAAGATCAGCCTCAGAAGATGGGAGGGCTTTGTGTCTTGCCTGTGAATTCATGGGGCAACGGACAGAGGCACAGCGGGTCCGAGGGCTTTAGTAGCCCGCATTCCTGCATCAACCACCGCTTTGGAGGTACCTGGAAGCCTTGGAAACAGAGCTGGAAGAAATATCTATTCGGGTAACAAGCTAACGATTTCTGAAATCACATTTCCATCTGCATATACCCTTTGTCACATACTTTAGGAAGCATAATTGAACATATCATCGAAAGCCCCATGCCTCGCTTTTCTGATAGACGGCCAAGACCAACCAGGTCCACGGTTTGGATGGATGAGTTCTTGGGTTACCTAAGTATCTGTGACCTTACCACTTACTACCTATCAGATGTTCTGCTATGTCCAGATGGTTTCGAATTGACATTCGATGTCAAATATGTAGTCATCATTTCAAATATTCAACAGAACCAAACTGCCAAACGGCTTCAGTTCGACCTCCTCCCCGAGATGATCGGCCTGATTTGAGATGAGAACACGCCAGCTTGCGTATTTCTCGCTTGAAACCCTCAACTTACCATGAGAGAAGTTCAATAACACCACCGCTTGCTGGCCCGTCTCCTTGCACTCCCTTTCAAACCCAAGAACCATTTCACCGGTCTCGGTCTCCGAGAGAGGTGTATAAGAGCCATAGACAAAAACATCAGACAATCTCTTTCGCAGCGCGATCACTTCCTTCCAATATGCCATGATGCTCTGGGGGTCCTCTAACTGACTGGCTACATTCCAGTCCACATAGTCTCGATTGACCGTCATCCAAGGTTTTCCAGCGGTGAAACCCGCATTCGGTGAGTTCTCCCACTGCATAGGCAGCCGGCCATGATCTCGAGACTTGAGCTGCATTTCCCGCAGCACATCGCCCATTTTGGTGCTGTCGCCTCCTCGGGCCTTCAGGATAGCATTATAGTGGTTCCTGCCCTCGACATCAATGTATGCATCGATCCCGTATTCCTCGCCGAGGTTGGCCATGCCGATCTCCTGACCAGCCAGCATGAAGGGTGTCCCGCTCAGGGTCGTCAGATACGTAGCCAGCATTTTGGCTGCAGTGGCGCGGTGCTCGGGTGCATCAGAGGCATACCGGGAAACGGACCGGCCGCTGTCATGATTGTCAAGGTAGACAGTGTTCCAGCCCTCGAACTTGGGCATTGCCGTTTGCCAAAGATTGGTGATCTCCCGGATTCTTCGAGGATGGAAGTCGTTCCGTTCATACTTTCCGTTCGCGCCATGGTCCATGTCCACGATATCGCCAGTGAACAGCATGTTCAATTCATGCCTGTCTTTGGCAACATATTCACTGACAGAATGCTCGTCTTTGGTGAAGCCCAGCTCACCCACGGTCATGACATCGTAATTATCAAGTACTTTTGACCTGATCTCACGGATGTAATCATGCATCTTGGGACCAGATGCAAAGAACTCTGCACCAGACTGGTAAGGTTCGTCGTTGACGATTTTCCCGTCAGGCAGATCTGGGTGCTTGGACATTAGATTCATGCTGTCAATGCGGAACCCGTCAACTCCGCGATCTAGCCAGAATCGCATGTCGTCGTGCGTGGCTTCACGCATTGCAGGGCTCTCCCAGTTCAAATCAGGTTGGCTGGGCAAGAAAAGGGCTAGGTAGTACTGTCCCGTAGGCTCGTCGAATGCCCACGCACTACCGCCGAAGATGGACCTCCAGTTGTTTGGTTCTTTGCGATTCCCCTCCTCGTCGTACTTCGGGTCTCGCCAAATATACCAGTCACGTTTAGGATTTGATTTGGAGCTTCGGGATTCCTTGAACCAGGCATGTTGATCGCTGGTATGGTTGACCACGAGGTCCATGAGAATACGCATTTTATTTGCGTGCAGTTGGTCGATGAGAGTTTGGACATCTTCGACCGTCCCGTAGGGTGCGTGGATGGAACGATAATCGGCCACATCGTAGCCCATGTCTTTCTGGGGGGATGCAAAGATAGGAGAAAGCCATATGGTGTCGACTCCAAGTGACTTAATATATGGGACTTTGCTGATGATTCCGGGAATGTCACCAAGGCCATCCCCGTTGGTGTCAAGGAAGCTGGCCGGGTAGATTTGGTAGACCACGGCTTCTTTCCACCAGCTTTTCTCGATCGTAGAGAGTGCCATATCCAGATTGCAGTAATGCGCTTTCAACGAGGTGAATTGAAAAGTCAACAGATCGTTTGGGTCTGACAGGCAGCGTTCTTATGGACGCGCAAGTGAGTCATGCAACGGACACTCGGAGGAATCTGGGGGGATTGAACAAGCGCCCGGAGAAACAATGTAGATATGTCTCACCAATAGTCGACAGATGCTTCCGAAATTGATGAGTACACGTCAACATCACGAGGAGCTTGGAGACTGTTCGGGGAAACCGAAGGTGATCTACCTCCTTGCAAAGGTCAATGCTTTGCGTCTGCGAAGCACTCGTGTTTCTGGGAAGAAGTGGGAGCTTGCTCGGGGAAACCAGCAAGGAGATCTGTCATATCAATGTCCATGGTTGAGAGCTGGGGAAGCAAGCTTCAGCTAAGGGAGAATCTGGGGACTGCTCGGAGGAATGGGCGGAGATGCCCGCCAGAGAGGAGCCGAGAGTTTCCCCGAGGATCCCCCGACACTCTCGGACCTCACCCGAAGTATGTGCAGCATGTACTCAACCTAACATTCGGGGTTGTATGTTATTGAAATTATGATTGAGGAATCTCGGAATATCGGGAGGAATTGGACTTAGATTGGAACAATCAGGCCCCGGAGGTGGGACACGATTCATGAGTATCTGGAGTGTTGATCATATACCTACCTAGGTAGGTATGAACCTTGAAAGGAATATATTTTGGTGCTCAGAGTTGAAAGACCTCGGAACTCGGGAGTACCTATCTACTAGGTACACGTAGATTCCGACCTCCAGCCGGAAACATTGAGCTGCCAGTCATAGGGATGATAGATGTCCAGGTGCCTATGTGAAATTTCTCCAAAAGAAACCTTGGAAAGCAAGACTCGAGCGTGCTACAACCTTGCACTAGAATTGTCCACGGTGCTACGAAGATCCCAACATATATTGCCAGCGCCATTGTGAGAATAATACGACCTCGCAGCCCTGGGGGTGAATCGTGTACTATCTAGGTGCTAGGTAGACCTAAATATACACCTGAGCATGATAGCAAAGGGCCCCGAAGAAGCTGTTTTGTGAAGGGATGTATGATTTCAAGATTGCTACCTATGACTGACTGAAAATACTGCATCAGATGGATTCATCCATGAGCTCCAGAATTCATGATTCCTGCTTAACATCTCCCGACTCGGGAGGTCCCAGCTCAAATATCCAGACCACATGCTCCCCACACTACACTAGGCAATGGGATGTCACTCATTTTCAAAATGGGAATTGACCATTCTAGAAAGCCCATCGGATACCTACGTGAGTCAGATACAGAAAACGATCGCGCTATGATCAACATAATCCCTCTTTGACATGGCGGATCTGGGCAAACACCCGCCCAAACCAACCGCCTTTTTGGTGGATCTTGATAGCCTGACCATCCACAACTGCATATTGCGTAAACTTTCGTGGAGAGACCTTGCTGGCATAAAGTGCATCGATCTCAGTGTAGGATCTGTTCTGAGTCTCTGGCTGAAGAAGATAAAGACCTGCCATGATAAAGAGCTCGACTCCGACGAACAGGAACATGACCTTGCCTCCCCAGTTGAGCTCATCGGGATTGATAAAGTACGGGAAGACAGATGACAACAAAAGAGCCGTCAGCTGTTGACAGATCAAGACGAAAGAAATGGTCTTCGGGCGGGTAGCTTGTGCCGCAGTCTCTTGGGCCACGGCCCATCCGTAACATCCGACGGTGGCAGTATATAGCATCGACCAGGTAATCATAAATGCGAGCACGGCTGTATTTGCTGATGCGTTTGATTTCGGCGCCATTGATAGGCCTGCGATAATGACGGACCAGAACATAAGCGTGGTGCCACCGCCAACGAGGCCTTTTCGGCGTGGAATCACATCGGACAGGCAAAGAGCAACGAAGTTGGATAGCAGCTGCAAGGATGATGAGATGGCTGTTAGTTGGAAAGAGTCGGCTTGGCCGATCAGTTGGAAGTAGTAAGTCTGATATGTGTTTGCAAAATAGCCACCAGAGAAATTCTGGGCCTGTAGGCCAAGAACAGCAACAAGAGTGCGAGACCGATGCTCTTTGGAGAATGTGCTTTTCCAATTCGTCTGACCAGCAGCAGACTCACTGTCTTCCGTCTGCCGAAGCTCCGACTTGATTGTTTCAACACGCGCATCAACGTCGGAGTCAGAGCCATAGAGTCTGAGGATGGCCTTGCGTGCATCTTCCTCACGGCCCTTCTTGATGTACCAAACTGGGCTTTCGGGAAGGAATGGGAGGCCGCAAAGATATATGCCGGGTGGCAGGAAAGTCATGACAAATGCAAGTCTGTAGGACCATGTTCCATGAATATTGGAAGCTCCATACCCCGTCATCGAGGCACAAAATTGACCGAAGACAATCATGACGTTTGTCAGAGAGGAGAATGTGGAGCGGAGTGCGGTCGGTGCGTTCTCGGTGACATAGAGGGGCGGAAGTACTGTTGATAGACCGACAGATAGACCGAGGAGGAGTTTGGAGACAAAAAGCACAGGAAGGTTTGGGGCAAACACCAGTGCAAACGAAGAGGCGAGTGCGACAACAATGGCCACATATAGAAGAAGCTTGCGACCCCAGTAATCCGCAAATTGCCCAGCGGCATATCCTCCGAAGACTTGTCCGATCGTGGAGGCTGCGTTCCAGAGAGACTGCCATAGAGCAGGAATCACGTATTCATCACTGACAGCATAGTACTTGCCGTATGCTTTGCGGAACTCAGGGAAGGCAATGGCGATGCCAGAGAGACCGGCGTCGTAACCCCAACTGAAGACGAGTAGGATTGTGAAGAAAGCCCAGCAGCAATATCGCTTCTCGGCGCGGATAGCAGTCCAGAGCTGATGCCATTGATCTCTTGCTGTCATGCGTTGAGCATGGAGATCCTCTGCTTTGACAGGGATCGGATCGGAAAGGACTTCAACATGACCGAGACTGGGCTTGGTCTCGTCTTGAATGCTGACCTTTTCAGCTTCGGATTCCTTGGAGATATTCATGCTCAGTGAGTGCAGAAGAAAAACAACAATAAGTCACTGATCAACATGTCCCTCCAGAAACTCGGGAGCAACTTACCATTTATGCTCGCATGACAGATAAAAAACGCCAGCCAGCCCAGCTGGCGAGAGCATGGAACAACCTCGGGGATATTCTGAAATACTCAGATCCAGACGCATCGGATCCCCCACGGGGAATCAGAAGTCAAGAATGTAGGTCGGAATGTCAAGCGGGCAAACCTCGGCGGAACCTCGAAGCTTGATACACTCCTCCGCTATATCGCCGTTTTATTTCCGCTCGCTTTTTTTCGCCTGGATATGCAGCTTTTAAACAAGACACCATGGCAGTTGGAGTTCCATCATTGTTCACGTTCCCACAATGTCGAGCCCCTCAACCTGCGGAGGCACGTCGCATACCTCTCCCACCAGCGTCACTACACCCGAAGATGGACGCCCGATTTACAAGCCTACTTGGCGTCCTTTTTATCACTTTATGCCCCCAAGCGGCTGGGTGAATGATCCGTGTGCCCCTAGATATGATTCCACCACCGGGATATACCACGTCTCTTTCCAGTGGAATCCAAATGGCCCTGATTGGGGTGACATATGCTGGGGCTCTGCCACTTCTGCGGATATGATCTCCTGGGAAATCCAAAAAAGCCCAATCCTATCACCAGATAAGAGTTACGATGCAAAAGGTGTCTTCACTGGCTGCTTTGTCAAGGGGCACGATGGCTCTCTGAACTATCTCTATACTAGTGTCAGTGCACTTCCCATCCACCACACACTCCCGCATCAAGCTGGATGCGAGACATTAAGCCTTGCAACATCGCTTGACTGTGGAAAGACCTGGAAAAAGAGTCCCAAGAATCCTATCTTGTCCGGGGAGCCGTCTGGGCTTGATGTCACAGGCTGGCGTGACCCTTTCTGCGCTCGCTGGGACAGCATGAGCAAAGTCCTCGGGTTGAAATGCACCACTCTATTTGGGATCATATCTGGAGGCATCAGAGATGCTACACCAACTAGCTTTCTGTACAAGATCAATGAGACCGACCCTTCAGACTGGTCTTATATCGGACCACTGACAAACTGCGGTCTGAATTTTAGACCGTCACGATGGTCTGGGGACCTGGGACGGAACTGGGAGGTCACGAACTTCTTGTCTATCAATGACGAGGCAGATCCCACCACAACGCATGATATTCTCATCATGGGAACCGAAGGTTGCCTGGACCTGAGTGGGTCATCTGTCAACCCCGGCCCATCTCGTCCTTGTCGCGGTCAACTGTGGATGTCTGGAACTATTCACAAGAGTGAACGAGACGGTGCTGCGGAGATGTCCTATAATTTTGGAGGTCACCTTGATCACGGATGTCTCTATGCAGCCAACTCATTCTTCGACCCCAAGATCCAGAAGCAAGTCTTCTGGGGGTGGATCACCGAAGAAGATCTCTGCGATGATTTACGTCACCAGCAAGGATGGAGTGGATTGCTTTCAATGCCACGCCAGATCCACATACAGACATTATGCGGGGTGGTCCATGCCCTATCATCCGACCTGCCGTCAATCACATCCATCAAGCTGATTCCGGAGGACGGAAAGACATTCACTATTCAAACACTAGCTACGGAGCCATACCGGCCTTTGATCGAGCGCCTTCGCGTGGGATCAAGACATTGTCGCCTAGTGCCCTCCCTATTATCCTCAAATTGCGAAGATGTCAAGCTTTTGCCAGACGCCGTTCGAAGCAAACAATGGGAGCTTCAATGTTCCTTCAGCCTGTCCCGATCTTGCTCTCGTGTCGGCGTCTCCATCGGTCACACGGAAGGTAGGTAAACATCACTATATTCATGAGTGACCTCGCTAACTGTTTAGACTTCATCTCATCCACCACCTTGGTTTTCGACCCTCGGCTAGAGGCCTTCACGATCACCCGGCCGTCGCTTCCTAGACCAGACACATCTCTTCTGATCAACAGCTCTCCCGAAGTTGCGCCTCATACCCTATTTACCACACAGAATCCTATCACCGAAGAATTTGAGACAGAAACCTTGGATATCCGGGCGTGGAGGGACAACTCGGTGTTGGAAGTGTTTGTCAATGGCCGCACTGCAATCTCTACTCGTCTCTATGCAGCGGAGGAGACCTTTGGTATGCGATTCTTTGCGATTGATGATGACTTCGATGCCGATCTTACATCTAGTCGAACAAGACTGGATGCTGCAAGTATTTGGGATGGGATCGGTACTCAGATTGAATGACACTGAGATGTGTCGAAACATTCCAGGTATTACCTATAGCATATTGTTTCCGAGGAACCATTGAGCTTCTTTCCTATAATATCTAACATATATTTTCTTCTTTGACTCCCGACAGCTTTTTGATGGGTTTGCTCGCGGGGAATTCGACTATAGCGGGTCGGCGATCAGCCAATCGGCTGCGTTCCATAGCAGAGCCTCACGATGTGAACCTTGGAAGTCCATCTTTTCCCAGCAGTTGAGGGGCAACATTGTAGTGATGAATGGACCTCGGAGTAAAGATGAGTGATCCTGAATTGTGACAGAAGAAATTGGAAGTAGGAAATTCATATACGCCCCAATCTTGCCACAGCACATCCCTGCATTGGGTCCTATCTCAGCGTTCAGCAACACGCACTTTTACATCTCGCTTGCTTCTACGGAGTACAAGTGCAAGCGCAAGACTCGGAAGGCTCATCGCACATGTGAAGGCAAGCCTCGAGCACCTCACGCTTTCATGCTGAAGCACTGGAGTGGGCTTGTTGCAGAACAGTCACAGGTCCATTCACCTCAACTACTCCGTAATCTCTACAAGTTCTATTGGTCAGTACACTCACAGCCATTCTCATGTTTCCTTTCAACCTGCTGCCTGACGGCGTTTGAGGACAACCCAAGCCAATAGTGACAGTGCCAGCCTGGGCGCCAAGCACTCGCCTTGGCAAAGCAACGTTTCCGCTTGCTGATCGCGCGATCGTGGGGTGCTGATCACCCGAGATGCTCACGCTGCAGACCATGCAAGCATCCATCTGTAATACCATAACCCTCTCACGCACCATATTAATCATGCCAAGTATGGGAATCGAGGCTACGCGCAGGCAATCTAATTTTGGCCAGTGCCCAGCCTTGGCAATTCGTTACACTGCCTAAGGAGCGCGGTTTCTGGTACTGGGCATCCCCTGACGGTGATACTCTGCCCACTCCCATAGCTCCTTGGATCTCTTGGTCTCGGGACTGCACAGCCTATAAAACTCCAGCCAAGGTGCTGTGGCTGTCTTTCAAAACTAATGATTTAAATTATCATTACTCCTTTTTCTTCCCCTCGACAATGGCACTCTCTTTTCATTTTCGCTCAGTCACCCCTTTATCTGAAGAAGAGCCATATATGCATCGACCGCGGGTCTCTTGATTGAAACAAGCATGTTTCCTTTCAATCGTTCATCTCCTCGGATATTATGGCTCACCATCCCCATTCTTGGGGTTTTGACAGCTCGCGTCGCAGCAGCGGGTGTGTCCCTCGATATTACCAATGCGGGTAAGATATCTGTCACTTCTGACAAGGCCATGTCCAGTAACATGTGCTCCGAGTACTAACGTTGGAAAGAATCTATTAAATCTGCAGCTAGTCAAATAGCCTTCGACCTCGTGACCTTCTACACGGGAAATAATACTGGCGACACGCCCGGAAATCTGCCAGATCCATACTACTGGTGGGAGGCCGGCGCCTTCTTCGGCGCACTGGTTAATTACTGGTCCTACACCGGGGACTCGATATACAACGACATCACGAAACAAGCCATGATCCACCAAGCAGGCAAGAAAGGCGACTTCATGCCCGAAAACCAGACATACACCGAAGGCAACGATGACCAATGCTTTTGGGCTTTGAGCGCCATGATAGCCGCTGAGCGAAACTTCCCTGCACCGACCTCTCCAACACCCGGGTGGCTTGCCATGGTTCAAGCGGTCTTCAATGAGCAGGCTCATCGATGGGACACTTCTGCCTGCGGCGGTGGTCTAAGATGGCAGATCTACACTTGGAACAGCGGATATCTTTACAGAAACAGTATTGCGAATGGATGTTTCTTCGACATCGCCTCGCGGCTGGCCAGATATACTGGAAATGATACATATGCAAAATGGGCCACCAAAGCATGGGACTGGACGCACATGATTGGTCTGATCGGAACCCAATATGAAATCTTTGACGGTGTCACCGATGTCGACAACTGTACCTCCCACGACCATAACCGATGGTCGTACAATGCAGGTGTCTGGCTGCACGGCGCGTCAGTGATGTACAATTATACAACAGAGCAGGGTTCTGAGATTTCTTCAGCCTGGCGAGAACGTACAGACTCTCTACTGAAGGCTACCAGTCATTTCTTCCCCAAGGACGACATCATGTTTGAGCCCAATTGTGAGGCCAGTGGGAAGTGCAATGTAGACCAGCTGTCCTTCAAAGCGTATTTGAGCCGCTGGCTGGCCGAAGTTACGCAGTATGCGCCTTATACATATGACACTATTATGGCGAGACTTCGGTCTACGGCCGTTGCGGCTGTTGCACAGTGCCTGGGTGGTGATACCGGTACATTCTGTGGTCACAAGTGGAGTATAGGGGATTACGACGGCACAACAGGGGTTGGGCAACAGATGGGCGTTCTTGAAGTACTTCAGGGTCTTCTGGCTGCCGACGTTGGCGGTGCTTTGACTTCGTCGACGGGGGGCGAGAGTAAAGGAGATAGCGCCGCTGGCACTGGAGACAGCGAAACTAAGGCTGAACTGCCTGTGATACATATTGATAACGGTGATCGAGCAGGGGCGGCTATAGTGACCTCTTTATTTGTTGGATTTGTCGCTTGGGCGGTTTATGGGATGGTTTCGTGAATTTCTTGTTCTCGATTATAACGGAAATTGCGGATTTGTACATAATTCGGGGAAATAATTTGGCCCCTCTGGCTTGAAAAATATTTTTTTGTAAATTACCTAGGTAATTGCAGTCAGAAGGATCTACCTAGTATCAAGTCTTCAGAATATACGAGATACAGATTGGTGGCACAATACATGGGTTCAGGAAACAGATCTTGAACATTCATCTGTAAACTAAGAAGGAAGAATGAGCTGCTCCTCCTTTGGCCAAGTAGCGACAGTTGTCGCATTTCCAGTCAATCGGAATCTGACGATGGCCGAGCGCTCGTTGTTCAATGCAAGCTCATACTTTCCAGGATAAATGATACGGTTTCCATCCACATCCGTACGAGCAACGTTATCCAGTGAGATGGGGATATGCAATGCTTGGGATGACCGCGGCTTTAATTCTCCTAGGCGATCGAATCCGACAAGCCACTTGATGGGATGCGGGCTTGGGCCAGCTGTAGAATTGACAAAGGCCATAGCTGTGTAGTCCGACTTGACAGAACCAGTGTTTCTGATGTTAGTCGTGTAGTTCATGAAAGGAAGTTGCTCAACGGCGTTATAGCCCTTGTGAGGTCGGGAAAGAAGATCGGCGATGTCGAATGACGATTCATTGCTCTGTTGAGCCGAGGCTTTGAATGTTGTGTAGAAGAGACCATGTCCAAATTCAAAGACCGGCTTGCCGGTATACCACATGTATGTTTGGCCTGGGTTGCTTCCATTTGGGCGCAAACTCATGTCTGTTGCTGGGAACTGGTGCGCATACTTGGCGGGATACTGGGTGGTTGTAAGTCTGCCAGCAGGAGCGCGCTTTCCAGTCAAGATGTCTAGAATAGCGAGGCCACCGGATTGTCCGGGATATCCACCCCAGACTAGAGCGTTGACATTCTTGCTGGCCTTCAATGCCGAGGAGTCAACTTGACCACCACCCATTTGCAGCACAACCAGAGGCTTTCCAACCTGGCTCAACTTCTTGATAAGGTCAAGCTGATTACCAGGCCATGTAATCTCCTGTCTGTCCATGCCTTCTTGTTCAACTGAGTTGTCAATGCCACCAGCGAAGACAATTACATCTGAATTCTTTGCAGCCTGGATTGCAGCGTCGAAGTCATCAGTTGACTCCGAAGTAATGTTGGTTCCGAAGGCATAGTTGACATCAAGGTCGGAATCCTCGAAGGCAGTGAGTGGACTGGTCAGGTAGGGCGAGTTTCCAAAGGGAAGGTAGTTTCCCTTCAACTGCCTAGTGGCGTTCGCCCAGGGTCCGATCAATGCCACGCTGCTGATGTTTTTGGACAATGGCAGGATTCCATCATTCTTCAGAAGGACGATGCCTTCCACAGCAGCCTGGTAAGAAACGTTCATGGCATCAGTGGCAACAACATCAGACCAGTCAAGATCGCGGTATTTGCTATCTTCTCCATCAAAGTATCCCGCACTAGCGAGGTTGGAGTACAGACGAATGACACCGCGTTCGATCTCACTGCGGGAGATCTGACCTTTCGTGAAAGAGCCATTCAAGTAGAGTTGATACGTAAAGCCACAGTCGACATCAGTGCCGGCCAACATGCTCTTCGCTGCTGCAAGCTCGGTGTCGGAAGCATATCCATGAGGATTGAAAACATTGTAGACAGCATCGCAATCCGAGGAAACGTAGCCATCCTCGACAAAGTTCCAGGTATCGCGCAGAAGAGTCTGCAGTATGAATGTGTTCGCCGATGAAGGCACGCCGTTGACAGCGTTGTAAGAAGACATGACGCTGTGAACCCTCGCATCTGAAACAGCCGCCTTGAACTGGGGCGAGTAGTACTCGGAAAGGTCCTGCTGGGAAATGATCATGTCATTGCCCAGTCTGGAATGATTGTTCCAGTTCTCGATATCGTAACCAACAAAATGTTTCGCGTTGGCGATCAGCTTGAGGGGGTAAGGATCCACTCCTCCTTGCATGCCAGTGATATATTCATAGGCGTAGGCGGAGCACAAGATGTTCGCGTCTTCGCCGGGGGTTTCCTGGCCACGGCCCCAAACCGGGTGACGGAAGGAGTTGATATTAGGCGAATATACATCCAGTCCGTAGCGGCCGTCGTTGTTGAATGCCCTTCCTTGGGTCGAAATAATGTCACCGATTTGATGAATCAAAGTGCGATTCAACGAAGCCATCGTCAAGATGGGGGATGGGAATGATGTTGACCAACTGAAGTCTCCAGACTCTGTCCAGTTGGCACGGTCTAGCCCGTGAAGGGCCTCACTCCAGACCTGATACGGCGGAAGTCCCAGACGTGGGATTGCGGGGATAAGATTTCCGGTGCTGTTCACGAGTTCTTCGAATGTAAACATCGCGACCAGAGCGGCGGCTCGATCATGAGGCCGTGCGGTTTTATCGCACACCACGGTATCTTTCAGAGGGCCATTTGAGCAATCGGGGAATGCCCAGTCGACGACATTCATGGAGTCGGGGTAGAGGCCGGGCTCGGGATCAGTGTTGTAGTCAACATATGTGGAATTATTCTGTGCCAATGCGGCCGGGGCAAAAGCCGCCAGCAAGGCAAGTATCGAAGTGACGGTCATTCTGAGAATGCTGGCAAATCACTTCTCCCCTCCCCAGGGAAGTCCAACTTATAGCAACTCCCAGCCAAGACAATTGTATGGAGAGCTTTCCCCACGCCAACCGAATGTGGTAATTTCTGCAGTCGATCTGATGTCGACGCTGGGGAATTCACGCGGGGTTTTGCCGAAGCACTTCCGCGACAGGGCGAACAGTTTAGCCTAAACTCGTTATTTGCTGTTGATTGTGGTGGTTTGGGCACTGCCTCATCGAGTCGAATTAACGTTTATGCCCAGCCAAAGCCACTCAGCCATTTCAGCCATCCGAAGACCTTCGCAGCTTGGCTATTTAGCCTGAAGAGTCATGATCTTTGGAAAGAATCAGCTAACCGATCATCCGTAAGGAGTTTTGAAGCATGGGCCGATCTGCGCATTTCCCCCTCTTTTGCCCATTGCCGATGTGCCCAGGTGGATAAATGGCTCTTCGGCTTCGGACTTGTGCTCAGGGTAATTGATTCCTAAGTTCCCAGGTTGTACCTAATTCAAGGCTATTGCCTGATCTCTACCTAGTAGGCGGAACTGTGCACGCAACCAGCGCTGCTTGCCTTGCAGTTCTGTCGTGGACCTCGGGAGGCGATCTACCGAATAATGGTGCCGCTGCAGAGACCGTCTTTTCAATGAATATATGTAGATTGCCCGACAAACGCCAGGGGCTTGGAAGTACTTCCAAGGTTTCCATCTCTCAGTAAATGATCTTGAATACCCAGGCAAAATGATCTGCTCTCACAATGTCATCACTCAATGACAATACCAACGTCCCATTCTCAGTCCTTTTCGACGGAACAACCGTGCCATCCAATTCCCCACCCACTACACGAACTTGATCATTTTTCATCCACGGAATAGGACTGGATAGAGCCAAGGTCTCATTTGGTGTGGTCAGGCAGTGAATGTAGAATGCGTCGTGGGACTTTGTAAAGCGGACAAATTCCCCTTCCTCGGGTGTCACAAACCAATACGTCGTATTGAAGATAGCCTCTGCGTGATCTTTGATCCATGACCCGGCTTCTCGGAGATGCTGCTTCTCCACATCAACTATGGTCCCGTTTGCCATGGGTCCAATGTCAAGGAGGAAGTTCCCGTTCTTCGAAACGATATCAATCAGTCCAGTGACGATTGAGCTTGCGTTCATGTAGCTAGCAGCTGGCGTCGCCCGGTTGAATCCATAGCTGTATGGATCCATTCCCTGACTAGTCTCCCACTTGCGTCTCTGGACCCCGCTATACTTGGCGTACTCGGGTGTGTCGAAATCTCCGGGCAAGCCACACCGGGCATTCATGACGACTTGGCGATTTTCTTCCGCTGCCTTGTTGTACCATGCTGCTGCAAAATCGGTGGTTTTGTTTTTGCCGCCGATGTCACACCACATGATTTCGGTTCCCATGTCCGCCAATATGTTCATTTCGACTAGGACCTTCTCCTCAACGTAGTCTGACAATGGCACATAGCCCGTGTATGGTAAGGTCTTGTTGGTGTATGGGTTTGTAGCATTTCCTGGTGCTTCGATTAGGGATGTAGAATATGATAACTTGGAGTGAGCGTACCTCCAGGCCAATCCCCGAATCCATACTGCGCATAGTCCGGATGGAACCATTCAGGCAATGAGTAGTATACGGAACGATGCATTTGAGGCTGGTACTTTTTGGAAGCATCAAATAGTTCCTATGAATGTCAGAAAAAGTGTTTGGAGGTTAACTTTATCGATCGCTTACTTGTACTATGTTTCGATGTGGCGAGAGGGCAACAGAGGTCCTCGTAGACACATTAGCTGGGAGGTCAAACAAAGCATACCCATCATGGTGCTTGCTCGTCAGAACAAAGTATTTCGCACCCGCGTCGGCGAACAAGTCCACCCACTCCTTTGGATCCCAGGCCGAGGCCGAGAAATCACCAATGAAATCGTCATAAACGAATTCCGCTCCGTATTTATCGAGATGGTAGCCATAGGTATTGGTCTTGTCAAGAGGCCCCGAGTTCATAGTCCACCAGTACCTTGGAGATTATCAGTGGAAGCGATGGAGACTTGTCATGTGAGACCATACCACTCCGCGTAATTCTCTTTCGATCCTTTATTGCCCCATCCAGGAACCGAGTAGACTCCCCAATGAATGAAAATTCCGAATTTTGCATTGCTGTACCAAGTTGGCGACTCGTGGCTGTAGATGGATTCATATGTAGGCTCAAAGCGCACGATTCCGTAAGTTGAGTTGAAAGTATACGGTCTGGAGTGCACACCGACGCCTTTGACAAGCACCGTCGCCGGCCCTGTCTCGCCCGACTCGACACCATCTCGGAGCTGCACTCCAATCTCAATGATAGCCTGATCCCCAGGGCCCAACCGTCTTATAGTAGCCTCGGATTTGGTCTCAAGGCCAGGCGACTGAATTTCAACACTCACCTGGTGCTCAGTATGAACGAAAGAGGTGCCCTTGTTGTTGATGATGACTTCGACGACCTGCACTTTCTCCGAGCCCTCCAACCATTTTTGTGTTGATCGAGCATATTGAATCTCCAAACACGGAGAGTTGGAAAGGAATGCGGCTGGTAGCAGGGATAAGGCAAATATGTGCAGTTTTGTATCCAACGCAGCACCTCCAGGTTCAGTTGAAGATCCAGTCGAGGAGTTCGGCCAGCTGAAGGAAACGAGCTCCTTTGACGAGTCCAACCAACTCACACTTTGAAATATGTTCGACTTGTTGTAATTGGTAGCATTCTCCGTCATGAAAGACGAAAACACCAAGTCACCACCGGCTGGGTAGGGCCAACTCCAAAACGCCGGAACGAGCACTGCTGCTTCTGAACTGCTTCCATCTGCATAGTTTGCTCTGATTGAAGCAGATACCATCCCAGATTCAGATGCAGCAAGCATTTGATAGCTGAAGTATCGCTCTTTCGTGACAGCAATTTCCTGTCCTTTCACCAGTACATTGTCGAATCCTGTTTGGTTAAAAGGAGAGAAATGATAATTGAAACCTCCGTAGGAAAATCGCTCAGGTGGCATCTCCATCGCCGGATAAGAATCTGTTGTTCAGGTTAAACCCGTTCAACACCTATCAGGTTGTGTCCTTACTTCCGGAACCATCGAAATTCGAATCATTTGGCTTCATTCCAAAAGCCCGATTATTGAACCAGGATCTCAAATCCACTGGCACCGAGGAAGCCTGTCCGGATAGCCGTTGGAACTCATTCTGCGGTTGAAATAAAACGCCCTGAATGGGGCGTATCAGACTTAGCAGCAGTACTGGAGCCCAAATCATGGTCGATGATTTAGCATAAAATTGACGAGGATTGGGTTCCCCCGCCTTTCTCATATATCGCAGCCCGTTATTACGGTAGCATTCCCCCGCGAACTAAACACTCCCAGATGGCCCGGATAAACGGTGCATAGTGATCGGCGTGCGGGGAATGCGGTCATTGTCCGGAATGGAGCTTACGAGTGGTCTTTTGGCGGATTTGGCGTGCAAATTTGGTGGTGGAAGTAACCCTGCAACTTGCCCAGGTGTTGTGTCGGATTGGTCGCTGAGATGTCCGCACAGGGTGAGCTCGGCCCTGTGCCGGCTACTTGGAATACAGACGAGATAGCGAGCACGAGAACATCGATGGCCCAGAGGCACTCGCCATTCTGTAAAATGATACTTGTCAACATATTATGATACAAGAATATGACCGCTTTCAAATGCAGACACCACGTAATAGATCATCCATAAAATACAAAATCTCCGTCAAACTCTGATCAACGGCGCTTGACCTCCTTCTCGAGCTTGTCCAGAGCCTTGGCATACTTGGGCTTCAAGGAGGCCAGGGCCTCAGACTTGATGTTGACGCGATCGATATACGAGGATCGTTTGATGGGACCTGCACCGATTTCGCCAGCGAACCAGCGGCCTTCACGGTGAGCGACCAAAGTCCAGGCAGATCCCTCCCGTCCGGCACGAGCAGTACGGCCGACACGATGAACATAAGTGGTGACACTAGTAGGGACATCGTAGTTAATGACGTGGGTCAAAGATGGAAGATCCAGACCACGGGATGCTCGATCGGTGGCAACGATGATTGAAATACGGCCTTGGTTGTATGCTCGAAGAGTCTTGCGAGATGCGGAGGAGTTGTTGGATTTCACGATTGTTCCTACGCGCTTGGCCAGAGCGGGGTGCAGGAGTGCGATGAGGCGCGACAGACGTGATGCAGACTCGGATGACTTGGTGAACACGAGAACTGTCTTGCGTGAAGGGGTTGGGATGACCTTTTCGACTCCTGATTCCGATTCCGATGAGTCGGAGGAACTAGAAGAGTCAGAGTCAGAGTCAGATGAATCGGAGTCGGAGTCGGAGTCAGATTCGGAATCAGAATCAGAATCAGAATCCGAGTCTGAGCCAGAAGAGGATGTGTCGTCGTCGGATGATTCATCAGAGCTGGTGTCGTCGTCGCTACTGGTCTCATCATCTGAGCTAGTTTCATCGGAGTCTGAGGAATCGAACTCGCTGACAGCACGGTCATCTCCCTTGAGCTCGATGTGTGAGAGCAGAAGACGCAAGAGATACAGTGGCTTCAAGGATCCATCACCAACACGAACCATCCGCTCGGAGAGGGTTGAGGGAAGGGTAAAGTGGGAGTCAGTTCGGGTGACAGATGTCTCTTCTTCATCAGGGCTCTTCTCAGACCCGATGATCACCATTTTAGGATTGGCAAGGCGTAGAGAATTGAGCTTTGAGATATCTCGGGTCATAGTGGCACTGAGAACGACCTTTCTGGGTGGCTTGGCGTCAATTGGAAGTCCAAGATCCGACAAGAGTTTGCCTCCGGGACCGAAAGTATCAGGAGCCTGGCGACTGTCGAGGGAGTTCATCACGACATCAACCCATTCCTGGAAACTCTCATTCAGAAGACGGTCAGCCTCGTCAATCACCAGCCATTCAAGGTGCTTGAGAGTGAATCCCTTAGTGTAGCGGATGTGGTCGACGAGACGACCAGGGGTACAAATGAGAATGTCAACATTAGGCTCCGATCGCTGCACATGGCCAGGGAGGGAGGTACTGGAGTTTAGGGCCTCGCTCACGCAATCTTCAAGACTCAGATCCATCCAATCATTGCCCTTCAATCCTTCGCGTTGTTGACGCTGGATGGCCGGGTTGTAAACTTGATCGACGCGCATCAACAGTTTCTGTTCATCCTTGATGGCCACATTACCCACGGCACTTCCGATGTGGAGCCGTGATCCCGAAGCACATAGTTCACAGGCCTCTCTGGCTTGCTTCACCAACTCTCGCGTGGGAACGACGATCAATCCTCGTAGCCGGGAGGCAGGTCTGGGTGGAAGAGCAGTCACAAGGGGAAGCACGTAAGAAAGAGTCTTTCCGGAACCAGTAGCTGCAGAGACACAAACATCTCCAGGGTGATTTTCCTTGCCTTGGAGCAGGAGGGGAATGACAGTAGACTGCACGGCGAAGGCTTCTGTGTAGTTCTGCTGCTCAAGGGTCTTGAGCAAGTCCGGCTTGATTCCTAATTCGGAAAATTTCTTTGTGTCTTCGGTAGATTTGCGCAATGGGTTGGCAAGCCACGGAGGCAAGGAAGAGTATGTCGGGAGTTGCTCTAGCTCGGGTGGGTTCACAGGTTGAGGGAGTCGTTCGAGGCCTTGGGCGTAAACAGGCTCGGCAGCAGGTGTCTCGTCTTCGACAGCTTCTGGTTGTACTTTTTTGGCCTTGGCGCTTGCAACTGACTTTGTCCGCTCGAACTTCGACATGATACCAGAATGCTTATTCTTTGGTCGGCCTTCCTCGGCGTCGACAGGAACTTCATCCTCAACTTTTTCCTCGATCAAAGGCGCAGGTTCATCAGCAAGCTCGTCGTCCTTCTCACTGCTCTTTCGTTTGCTGCTCTTTGTCTTCTTTGGCTTCTCGCCGACTGTGTCGCTAGGGTTTGCAGCTGTCGTTTTGCTGCGCTCTTTCGGGACAGCACTTTCTTTCCGCGTCGACTCCGGGGAGCTCTCGCCTTGAAGCGCATCTTTGAGACGTCTGCGTTTTTTGGAGCTGGCATCGTCTGCACCCTCTGCGCCTGGGAGACTTTCGCGCTTCTTATGCTTCTTCGTCGGGGTGGGAGTGGCGGCGGGCTGGGTGCTCTGGGCTTCGCGCTTGCGTTTGTGAGACTGTGACTTTGGTGTCAAGTCAACCTGGTTTGAGGACTCATGGTCCGATTTTTTGCCGACCATTCTGTGGAATAACGTGCGGGTCAGAATAGTTGCTGTTTGATTTGGAGCAAATTCCTTTTCTCGCGATATTTCCTGCCAGCAGAAAATTAAATGCTGTGACCGCCTTCCATACCGCCCTCCTTATCGCATCACCACGAGGCGTCTCCTGTGCTTGATGAATGGACGTAGACTGTTCAAAGCAACAGGTCTGTTCGCCATGGAAAGAGAGTCGACACAGCAAGAATCGTCTTCACCTCGGAACCAACCCGAGAATCAGCACCAAGATGCCGTATAACATTGCGTCGGTCCTCTCAATCTACAAGTCGCGGTCACTAGCTAACATGCTCGCTACATAGTATGGTCAGTGACTTTTTCTTCCCTCAATCAGGTATGCTGCCCTATATCCTGGTCTCCGTTAATATATTGACTCTTCCAGGTGGAATCGAAAGTCACATCTACCAGCTGTCCTCCGTAAGCGCTCCGTCTTACCCGCCTCGCAGCTCGTCCTAATCGCCTCTAGAAACTTATAGACCGGGGACATAAAGTGATTGTCATTACACATGCATACAAAGGAAGGACAGGAGTTCGTTACCTTACCAATGGGCTCAAGATCTACCACGTCCCGTTCTTCGTCATCTACCGCGAAACGACGTTCCCTACTGTCTTCTCGTTCTTCCCTATATTCCGCAATATTGTGATTCGGGAGAACATCGACATTGTCCATGGGCACGCGAGCTTAAGCAGCTTCTGCGGAGAAGCCATTCTCCATGCGCGCACCATGGGTCTGCGGACAGTATTCACGGATCACTCGTTATTCGGCTTTGCCGATGCAGCGTCGATTCTTACCAACAAGCTACTCAAATTCACGCTTAGTGATGTTGACCACGCAATTTGCGTCAGTCACACCTGGTACGTCGACTCATACGTCCGTTCGTGCAGAACTGATATTTAGAAGCAAGGAAAACACCGTACTGCGGGCTTCTTTAGATCCGCTGATGGTGTCAGTGATTCCAAACGCTGTTGTAGCGGAGAATTTCTGTCCCCTATCCCACACCACATCCCGTGCCGCCGATCAAGCACTCAGCTCGCCTACCGATCCTCCATTATCCCCAAGGATAATTGGGCCCGATGATACAATTACAATCGTTGTCATTTCCCGTCTTTTCTATAACAAGGGAACAGACCTTTTGATTGCATCCATCCCGCGAATTCTCGCCTCCAATCCCAATACCCGGTTCATCATCGCTGGATCAGGGCCCAAAGCTATAGACTTGGAACAGATGCTAGAACGCAATGTCCTCCAAGACAAAGTCGAGCTACTCGGATCAGTGCGACACGAAGAAGTCCGTGACGTTATGGTCCGAGGTGACATTTATCTTCATCCTAGCTTGACAGAGGCCTTCGGAACGGTAATTGTTGAAGCTGCTAGCTGCGGGCTTTACGTTGTGTGCACGCGTGTTGGTGGTATTCCCGAGGTGTTGCCGCAGCACATGACTACATTTGCTAAACCGGAAGAAGACGACATCGTTCTTGCAACCAGTAAGGCCATCGCCGCTTTGCGCTCGAACAAAGTCCGAACAGATCGATTCCATGATCAAGTGAAAATGATGTACTCATGGCGGGACGTCGCTGCCCGCACGGAGCGTGTTTATGAGGGCATCATTGGCGATATCAGTCCCGAAGAGTTCTATGGCTATTATCCTGGCCAGGGCTGGGAGGCTAGCGGGGATCGCGTTCGCAGCTTTGCATTGGTCGATAGACTGAAGCGCTATTATGGCTGCGGTGTCTGGGCCGGCAAGTTATTTTGCTTGTGTGTTGTGATCGACTTCTTGATTTACGTCTTTCTTGAGATGTGGTTCCCACGAGCCAATATCGACATAGCTCGAAGTTGGCCGAGGAAGCCACCTGCGAGGAAGTCTCTCGACAATCAGTGAGATGTGAGACAGCATCCACGAACATGCGCAAATGGTTCACATTCCCCCCATGTGCACCTTTTGCCCCATTATCTTTCATATGGCGTGCCATCCACTACTGTATATATTTCGAAGCGTTCAAGCTACTTTTCAGATCCCATACATACTTAGATCATTTAATGAATGAATTTATCACGAAATGCTTGAATTGAAAGCGGACTCGCTCTTAAATTATTTACATCTGCGAAGGTTGTTCATGACCGACACTTTTTCCGTGAACACATTATGGGATAACCAGCTCCCAGTTCGTAACTTAGTGCTTGTTCTGCTGACCCTTGTCACGCTTGGTGCGAGAGTCATAGGCCCACTCCTTGTCAAGGGTTTCGGCAGATTCGGGTTCGAGCTCCTCAGCCGCAGCACGGGCAGCCTTGTTGCCCCGGGTGCCGCTAGACACAGCTTCATCCCTCTCAAAACCACGCTGATCAGGGAACTGACGCTCAACGCCCCGGTCCTGGATTGATCCACCAACGCCTTCTAAGCCAGCGGACTGCTTCTTGCGGCCGTGCTCGCCATCGTGGCGGATTTCGGTGTTTGTCTGGCCTTGCATCGGCTTGCCGAATCCTTGATCCACAGATCCTGAAGTGGCGCCCACAAGAGTAGCAGCTGCGGGAGTGGCAGTGGACTCCTTTCCGTGCAGACGGCCGGCATCAGGGTTGTTGGCTTGGCTGACTTCAGAGACGTTGGGAGTGTAGGAGTTGCTTGCAGGAGCAGTTCCTCGGGGGAATTCCTCCATGTGGTATTCCGGGCGCTGGTCGGCCTCGTTAACCTTGACACCGGGCTTGTGCTGTTTGAGGTTAGCGCTGAATATTTCCAAATGACGAGGGGCTAAACTCACGCCCTTGGTGGTAATAGGGCCTTCGGGGGCCACAGAGGGCTTGAACTCGCCCTGCTTGGGGTTGGCGACGGAGTTGACGTTTTGAAGAGTGCTCATTTTGAAATTGATTGTCTTTGAACTTCTTAGAATTATTGGTACTTCTCTTGCCGGTCCTTTGCTCATCTTTTTATATGTATATCGGGGGTGATATCAACTACCAAGCCTACGTGACGTCAAGCGACTGGTTTCATCACCTACCAAGGGTTTCAGGAAACAGAACCGCTCTGGAATCCATGATGAGGGGAGAATGCATCTTGACTGAAGTCATAGATTGGATTTCTTGTTTCAGTATGGTCGCAATCTCTTTATACTCGTCGATCATCCCCGTCCGTGACATCAAGAAAAGTGGACCTTATGTACTTTCAAGTCACCACATTGCCCTCGCATTGGTGGAATCATTGCCGGACATGCGCCCACTTACTTGAATCGCTGTGGACAGTGGCACGATTGATATGTAGTAGAACAGCGCAGAATTTCTCGATCTTGTTTGGGGATTGTGCTGGTTCGCATGCTTCGAGCATTTCAAATTTGGGGCGATCGAAACTTAGGAAATGTAGCCCAAAGTCCTCCATACCCAGGTACTGCCCAATTTCACTACATACACCTGAACATATGTACTGTACTGGTGCTGGTGCTGCACACCAAGGCATACCTATAAGAAGTCCGAAACACTACTCGAAAACGTATAGCTACACCGAGGGGTTACCGAATCAGCAGTGAGCCTTGCAAGCTTGAAGCTATATACACCTAGGCAAAGCGAAGGCCACAGATTCGGGTGTGCTTCCAAAGTTCCAAGCTTATTCCCACTCCTAAAGAGAATGTCGAGACCTTGGAAAGAAAGCACCGCTACCTAGGTAGCGAGATAGATCTCAAGTCACAGCCGTTATATTGAATATTAACGAACGTTCTTGAAGAGATATAGATGTCCTTGGAGGTTTCGGAGTTCCACTAATCCAAATCAGACGCCCGTAGAGAAGTGGTATTGTCAACACAGTGATATACTTCCAAGGCTCGCGCTAGCAAAGAAATCACAACGACATTGTGAAATAAGAAAGCTGCGATGTTGGTTTGACGAAGCAGATAGGACGATGAGAGGACTATGACCCTGAAGCCAGTGGTGGTCAACGCCTCTGGCCTAGGATTTGATGGATCTAGTATCGCAAACAGGATATTTGAGCTGTTTTATTACCTGTGATAGGAGCATTACTTTCTAAGGTCAGGTGAGGTTTCTTGAAGAACAAGAACCTTGGAATTCTGGAATATCTGATTATTTCCATACAAGAGCATCCATACGGAAATAATTGACAGGGCCCCTTGCCATGTCCAAGATCTTCCAATGTTCGGATACAGTGCACGATGGCTCCGTGAGGGCGGCTTGATGGGCTTCTCATACCCATTCCAAGTGCGAGTCTATTGATCTGTTGCGCGCTTCTCTAGCAAAGAGCCCTGATATGCTATTAACAGGATATAATTATCATTAAAAAAACGCCATTATGCATGATATGCAGCGCTCGACGCGGTATGTACGAGAAAGTGTAATGGAATCAACGCATAACAGGAGGTCGGCCCTCCTTATTCCACTTGACGCGACTTTGCACCCACTCCACCGCTGCCTGAACCCCGGACCCAAGCAGCGCGCTGACCGGCAGCACACGACTGTCCCGAACGCCTCCTCCCGTTTCTCCCTCGAATACCTTCCGAACAAGGCCCTCCTTGATGCGAACCACTTCCACGCAGTCCTCACGGTCCTGCTTGTTCGCCAGTACGAGTATAGGCACACCGGCGACATCCGCATTCTGCAGGACCGACTCCAAAACTTGTCGGCATTCGTCCAAGCGCCCAAACTCACTGCTGGCCGCGCCTATCCCAACGTTATCCTCGGTGAAAGCTTCTGCGCTTGAGTTACCCCGGGTGTTACGCGCGCCAGCAGTGGAACTCGCGCGTCTTGCGACAAGCCGCGTGATGTCAGGGTCTTGACCGACGTCCGCGCTGTCGACCACGAAGATGATCGCGTGACAGCTGGTATAGTAGCTTTGCCATAGACCTCGCATTGAGATCTGGCCTCCCACATCCCAGATTTTCAGGTTCATGTCGTGCAAGGGTATCGTTGCGACATTCTGACCGACGGTGGGGACAGTTTTTCCGGGGTTGGGCGCGGGGGCACCTTCGGGACGGGGTTGATAGAGCGCTTTGATCTGGGAGAGTAGGGTGGTTTTCCCAGCGTTGTCTAGCCCAAGCAGAATGACAGAGTACTCTGTCCGATAAGTCAGTGTCTAGTGACGCGATCGCGGGTCAAGGATCGGAGATCGAAGATCAGAGTACCTTCTTTGCTCGTGGCGGCTAAGTACAGCGACTTGGCCAGGTGATACATGACCCTGGAGCTCAAGGCCACATGCGATTTGGATTGGAAAAAGGAACGGGGTCAAACAGCGCAACCATTGCATCTGCCGTTGCTCTGCATGCGGAGTGAAGCCGTCTGGCGTTCCAGCCTCATCCGCATTAGGCAATAGGGCTTAGGGCAAGCTCCTCTTTAGGATCGGGATCTTCCAACCGCGCATCGGCCTCGTGTGTCGGGGTCCGTGTTTCTTACTGCTGTACTCCGTGCCTGAACCGCAAGACAAGTTGGACAAGAACAGTCTGATGTTACAGGAAGTCGTCCTCCATGTGAATGACCCAACAGACAGGTTTCCGGAACGAATATCCAGGGTTGCAACTGTCGTACCATTGCTGTCGGCGAATGAATGATGTGGAGATGTCTCCCCCACTTCCGGTTTGTCAGCTTGATTATTGATGAGGCGATACGAAGTCCACGGGTATTTCCCCCAGTTCCCCGGGTTCTTCTCCTCTGAATGCCAGACGCTTTGTGGCAGCTTCGCCTTCTGGACAGCGACAGCAGGCTCGGTCCTTATCGGAAGGGTTTTCCGCGGTCTATTCGCATATCGCGCATGTGGTTTTATTCGTCGAATGTTTCTACCAGTATGCTCAAAGCTCGAAACTTCCTTTGAGACATGTCGCCGTCAATGGAGATTGACACTGTCATTGTCGGTATGTCTGCTTTGGCACCTTCTGAGACCCTGTCTTGGAGAGCCCCGCAACCTACCCCGCTACTGTACTGGCCGTTATATCAGAATTGCGCTAATCGGATCATCCTTCAGGCAATGGGCCATCGGCCATGATCCTTTCGTACATTCTCCACGGCCATATCCCTCTTTACACATCCAATCCGCCCCACCCAGATCATCTACTGGATACCAAGCTGAAGGCTGCACCGGAGCTCTTGAATGCCGACGTGGATGGCCTAACGGCCCATTTTGACGCCTCAAGGCTATCCTACTCAACCCAGGCTCTGCCAATCAATGTCTTGCTAGACACACTTGTCCGACCAAGTGTTGATGTTGACGAGCCTGGCTGCATCTCGAATGTTGAATGGCGACGCCAGCCTGAAAAGGCCGTTTCGCATGTTGTCTTTGGAAAGCCCTCCAACCCTGGAGGCCAATGGACGGAGGACCCGCTAGGAGCTAGTTGGGATATTCAGACTTTAAGCTATGCGGCTATGCTATCCTTGCCCGGATACTCCTTCGCTGATCACCATGTGGCAACTACCGGCAAGACTTTGCCGCCGTATACAAGACCTACACGGCGCGAAATTGCGGATTACTTTGCTGCGTATCCGCAAGCTGCGGGGATAGCCGAATCTTTTCGATGTGGAGAGGAATTGAGCGGAATATCACGAACCGCAAGTGGGTTCTATATCCGCTCCCATAATGTTCACTGCAAGCGGCTGGTTCTAGCAAGCGGAATATTCTCCGAGGTCCTCCTGCCAGAGCCCTCCTTGCGCCCGATTTTACGAACTACTCCCTCTCCCGAAACCCCCATTCTCATCGTTGGGTCCGGCTTTTCCGCCGCTGATGCAATAATCTCCGCCGCTCCTGGCCAGAAGATCTTGCATGTTTTCAAATGGTCCCCCAACGATCGCCCATCACCACTTCGGGCCTGTCACCAGCAAGCATACCCCGAATATGCTGGTGTTTATCGTCTCATGAAACGGGCTGCCCTCGTTTCCGAGGCCAAGGGCAACGGAAAACAAAAGAGCCGTCGCGCCACCTCAACACCTTTCCTTGAAAGCAGGAACTGGGATGACCTTTATCAAGGTCTGCCAAATGTTGAGATGATAGACGCAAAGCTCGAAGGAGAACTTGCACATGTGACATTCCGTCGTCATGATGACACTACCTTCACCCAAGTCGTCCGTGGGCTCGTCTATGCTGCAGGCAGACGAGGGACCCTGGATTACCTTGACCCTGAGCTCCGCTGTGAAGTGCTGGGGCCAGGATATCAACCAGACTCGGAAATTACCGGCCAAACACTTCGCGCGAAGGCTGTTGAAAATCTCGAGGTTGCCCCGAATACTTTCATAATTGGAAGTTTGACCGGGGACTCTCTGGTCCGATTTTCATACGGCGGGTGCGTTGCTACAGCTGGCCGTCTAATAGATGGCGAACGCGACACCCGTAGCCTGTGTAGTAGCTTCGTTTCATCGGCCAAGCTCCATGAATCTTCACTCTCTGTTATGAACGGGATGGACGGGCATCTCATATATCCCAATGATGACGCAGACCTCACCCGCGAAGATACCTTCAGCAAGATCTCCACTGTTACAGATCAGACTGTGTTGCGCGGTTGGTGGAAAACGATTTCTCGCTTGTGGAGTGGTCTCACGCGATGATTCATACCTTACATACTTTGACGATGCTGCTCATGTACACTCACAATTATATACAACAGATAGATACGCCTGGATCTTTGATATTCGCGCTAGCTTGTGCATCATACTACAGTGACTTGAATAAACATGTTTAACTTACTTTCAAACCCAGAAAGAAGCCCGCTTTGAGATATCCTTGTCGAATGCTACCTATTACCTGAGCATCGAAATCCTGATCTGAGTAATGATACAGTTCGTGTACTTTCTTGGGGTCCTCTCCCAACCTTGAACTGCCGTCATAATCGACACCTGGGCACTCACGGGGCAACCTTTGAAGCGTGGACTACCTAGGTACCCATCAAAATCCTGATTCTGTGCACTTGATCACTCCAGGGCTCCCATCATTTGTAGAGATGATGAATGACATGCACGTGTGTATACATACTGTACTTGTGTCGGATGTGGATCCCATTTTGTCATTGACAGCTACCTGCCAGAGGTCCGGGGTATTCATCCCATATAGCGAAATCTATGGCGCACAACCAGGGCTATACAATTCCAAGGTTTTACAGATCGCTTCCAAGATAAAAGTTCAATCAATCAAATTTGGTCGCGTAAAGAGCGAGAATACCGGCAAGTAACGGAAGTGGGTTCTCGACCCAAACGACAAAATTAAAATTGTCGGATGCCCAAGGAGCAATGAGTTACCAGACTTTCGTATAACGCCTGCGGTGCTCTGTAAGGTGGTGCGACAGCTGCACAAATGGCAAAGGTCCCGAACATGCAAGGTCAAAACACGCTAGGCATACCCCTGCAAAAACATTGATACTAGTACAACAACCTTGGAAGTTGCAACGCCAAAAAGCGGGTCGACTCGGCGGTGGTGCCCTCCCCCACGTGTCGCCCACATGTAGGCCACGTTTAGCCCGCGTGGGCTCTGCGCACCAAAACCCTGCATGTTTTAGCGTGGTATTATACCCATGGATGTCGAGGTTGCTGTGCATGACTGCGTTTGATTATTGGGGTTTCAGGAGTGTCACATTTAATGTATTTCTAATGTGAGTCCTCGTGAACAAAAACAGAATTGACAAAGGCCAAACAAGCAGTTACTCGCGAGAGAGATTTGCACCACCGAAGATTTGTTGACAAAAAGAATTCCATATGTCCTCCGTTAATGCTTCCTTGGTATCAGTTGAAAGATCAGATATGCTAACAATGAATATTCAAACGCCTTCAGGGTGACGGTTCCAATTTGATGGTTGTCCGGTTCGCGTTCGCTTCCTCTGCTGTGGGCTTTCTTGCCCACACGCGGGTCCTTCATGTTCGTTAGCTTGAAATCTCGTGGAAGTTGTAATCCAGGAAGAAACATACGCGGGCTCATATGCGTGGATATGGGGGTCCTTCAGCTCTGTGCGGACTTTAGCCAAGTAGACCTGCACCTCCTCCTTGGTCCAGGGCTCTGGCGCTCCATAATGAGTGAGAAGCCACATGGCCCAGCCCTCGAGGGCTGCGTTCCAGTGAGCATACTGCAAGTGTCCTGCTTCCTTCAGTTGTTTGTCCTTGGGCCAGGGTCCCAAGGGAATCTTGTAGTTTTCCTCGTGGACGTCCACGAAACCAGCTTTCTCAATCGCACTGCGCATCTTTTCGTGCGTCCGGAGTGATCTTCCGGCTCGTTCGGAGCATCCAACGAATATATTTCCCCATCCATGTAGCATGTGCTCGGGCTTCAATGAACCATCATCGCTATAGACTCGCACGTCTAGTTCCATCTGTTCGATCCAGCCACCAGGCTCGAGGGCACTTGATAGAGGGTCAGATACTGCTGAATTTCATGGCCAATGCAGTCATGCGACAGGAGTGAGAACTTACTCATATGCTTGTTTGTACACTTGTTCCCATCCCTCATCTGTGAATGCGCCGTACATCAAGCGCATGTGGATGAAGTCAAATGATTCTCTCCATGTCCACTCGCGAAGGACATCGTCCACCTCGAAAACGCAGTTTGGGGGCATCCATAATGCGGGTGGGGGAAAAATGTCTACACCGTGGACGGTAGCTAGATTGTGTTAGCCGAAGTATACGCCGAGTCTGATCACGGTGTGCTCGTACCGTTGGGGAAGTAATCGGCAACATCACTAGAGACACGTTAGATGCTTTCTTTCGGCGAGTGATTCGTTCAATTACATTGCCCAACTTCCTTGACCGGTTCCGATATCCAAGATTTTCTGAGACAATCTGTCAGCGGGACGCTCGGGCCAGCGCGGCCTCGGTATGAACTCACCTTAGGCGAGGGGCCAATGGGGGCTCGAAAGAGGGGGTTCGGCTGGGTGTGGTCCAAGACGAGAAATACCATGTGGCTATGTATTGTTAGAACCCCAATTTTTCCTGGCCCATGTGACATGGGGAATGAAGGGGTGGAATGCGAATTACCCAATTTCGAATGCTTCGAATTGTTGCTCGTCTGAAGGGCCCCTTCGCAAGGTTAGTTTCAGCAAAACAGGTTTCTCATCAATTGAGCTAACCAGTAGTCGTCCTCTTTGGTGGCCTGATATCTGTATTTTGGGATTAGTGGGATTGAATCCTTCGCTACGGGGACAGAACCAACCTTCGGCCATTTTCGAATCGTCCCCTCGCAATCGTAGATGCAAGAGAAGTGGTCTCCCTACGAAATTCGATAAGAATGCGACCGCAACCTCAGTGCGGAGTGGACCTTACGAGTGGAAGTCCTGTGGTTCGGTCCCATAGGACATCGAGTAGAAATCGGGGTCCTGGGTACGATGAGAACGATTCTTTCAACCCAATAAGAGCATCACATACCACAGTGATCTGATCCATGTCTGCGATCAGGCTTAGGCTTGTAACGAGACAACTCGATAAGAATGTGGATGTTGGAAGATCCAGGAAACGGTGTAAGGAATAAGAAAGGGGGAGGGGGGAGGGTTTGGGTACGGGACTCGCCGTGTATCCGCTGAGCCGTTAAGAACTTTCGTTAAATCGGGACATCATTGAGCCCGGCCTGAGTGGGGGTAAGGAAAAGGAAAAAGGTACTCCATACGGAGAACGGAGTATACGGCTGATGGACGGGTCTTTGACCGCAGGTCAGACCCACCCAGTTGATCGACCGTTGTGTGACAGTACGTTGTACTCCGTACGAGTTGAAGAAATGCACTGCCGAACACATTGTGGGGCCAAAATCGTCAGAACACGGGAACTGACCCCCAGCCAGTGGCAACCCTTGCATCGATCTGGTGCGTTATTCGCTCCCAGCAAAGCATATTTTCAAGTTACTTGAGCAACGCCCCATGATTGGCTGCTCACCCATCTTGACACCGGATTGTGTCCATGGATGGAGATTAGCCTTTGGGGCTAGAGCAGCGCCTAGCCCCAATTGGAAGCCTACCTAAACTATCCTAGCGTGTTTCCATCCCTCATATAAATCATTAGCTGTCACTTTAACACATTTAAAGTCTCGCGGATTTGATATTGTTGGGGTATTGAAGATCCCACCTGACAGAACTTTAATGGAGAATCGTCACGAAACACCTGATTCCAAGCGACCGATTAGAAAACAAGGGATCAACAAATATATTTGGTTACTGTACTAGCGTGCAGTATCGTGAACAACTTGGAACAACTGCTCTTCGGGCCTTGAGAGAAAAAACCCTCCACGCCATGATGGATTTCCAGAATTTTGCCCATTGGAGTGTCATGTTGCTCAGACGATATTGATGGATGTTCAGACTTCTCTTTTCTCATCCCCCATGTGGTTTCACCGCCAAGAAAATACGCGATAACTTGGCGACTGTTAGAATCAGCCCAACTCAAGACGTATACGGAGTACACGGTGCCTTATAAGTTTCGACTGGAGCTTCATCTTGTGAGAAATCGCGAATGTTTGCCAAGTCCGAGGCGTGAAACCCCTAGCATGCGCGTCGCAGACAAACAAAAGCTCGGTCACAAAGGTTGACGCCCCACTCGATGGAAGATGGAAGAACAAAAAATGCCGCTATTAGGGAGGGGAATCTCGAATGAAGCAGCATATCATATCGTGGCTCAAATGGAGAAGAGGAATCAGGAGAAAGAGTGGGAATGAGAGATTGATAAAAACCTCAAGAGTACTGGAGTGTGGTCATCTAACCTACCCGTAGAGGCCGAACTCGGAACTGAGTCCCAACGGGGTATTTGAATATCTTCTCAACATCAAATGTTCTTCATTTCCGCCTCTCTTGTCGGTATATTCATTATGTACCTGAAAAGCTCTACCACCAAGGTGTACGACTAAGGGCTTCTTTGCCGAATCGATGAAGACCTTTTCTCACGAGACCACCGCCAACGCGCCTCCGACCGGGACGTTGTCTTCCATCCCAGGCTCTGGGAACCCAGAAATATCAACACCCTTTCGGAAAACCAAACAATGAGTAGACCCCCCAAAGTGGAACATGCCAATTTGGTCCCCCTTCTGAACTCTCTGACCCTCTTTCACGGTAATTTCACAGGTGGAAACTTCTGCCATCCCAACTCCAACGAAGGCCATCAATCCAATAGCCGGCTCGTCCGCCTCAATGAAAATGAGTGCACGCGTAGCGGTCGAAGTGATGTATCCTTGCGAAGTAACTTGACCCGCCATATCAATCTCTTTGGTTTGTGCTTCGGGGTTGCCGACGCCTTCAAACAAGGGTTCGGAATAGTAGGTCCCGTCGACGACGTATGCCTTGACAATCTTGCCGCTCACGGGTGCATGCCAACGGTGGTAGCTCAGCGCACTCAAGAAGGCCTGGTATATAGTCCCGCCAACAAACTCCGAGGCGAGTGAGTCATGGCCCAGCATGTCAAGAACAGAATAAGGCTGTGACTTGATCCAGAACTTATCTCGGGCGCGAATATGATGCGCCGTTTTGAAAGGTCTGGACTCACACGCATTCGCAATTACCTTTCCATTTTCCGGCTCTGCGACAGGACGAACTCCGTCCCTGAATTCGCGAGTGAAGAAATGATCCCAGGACTTGAATCCGTGATTCGGTGCAGAGGGGTCACATTCGAACATATCTTCGAATTTCAGATTCGTTGCCGCAACACGTCCGATCTTCGCAACGGCTGTCAGGTCGCGTAAACCCGTCTCGCCGAACCACCCGTGCTTTGAAGCGCTGAGCACATCCGCTGAAGCAGGCGATCGCAGGAAGTCGCCCCAGACATTCAGGATCTTCTTGATTTGCTTGTTGATCTCGGGATCGAGGAAGGCAGCATACCCGCTGGGCGTGCCCATTGGCCAGTCGAGGACGGCATTGATGGGTAATCCGACCAAGCCGACCCGGTGGGACTTATCGGTCCATGAGGGTGCAGTAGTGAGGAGATGGTTCAGGACTTGCAGAAAGTGAGAATAGTCACGGATCTCGGGATTCCCGGTTGGGTCGTGGCCGTATTTCTTCTGACGGGGCACTTCATTGAACATAGAACCCAAAAGCATATACACTCGAGTGTTTGTTTCAATCAACGTCTTAAATTCTTCCAGCACTGGATGAAGAGGGGCATTTTCATCGACTTCTCGAATCACTCCGCCCAGCCATTCTTTGTGGGCCTTGTGATCTGCGGGCATCCAATTCCCTGTGCTGTGCTATGTTAGAGGGTTGGCTTGTCAAATGGCGGCTTCTCCCTTACTGGTAAAGGTGGTGTGCGGAGCTCTTATGCGCCATTGTTCAAGATTTCGAGATGGTCTGGTATGAATATCAAAAATGAACTTATATACATCAAAATGAAGATCTGTGCATGTATATGTGTGAAACAAGTCGAATTGCCAAGCTGGCCTTAAAAGGCTTGGCCAGAATAGCAGATCTCGGATATTTATGCAATTCTACACTTAAACAAGCTTCTTATTTGCAGTGTCTTACATCAGAGTGACGAGCCATCAGACAACAATGGGCCCATTCACAGCGAGAAATGTATCTTCCAAGGCATTTTAGCAGCGCAGGCATCCGCGTATCCGGTGATGATGTCATATCTTCTATAGACACTGCTTCCCCGCATAATTAGAAATTATTAGATGTGCACTGTATTGGCAAAGTGAGTAGAAAGTGAAGGCTATTAGAATGGATCTCATATGGACATTCAATGTTACAGAGCATATCTATTTTCGTCAGGTGTAAGTTTTACAGAGTTCTAGGTGTCTTTAACAAACTGATTTCGGGCCTTGAGATTGAACAATCATTACGGTGAACTCAACAGTGTTTACAAGCAGTACGATGATACCATCCTATTTTGTCGTCATTTTATAGGAATAGCCCGTTTGGGAAGGCATGAGTGGCCGTTATAAGACCCTTGGAAGGCACCCCAATATGAAACGATGAAACCATCTGGTCGGCAACTCCCACTTTGAACTTTCAACAAAACTTCAGAATACATTAGCCGTCTGATGTCTTGCTACATACTCAGCTCCCCTACCATTCTTGATATCTACCCTGGAGGTTCTTCGTGGCGACCGGTCATCTGTGCTGTTGACGTCTTTTCCGCCTTCACGAAAGGACAATTCTGAGGCCATGGATCGATTACTCAAGTGAGACCAGAGCTGCTAAGCAAGCTTACTGGAGGAACGGCGACAAGGATTTGCAGAGTCGTCGCCACCAGCAGACCGAGCGCAGTCTTTCTGCATAAATGACCGTCTAGTAGGTTTGTCATCACTAGGCTTGACCTCAGGAGCGGAATTATTTCTGATGCTTTCCTGTAGCACAAGGCTCGAGCTGCGCTGGCTGCTGCGCCGCATGGTGCGTGGAGCAAGTGATGTTACTTTGTTTGTCTGTCCCGTACATCACTTGCTATCATACAATGAGCTAACCGATGAACAGTCAATTCAATCCCTCTTCGAATCCAACTCTGGATCAAAGTTTCGCTTACAAGAGAGTCACTCTTTCATCAAGCAAAGCCATGCGGGCTGGTGGGCAGGAGATAAGAGAGAGAAACAGAGGGGGGGTGCACCCTCTGAACAGGACATAAGAGAGAGCAAACGAGGGGGGTGCACCCTCTGAACAGCTTCCTGTGTGGCTATTCGTGCTATGTGTTTATGTCAGGGGACGGACTCGGGATACGATCAAAGATGGAATCGCTGAGACATTTTTCACGAAAGTAAAGGTCTACTAGGTCAAGCCCGTTGAAATCATGAACTCGCAATGTGACTGTTCTTGCGCTCTTGGCCACCTCACTCATCGACCCCCAGTAAGATATGGATGAAACTCGTAGCTCTCCTATTGTAGAGACAGCCTCAGTAGAACTTCAAGGCTACTAGGTATGTAACACTTCTCGGAAAGTCGACCTGAACACTGGTGGGATTTCCCCAATGGAATTTAGCTAGAGGACCTTAGCTGAGCATTATCAGCTTTCTGATGGTGTTTAGGGTCTGATGTCAAGTCCTCATTCTACTATATATTCCAACATCAAAGATTTTTAGACTAAGTCAGGATTGGTTTAATCAATCCTCAATGAGTCTTCGTTTGCATATTGTTGGAAAGCTATTCCTACTCAACGGCACAGGACCAAAGATAATTTAACTTCAGTTCCTATGATCAAGACTCACATATAACCTGATCTTGATCGTTGAAGAACTGAAATAGAAAGCTGCTCAATTTTGAGAGTGTCTCAGTTTCTCTCCAATCATCTACCTATTTCACCAGACCTCTCTCGGGCGGACAACATCAATACGTCTTAGTCTGGCTCCAGTACCAAGAGCTTCCAAGACTGTCTCACGGGACAATTATCATACTCAATGCTTGGGATAATCTACAGGCAACAATGGTGAGATCGGCAGGGGTGGAGTGCGGTGCCATAAACAGCGCACCCCGCAGGAGAATTAACCAACTCGTCAAGGGGGAACGGCGATCACTGAGGTTTTCCCGGATCACCACTATAAATACATCAGATCAAGGCAAATTTTGATCGCGATGTTCACTGAAGTCGGAGGCCATATCGAAGTCGACTGAACATCGCCGGTTCGGTTCCCTTTACAGCTCATAATTGCCAACCATGCATTTGGACAGGTTGCTGATTGTGACCTCGCTCGCGGGACCAGCACTTGGCTTCAATGCAACAGAATTGATACAGCATTATTTTGGAAATGATGCTCCCTGGTACGCCGATCGAATCCCAGTGTTCGAATCCAGCGCGTCTGAGATCCAGGATGTGTACTATTATCGATGGAGCGTCTTCCGCGCTCACCAGCGCGATCTCGGCGCCGATGGATACATATCAACCGAGTTCTTGCAGGATGTGGGATGGCAAACCCAGCCATCGGCACTGCTGATTGATGCGGCCAACATGCACCTTCGGGAAGGACGTTGGTGCCGAGACCGACGCTTCAAGGATGATTACGGCAACTTCCTCTTCGGGGCTCATAAGAACCCATACCAGTTCTCGGAAAGTATGGCTGATGGTGTGTGGCAAGGCTATCTTGTAGATGGCGTTTCTGGATCTATCACAGGGCATCTCGAATCCATGCAAGATGTCTATACGGGATGGAACACCACGACCATGTCAACGGGTGGTTATGATGTGGATAAGAGCTTGTACTGGATTCAGCCATTAACCGATGCCACCGAATACACCATCGCGAGTATCGATGCCTCTGGAGGCTCTGACGGGTTTACCGGTGGAAATGCATTCCGCCCCAGCATCAACAGTTATCAGTACGCGAATGCCCTGGCCATATCCAACATCGCTTCTCTCACGGGAGACAAAGCCCTCGCACAAGAATATAAGGATAAGGCAGCTACCATCAAGGCCGATGTCCAGACTTCCCTTTGGAACAGCACCTTCAAGCACTTCATCGACAGATACAAAGTCGACAACACCAACGTGAAGTATTGGGATTTCATTCGCGGAAGAGAGCTTGTCGGCTATGTTCCCTGGACTCACGATCTCCCTGATGACACCGATGCATTCGCCCAAGCATGGACTCATCTGACTGACTCGGAGAAGTTTGGCGGACCACATGGACTCCGCACCAACGAGCCCAGCTACGAATACTACATGCGTCAGTACCGCTACGAGGGAAGCCAGAGAGAATGCCAGTGGAACGGTCCAGCCTGGCCATATCAAACAACCCAGCTCCTTGCGGGTCTTGCGAACTTGCTTGACCACTATCCCAAAGCCGCAGCGGCCAACGTGATCAGCAAGACCGACTACACTAAACTTCTCAAGCAATATGCTCAGCTCCACTACAACCCGAACAGAGGCGGCATCCTTGACATCGAAGAGGACTACGACGCAGACACAGGTCTTCCCATCGTTGGACTTGCTCGCTCCCCACATTACTTCCACTCCGGATTCATTGATCTAGTCCTATCCGGACTCGTGGGCGTTCGTCCCCAGGCCGGGGATACCCTCGAGATCAACCCAGCAGCCGATGCAAGCTCCATTTCCTACTTCCGAGCTGCACGGATCATGTACCACGGACACGAGATCGCTGTTCAATGGGATGCGACTGGCAAACAGTACGGACAAAAGGGCCTTATTATCGAAGTCGATGGCAAGAAGGCAGCGAGCTCAAAGAATCTCTCCCGCCTGTCTGTCAAAATAAACCGCCAGGACCCGCCAGCCGTTGCTCGTCCTATCGCCGTGTCCATTCAGCAAGGAGAAGACACCGAGTATCCACGTGGTCAGGTCTCAGTCACAGGCGACACGAACACAGCTGCTATCCACGCTGCCATCGACGGTCGCGTCTGGTTTTTCCCTGAGTCTGATATCGCGAATGGATGGGACACTCCGGCAGGGAATGGAAGCGAGGTCTGGTATCAAATTGACTTTGGATCCTCTACTAAGACGAAGAATGCCGAGATTGCGTTCTTTGCAAACGCGACACAGACATTCGATGTCCCGAGTGACTATCGCATTCAGACCAGCCAGTCTGGAAAATGGGTGGATGTCTCGAATGGTAAGCTTGACAAGGCGCTTGCGAACGGTATAACGAAGGCATCCTGGGATTCTGTCAGCTCGGAGAGTATTCGGTTAGTCTTCACGCCCAAGAAGGGATCGAAGGCCCGACTGGTTGAGTTGAAGGTCTTCGGGGCATAAATTTGTCGTGAATGAGAGTGCGATATCCAGGAGTGTTTAGATGCCTGCAACCATCCCGAACTGGCCAGATATTCGGTGCACATCCTGGATGATTATCTGTAATATTTTCTGAAACAAATGATAGGAATGGGACTAGCGTTATGTTCTGTGTAGTGGGCTGATGCTCGACATTCTGTGCACTTCCACTTCGTACATCCTTCGAGATCATTGAGATCATTGTCTCTATACCTACCAAAATCACAAACCAGAATCATGGACATCAACGACCTGTCAACTGCGACACCCCTCCCGACTCGCCAGTTGGCCGGCATCACAATCCCCGACACCCCGCTTGTCAACAAATCAATCGCATACGCCCGTAAGCACGGAGATGATTTCACTTACAACCACGTCCTACGAAGCTGCCTATTCGCCATCGCCTCTGCTCCCATCGTCACAGCCACCTCGCCGGAATACCAAATCGACTACGAGGCCGTGGCCATCAGTACGATTCTTCACGACCTAGCGTGGTCAGCGGACAATGCCAAGAGCACCCCAGACAAGCGGTTTGAGGTTGACAGCGCCAATGCTGCGCGTGAATTCCTAGTGTCCGAAGTCGGCAACGATCCTTACTGGCCATCCCACCGGATCCAGCTTGTCTGGGATGCTATCGCGCTGCATACTACTAATTCCATCGCGATGCACAAGCAGCCTGAGGTCATGCTGGCGCATGTGGGTATCTCGGCGGACTTTGTGGGGCCGAATTTATTTCCTGGTGGAAATGGCCCGTTGACTTGGAAGGCATTCGGTGAGGTGGTTGAAGCGTTCCCGAGGGTGAATTTCAAGGAGGGAATCAAGGAGATTATGTGTGAGTTGTGCAGGAAGAAGCCAGAGACAACATATGATAATTTTGTCGGCGACTTTGGGGAGAAGTATGTGGAGAACTACGATCGGATGGGCAAACGGCCTAGTGACTTTTGTGAAAGTGCCATTGAGTGAGGAATCCAAGGATTGGCTTTGGTATCTCGAATTTTTGCTTTGTTCTCGAATTTCGGTTGAAGTCATATGAGAAAAGTAGCCTTTCCCGGTTCTGTGGTCTACTATATAGCTTTTAAGGTCGTGTACATTTTCTGGGGAGGCCCATTGCTACTCAATTCCAAGGTTCGCTTTGGGCCAATTTGACATATTTTCATAATCATCTATGATATTTTATTCATGATTGAGTCATAGTAAGTTCATAAGTTTACAGACGAGCCTTGTCCTCCTCACGGCCAACGAGGTTGGGGTGGGGGGCGCGGACAGGGCGAGTCACAGCGTAGAAGGCGAAGCCTGATGACTTGGTGGAGAACTGCGAGTGATGTCAATTGACTGTACATTTGAGTCGTAACCGAATCAACATACCTTAACCTTAGAGCCGACGTGGAAGAAAGCGAAGTCTCCGGGAACCAGGTGGTGAGTGACACCGGTAGCCTCATCCTAAAAACGGGCCTCCGTCAATATTTTGCAGGGCGAAAAGCAATGACGATAGCAATAGCTAGCAATTGAACGTACCAAGACATCAATTTGACCATTGAGGACGTATTTGGTCTCTTCGAAGGTGTAGTGAGCGGGGCGAGCAGGACCGGCCTCGATCTTGTAGAATCCCGAGGTGAAGTGTGCGGGGGACTCGGTCTTAGTGCGAATGGAGTGGAAGTCGGCAGTGGTTGCGTTCTCGCCCTGGGGGAGGGGGATAAACTCGTGGCCGGCGCCCTTGATGACAGTGAGAGGAACGAGGTTGGACACTGTAGGTATAGATTGGTTAGTTGCATAGAACAGTGTGTTCACTCGAGAGCAATGACTGACTTGTGATTCGATTGTGTGGTTTTTTGACTATTCCAAAAAGTTGGGAGCCAGCAGCTCTTTAAGTAATATCAGAGATGGCAGGAAGCACAATCGGGGGCGCACCCGGGATAGCTACAGAGCATCTGCACGCTTTATCCCCATGAGGGGAAAAGACCCCGGATGCATTGCCCGGTGGAGAATTTGTCGGGTGGAGGGCCGGTGTCCACCTATAAAAAGGGCCAACCTCATTCATTTGGAAAATCGCGTGCTGCGGTGTAGGTGAGAAACTCAGGAATGTCTGAATATCGTCAAGGAAAGGCCAACCGAAGAGGAAGACGAAAGTAGCCTGCGAATAGGCGATGGGGAGATGTAGACAATCGACCAACCAGCGTCCTGCCCTCACTCCCCCGCATCCCGGCCCCGGCTGCGCTTCCCTACACGGCGAAACATTCCCCTTTCATGAGAGGCCATCGCCTTCCAATGTCATGACTTTGGAGATCAATGTTTGTCACCCTTGCATGCATACCTAGGTATGTATATGGAGTTCTCCGTGGAGAACTCCGTACTTCTGGTGTGGAGCACCCAGGTCGACTGGACGCAAAAGCCCAACTACACTCAACAGCTCCCATTAGACCTTGGCAACAGTTCAATCAAGGCTACATCCAGGGCTACAGGGTATTCTTATGAAGCCCATGAGTCTTGAGCCAGACGCCAAAAAAAAATACTCACACACCATTTCCTAGCGGCGATTGGCCCAATGGCATTGCACCCTTGTCTGCCCAGGTGCTGTTCATAACTAGCTCTTTCAGTCCAGTCAGAGTAGTCAATCAACTCTCAGTGTCTTGGAATGCAAATCTGCTTTGCTGAAGTTTGACGGTTTGTTTAATTCGGGGAGGTGCCAAGCGGATACGACGCTGAACGGCCACATCTTCATCCAAGCCTCTGTGAGTCATTCGTACTCGATGTCCAGATGGCTCAATCCCCACCCTCAAGGATAAATTGAAGAGTTTGTGCTCTCTTCTTTCTTCTCTCTTATCACGCATCAACATCATATACCTCACAATGCCTTCGCAGTCTCTACCAACCCCGGTCTCCTCGACAAAACAATTCTATGCCACCAATTCCCCCTGGGAGGGAGCCTATGGCTACTATCGCGCCATTCGTGTCGGACAACAAATCTATATCTCAGGCACGACGGCCGCCGACCCCGACAGCCCGCCCGAGAGCCCGCGCGTGCTTTGTCCTGGGGATGCCCGCGGACAAACTCGAGTCACCTTGAACGAGATAATCAAAGCCATTCAATCTCTCGGTGGAAGAGGCGCAGAGAGCATTGTGCGCACCCAGCTTTTCATTCAACGCCATGAAGATGCTGCCGAGGTTATGGCAGGGTTCAGGGAAATTCTGGGGCGGCAACACGGCGGCGATATCGGATCAACTGCAATGCTGCTTGTTGTTTCGAACTTTGCGGATCCTGAGATGCTCGTTGAAATAATGGTAGACGCAATCGCGGATGCATCATGAACTATATCAACCAGCCTTGTGTTTGTGCAGCAAAGTTAATCGTGAAGACCAAGGGTCCATGGGATCCATGATTGACGTGCTATCAAGTAATGCAGAATGACGATGTTTTCTTTTGTGGTGGAGTTCTTGGGAATCAGAAGTGACAGTAAACAGTGTGAGATAACGCCTAACAGGCGTGGAGAGAACATCCAGTGATCGACATAACTTGAGACGCCAAGATAGAAGTATGAGGTTAGACCTGAGGTGAGCTCCATCTTAATCACGACATCCATCTACACCCAAACATGTTTCGAGCCATCCTCACCACCTTCTTTTTGATGGTCCCTCTGTATTACATTTATAAACCCCCCAGTATACTCATTCGCTACTTTGCCCACTGCTGGCCGGACGTATTGTTCCACGTTCCGACGACAAAAAAGATTGTCGCGCTAACAATCGACGACGCGCCCTCGATCCACACACCTGAAATTCTTCGTCTACTACAAGCCCACAACGCCGCTGCTACTTTCTTCATCATTGGGTGTCAAGTCCCAGGAAATGAAGCGGTTTTGTCTGATCTGATTCGCGCGGGCTGCGAGCTGGGTAATCATGCAATGTACGATGAGCCATCGCGGTCACTTAGTGACGCGGTACTAAAGGATCAAATCCAAGAAGTGCAGCTCAGGATCTCTGAGGCTTATGCGACTGCCGGTATCCAGCAAGATAGTTGGCTATTTCGTCCTGGGTCTGGGTTCTTCAGCTCACGGATGAGATCACTGCTTCACCGGCTGGGGTATCAGCTGGTGCTGGGTAATGTGTATCCGCACGATCCACAGGTACCATTCTGGAGGCTGAATGCAAGACATATCTTGAGCATGGTTCAGCCGGGCAGTGTCATTGTTTGCCATGATCGGAGGGAATGGACAGTGCCCATGCTACAGAAGATATTGCCAGAATTGGGGCGTCGAGGGTATCGCGTTGTCACAGTATCGGACTTGTTGAAAGAGGCGGAGTGAGAGTTCGGCCGTCCAAAGCGCGGGGGACTCATTCTTTAATGTACATATCTTCATCTCTGACTAAGGGTATAATTTGGTTTCAACACTAGCCCATGATCTGCAACTGATCCTCTGGGGGCCAACGGACTTGCGCGAAACTCAGGCAGCGCTTGATGCTCTGCAAATACTTGCGGGTTATCTCGTCACTCAAGATATGCGCTTGTTGATCACTCTGGTGCAGCTTTTCTCGGGCAGAACGTTCGTGGATACCAACCATGGTAACACCAATGGGCCAGGCTCTGTAGACTTGTTAGTTTGGATTCCAGAAGACGATCGGGATGAGAAGGAACGAGGGTCAACATACGCTTTACCGATACTAACTCGGAGGTAAGCATCATTAGCGTCGACGTATCGCCGCTGCTGTGCCTTGTGCACGATTTCGATGATCGGTTCCAACAGCCCATCCTCCAAATCTGCCTTCTCAAAGAGGCGGAACAGCGGCGTCATGTTCTCCCGCGATTGGGTCATGGCACCGTATGCTTGCTTGCCCTGGAAGCTTTCACGTACTGACACGTCACGCTTGGCCAATGCGAGCTCCCATTCTGACAGGACCATGTTGAAGTAGGATCCAAGCTGGCGGAAAAGGAACAACCGGCTCTCCTGGTCCTTCGGAATCTTCGATGGGATGATCATCTGTCCGCCCGAAACGGGCTCCAATGTCGTGGGGATGGGTCCGTCTGTAACCTTCTTCTTAGGAATCGCAGCCCGTTGGACCAGGCGGCGGTATCTTCGCAGTCGCCCGCGGTAATCTTCTCCAAATAGCCGTATAGGAGCCTCCATATCCCGTAGTTTCTGGATGAGCTCTTCCTCTTCAATGTCCTCCTCCTCGTCGCCTTCGGCTTTATCCTCGACCAATTCAGGTAGACCGAGCTTCCGCCGCCTCTCGCGTTCTTTTTCCGCTTCTTCCTTTTCTCGTTTTGCTTTGGATTCCTCGGCTAGGCGTCGTTTCTTTTCCTCCCGTTCGCGGTTTCGGTCGGCTTCCTCCTCGTCGAGCTTGCGCTTGTTTAGATTGCGCTCTTCGCGCTCGCGGGCTAGCCGTTCTTGCTCTCGATTATAGGCTTCGACCCGCGCAGCTTCCTCCTCGCCTCGTCGCATGTACTTCTTGGTCGGTACTGCAGGGGATCCTTTGCCAGACTCTTTGGCATCGCCGCCTTTGGCCTTGGAGATCTCCTTGGCCATAAGCGCCGCGAAATCCATCTTGAAGGTAGAACAGCAACACTCAGCGAGCTAATGATGCTGTGACGGTAGATTGTAAAAGGTTTGGTGTAGTGGGTGATATGACGGCGTAGATGTGGGGAGAAAGAGATGGGAGGAAAAGAATGTTCGGCCACCGGCAGCTTCGACGCATTTGTCTTCATTTCACTTCCTCAACCAGAAACTTCCCAAACCTCTACCCCTCAACTCTACCTCTAGCTTCAATTCACCTCACCTTTGCATCGCCGGATATCTCGAGCATTTTCCCCCTTCCTTCACAACACCGCGACCTCCACATCGCAGCCCGCGTCATACCAAGATGGCCGCAAGAGAGGGCCCCAAAGCTCCAATCAACCGCCAAACCACTGCGCCATTCCACCTCAAGCTCTTCTACCGAGTCAACAACTACAACTCCCTCGCTGACTACAGCATCCCCGCTCCCTCCCGACGCGGCGGTCCGGTCAGCGGTCCAAATTCCATTCGCCCAACATCACCCGCTCCTTCGACCCTCCCACAACATCTTGAGATCTACACCTGGCAATCATGCACGCTTCGCGAACTCTCGCAGCTTCTCACTTCTGCATTGCCTAGATTACTCCCCGAGCCACCCATCGGCACCCGCCTGTGCTTCCGGCTGATTTATCCCGACGCGCGCGGCGCAGCAATGGGCGGACCCGATGCGCGAGGTCGGTATCTGAGTCGCGATCTGGGAAGCGTTGTCGTTGCACCGAAAGACACACCGCTTCGATCGGAAGAGGATCATGAGAAAGAGGCTAGACCCCGTATTCGGTTCCAGGGCAATGAGGCGGATAAACCGCTCCACGACGAACGATTCATTGTCGGAGATTACATTGAGTGTGCTATTCTGCCTCCTCTCGATGATGGCTCGGTTGCGCCGGTGCTCAGCGGTGCATCTGGTCCTATGTCCGGTCCTCGGGGTGGGGGTGGTATGCGCGCATTCCGGGATAATGGATTTGGCGGTTATCCGCGTGGTCCTCGCGGCCCTGGCCGTGGTGGTCCCCGTGGTGGTGATCGCGGGCCTCCACACATGCCTCATGGCGATTGGAATCGTGGAGAGCGGTTGCCGGATGGTGGGCGCCGGGGAGGTGGAGGCGGTCGTCGAGGCTGGGGGCCGTATTAAGATGAAGGTGTGATCTGAGTTCAGACTCAAAACAAGTCTGTTATACAGGCGATGGGATACCCATATTGTGTGATTGTACGAATAGCTTGCCCAAGCAAATGGAGAGAATATTACGATCTACCAGTTTCCTAGTCAAGGTGAAAGTACCACGGGGTACGGCTGAGGCGATATGCTTCAACAATAGGAAATCAATGCGGTATATGATGTAAAGTACACGGCTCACGCAACGGGCACCGGCACACGAGAAAAATCACCAAGCAGCTTCACCGCGACACACGTCACCGCGTGTTCTCCAAATCGTTTCGTTGCTGCGTCGCTGCTGGCTCGTAACAAGGCGGGTAATAAGACAGAAATCGGTTTCATTCGCTAATTGTCTACCACTCAGAGATGGTATCTCCACGACGCTTTCCGCGGAACTCGAATTTGCCCTGTACACAGTTAGTGCATGGTTCCTGCGACGTCCACGCAATTCCACCCATAACATACCTCGTACTTGTAGGCGAAGTAGGTGATAATACTGGGGATCACACCCATGTAGACGAAGGCGATCCCGGCATGGCGCGGGGTCCAGCGCCAGTACTTGTAGCGGTTGGAGTTGAGTTCTAGGACCTGTTAGTTATAATTCGGCGGTTGAGGTCCTCTGTCATCGCAACATGTAGTCTCGGGGATTGCTCGTCTGTGAAAGAGCGTTCCGGGCTGGCGCAGCGGGCAATTGATCCGGAATACAGGATCTGGAGAAATGGGGCTTGGGGGTTCATGTACCGTAGAACTTCTGGTAGGCCGGGTCAAGGACCAGAGCTAGCGAAAAATTAGCAGCAATTCGTCTTGCTCGTCCAGAGGTACTCACACTTGCTAGGACCAGCCATTGTTGCGGGAAGCTTTGGAGATCGTGGGCACAGAAGCAGTCGCCGGAGTTGAATTCACTGAGGTGGAGGTCACATGTTGCTGAATCATCTGGATGATGTAATCATGCTGTTTGCCCTTGCTGAGTGCTTTTCTACGGGGATGGCGATGATCAAATTAATTTACTTTGTCATTTACATGGCACTTCTTCGGTTACAACGAGCAACTTTCCTCAATATACATGTCTGTTGTTGCGAACTAGCTCGAGGACGTCCAACCTCATCCACCAACCACATCTCCGCCATATCTCAGCATCCGCAGGGTATAATCAGACTTGACATAAGTAACATTGCAAGCTTCGAAATCATTATTCACTTCTTTACATCGAAGCAGAGAATTTTCCTTCAATCTCTTCGACCTTCTTCACAGCACGCTTGTAGCCATCAAACTCCTCGAGGCGCTTGGCATACGCGACAAGAAGCGGGAACCTGTCCTTGTTCTTCTTGTCTTTCAGCACTCGCATGGTCACGGCGATAACCGGGAAACTAAGAAGAACATCGGCAGCCGTCAACTCCTTGCCACAGATGAAGTCGCCTCCTCCGGGAGAAGTACGCAGCTGATCCTCCAAGAAGGCAAGGTTTCCCTCGACGTTACGGGTCAAGAACTGGTTCTCAACCTGCGAGGCCACAATGGTGGTGATAGGTCGCACAAAAAATGGCGGCGCATTACGGATAGCTGTTGATGTCAATTTCGTCCTATACCCGTCTGTAGACATGAGCAACTTACAGTCGTTCACCAGAGTCATCACCAAGTAAGGCATGAGACTACCCTCGGTGTAGTGCATGAAGTAGCGGTAGCGCATCCATTCCTCGGTTTCTCCGCCCACTTTCCCCTCGCTGCCGGGGGTGTACCGTTGTGGTACTAGGGACGGGCGTGCGCTGCTGAAGTGGTCGACGAGGTACTCCACGATCGCACCCGATTCTGCCAGCACGAGCGGCTTCGCGGCCCCGGGCGCTTCAATGGTAATCACGGGCGATTTGCCCAGTGGGTGGACCTCCTTCAGCGCAGCGGGCGCGAGCTTGTCAGCGCCTCGCTTGAACGTTTTAAGCTCATATTTGAGCTCCAACTCTTCCAAAAGCCAGAGAATACGGTGGCTTCGAGATTGCTCGAGCCTGTGACTGTATCAGTATGAATGTTTTTTGCAAGGTTGAGGAATATTTACCAGTAAAGGGTAATTTTACAGCCTTGGTTGTTGTCAGTCATTGTGAATGGAGTAAGGTAGTTGAGTAGGAAGTGCGGAAATATAAGAGGCGATGATGTCAAATTTGGCCGAGGGATGTGATCCCGAGATTCTGCAGATCGCCCATGTGAAGAGCCTCTTCGTTGGGAACTCAACTTGTTCCTTTGGGGCCTCGGTTTCCTCAAATCCCTGATTTCTTATTTTAATTCTTCTCGTCTCTCGAATTTATATACTTTTCGCGTTCAACTGGAGCCCTGGAGACTACCTAGGCTAGGTATGGAATTATATTGAAGTAGCACACACATTTTGCACATCGCCTTTGTACAAAGATGAAGCTCACATAGTCTGCATCGAGAGAGAAAAGGTCCCACCTGTGCATACAGTCAATCATTGCTTAGCTTTGGTGGATACTGATCCGCAACCCTTTCTACATTAGACGTTTCAGGTGGCTGCGTTGCATGCCGGTCTGCTTGCGCAACTAAATTCTGCGACTCTTGATCACATCGCATTATGCTTGTGTTTATTTCAACTACATATCTCCCTATTCTCTTGTGTAATTAAGATCTCTCAGAAAGGCTCGGCTCCAAACCCCTCAATCCCATCCCTGCTTAACCCCTACTCCCTTCACACACCTGTTCCAAGGCTCGCTATTTTAAGTATCTATGCAAGTTCTCCCTCGATGCGGCTTCTGTTCCATCACCTAGGCACACGCCTGAGCATAAGTTCCCCTGGCTATGTGTCTCGGTTCAGGTGCCATCAACACCAAACCTTGGAATGTGTTGTGCAAACATATATTGTTCCATCTAAGAACAAGGATATCGATCCCCAATACCATCGGCGGAATGCCCAGTCTTCCCCAATCCGTTTCAATCGAAATTTCGGGTCTTTATCAAAAGTCAACATCAGATATCAGGCCTTAACCTTGGATGTCACTCAATACAACACGATGCATGTTGAGTCGCGCCTAGCCGTTGATCTTCCCCGCAAACCCAGCCGAGGCCCGGGGCATCCCTTGATACATAAGTTACCTATTGCCCTCCGAAACTGATCAGTTGTGCCTAGAGATCAGATAAAGATGTCTCAACTTATTTCCATTCCCGAATCTTACGAGAGCCTCAACCTCACACATATTAACATCGCCCACCACCCCCCTCAATCTCCAACAGCAACCCCGATTGTGATCCTAAGACTCAACCGCCCAGATAAAAATAATGCCTTCACGCCTCAGATGGGAGAGAGCCTAGAACAGGCCTATCGCTTGTTTCACCTCGATGCTCGTGTCAAGGTGATTGTCCTGACAGGCGCAGGCCGGATGTTTTGCGCAGGCTCAGACCTTGACATCGGCTTCGATGACAGAGTGGAGAGAGCTGGTGATTTTCGAGACACGTAATTAATCCCCAACAGCATATATTTACTGAACTATCAAGCTGACAGTTACAAGTGGTGGACGAGTGGCATTAGCCATGCATCGGTGTAGCAAACCTACCATCGCTGCTCTTCAGGGATCAGCTGTTGGCGTTGGAATGACAATGACCTTGCCAGCAGCCATCCGGTAAGATGATTTCCAATCAACACTCTTGCGCTGCTAAGAATTACAGCATCTGCCACGAGAAAAGCAAGTACGGGTTTGTCTTCACTCGACGCGGTTTGACAATCGAGTCCTGTGCTTCGTTCTTCTTGCCCCGTTTGATCGGGATGTCCAAAGCAATGGCCTTGATCACAACTGGTGGCGTCTATCCAGGATTGTCAAAGTATTTCGGTGAACTATTTACCGAGGTTCTGGCCGAGGGAACGGCTGTTCTGCCACGAGCTTTGGAGATTGCGCGCGAAATGGCCGAAAATGTCAGCCCATTGGCGTCGTATATGAGCCGTGCTTTAATGTGGCAAGGGCCGACATCGCCCGAGGGCGCGCATCTCCTTGAATCGAAGGTGTTTCACCACATGGCGGGTCAAAGGTTTGTTCGTTTCGCTCTACTTTCGATTAGGGCTAACAAGGTCTTACGTCTAGTGATTACAAAGAGGGAGTCAACTCATTCCTGGAGAAGCGGAAGGCCAATTTCTTGTGTGATCCATATGAAATGAGTCCAGGAGATTATCCGTGGTGGTCTGAGGTTGATATTCGGGTTGGGCCGAAGGCGTCAAAGTCCAAACTTTAGTATCCCCAGATTTCATAGGCTAGTGAGGATATCAAATATACCTGGGCATCTGATCATACTCTTGTAGGCCACTGCTATGCCAGGGAGGCTTGCAGAGTTCTTTACTCAGTTTGATAATCTAAATGCTACCACGAATGGTAACATTATTTTCCCTTCAAGATGCGAACCTTTCCCATTATCGCGGTCCATAATTTTTTAATCAGTCTATAAACGGTATTAGAATCCAATAACTAGCATGTAAACTTGCAATCTAAATCTTCTTGGATATTAGGCTACCAAGACCTGAAAGATGGCTGAGTCTTCCTCAAGCTAGACTTGGACCTAAGTGGACACGATGCTCAGAAGCAGGAAATTTGTTTCCTTAATATGATAGGCGCAGTACTCACTTGAGGATATGAGGAGGTTTAATAGCAAGAATAGAAATAAAAGAGACTGTGTTTGTGGTAGACGAGTTGAGATAACTCACTGTTACCAAATTGGGCCAGGGCCAGAGCTTGAAGCTCAGAGAACATAGAGGAACCAGGAATTATAGCGAGAGATCAAGGCTTGCATCACTTTTCCCAAGGTTAATGAGAATCTTGGAATCAAGGTATTGAATTCCAAATTTACTTGGCTTGTATAGCATATTTTCTGCGTCTCTTCTGTGTACAGTTGACACACATCGATGTCGGTAGCCTTAGCATCGGACTAGATCATAAATCGACCAACTATTTTACCAGAACCTGCCCAAGAGAGAACATGCGATTAAATATCGAGTAAGCTTCAGTGATAGACGCCTATTGAAAGTCTGTTGAGGAATCATCTGCAAATGGAGAGTATACATGCAGTCCATGATCCAATCACGCTGCCCGAGAAGACAAAGTAGCATGACCACCCCTTATGACCCATTTACAGAAGAGGTCACAATACATCTTCCACACCAACATATAAGACCAGAGAACCCACGCGTTGTATAGCGAGCTGCGACTGGTCGGGAAGCAACGCTCCTGAGCGGACGGTTACGGCACGTGCATAGATCGACGTATATAGACTCCAAGGCCATTTCCTGCCCCTATACAGAATACATATACTCCTGCAGATACGCATTTCCTTGATCCAACATGAAATCAACTCATGGCTTCGCACCAATTCCCCGATACCCTGCGCGGTAAAAAGATTCTCCTCGCCACCGAATCATGGGGTCCCGTCAACGGCGTCTCCCGCACAACAAGGAGTCTGGTAGAGTATCTGCGCGCCAACGGCGCAGAGCTCACTCTAGTCGCGCCAGTCTTCAAAGGCAAACAATCATTCTCGACCTCTGAGCTCCGTCTCCCGGGCTGTCCCCTCCCCTACAACCCCGATCTGACAGTCGTGTATCCATTCCATGTTGACGACATCTTCGACAAATTCACCCCCGACCTGATCTACCTCGCCAGTCCAGCTTCCCTGGGGTTCCAGATGCTGTTGCAAATAAGACAGTTGCGCAATCCTCCGCCCGTGCTGTTGAATTTTCAAACAGATCTGTCTGCATACGCGGAGATCATGCTTCCTGCTCCGCTGGACCGCTTTGGCGTCTGGTTACTTGGTACCGTGCAGGGCTTTCTTTTCCGGACTGCGGCTGTGCAGACCATTTTCTATCCTTGTCGGGATATACGAGGTTATCTGGAAAGTGTGCGCGCGCCAGCTGACAGGCTTGTGGAGCTTGGAAGGGGCGTTGACACGACATTATTCTGTCCCGCCCGGCGTGACGAACAATTTCGAAGCATGGTCGCGCCAAACGGGGAGATAATCTTGATCACCGTTTGTCGAATCGCGCCAGAGAAGGGATTCGAGTTCCTTGCGCGGGTCGCTGAGCGACTGGTCGACGAGAAGGTGGCGTTCAAGCTGCTGATTGTGGGCGGGAATCGGAATCCAATTGTCGAGGACAAGGTGCAGAGGTTATTTGACAGAGTCAGAGATCGGGCCATCTTTACGGGATTTCTGACTGGAGATGCGCTGTCCAGAGCTTATGCATGCGCCGATTTGTTCTTGCATTGCTCGGTCACTGAGACCTTTGGGCTGGTTGTGCTCGAGGCCATGGCGAGCGGGGTCCCGGTCATTGCGCGCGATCAGGGTGGGCCTTCAGACATTATTCAACATGGCCGGACAGGGTATCTGATCCCGCCGCGTGATTTGGAGACATTCGTCCACCGAATCAGAGATGTGACTGGCGATCGAACCCGTCTGGGGGAGCTCGCGGGGGCCGCTCGTCGGTATGCAGATGAGACTACCTGGGAGAAGATCAACTGTCGGGCTGCCAGACATATGGCAGAAGTGCTATCGCACACAGACCAGGAGTCACAGGTACCCCGGCAGGTTGCTCGGCCTGGTGCGATTGGGACGTTCTTCGAGCAGCTCCGGTTGATGCTTGCACTGGGACTTGTCTATTTCATGTGGCTGATCTCTGTCGTACCCCTTATTGTCCATGGGAATCGGTTCTTACCTCGCGCCTGGCAGGCCCTGCAAGGTCAGTTCCAGGGCACTCGGCCATTGCGCACTTAACGTTTAATGACACCTAGTCAATACCATGAGTAACGCTTTGAATGAGTTCAATTGGGTAGATTAGTCAAATATCACATCACAGCCTGACTGGCTCTGTGTCCCGGCGGACCAAGACATGGCCCTCGGTCACCAGGGAGTTCTTGCACGAGCGACCCGAGGCAAAATCAGAGAGATTTCCCAGGGTGACACCGGATATCTCATCGAGTGCCTCTCGAGTGAAGAAGCCTTGGTGACCGCAGATCAGCACATTATGGAAGGTCATCAAACGCATCAGCACATCGTCCTCAATGATCTCGCCAGAATGATCGTTGTAGAACAGCTCGCCTTCAGCTTCATACACATCCAAGGCCAGCCCACCCAGTTGCTTCGTCTTCAGTGCTTGGATCACAGCCGTGGTATCAATGAGCCCGCCTCTCGACGTATTCACCAACAAAGACCCCGGTCGGATCTTGGCCAGCGTGTCCTCATTGATGAGATGCTTAGTTCCCTCCGTAAGAGGGCAATGGAGGCTCACGATATGGCTCTCTCGTAGAAGCTCATCGAGCTCGACCAGCGTGCCATACTGCCGGAATTCATCTCCGGCAAATGGATCATACGCCAGCAACCGGCATCCGAACCCGTTAAAGATACGCGCGGCAGCCAACCCGATGCGTCCCACACCAACGATCCCCACCGTCTTCCCGTGTAGCGTATTTCCCAACAAACCTTCGATGTTGAAATTGCCCTCCCTCACGCGATTGTAGGCACGGTGTGTCTTCCGGTTGAGGGTTTGGATTAGGGCCACGGCAAACTCCGCGACCGCTTCGGGGGAGTATGCCGGGACATTCGCCACGAAGAGGCCTAGTGTTTCGGCAGTGGGCAGGTGGACATGGTTGAAACCCGCGCAGCGCAGGAGGATGGCACGGACGCCGTAGGCATGCAAGGCACGCAGCACGGCCTCGTCCAAGGTGTCGTTTACGAAGACGCAGATGGCGTCGCAGCCTTGGGCCAGTGGGACTGTTTCCTCGGATAGGGAGAATGCGTGATAGTCGATCTTGCAGAGGTCGGGGAATCGTGCATCGCGGACCTGGTCTAGGTAGGTGCGATCGTAGGATTTGGCGCTGAATACAGCTAGCTTCATGTTTGTGTTTACGGGGAGATCAGAAAGCTGATTGAGTTTTGACGTTATAATGATCCAAAGTCATGACGCCATGTAATCCGGGGTGCCATGCACACGACCGTTTCTGGTGCGAGTACAGAGTACCGTGCCATGTACTTCTGTCGGTTCCGATCGACTGTTACCTCCCGCATTCTCTTCCAGTATCTGAGTATCATTGGTTCCCCCCCGGACCAGGAATCTGGCAGGGAGCGGAATGACCGATGAGGTTCTGAAACCGGTCCAGATGGCAATATTTCCTCGGACAGCCTCTTTGGTGGTCCGGGTCACATTGCCATGCAACTTGAGACCGGGGGGTGGTTGGGTTGCGACCTGCTAGACCGAAGATGGACGACGTGCCGGAGTTCGCCAGCCGTTTGGCGGAGATTCTGGATGATTACTTGTTGGAGAATATTGCCATTGCAGGGGTTGTGATTGGTGGCGGAATGTTTTAGCGTGGAAGAACAGAAGGAATGGAAGTGGAACTGCCGCGCAGAGTGGGAATCTGAAGCGTCGAGGTGAATGAGTAGCCGGTGGACTGCCTATAGTTGGGCTGTTAGCGGACGTGGAGTGGACCGGAGTGGCTCCGAGACTTGACCCGAAAGGTCAGGCCGGCCCGATGGCCAATAGCTGATCACCCAATAGGGACTGCGAGATCGAAGCGCACCAATCATCGGCGCATGATAAGAGTTCGGCGCCACAGCCAGCCTGATTGGTCACTAGCGGCGGACTAGCGAACCCTCGACAGGAAGGAGCGACTCTCTCACATTCCTCTTTTTTGGTTCCGCTTCACCGTTCTTTCTTTTTCCGCCTCATTTAGATGACCGCGTCGGAGCTAACTGCACTGGGGATACTAGTACGCTGAACCCCTACTCCGTCAAAGCACAATATGTCCCTCGGCATTTGCTCGGCTGTCTGCATCCTCAAATATAGAAATAATGTAACTCCGACCCAAAGACTAAATAATTATGGGGCGACTGGGCCGGGTGGGGAAAACCGCATGAAGGAACGCCGTCATGGATGCCGGTATGAATCCTAGCTGAACTCTACCTGTAAGGCCTAAACAATCTGTACAGTAGGGTTGATGACCTCGACGATCTGGTAACTCACAACAAGCGGTCAATTCAGCGGGAATTTATGATCTCATGTCGGGGAAGCCTACAGACGGAAGTGATCCGGTGGAAAGGTACTGCGGAGGGACACGGGCCATATACTTAGTGTGACCTGGCCCCTGCAACGTGCAATATTGGGGTGGAAGTACTCGGATGTCACTTCAACCTCTCCAATCAACCTGGATATGTATGTAGTATATCCCTTTCCTTCACCTCCTTTTCTCACTCGCTCTATATATCGGGGAAATGCTGCTCTGATCCAGACCTCGACTCTATTCCATACCTATACCATCTATGCGATTTGTAAACAACACTGTTCACCCGTTCTCCAACTGAGACTCCACTTAAACCGTTCCCGTCTCCATCTCCTCGGCCACTTACCGTGCAGCTGTTTGCCTCTCCGGCTGAACGGCCTTTTTCTGATCGCCGACAATTAGTGTCCTCCTTATTTGCCCCTCTATACAATTAAAGCATGCCCTGCGCTTTCCAGTGACGGGCGATACTTTAGATCTACTTCGACCTTCAAACCCGACTTTAACTCCGAACTTTACCTTCCGACTTACTTCTCCTCATCTCACCTACCTTTCACCTTTTCTCTTTATCCTTCTATCCTTCTATCCTTCTATCCTTTATCTATTTCATCATGGCGACTCATGTTATGACCTCAACTCCGGCCAGCCAGATCTCTGTCTACGGCCAGCCATCTCCCACCAACTCCGCCAATAATTCTGCCACCAATACTCCCAGCAATAATTCCCCCACCTCCCCACGCATGGCCACCGCCTCTCTGCACCAGCTGCCTCTGCAGTCGCGCCAGTTGCGTCCCCTCAAGGGTCCGCTCTACGTCCCAGCCGCCCTCCGCCCAACCGAGCGTCCCCAGAAGTCCTCGCCTATCACTCCCCCACGCAGTGTGCACGGCTCTCTGGACAGCTTGAATGAAGACGTCGAGCCCATCAGCCGTCGCTCAACTATGGAGAGTCAGTCCAGCGGAATTAGCCAAGTCGCTCAGCACGAGTGGTTGAAGACCGAGGATCTGGGTGAAGTCACCGGTCAACCCACGCGCGAGCACTGGAAAGTGAGTACATCTTTTTCCCTCTTTCCCTTCCCTCCACCTTTTATAAGGATCCGCCTTGGGAATCACGCCGTTCTCTATACAAATGTCGTGTGAGCTCGTCATTCATGGCGTGCTCGGCTCTCCTGCACCCCAGCCACTCGCACATCACTTCTACTCAATTGCAATACTAACTTGACCTCCCAGGCGGACTCGGCTTCTTCCAACTGCGACTCCCCTACCTGTCGCTCTTCCTTCGGCATCTTCCTTCGTCGCCACCACTGTCGTCACTGCGGCCATGTCTTCTGCGCCTCCCACACTCCCCACCTAGTCCCTCTGGACCAGAACGCCCGCTTCCACCCAGACGGCGTGCCTTCCCGTGCCTGCGATCTCTGCTGGAGCGCTCACATGCGCTGGGAGGAGACTCGCTCCGACCGCCTGAGCAAGATCCAAAACAACATGGATGCTCAGGGTGTCTCCGTTCCCGACTCGGAGCACGTCGAGAACCCAGAGCCCACTACCCAGTCTGGAGAGGTCGCTGCCTCTGTTCCCCGTGACTGGAACTGGAGCACCTTCTGATTGCACAACCTCACATGCAGTCAGCGGGTCTGCTGCAGCTTCATACGTTTTATCTTCACTTCTGTCATGCTCGCGTGACTGTTTTCTTCTTTTCTCTTCCTTGTTTCCGTCTTTTGCTATTGGCGACTATGGCTCTGGCGTTCGCCCTGGTGGGCTTCTCTTTTTCTTTGTTCGGTCACTCTTCGGCGCATGATGTCTAGACGGTTTCTTTTTGGTCTTTCAAGGCCTTTCTTGTTTATCTTTGCTTGCGTTGATCAGGATACCCCGTCCGTTTTCTCTGGGCGCTTATTTGCTTTTTTTTTCGTTGCCTTTTTCCTGGTCCTGGTCCTGTTTCACGACGGTCATGATTCCCTACCTTGATGATAGTTACTTCGATTTGAATCAATGATATTGAACTTGAACAAAACTTGCTATGCTTTAGTCTTTGTAGTCTTCCAATCATGTCTTAAATTACTCGTTTCTTAATTTCTTATACCATCATTCCTGAACAGAAATCCGTTTCAACATCCCCAAATGCTCAATGCCTTCCTCATCCCACCTGCCCAACGTCTCATCAACTTCAAACCCAAGGCGCGCATACATCCCTTCAACACCAACCTGAGCATGCACCAGCACCAAGCCCCGCCACTCCCCCCTACAGATCTGCACCTCAACCTCCGCCGCATGCACAGCCGCCCACTCCAACGCCGTCTCCACTAATCGTCGCCCAAGTCCCAGGCCACGGTACATCGGCATGATCGCCACACGGGTCAATTTTATGCACGGCTCGTGTGCCCCTTTCTGCACGGCGTGGCCGTGGGGCCCTTGCGGCGGGGGTACGAGGCGGATCGTCCCCACCGCTGTGGTCCCGTCGTAAAGGACCCAGTGCCAACTGCGGGAGTCGTCAGTGTCGATCTCTGCCTCCGCGGAGCACTTCTGTTCATCGACGAAAACGCGCATGCGGATTTTCATCGCATCGTTGAAGACTGTGGGGTTGCTGTTCGGGTTTGTGGGGAGGGACAGTTTGGGTCCTGGTGGTTCTTGGATCGTGGTCGTGAATATTGGTCCTGCCATCGCTTTCGCTTTGTCGAGTGGCGCGCGTTGGGTGGGTTGTTCGGGGTGCTGCGTAGGTTTTGGGGCGTCGTGTCTTAACCGAGCGGCTCATGCAATAGTTATATACCTGAGGATCCATTGATCCGCATCGGGTACACTAGGCCACTGGCTACGTTTCAGTGAAGAGTGTAGAGTTAATTTCCGTATTTCCTCGGGCAATTCTAATCCCATTTCATGCAGACCACAGGCAAGCCTGGAGGGTAAACATGCAGTGTAGTCTACCTGGGCATCGGGGCATCGGCGCCGGGGGGCAGGGGAATCCGATAAGATAACAATTGTATAGCCAGTGCAAACAGAGCAAACAGTCAAGATATCACCGCGGAAATCCAAAATTTTACCACCCATACGCGATGTCCCTCTACTTTGATTCAGTCGCAATTCTGACTGCCCCCTCGTCAGGGGGCTCATTCAAATCCCGAATCTACAGCGCCAGGAACCTGCGCGTCTCCCCCGCCCAAATATACGCGCTGACCACCGAAGCCGCAAAATGGGACACCGTGCTAGCAGAAGTAATTGACAAATCGGGGATCTTGGCTCTCGAGCGGAAGGTAATTGCTTCAGAACCAACGGAAATAAGATGAAATGACTAAACAATCAGCTTTCACCACTCCTCGCCCTCCTCCTCGTTCACGATCTCCTACTTGCCAAAAAAGGCATTGCGACACCGGCTACGCATACCCTCCGTCAAGCCGTCGAGCGACACAAAGCTAGACTCAAGGCCGAGTTCACCAAGGCACGTGTGCGCCGCGGATGTGCGACTGTCGAGCAGTTCAAGGCGGCTGTGATTCGCGAGAAGAGACTCGCGGATGGCACGAGCAATTTCGTCTACCCGCGCTGGGTGCGTGTCAATAATATTCGCACAACGCTGGAGGAGCAGCTCAGCACCACCTTCAAGGCTTATCGCCGGGTAGAGAGTCTGGCGGAGCTGGCGACTGATGAGGAGCGCAAGCCGGAGCCACGATTGTTCATTGATCCCAATATCCCCGATCTGGTAGCCGTGCCGTTTGGTGCGGACTTCACCTCTTCGCCTGCTTATAAGAATGGCGAGATCATTCTCCAGGATAAGGCTTCGTGTTTCCCTGCGTACCTTCTACTGGGAGATCGGGGACCTGCCGATGCCTGGGAGGGTGATTTGATTGACGGATGTGCTGCGCCCGGTAACAAGACCACGCACTTGGCTTCGCTGTTGGCTAAGCAGCAAAAGGGCAAGAGCAAGGGTAAGAAGAGCAATCAGATGATCTACTCCATGGATGCATCGACAATGCGGTCGAAAACACTGCAGAAGATGGTTGGTCTTGCCGGGGCGGACTCCGTAACTGTACTTCAGGGTCAGGATTTCCTGGCTCTTGACCCGGAGGACGAGCGCTTCGAGGATGTCACCGGTTTGTTGCTTGACCCTAGTTGTTCTGGCAGCGGTATCATTGGACGTGACGATGTGCCCCAGTTCACGCTACCGGCCCCGGTGCAGTCCAAGGGTCCAAAGTCGCACGGCAAGAAGCGCAAGCGTGAGGATGAGGAAGCTGTCGAATCAAAGGCCACCCCTGGGATTCCACAGGCGGCACCCACGGACGAAAATGATATCGCCGATGGTACCATTGATCCGGAGCGTCTGACGAAATTATCCAGCATTCAAGCTAGGATCGTTGAGCACGCTCTGAGCTTTCCGAACGCTACGCATGTCACGTATAGTACCTGTTCTATTCATCTGATTGAGAATGAGGGAGTGGTGGCTCGAATTTTGAACACCCCGATTGCCAAGGAGCGTGGCTGGCGTCTTCTCCGACGTGATGAGCAGCCTGAGGGTTTGCGCCGATGGAGCAAGCGCGGTGTTCGCGAAGAACGCCCTGCGGAAGGTGAAACTGGGCCTTCTGGATCGGTTGATCTCTCCGACGAGGCATTGGATGCGTGCATTCGGTCCTGGCAAGGTGATGCGGAAGGACTTGGTGGCTTCTTCGTCGCTGGCTTTGTCCGTGATAATGCTCTCGCTACGGGTGTCCCAGTACAAGAGCCCGTGAAGCACAGTGATAACGAAATGGCCGAGGAGGGCGAAGAGGCTGTATCGGCCGAAGACGAAGATGATGAAGAAGAAGACTGGGGAGGATTCTCGGATTAGAAAAAAAAAAATAATACCACGCAGGCTGGATCCTGCAACTGCGGCACCTGTTCATATATTCATTCTAGCGTAACTCTAAGATCGGACTAGAGGAACGTCCGCGATCGATTCCGAACCTGTACGCTGGTATAGACGTCCAACTTGTCAGCGACCAGGATGACCTCCCATCCGGCATGTCCATTCTGGACCTGCAGTCTCCACTGCCCTGTGCGAACAACCCACGGGATATCTGTGTGATCAGAGCGTGGTCGTTTGGCCGGAGGTTCAGCGGTTTCGCCGCCAACCGTCAAATGTTGACCTGATGCGCCGTCAATAGTCAGGTCTGCGTCGTTGTTCACGCGGATCTTCATCGGGACTTGGCTCAGGGGAGTCTTTGAGTCCAAGTTCATTTTCTTGCCTATTGTTCCCAACAGACTGCTGATCCGTTGCTTCGTCAAACCGATGAAGTCGACCCGCATACTGTCCTTGTGAATGATACTGGTCTCCTCGCCAATCTCGAGGACCAGATCGGCTGGCTTTTCGTCTACGAAGGGTCGCTTGTATGTTACGACTCCGCCAGCTGCGAGAGACCCGGTATCATCAAGAGTTGACTGAATCCCGGATGGTCGCACATCTTCCAACCGGATGACGATTTCGGGTCGTTGGGTGAATGGGTTCGCTGTGATCTGATGTGGTATCAACCTTTGTTCCAAACCACGTAGGTGGAAGTATCGACAATCGCGCAAAAGTGCTGCGCGATGATCCTCGTCTCTGATCCGGAGGGGATATCCACGGAGTAAATGCAGGAGCTCGTCGAATACATCGGCTGACCGGTTCGGTACGCTGGGGGGTATGATGGCAGGAGGTCGTAAGAGACCCTGGCGATCGAGTCCCGGAAACACCTCCGAGGGGGATGCGAAAAAGGCCGCGAATCCAAGGGTGAAGAAATTGGGACTGTCACCTGGACTGGAGAAGATATCGCGGGGGATCTGGAAATGTCGGTCGCCGATCTGGATGAAGCATTCCGATTCGAAGAGCTGGGACATCAACCGGGGCACTAAATCGTTAGCTTGGAGCCTGGTAGGCTGATGGGAGCCGTTACATGTGTAGAACTGAGCATCGGCGAAGAGTTTCACGAATTGCGCGCCATCTTGGGGGCGGACATGGTAGCCTACACCGCGTCAGTCTTCGTCGCGTTGGCGATAAGGAGTTCTGTGTACCCTGTAAATGTCTGGCGATTTCGCGAAAGGTGGTGGGGTCGCGATCGATGTACAGAGTTCGTAAATTTGAGGCATCTGGAGTTTGAAGTAATTGATCCTCGAAGAATCGCGAGAAGTAGGAGGGAGCTGTTGGTCAGCCAGATCCATCGATCGCAGTCCAGGGCGTGTACCGTCAGAGGCGAGCGAAGCACCGGAGAGACGAAAGAGCTCCGAGCCAATTTGGATGGAAAAGACCTTCTCGGTTGGCAAAGTGCAGGTGCGCTCCATTTTGTTGGAGGAAGGAACGATGGTCTCCGGTCACCTGCTTTTTGCCAATCCCATGTTTCCCCCGGGGCCCCCTTTGCCTTACTTCCTACTCTGCTGGCTCGGATTTGTTCGCTTTACAATTACACCCTACTCTACATACTAGTAGGGTCACGACAGTTGGAGTTTTCAAGGAGTTGGTTCACCGCTCCGATTCCAGCGAGGTTTGCGATGTTCACATGGGGTTGAAGCTCGGTTGTCCCCGCAGCCGACCGATCATGACCCAAGACGGGTAGCACAAGTGTGGCTGCAAGGGCGGTTCACCGCAGCAAACAGCACGAGCACCGCTGATCGCCGAAGTTGTTCCAATCCGCTGATTGGCCAAGCTGGGAACAGGAATGTGCGACAACACCTGGGCATGCCTGGACAATGTAGCTGCACGTTCTCCCAACCGAGGTCGACCCCGGATCTTGGAGAACTCGCAAATTTGGGTTCACCTACTCGAAGATCGCAGATAATGATGGTTCTCGTTGGACAGATGGGCCCGTGAGCTTGTCAATCTTCTAGTATTTCTCTCCACAAGTTTCCACCTGATTTTGCTTTCATTTTTCCATCATCTCGTTGGGTTGGGTTCTGTCAACATGCCCACTCTAGATGTATCATCATACACACCCCAAGAGGTTCCTCTTCCACCAGCAAAACCCTCAACATTCTTTACCGAGCTGCAGTGGAAGTCATTCTTTGCGCTCGCAGACGCTGTTGTCCCCGCAATTAACACCAGTGCAACTTCAAGATCATCCAAGAACCTAGTCGTCTCAGACGCAGAGTACAACTCCGCCGTTGTCGGCCTGACCAACCTGATCTCGGGGCCCGATGCAAACTCTATTGCGACTCGATATTTGCAGGAAGATGCATCCTCCAACCCGCTGTTCCGCTCCACGGCCGAGCGTATCTTGAGTGACCACGTTCACGACGAGGGCAGGAATGGTGTCGGGCTGATTTTGAACGCACTGAATACTCGCGCCGGCTCCTTGATCCTCACCGGCTCTACCACCCCCATCCAGGATCAGCCAGTCGAATTCCGAGAACGAGTCTTCAGGGGATGGGACACATCTCGGCTACCACCTCTTCGCACAGTTTATAGAGGGCTTTCAGCCATTATCAAGAAGACGTGGGTGATGACAAGTCCTACGATTGGCTCGGTTTTAGGTTTCCCTCGTGTACCTGTTCATGGCAAGCCCGCCGCCGGATTTGAATATGAGTTTTTGCAGTTACCCCCCGGTGAAAAGCCAGAAGTCATTGAAACCGACGTTGTCATCATTGGAAGTGGCTGCGGTGGGAGTGTGGCAGCTAAGAATCTTGCCGAAGCTGGTCACCGCGTTCTAGTAGTGGAGAAGTCCTATTCCTATCCATCCACTGCATTCCCAATGGGCCCAAATGAAGGGTTTGTCAACATGTTCGAGAACGGCGGTGCAATTTTCAGCGATGATAGCTCTATGGCTGTTCTAGCAGGATCAACCTGGGGAGGAGGTGGCACTGTGAACTGGTCGGCATCATTGCAGACGCAAGGTTACGTCCGACAGCAATGGGCCGATACTGGCTTGCCCTTCTTCACTTCTTTAGACTTCCAGAAAAGCCTTGATCGGGTTTGTGACCGCATGGGTGTCAACTCGGAGAAAGTTGAACACAACGCTCAAAACAATGTCATCTTGAATGGTGCGCACAAGCTCGGTTATGCTGCCAAGACAGTACCCCAGAATACAGGCCATGGTGAACACTACTGTGGTTACTGTACTTTGGGATGTTCTTCAGGCGCAAAGAAAGGTCCCACACAGACCTTCCTCGCGGATGCGGCCTCGGCCGGTGCCAAGTTCATGGAGGGATTCCAGGCCGACAAAGTGATCTTCACCAAGGTCAAGGGCAAAGAGGTTGCCTCCGGAGTGAAAGGAACCTGGAGATCACGAGACTCATATCTCGGCCTTTCCGGCCCTGGTGTTGTGGAGCGCAAAGTTATCATCAAGGCGAAGAAAGTGATTGTATCCGCCGGCACACTACAGAGTCCTCTTCTGCTGATGCGAAGTGGGTTGAAAAACTCTCATATCGGCCGCAACCTTCATCTTCACCCAGGTAAGACTTCTCTGTTACAGACGCACACTCGCAGAAGTACTTACAATTTCCAGTCATGGGCGGTGGCGCAATCTTCGACGAGGAGACTCGACCCTGGGAGGGTTCCGCACTGACAACGGTAGTCAACGAGTTTGAAGATTTGGATGGGCACGGACACGGCGTGAAGATTGAGGCAGTCTCAATGTTGCCGTCCGTATTTATCCCGGTTTTCCCTTGGCGAAACGGATTGGAATACAAACTTTGGGCCGCGAACATGCGTCGAAGCACCAGTTTCATCACTCTTACCAAAGAGCGCGACCCTGGTCGTGTTTACCCAGACCCCGTCGACGGTCGATGCCGCATTGACTACACCGTATCTGCTTTCGATCGAAAACACATAGTCGAGGCCATCATTGCCAGTGCTAAGATCGCCTATATCTCGGGTGCTAAGGAATTCCATACCACATATCGCGACATTCCGCCTTTCATCCGACCCCAATCTTCGACCCCGGAAGCTCCTGAGGGAACCAACGACAAGGCTTTGCAGAGTTGGATCGCCGAGGTGCGTCGAAAGTCACCTCTCAACCCGGAACGCGGTCTGTTCGCAAGTGCGCACCAGATGGGCACGTGTCGTATGAGCAAATCGCCCAAGTCGGGCGTGGTGGACCCGGCTTGTCAGGTCTGGGGCTCGGAGGGGCTCTACGTGGTGGATGCTTCTGTCTTCCCTAGCGCGAGTGGCGTTAACCCCATGGTGACCAATATGGCAATCGCAGACTGGGCTAGCCGGAATCTGGCCCGATCTATGGGAGCTCGTGACGAGGGCAGTGTGATGGCTCGCCTGTGAGTTCTTCAAGGCCCGTGTCTTACAATTGCTCTCAAGTAGCTCTTTGTACATATTTTATATCCACATGCTTTAATGATTCCACGTTTTGTTCACGTAAATAGGTTGTAGCCCAGTGCCAAGTTTAGAACTCTTGTATTTTTAATTCATTTCGCTATGCAAGTGCTTTTTACATTCCTCGCTTAGGAAGGAGGGGCGCTGCGCTTGTCGATGTACTTCTTCTCACCGAAAGCCTGTTTAACACCCTCGGCCTCGAGAGTGCGCTCATACCAGGCAACAACGGTAGGGTACTTCTCGCGGGCCTCCTTCTCAATGACCATGGAGAAACCCCAGACAAGGGCAGACGCAACAGTGATATCAGCCAAGCTGAGCTTATCACCAGCGAACCAAGTGCGACCCTTCAGGGCAGTCTCCATGCAAGCGAGCGAGCGGTCCAGACGCTCAAGGTTGGCAGTCTCAGTCTTCTCGTCGTAGGCGCGGATACCGAGGCGCCACAAGGCAAGCAGGGTGATGGGGTCCAAGATCTCGCCCTGAGCATAGCAAATCCATTGGCGGATAGTGGCGCGCAGAGCAGGGGTGCTGCCGATCAGCTGGTCGGCGGCGGGACCGCTCTCGGCAATGTATTGGGTGATGGCGTCGGACTCGAAGAGGGTGGTGCCGTCGGCGGCTTCAAAGGCGGGGACCTTGCCGAGAGGGAACTTGGACATGAAGTCCGGGGTACGGTTGGTCTGGCCCATGGTGAATTCGGGGACCGAGAGCTCCAACCCGTTCAGGTTGGCAGCCGCTTGGGCCTGTGGACCTCGGAGTTAGCTTGTGCATTAGGCCATAGGTAGTATGCATACCTTCATAACCCGGGGGCTGGGCTGGTAGGAGTAGATTGTGCCGAAAGGTGCCATTGTGGATGTAAATGAGGTGGAAATCTGAATGCTGAGTGGTGGTTACAGACAATGCCTTTATAACATTGTCCTACCTAGGTAGGATGAGACACGGCGGAATCGGGTGGAACCCTCGATTTCTAATCAATTCCGCAGTCAACAAAAAGGTTGTTAAGCGTCCCACTTGAGTCCTGGATTATTTGATACACCGACTTTCTTCACCTGCAATGTGTTCGGTTATTTATACTAAGTATGCGGTGCAAAATGCCATTGGTGAATCCGTAGTCCCAACCCCATTTGACCGCATCTCATATCCGCTCTGAAGATGAAAAAAAAAAGAATAAAGCCTGGAATAACTCCCTGCATTCTGCTTCTGCAGAGCAGCTCAAAAAATATAAGAGATTTCACATCTTGCAAATGGTATAATCCTATGCCTTGATCGCTTCGCCAAGGCGCATATAGTTCCAGCAGACTGCCATCTTGTTAGCATGACTACCTTCAGCACCCGGTAGAACAACTTACTAGTATGACCCATATCCTTGCCAAACAAGCTCTTCTGGAGGTCCTCGCCCTCACGAGTTCCCTCGTCGGGCGTGTAACTCACAGCCTTCTTACCAATCGCCAGTCCCATCACCGCGGGGAATGGTGAAAGGGTCTGATAGCTCGGCTTTTGGCCTGTGCACTCTTCCAGCATGTGCTCATGAATGTTCATAGCAGCGTAGTGGCCCATGTGCATGGCACCACCACAGCGCTTGATACCTTCCCACTCAACAAGATCCCCGACAGCCCAGTGGTTCTGGGGGTTGGGAATAGGACCGGAGAATTGAAGTCTGGGGGGTTAGCCTCGTTCATCGACCAAGTGAATGGAACTTACGAAGGATGAACCTTGATGTATCCCTCATCGTTCAATGCTTCCTTGGACAGGTATGTCGAGGTCGGCACAGACTGCGAGACGGCGTTCAGCACTTGGCCTGTGGTGAGCTTTCGGCCGTCGCTGAGCGTCAAGTTCCAGACTCGCGCATCACCGTCCTCGACTGCGGTTGTCTCGATAACACGCTGTCCGAGAATGACCTCGACACCGGTCTCGATCAAGATGGAAAGAGACCGCTCGGCGAAATCATCAGGCAGTGGCTCTGACGATAGCAGGCGGTTTCGCGAATGAATGAGAGTCACTTTCTGTGAAGGGTTGAGAATCTTCAATTCCGCCGCCATCTCTACACCAACCGCACCTGTGATAATGTCAGATCTGGCTCTTTTTGAATATCAGGGAATACCCACCTCCACCGACCACAACAACGCCATCGCGGGCCTTCGCCACGCTAGTCATGTGTTCCTCCGCCTCCTTGAGGAACTCATCACGTTTCAAAGATTGCGGAACAGTGGGGAATGAGCGACGCAATCCCGAACCGGCAATTAAATAATCGTACGACTCGGTACGGTTGGCCTTCGTCTCCGAATCCACAATGTGGGCAACCTTATTCTGGAAATCCACGGAGCTCACACTCCCCTGGATGAAGCTCAGGTCGGGACTCTTCAGACCCGGGATATCCTGGAATCGAGTCCATGCCTCCGCTGCGAACTTCTTACAGGCTAGTGCCTTCGGTGATCCGATCAAATGGACTACTCATGTTAGCTGGCGCGTCAAGATCTGTCGATATCGAACATACAGTAGCCATCCCGCTTATCGACGACAGTGATTTGGATAGGAATGCGGTGCGTGGGGGGCTTGGCCTCGGGGTTGTAGGTGAAGCGGGGAACGCGGGCATTGGAGAGATCTATGAGACTCAGCGCTGCTGCGAGGCCACTGTATGAGCCGCCGATCACCAGGACACGGTAGCTGCGGGAGACTGTTCGGACAAAGTCGTTGGAAGGCATAGTGAGGGCTTTGGGGGAGAGAGAAAGGGGGAAGCAGGAAGAAAGAAGAAAAATTTGGGAAGGAGCCAGAGCCAAGAGTTCTAATAAGACACAATAATATAGCGTCATGTAGCTTTCGTGGTATGCGGGTCCCGAGTCTTATCAGATTGACAGCGACATCGGATTCCGTGTATTTCACTTTCTTGGCTTTTTATCAGATCCGAGACTGTGAGACATTGGTATTGGCTTCTCTTGTGCCAGGGCGGAGTTGGGCCGAAATGACCGTGGAATATCACGGTTTCATAGTGTCATATTTCATCATCTGGTGGCGGGTGACCTCTCACATAAGCCTCATGCCCAACAGATCTTCAAATCCCTACATCGCTTCACGAGGTACCGGGGTAGTGGTAGTGTCTCCGGGGTGTGCGGTATGGCGGTAGGACGATTATGCAGGGACCAGAGCACCCGTGGACCTAGACGAGCCCGCAGATAGCCTATGTTCAAAGATACCTACTAGGCGCCTATGTGGGTACTACAATGAAGATTCCATATGGAACCTGTTCCATCTGATAAAATGTCCAAGTGATGATCTGATAATCTGATAAGATTCAAGACTCGAAACCTTGAAATATTTCCGAGGCTGTGACGCAGGATCGGTGTAATGTAACGTATTGAAAGGCCCACTTCGTCGTACAGCCACTTCACTCTATTAGGCAATGATCACCGATCAGACAAGATCGCATCTAATCTGATTTTGGGAAGTGGAACCTCCGCGGTCGGAAGCGACATAATTTGGCTTGTACGGTACTGTATTCGCTAAGAAATGGCGCAATTTACGTACAACCTTCATACGTACAGAATGGCTGTTTCAAGTCTTCATGCCTTCGAAGGCTCCATGGCTTTGGGGTATTATTCACATCTAGAGTCTCCGCCATTTACAATCTATCCCACGTATACACATATATTTACTTCCGTTGCGCCAACACAGCAGTCGCCATATCGCGCAAATCCACCTTCCGTACCTTTCCGCTCCCCGTGACGGGCACCTCGCTGGACGCGCCCTCTTCGCCAAACACAAACACATGCTGCGGTGCCTTGTGTCGACCGAGTGTCTCGCGGGTCCAGACGCGAAGTTCGTCATCGGTGGGTCGCGCAGCGCCCGCCGCGACCGCAATGAACGCACCGACGACCTCTCCGTACTTGGGATCCGGAATACCAATCACCGACGCGAGTTCGATGGCGGGATGCGCGGATAACCGTTCCTCGATCTCGAGCGGGTAGATGTTTTCGCCGCCTATTTCAGAATTAGCGATGTCGATCAAAATCTTGGGGGGCGTTCGCGAGCTTACCGCGAATAATAATATCCTTGAATCGCCCGGTGATTGTGCAGTATCCTTCGGCGTTGAAGGAGGCCTCGTCACCGGTCTTGAGCCATTTGACGCCCTCCGCGTCGGTAATGAAGGTTTCCGCGGTCTTTTGCGGGTTGTGCCAGTATCCCTTGGTCAGCTGGTAGCCTGACATGCAGAGCTCACCGCGCTGGCCGATTGGGACGATATTTCCGTGAGCGTCGATGATCTTCGCGCGCGCGTGTGGTAGCACCTTGCCGACTGTGGTGAGTCGTGTATGGATGCTGTCTGTGGTGAAGGCGTTAAAGCATGTTGGCGAGGCTTCCGTGAGACCTGGGCTAATTAGCAAGGGAAAATCGAATGGATGGAGCAATCGTACCGTAGCTACTGGTATATTCTGTCATGTTGAGCTCGGCAAAGAGGCGCTTCATCAATGGGCGCGGAACCGGAGCTCCGGCAATAATTCCGGTGCGCAGGTTCGAGGTATCGAAGTTAGGAGGCTTGGGCACACTGAGAATGGCCTCGAACATGGTCGGAACACCGTGCAATGCCGTGCACTTTTCATCCGAGATAGCATGGAGCACAGCCTTGGGGTCGAAGATTTCGCCGGGGAACACAATCTTGGCACCGTGGGTGACCACCGCTAACATGCCTAGCACCAGGCCGAAGCAGTGGAACAGAGGGGGCGGGCAGCATAAGACATCGAAAGATGTCAGGTTCATTCGATCTCCAATAAATCGAGAGTTGTTGACCAAGTTGCTGCGAAAATTAGCATGCACAATTTAAATCATCGCGTGGGCTCACATACTGGTGTGTCAACATCGCGGCCTTGGGGTTGCCCGTCGAACCACTAGTAAATTGCAAATTGCACACATCACCCGAGCGCAACTCGCTCTCCCGATCCTGCAACAAATGCGCCTCCTGCGATAACCCGCGCTGCACCACATCCTGGTAATTGGCGAAGTTCCCGTGACTGCCGCGCAGAATAACAATTTCCTCGAGCGACTCCGAGGTTGCCGCCTTTTTGGGATTGGGGCCAAGTGCGGATAAAACTTCCTCGAGGTTGTGGCGTCCAATGCGCGGGGTCATGAAGAGCATTCGGCATTCTAGAGAATTAGTGAGTAATGTAATACGGAAAGTGGATATCGACTCACCACTATGGTTCAAAGCGTAATACAGCTCCGAGGGGGTGTACGTGTTGTTCAGAACAACCAAAATGGCTCCGACCCGAGCCGCGGCGAAGAACACGGAAATGTACTGTTCACAATTGCCCGCCATGATACCAATTCGATCCCCTTTTTGAATTCCCGAGGCAAGCATGCCTCGGGCCAGACGATCCGTCTCGTCTTTTAGTTGGCCGTATGTCCATCGTGCTCCCGTCCAGGGGAACACGAGACATTCCAATCGTCCATATTGCAATGCTTGCAACGTCAACAGCTCTCCCAGAGTAATGTCCAGCAGCTGTGGTTCTGTCGGACCTGCGACAATTGACAGCTGTGGACTGGTTAGAGGCTGAACGTGCGACAGCGTCTGCTGCAATCGCTGTACACTTCTGGGGGCCGCCATGGTTTGAAATTAGAAGGACACAAAAGAGGAATGAGGAGAGAAAGAAGAAGAGCGGGCTTATAGATGTAGCCGACAAAACCGCGACATTTTCCGCATGGTTTTTTTTTTTTTTTTTTTTTTTTTTTGCTTTAATTTCAATCAGATATGCCGGGCCCCCCACTTGTAAAGCAACGCGTATCGGTAATGACGAGGCATTTGGCTCTTATGCTTGGTCGGGACAAGCTCTTGGCGACGAACAAGACTCCACTGCGTCAAGCGAACCTTGGCATTTGCAGCTCGGAGTTTTCTTTTCTTTTTGCTTTTCTTTCTTGTTTCAATGGCTTTCAATATTACCGCACTAACCACGTTCACATGGGCTTTCTCACAGGGCCAGAGCCGCTGTGTCGCCTAGAACGGTGCCGATCCCTACCGAAATATCGTCACCTCTGAGACATGTCTGCAGGTTAAAATCTTACCTCTCCGGGTGGACTGATGACGGAGGCACCTTCGTCCGGTAGAAATATCCGTGAAGATAATTTAGTACTTAAAATTCTCACATGGGGTTGGAGTTTGGGGTTGTGTGTTCTGCAACGCATTTTAAGGATCGCCAATCGTATTTCCCTTCACGGCAGTATAGCCCGAAATCAATCTGATCGTGCACCTGTATGCCTTATGAGACAACATTTAATGAAGCCAAAAGCAAACGTCAAGCAGGACTCGTGGCATCCCCACTCCTGATCAGATAATTTCTGCAGGAATCCATACCGTTATCAATCAGCCAAGGTGTTCCGGGTGGAGTCCCGGGCATGAGGAATTTCTCTTTCGCAACCCGGACCATACTACCGAGTTGGGAATAAGTATCTCTCGCCCAGATCCCGGTCTTCCGAAATTGAAACGCCCTCTCACCTGGCTTTATGTAGGATACTGGTGGGCCGCGGACTGTAGCCCGGATCAACTAGGGATCACCTCTGACACCTAAGGCTAATGTGCGATCAAAATTGGGCCCCGCCAGGTTTGACACCGTCACCTGGGCATGCATTCGACATGAATTTGCAACCTCTTGAATCTCACGACAACCTTGTAAAGGTTCCAAGGTTGAACACTGTGCGATCTAATCAATCCTGATCTAATCAATCCCGACATCGGCTCGTGTTTCCACGGGTAAAATTCAATACAGTTACCGTATTGTCGAGCCGAGACCCTTGCATAATACGAAGTGCATGCAGGTGCAGATGTGCATGTAACCTAATTCATTCTCAGGGTCCAATCTTCCAACATTGGAAGGTTCTTCAAAATACGAGTGCGAATGCATTTATCCCTACAGGGCTGGGCAAGTTGGGCTCTCTCACATTTGGTATTATTGTATAGCGTATGAAAGATTAAATATGAAAATTATTAAACTGGCTTACCTTCCTAGGTGTGTTGCTCGCTGATTCTAAAGCCAGACCTTGAGTCCTCCCGAGGTCTAAATCTTAGGAAACTGATAATAACCATCCGCATCGCATCCCCGCAGGGCCCGTGAGACTCTGCATACCGTTTCATCTAACTCCATAGCACAGCAACCTCCCTTCGATATTAAATCATCATTAGCAAAACCTCTAAATACCAAACTTGTGGCCCTTTGGAACAGTCAAATGGGTGCATCCCTCGAAGTCGCAAGTGTTCTATTGATTGTAGAGTCAGCATGAGTTGTTCAGCCTCAAAGGGATCAACCGTACCTTGTGAACCTCCGTTCCCCACCAACTGAAGTGCTTACTCGCCCCCGTGAAGAAAATAGTCAAGAAGATCAGCACACCCGCAATGCCGACCGACGAGTCCATCGCAGAGCTGAGTACAAAGTTGTACTTGTTCCACCAGCCACGCAGGCGGTTGCGAATAAGGACACCAAAAACGAGACCAACGACCGCCCAACTCCCATAGTTCATACCGGTCGCGGGTGGCAGGTAGTTGAGACCACCAATGAACAGGGGAATGTGGATCTTCTTCCAGAGCGACTTGGGGTAGCGGCGACCAAGGATGTAGACGGGAATGGGTAGGATGGCGCCAATGATGAAGAAGTACAACAAGGCAGAGTATCCGATGTGGTTTGAGAAGTAGCGTCGTGGGCCGATAGCACCCCAGATCAGAGAGGTGTTGAAGTGTGTGCGAGAGAAGGGGCAGCTGAAGCCGTTGACTGCGTCGGTGGTGCAAACGCCGGTGATGTGGTTGAGGGCCCAGTTGAGGACGCCGAGGGAGGAAAGTGTGCCCACGACCATGCCGACACATTGCACCAGGAATAATTTCCGTTGTGGGATCTGACATGTTTAGCATTGCGCTTCTGAAGAATTGGGGGAAAGCTTACATGGCAGTAATAGGCCAATTTCATGTCTTGGGCGAAGTAAAGACCCTTGATCGTGGTAATGTATCCGATATCGAAGAACCAGATGTTAGCAAGAACCTTGCCCTCGAAAACGAAGCCAGCAACGATGCGACAGAAAATGTCGATATTGATCTTGAGGTTGGCAGTGGCATAAACTAGGGCAAGCTGCAGAGAATTAGCTCAAATTTCGAAGATGGGAACGGAAGACGACTCACTGGAGGGTAGAACACGAGCGCGACAAGGCATGCCAGCAGGACACCATACCACCTCAACTCCACGTCCCACCACTCGACCGCAAATATGGCCATAAACAAGGCCACAATGCAGCAGACCAGGTACCACCAGACAGGTACATCGGGATCACCACGGTCATCCTCGCTATACGCTCTTGAACGACCAGGGAGAGATTCCATCACGAGCACCGGGACACGCCTGCATGCATCGGCCATGACATGGCGCTTTTCGAGAGCGACCCAGACGAGAAGAGAGCTCAGGGTCGCGAATGACAGTCCAAACATGTTCAATGCATAGGTAATCGGCATGTATACCTAGTCATCGATTAGTTTGTGTGGGCCCATGGTGGGACATAATACGAACCGGTGAGTACGCCAGATACTTCTTGACGTCAAGCTTATAGCCCGAGGCCGCGTTCACAATCTTCTTGACCTTGTACACATTTCCAGTGTTGTCAAATACTGGCTCCTGTTAGATTTTGTTGCAAAATTATGTTATCTGACATACCTTTGGAGCTCTGGAAGGGCAAGTAGCCTGTGTACCAAACATTGGTATAGTAGCATGCAACGGCTACGATCCAAATCCAGAAGACGAGAGAAACAGCTACATTGATGATGGCCCAAGATGGGATCAGAAGAGGGGATCCGACATATGACACTTGGCTCCCTTTTGGATTGTTAGCATGATCACTGCCCCACCAGCAGAGTCAACTCACAATCAAAGGTGATGGGAAGAAGTCCCATTCCCGAACTCATGCCGAAGATCTGATTGACAACCTTATTCTTTGGCTTGATCCAGCATGGGAAATTGAAGGTGCTGAGCGCTGGGAAGATAAAGTCAGGGAACCAATACCAGCAGAACGATATGCAGCAGACCATCGTGAAGAAGGCATAGCGGGACATTTTCCAAGTATTGTAACTGCCTCGGGTCAGTAAGACGACGCTTAATAGTTTCATCTAGCCAAATCATACCGGGATTGCACCTGATCCTGGCTAATGTGGTGGAGCGTGGTCGTCAAAGCGGTGACACTCAGCACTCCAGGCCAGATCAATTCCTTGGGGACGACGACAATAGATCTAAACAGACCAGCAAGACAGAATCCGATCAGGAAAGTAGTAAGTGTGATCAGAATCTGAAATCCCCATCCGGCCTTGTACCCATAGAACATTTGCTGTTCGGTCAACACATCGGCACCTAGACGCACATAGATACTCAGGTTGGACATGATATAGATCAAAGTGTGTTCCTGTATGGGTTAGTTTATATTTTTCATCACCAATCTGGGCTCATACCTTTGTATTGAACGAGCCCGGGTTTAATGGGAAAGACCAAGCTCCCAACGGAACAGTCCAGTCAGGGATGATCTTCTCCCATAGCTTTCCGAGCGGATAGGCCAGCAAAAGAACGACGGAGCCAGAAATTGTCAAAGAGGGGGTGCGCAGGGTATAGAGGGTGTTGAGGCCGCATACGACAATGCAGAAGAAGATTCCAATCACCCACATACGGAGAGTAAGAATGGGCTCTGTGGGATCATCTTCGGCAATGCCTATGCCAGCCGCTCGCAGAACATTGATTTGGGAATCGGCATCTAAACAGAATGTGAGAATTGGAATATCTCAACTTTCCCGATTTCGGGTGTGAAAAATAGGACAGGGGGCTTACCGGAATCCGAACCAGATCCGGTTTGGGGTTCCTTCTCATGGATATCCTTCTCCTGGACATTGATATCGTCTGGCTTGGTGGTCGCCATGGTGGACGTTGATACAAAAGAAAGGAAAGATGATCAGATAAATAGCATCAGATAAGATGGGAAAGGATCACGGTGTCATTGCGACGTCGGCAAGTGCGCCCTGAGTTTTCCCAGGTTTCGGCGGTTTTTCCCTCGATTTTGCTGGTCTCAGCCCTACAGGGCGAAGTGGGGAGAGACAAGCCTTTGCTCCACTTGCTTTGGCGTCTGCCTAGTCTTCATTATTGCTTTCCTCGCTGCTACAGTGTCCAGCATGCTATATTGAAAGATCAGATAAATTGAGTGATCTCTGTCTGGCCATAGTTACATATGACTGAAGTATATTGATCATACTGGGTTGGGAAAAGAAAAAAGAAACCCTCTGGACGGCTAAACGCAAGCTTTGCCAGACCCATAGCTCTGGACCAAGCATTAATTCGCGCATACAGTGGGCCTCCGCATTGAGAAAGTGGTTTCTCGTACTCTCAAGCCACAGGGCACCGGGGCACTCGGGAACTCGGATGTACAGTATTTATTTCAAGAATCTCATAAATGATCAAAATGATATGGAAATATGGAATATGGAATAAGATGATCACGCTATGAGATCCTCCTCCACCACTAAGACACGCACCTTAATGCCCCATCCATCCCGTCCGCCAATCCAATTTTTCCGTTTACCGACCTTCTCAATCCGCTTCACATCGTGTTCAAGCTCCTCTTTCAAATTGGTTGGGTCATAAATCACCCTTTGAATGGAGATGGTTAAGTCAAGGCCTTCTTTATTGCCCTTCTTGCCAAGTCCAGTTCGCCACTCAGCCCTCGGAAGGATCCGAGGCTTCGAAGTATCGATGGATCCGGTCGGGTAAAGTTGGCTGAGCACGAGTCCGAGCTTTCCAAGATAACGTGTCCACCACACTTCCTCGGGGGTGAGAATGCCCTGCAGGTGGGTCTTGAAGCCCATGTCTCGGGGTGGTAATTCTCCGCCATAGCGCTCCTGGAGCATTAGCGCAAGCAGTGCCCGGTGGGAGTGGGGGATGCCGTGAGTGGAGGCCAAAATGCCCGTGCTGGTGCTAAACATGGCTGCGCTAGAGGACAATTCCTTGGACATGGTGGAGTGGTAATAAAGGGCATTGACAAAGGCCTGCACCAGGTGCAGACTAATCGACGAGGGGAAAGATCGGGTGGCAGACGGTCGGGGAAGAGCGGCTAGGATTAACGCCGCGAGGGCCTGAGCCGATGGAGGCGCATATCGGGCCGTGGCCACCTCCAAAGGGTCCTGCTGCCGCACAACCGGAAGCATCTCTCTGAACAGCACGCCCTCACGCACGCCGCCCTGGCAGAAATGGGCCTCCTTGATCCCATGTGGTAATGACTCGGCTAGTGTGTTCACTAAGAACGCCACCGAGGGCACCTGCTTGCGTCGCCGATCAGACACGCGGAAGATCTCGTGGGCGGTCCGAGCAACCTCCTTGAGGGCCTCGGTGTCCTCAAAGTCCTTCTTGGGTGCCGTGTATCCATTGATGATGGAGATAGGGTAGTTGCGCTTCTTCGTCTGATGGAGGTACAGCAGCAGGTAACCCCATCCCCGAAATCCGCCTCCGGAAAGATAGAGAGGGAATCCACCTTGCTCCCGGGCCTTCTTCACCAGATGCTCGGGAACCTCAATCTTGTCAAAGGCAGCGCGGAAGTTATCCGCCATCTCTTTGCGAAACAGCTCCCGAGCTTTGTGGGCCTCCTCTTTGCTCTTGTCTCGTTTCAAGTCCGCCAGTTTCTGGGTTAGTGCTGCTGCCCCATAGGGGAAACTGACTGATCCCTGTGGGCTCATGTGGACATTGCCGGCATGCGATGTGATCCATGTCATCTGCATGCTCCCACCACCCAGATCGAGTGCAAGACCCTCCACATCTGAAAAGCTGCTGGCAATTCCCCATGCGCCAATGACACCTTCTTCCTCCTTCCGTAGCGCCTGGACTGAGATTCCCGTCTCATGGAAGATGGCTTCAATGAACTCGGAGGAATTGATCGCAGTTCGGGTTGCTTCAGTTGCAATTATTCGTATGTTCTGCTGAGGTACTCCAATCTCGACACAGACGATCTGGAAGCGAACTATGGCACTGACTACTCGATCGATGACATGCCTAGGTATGGGAATCCGGATGCCTGTGTTCGGGTCCAATTGGGCTTCGTAGAGAGAGATATTGATACGATGGAAGTGAGCTGTAGGTAGGACTCGGGTGCTAGGGGGTGAAAGGTCGGAAATCGAGCAACGGATACCATTGCTAGGATACTCAGTCAGCGTGTCCAATGGAGGGGCAAGTGATCACACTTACCTGCCTAGATCGACCACCGCATGGAGGAAGATATTCTGACCCGGCTCAGATGAGAGAACCTTTTTGTTCATTGGTATGGTCTCTCCTCCTCCCATGATGTTGCGAATTCTGTACAATTCTAAGGTGAGATGCTTTCGAGTACCACCGTGGACGCCTGACATCATGGCTGACCGCTTGACATTTCTGCCGTCCCATTTTGCCTCGTATCTGACCGCCCTTAGTGCCAGACTGGCATGACATCTGGAGTTGGAGGTTTTCTCTCAACACATGTCGGACACGCCTCTCCTGAAGGCTCAATAAAGGCTCGAAGGGTCAAAACACTTCAATTTTGCTTTCTTTGGCGTTAAAGTTGCAATACACCAATACACTCTACTCATATCAAATGCAAATTCATGGCAACATCAGTCCGCGCGTCTATCATCCCAACTCATTATGATTTTTCTCTGCAGAGACTGCGATAGGGTCTGAATTTCAGCCCGGTCAATCAAGTCGAACAGAACACGGCGTGCCAATTGCGAGTCCCGCATTTCACTGGCTGGATGCCTGCACTTGAACACTCGATAATGATCTTGCTCACGGGAACACATTCCCATTCAGAATTTCCGCCCGGGTCCCAAGGTGGAACAGGGGAATGTGTTCTTTCGGTGCTGGAACGGTAACCGTCTGGCCTCCAGAGTAGGTCTCATTCGACCACCAGTACGTCCATGGCTTCAAATCACCACCCGTCTGCGGCAGATAGACAGACCATTCAGTCACATTCGGTGTCGTTACTGGGCTCACCAATAGCTTCGGACCAAACATATATTGCTGTGTCGTGGTATTGGTGTTCAGCCGTGTCCATGAAGCGACATGGGGATCGGACTTTTCGAAATCCATATACAAAGGGCGCATGATCATTCGACCAGTCTTGTGAAGTTGATCAAACACCGCTCGCAAATACTCAGAGAGTTGGTACCGAAGATGAATGTAGGAGACCAAGATTGGGGTGTTCTCCGATCCATAAGACCAAGGCTCATTTGCGCAGGTGTAGGCGTTCTGGAAATCACACTTCCGGGTACCGTGGGTGCGCATGAAGGGTACGAACGTTGTCCATTGGAACCATCGCACATAGAGCTCGCGATACTCAGGTGTATCGATATTGGCGCTCCACGGGACAGTGGGATCCGCTTGGAAGCCGCCCGCGTCTAGGGTCCACCAGCCCCAGCCTGTTGCGGCGGCGGACAACCCACTAGCGATCTGCGCGCCAAGTGTCTCCCATACTGACGTGATGTCGCCTGACCAGATCATGCTGCAGAATCTTTGGGAGCCGATGTACCCAGAACGACTCAGTGAAATGTAGTCACAGGGTGTTCCTACTTCTGTCGTGGTCTCGTTGCGGAATCCTTCTTCAATCGCTTGCTGGTGCGCCCATGGATAAAGCTTCCCCACACTGCGCTGTGTGCCAGCCGCATACAAAACATCGGGAACAGCGAAAGGCAGAGACTGGATGTAGGTACTCTGACCATTGTTCTCGTATGCCTCGCCGAGCGCACCGCCATCCGCCTGGTCGATCCAGAAGTTCTTGATGCCTTTGTCAAAGTAGTTCTTCTTCAGGGTATTCCATAAGAACCGACGGGCTCCAGGGTTTGTCGAGTCATAGTTGCGGATGTATGACCCGTTCCAGGAATCAGTCGTGCCAGGCCCGGACCGAGTGGCAGACAAGAACCCTTGAGCCATCATTTCCAGATAGTTGACACTATCGTCTGCCACACTGGGCCAAAGAGAAGCCATCATCTCGGCGCCAGTCAGGTCTTTCACTTTCTTGGCCATCTCAGCCACGTCAGGCCACAAGTTCGGGTCAAGTCCCCAATCACCTTGATGAGCCCAAGACTGATAATCGATGACAATCATGGAGACGGGAATGTCGTGGTCCTTGAACTGCTGTGCCAGTTGGATGACCTCACTTTGATTCTCGTATCGAAGCTTTGATTGAAGGTATCCCAGCGACCATTCCGGCGGGGTAGGCGCCCGGCCGACGAGCGCAGACAGTCGTTGCTGAAGCGTGTCGTAGTCACTGGGGTCTGATGCCACGATCACATAGTCGACTACCGATGCTGCATCTGCAGTGAATTTGTTGCGCAGCGGGCCAAATTCCATGCGACCGGTCGAAGCCATATTCCAAACAAATCCATACCCCTTGTTACTCATGAAAACAGGAGTCGGAATATGTGTGTTGAAGTTGATGAGATCAATCGTGAGCCCCTTTTTGTTGACCAGATGGTCCTGCTGAGTTCCAGTGCCATATATCTGCTCATCCGGGGTGGTGCTGAAGGAGAACTCGGCGGTGAACTCACTTCCTGGGCCGGTCCAAGAATAATATCTTGGATTGATTGACTTGAGTGGTGCATACTCATTGGTGAGCAGAGTCTCTGTGCCGTTGGACTCAACTCGATAAAAGGCGAGACGATAGCCACCGGGGTTACCACCCCAACCGGATGTCCGGACGATCATATTGCCATTGCGCAACTCTTCGGATCGATTGCCGGTGAAGGCCGTGTCGAATTTCATGCCGTGTGCCTCTCCATCCTCGGGTCCGTCGAGAGGAGGGTCATACACGAAGCCGACTTCCTGTCCCGTTGGCGCCCTGTATGGCCATGCTCGCACTCGAAACCCATCGTATCCAAACGGTTGAACTAGGACGGTTTCAAACCCGTGCTGCATACGAAAGCCCTTTGATTCGGGTTTGTGATAGGCGGTCGACTGCACTGGGGAGGCCGCTGAGCCCAAAGCCCAAGTGGCACACAAAGAAAGCAGTGAGAGCCGCATGCTTCTCGGATTTGTGGGCTTGTCTGCTGGCTACTCTGACCCTTGTTGGTTTTTAAAGCTAATTGCCTCGTTGGATTTAGGCTGAATCACATATTCCAGTGTCCGGAGACCCCGCGAGAGACGTCACATTGTCCCATGATCTACATTCATAGATGCCATCCATGGATTTAGACGGAAGTAGACGGGTAGAGCGGGGGAGGGGTTACAGATGAATCTGCAATGGCAAGGTATCATGTAGCACAGACATGGATCGGAGGGCAATAGCCCGAGCGGAGGCCGATCAGTGCCCTGCATATCTTGTATTTATCCGAAGTAGTGCGGGATGGCAGCGGAAGCGGCTTGCTCCGCTAGTAGATTAGAGCTCAGCCATGAGCCTTGGAAGTGCTTGACTGCGGTGGCTTTTCTCTCAAAAGTACCTACTTTGATTCCAAGGTTCCCTCTTAGCATGCTGAAGAGTAGGAGACCACATTCTTCTCATCAAAGATTCCCTTACACGATATACATTTAGACTGAAGAAAGGCTCAAATCAGAAAAAATCACAGATGTGGGGGGGTCAATATATGTCGGCGGATGAATGGATACACAGATGCATGAGCGTGGGGAGGTTGGAAGATGCCCAGCTGCCCTCATACGCACTCACGCGTTGCGGCTAATTCCTGAAATCAGCTGGCCCACATGCTCTAGCAATACCTAGTTACAAGGTTGGGGACGATGTATTTGGAGCTTAGAATTTGATTTCCGAGGTTAGATCATCGAAAGGTCGCGGAAATGATGCCCAGGTGCCCCGGTGTCCACTGCAACTTCAGGTGAGACATGATACCCCTGAAACCTAAGGCATAAACTGAAGCCTTAGGCTGCAGTTGCAAGCCCGATCACATGACCAGTGCTTGGAACCTTCCAAGGTTGGAGGGTTCCAAGGTGAGAGCTTTCCAATATTATTGTGTCACTTGAAAATAAACATTTTTGATGATTCAGTAGGCGAAATAGTTTACCATGACAATTCGAAGATGTACAGCAAATTTTGACATGGCGGTGTAACTTGGAACTCGTTGACATATATATACATGTTGCTCAAATGATACGGGCACTTGACCATGTAACTTGAGTAAGAGATCGAGGCGTTCCGAGGCTCCTACGAGCTTCACAGATTGAGACAAAAGATACCTAGGTAAGAAACTTGAAGATGGTCCAGAACATCACCTGGGCAATATGTCGATGCCAGATGAGCGCGAATCCCGTGGACCAACGCAATGCCCCGATATTTTCACGTGGCATCATTATCTAATCAATCCGATCAGATAAGATGCGAGCATCACGAGTTTTCGAGCGAATGACCACCATTCCGGGCTCATTTTCGTTTCTTTCTTTTGAAACTCATCGCCCAAAGCCACATAAAATCTCCGGTTCGTGAATTACCCCCGACAATCTCGTTCCTCGCCACCATTCCCCAAGAGAGACGATCCAGGGTTCAGAGACTTCCGATCCACATGGGCCCACATTGATTGCGATTATCGGCGTGTTGCCGGTGCTCCGCCTGTCCTCAACCGTTTCTCCCAGACGGGCCACAACCTGGGGTTTCACCATGCTGCTCGGTCTGCTGCTCATCGCATGCGCCCAGGGTGTTTGGGCGGGCTTAGCTACAGAGGAGCCATGCGTCACCGCAATCTTCTCGGCATACAACTACATCTCATTTGCCGGGATTCCGCCTAAGCCTCTGTGGCATTCGCGATGCCGCAACACACTCAAGGTCACTTCCATATACGCCGCCTCGGAGGTGTACTGTAATGAGGATGAACGTGAACGGGGCCTTGCCCAACTGGCAGATCAGTGTCGAGAATTCGGACACGAGGAGCTGCTGTCTCGGGATGAGGTTGCGGAAAATTTGACGGAGGACGCGATAAGGAATATGAGAAGAGTCGATTATTTGGAGCTATCCCGAGCCGATCCGGTCGAGGTTCCGGTTCTGCTGTCAGCTTCTTATTTTGATCTGATGTTCAATACGCTTGTGAGATCCTCAGACTTTTCAACTTGAATTCCCGGTCTGACAGCTGATTTAGGAATCTTGGCAATACGTATCCTGGGCACATCATGCATTTGGGTAAGCATTTTAGATTCCACAGGGCTGAATTGAGCACTGACTGAGCAGTTACCTTGGCTACCTTTATTGGGGCATCATACTGTCACTGGGTATGATATCTCGACTATTTGTTTGGGCATTTCATCGCCGGCGGGGTCACAAAGAACGATCACTTGAGTCAAATGCGTACCCATTCGTCGGGACATTGGAGAAGATCCCACTGGTAGGAACCTGTCTTCACTGGGTCCAGACCCATGTCATCATCCCGGCGCCGTTGGCAACACGGAAATGCATCCTGGGTTTCACATTTTCCACTCGAGCCGAGGCACTGATTGTCTTCGGGTTCTGGACGTTGAGTATAGTCCTCAGTTTGGTGGGCTACCGGACATTCTCGGGCAACATATAGTAAGTCTCAAGCCAATAAGCTCGATATCAGGGTTGCTAACCAAAATAAAAGCTGGCCCGACATCCCCAGTCAGCTTTTGAGATACTCTGCAGATCGTACAGGCATTATGTCATTTGCAAACTTCCCACTGATATGGCTTTTTGGTGGGCGAAACAACATCTTCATGTGGGCGACCGGGTGGAGCTTCGCGTCGTTCAACATATTCCATCGCCATGTCGCTAGAGTGGCTACACTGCAGGCAGTAGTACACTCGATTTTATACATTGTCATGTACATTCAAGGTAAGCTCTGCGCCCTCGCTTACACTGGAAATATTAACGCTTGTCTTAACAACTAGCAAACACAATATGGAAAGGTCTATCCAAAGCCTACGTTCAATGGGGCATATTGGTGAGTCCCGTGAGCATTTTCCACAGAGTAATTTCTCACTTATAGTGATAGGGGACAGCGGTGATGGTCATACTACTGGTCACTTCGCTAGATCGAATTCGTATTGCGACATATGAGCTCTTCTTGATCGCCCATGTCGTGCTTTCAGTGCTTACACTCGTCGGGTGTTTCTAGTGAGTGATCTGACCTGGTCTCTTTTTTCCCTCAGCACCCTCTCCTAACAAATGCCAGCCATACCATCATCTTCGAAGGACATGAATATTGGCAATATCTATGGCCTTCAACGATAATATGGGTTGCAGATCGCTTCCTGCGGATTGTGCGACTGTGCTATTGCAATCTCCACGTGAGCACTTCAAATAAAAGCCTGGTCAAGGCATCCGTGACACGAATGACCTACGATAAAGCGGCCAACGTGGTGCGAATGGAGGTCACACCGGCCACACCGTCATTGCGGCCTTCTCCTGGACAATACTACTTTCTGTACCAGCCATTTCGTCTGACTGGCTGGGAAAGTCACCCATTCACGATTGGAGCCTGGCATTACGAAGTAGGTGATAAGACGTTGTTGGAACCAGCATCTGCACGAGATGTGAACAACTCGCTGGATGTATCCCATGTCCCCCTTCTCGCTGGTGGGGCGACTGATTCAGAATACCAACGCAACTGGACCCGTGACAGCATGGGAGAGGCCGAATCACCGGAGCTCAGGATGATCTTCTGGGTCCGACCGTACGACGGATGGACGCGTGAACTGCGGCAGCAGTGCCTTCGTTCGCCGGATCTAACGACCGAAACAACCGTGCTCCTTGAAGGCCCCTATGGCGATACTTTCCCTTTGTGGAGATACGAGTCAGTGTTGATCATTGTCGGGGGAACAGGGATTGCATCCGCAGTTCCCTACATCCAAGATCATCTTCGTCGCTCAGATGAAGGTTGGGAAGAAAACCCTGAAAATGAGAAAACCCGGGTTCGCGACATCGAGCTAGTCTGGACCACCAGGCAAGCGGCGTTCATCCACGACGTATCTCGTCGCGAATTAAAACCAGCTTTGGCACGAAATGACTTTAGCGCCTCATTCTACGCTACTCGTGATTCAACCGCATATGAAGATCTCAACAATTGCGGATACGAAGTCCAAGGAGGGCGTCCCCACCTTCAATCCCTGATCATGAGTCGAGCTTGCGATGCATCTTCGGCGGGCTCGAGTCTAGCCATCCTCGTATGCGGCCCATCCGGAATGGCAGATGAGGCGCGCGCCGCCACTCATCTTGCGATGCGACAAGGTCATCGATCCATCAAATTTGTCGAGGAGTCTTTCACTTGGTAGGCCTGAAGCCACATTTTACTCTTTGTGATTGATCTGCAAATCTTACATTTGATGAGATACTTTCCACTCACGTCACCTCTTATTGGATTGAACGCGGTTTGTTTGTCAAATAGAACGATAGACTGTGCCAGGGTCTGTACTCCCAACAGCCGTGCCCCTTGGCATCCCCAGGCAGGATTTCGAACGACTTCCCCCCGCCACCATCCCTATTCGAGGCTCGATCGGAATGATCGTAGAGATCTCATTCGAGCTTACCATCTCGGAACCAGGGTTTAGCTTGTGGCTGACAGGGGTACGTTATGCACGATGCAGGAGGTTCTCACGCCTAGCGCCATGGATTTTTAGTGTTGATTCTGCGTATGGATAACGAATTTATCACATTTTGAACAACCATTTAGGAGTTGAAAGATTGTGATCTACAAATAACCGTTCATCTCTTTACCACGACAGATCTGTCATACATTTTGACAGTGTTGAACGTGCGATGTGACAGCTCAGACAGGTCACATCGACTATTGAATGATCCACTTACCCGAGATGCCATACGAATCGCGCAAATCATCCCAAAAGCGTATTAGTTGCCGATGATCTTCATCAAGTGTCCTTTTTAGCGTCTCGATATCCGGTTTCCCCAACTCGCATCTTGCCTGCATCTGGGGAAGCCCATTGCAGCCTATTGCAGCCCGGCCCGTAGGGTCCCTGGATCGCCAGAGCATTGGACACGTTCATGCAGGTCCGAGCCTTGTTTTTCTGTTCTTTTCTTTTTTTCAAAAGCTCTTTTCACCCATTCATCCTTGTCAGCCAAGCAAGACCTACCGATTCATGCAGATTGGTTGGCTCTCATTAGCGGGCTGGCTTGAGATCATCCACTGGCGTGCAAATTAGGATGCTACCCAAATCGACCAGGGTCTTTTTGCGCGATGACAGAGCTGAGAGGTAGGACGAGACTGAGAAATACTCGACTGCGGTCAGGTCCAGCAAAGATATAAAAGACACGAATTTTCCCCCGGATACCTCTACTTTCCATCATCAAGCCTTTCTCATTGCCAAAGACCTTTAACCACTTTCAATACCACCGATTAATCGCTCTTCGCATCCCAAATCATCACAATGAAGTTCTTCGTTCCCGCCCTTCTCCTCGCTGCCACTGCCATGGCTTTGCCTGGCCACCCTGGCTCTAGCAACGAGGTCAGCCCATCCTCCGACAACCAGGTTAAGAATGTCGTCAACCAGTGTGCAAACACTGGCGATGTCAAGTGCTGCAACAAGGTCAACAAGAACGAGGACGTTACCCAGAACAACGTCGGTCTCCTGTCCAACGTCCTCGGTGCCATCGGCAGTGAGGGCCTTGGTCTCGGACAAGGCTGCACCTCCTTGAACATTCCCGTCAATGGTACAGAAACATTCCCCCTACTTGAAGGTTGCCAAAGCTGACAGATTCTAGTTATCGGTGCCGCCGGTCTCACTGACTTCCTGAAGAAGAACTGCCAACAGGAAGTTGCTTGCTGCCAGAACAGCAACTCCCAGGCCGTAAGTTCACACGCGAATATAAAACAAACAAGATACTAATCCTGATAGAACAACAACCTTGTTGGCGTCGCACTTCCCTGCGTTAGCTTCGGCAGCCTTCTCTAAATGGCTCACTCTGAAGCTGATCCATTCCGTGGTGGACATATATGCAGAGATCATCACTCATCTTAATTTGGATGGTCTTGATGGAAAGGATCGAAACGTGTGATGTAGTACATAATTGTGTTTTTGTCGCCAGTTCATGGCGCCTATGGCCATATGTATCTATCTCTATTATTAATGAAGGATGCCTTATGGAGGCTTGAAATTGACCTTAAAGAGAAGACCTCAATATTTAGAACAGTGATTCCAAGGCTACTCAAGCAAAGTATGAATCTAGTCTATGACTTTGCTATCCGGTTGATGTTGTTGTTCCTCCACGCCCCATTCGATATGACCATAACCATGCGCAACCAGGTAGTCTTTCCATTCCTGGTCTCCATGATCTAGGATGGTATCGCTATCCTGAAGAACAAACCAAGCCAGCAGTGACCCGAGCACGGCAAAACCAGAGCCAATCAAAAAGACAGCCTGGGTTCCGTGAACACTGTCATCGCCCCAGCTGGCCAAAATCGGCTTGAAGACCTGTGTTCCAATCGCGGCTCCAGCTTTACTCCAAGCCGCAGCCAACCCCACACCATGGCCACGCACTGCAGTAGGGAAGCTTTCACTGGCAGTGAGCACAATGGTGGAACCAGGGCCAATCTCTCCAAGAGTCAAAAAGATTCCATAAAGCACAATGAATAAGGGAAGCTTGGTTTGAATCGGGCCAAGTGCTCCACCGAGCACAAAGCCAAGCATGGCCTAAAGTCCAAAGCCCAGAGCCATAGTGCGACGGCGACCGATCTTGTCGGACAGAAGGCCACCAATGAAAGCACCGGGGATATAGAAGCAGTTGATGAGAGTGCCCCATGCCATGGTCAGTGCGAGTGAAGAAGTGGGATTGACTCGACCGACGATGGTTGACGAGAACAAGCCAAAAGGATATGAGATATAGTTGTAACTATCGGGAATGAATGGTTAGCAGTCTTCAGACGAGGAGGTATTCGACAACTCACATAAACCATGAGCCACAAACTCCAAGCAAGGGTCGCCAGTACTTCTTCAGCACCAACCAGTAGGGAATCCGTTGCTTCTTCATGGAGCTCTTGCGGTACGCAGAGCTCATCACCATCTTGTAGCGAAACCAAAAAATAGAAAGTGGCGGAATCGCACCCATGGCCAACGAAATTCGCCAGACAGCCTCATAATGCCTCACCTGTTGATGAAAACACAACAACAGGATTAACGGAACGAGTGCGCCAAATGCAAATCCCAGAGAAGCAGACAAGTCCCCGATCATAGCAAAGATGAAGCCTCTGCGTTTCCGCATTCCAGGTGCTTCATCTGTGGCTTCAGCAGCACCAGCACCCGCGACGGGATATTCTCTGTGAATAGTGAGCAGACTAAGACGATTTCCAGCTGAGCGCGAAACTCACCCTCCTGCACCAACACCCGCAACACCCCGAGCAATAATGAGCATCCAGAACATGCCATTTTCGGTAATTCCACTCGCGCCGGCACTGAGAGCTATCCCTAGCACCAGCAGTATTGTCGTCAAGACCGCGCCCGTTTTGCGACCCAATTTGTCCGAAATATAACCGAACGACAACATGCCGATGATCATTCCAACCATGAAGGCATTCGATAGCCGAGCAGCAACTGCCGTCGTGAGCGATTCCGGGTAAATAACCCCCATGATGAGCTCCAAGTTTCCGATAATTGAGGCATTGAACCCATCCGATCCGATCGCCAGACCGCTGAAAATCACCATGAAGACCATGGAGACTCGGGAATAACCCCGATCAGAGGAATTGCCTGCATCTGCGACATCTGGGACCGGAGACACGGTAGTTTGAGCATCGACTTTCTCTGCATCGGCCTCTCGTGCGTTTTCACGCATTTCGACCGGAATTTGTTCACTCATTGGAAAGTGCTTCGTGCGGGATAAGCATTCTGGGCACGACCTTTACATATAAGCCCATCGGACCATTCCATTTCGACTGTAGACTCTATCGCACCAATCTAGATGCGGGGTTTGAAACGCCGGTGGAAACTAACGACAACGGGATGCATGAATTGACGCTAAAGCGACGAATGAGGCAAAGAGCGGCAAGGAGGGCCGTCCAGGAAGGCCTACGCGACAGGCGACAGATAGCCTGCACAGATACAAAGGGGTCATTGGCCCGGCATTCTTCCTCGTATCTTCACTCATGTCTAAGCTATCGGGGGAAAAGCCCCCTCAACGCGGCTTTTCGGGGCTAACGTGTGCCATTGCTGCTGTGGTTTGTTTGGCGACAGGATATTATTCTGGGCGTCAAGAAATCCCACGGTCGCTGGTTGATGGCCCTTTAGTCCAAGTTCAGCCACTGCGCGATCCTGTTGAGAATTTGCAACAATGCGCAATCGATAATTTACTCGGCACGGGTCTCCCTTTCTTGGAAAAAGCTTCGCCTATTTCTCTTGTCGATTTTGAGGAGCGCCGAGATCGCTTGGCAAATGCATTGGTCGCCGAGGGCGTTGATGCCTTTGTTGTAGAGCCGGGCTACACATTTAAGTACTACGGTAATGTGAGCCAGCCAGAATGGGAGGTGTGGGAGGTAAGATCAACACATCCAAGTCGATAGAAGTCATACTCAGTCGAGCCATAGCCCGAGGAACGCCCGTTCTTGATGGTTGTCCATCCACAGCAGGATGACCAGGGCATTGTCACTGCCAATACAACCTTTTTGTGCCCATCCTTTGAAGCCGAGCGAGCCCGGCTGCTGGGAATGCCATTTGACGGACCTATTCAAATTGTCCCATGGGAGGAGCACTGGGATCCATATGCCACACTCCAGCAAGCGAATGTGTTCAACCTTCAACGGCCGCCTCGACTGATGGTCGACGAAGAGATGCGTGATTTCATCCAAAGAGGACTCAGCACTGCTGGATTCGAGGTGGTAGGTCTCAAAGGCCAAGTTGAAGAAGTGAGACAGATCAAGAGTGCCAGCGAAATTGAAATTTTGCGCGCAGTCAACACCGGTACAGTTGAAGCTGTTCGGCAAATCAGGAAATGTAACGATGAATTTTCCTTCAAGTCTCATTGGTGATATCTCTAACCTAATCATGTAGGTCTTTCCCCTGGGCTCACCGAGAGTGACATTGCCCTGGCGCTCGACAATGCCCTGCGCGCGGCCGGGATGGAGCCATTCTTTGATATTGTCCTGTTTGGTTAGTTTCCCCTAACATTTAATCTGCTATCATCTAACGGCCTTAGATGAGAATGCTTCTAACCCCCATGGAGGGACCAATGGCTCTAAAGTATTGGAGCCTGAGACTTTCGTTCTCATCGATGTTGGGTTAGTTGATCCAGCCCACTCATACCTATTGACTTTAACCTGAAGAAGGGCCCATCTCTATGGATACTCGTCGGATATCTGTCGCACGTTCTTCCCTCCATTCCTTGAGAAACCATCAGAGGGTGACTCACTGTCACCGCGCATGGAGGAAAAACTCAAAGTAAGTTGCCCTTCGCCACAAGACGAACAGTCCAATTGACTCATTTTGAAGGTCTGGGATATCGTTTTCGAGGCACAAACCAATTCCATTCACCAAATGCGAGAGAATGCGACCGCCGCCAGTGTGGACATCGCTGCTCGTGAGGTCATCACAGAAGCAGGATACGGAGAGGCCTTTACTCATCGCGTTGGTCACGGAATCGGAATCAAAGGTTGGTGGCATTGTCTCATTCATCAAACTAAGTACTTATCTGATTATACGCAGCCCACGAAAGCCCATATCTCAATCAAGGTAATGTGAAGAGCCTACTCAAAACTGGAATGACCTTTACCTCCGAGCCCGGAGTCTACTTGGTCGACAACTTTGGTGTGAGACACGAGGATGTGTTGTTAGTTCAAGGTGACGAGGAGCCTATTCTTTTGACTGGAACACGCGCCGGTGGCCCCTGGGATCCATAATACAAGCTACAACACTGCCCAAGTGGACTTTGATACTTGGAGATGCGTAGAATTCCAGAGTTCTACGCACAGATGTAATGTGATCAGCTCGATACGGTTTCAATCAAGAAATTAATATCAACTATCACTCAGTTGGTACATGAACAATGCAAATCACTTCAGCTCAAGCCTGATCGCATCATACTGGACGTAAACCGTGGCTGGGAGAATGGCAGTCTCTGTATCTGTTGCATTGTGAGGCAGATGCAAGCGTAGGACATTGTCACCCGCCTTGAGCCAATCTGCCGGGAACTCCATCTTAGAGCTGACCTGATAGCAACTGACCGCGGATCGCACAATACAGCTGCTGGATTGATTGAATCCAATGACAAATGTAAGAGGGTCCTTCTCGCCATTGATATAGCTTTCCAAGGAGAGGTTGTTGTATGGCTCCGCGGGATTCCACACATCCGTATTGCCTGCCGCAGTCTTTGCGCCCGCCAGCTGTATCGTCAGGGTCGCAGTCTTGCGCTTCTTGAGCTGCTTCGAGTCAAGCTTGAAGTTGATGTTCCAGTCATTTGTTGTGTCGTATTCAATGTGTGAGTCCTTTGCGGTGGGTCCAAATACCGACCAGTGGGCAGTGTTCAAGTCCTGGGCAGGATCGCTGGTACCGATGGTGTAGTTGACACCGTCGGGGAAGTCGGCATGCCAGTCATAAGCACCCCAGTAGATGAGGTACTCAGGGGGGTTGAGCGGGTGTGTTGAATCTCTAGCGTTGCCACGTCGGAATTCACCAGAGGACTTGTCGGGGACTCCGATTCGCCAGACCTCGGTTCCTGCAGACTCTTGCTTCCAGGTTTTGTGGATGGTGGTCTGCTTTCCTGCTTGAATCTTGACACCATCTTGAACATAGTCCCCGAAAATACCTTCTGCATATACGGTGAGTCGATATTTGCCCTCCTTGACACGATCGATGGTGAATGTGCCATCTTGGTTGATATCCGTCCAGTACTGGTACGAGCTTGGGACTGCGCTGTTATCTTGGAAGTACTTCCCATCAACAGACAAAATGGCAATGGGGCGTGTAGCACCCTTGGGAAGCTTAACAGTGCCCTTCACACTCCCTCTTTTGCTAGAAGGGGCGTACCCGACGACATGTTTGGCGATGGAGTCGTAGAATGCGGAGTTCCAGTGTGGGTTTGCTAAAGCCTCGGCTTCCGATCGTAGCTCCTCAAGTGAAGCCGATCCCTTGCCTCCATTGAAAAGGTAGAACTGAGGGCCGAATGTTCGATCAAATCCGTTGGTGATATTCGGCGTGCCTTCTCCATGGTGGTTGGATACAATGTAATTGTAAACAATTCCATCAACTGTCAGATCGGAATGAAGTGGCCCCTAGAGAATATTAGCTCTTGTTAAGCACGAACCCGGAATCAACTTACACCGTAATAGGTATCCTTGAGATTACTGTCAGTATTCCCAACTTAATCAGGGGCACTTTCAACGGGATATCTGACTGACCTTGGTATTCATCACCATCCATGCTCCGTAGGTTGCGCCTTTTGATGTGCTGCCATCGGCGTAAAGGCCATGCACACTGTTGTTTCTCCATTCTGTAGCAAGTCATATTAATACCCACTCATAAAATCTTCGGAGCAATGGCTGATCATACGGTTGGAGAAAGTATATTTGGTGAAATACTCAGAGAACTGAGTGTAGTATGCGTCAGAGGGCGTGTTGTTAAATGTCCACGTCGCATCCTGAACGACGATTTGTTTGGAAACGGCCTCTTTACTGGGCAGAGGTGCAGTTTGAACATCACTAGACGTTAGATGCGTCCACAGGTCAGTGTTGGGGCGGAACAAAGTCCGGAACTCTTGCAAGTTGCGCAGGTATGGGGTGGTTTCATTGTGGTATGCCAGGCGGCTGAACATGTGCAGTCCCGTCTCTCCATCGCGCAGGAACCAATATTGTTGGAACTTTTGCCCCGTTGGCGTATAGGTATCGGTCAAGATCATGCCTCCGTACTTCGTGCCGGTTGAGTCCGTGCCTTCCACGACTTCCATGCTAGGAGTTGTGGCACCAGCAGTGTAGAATCCTGATGGAATGCAGTAGCAATCCAGGTAGGGACCAATGCCGGTGGATCCAGATTGGACTCCAAGCAAATCTTGGCCATCCAAGGAGAGATCAACAATCTGACCGGCACTCTTCTTGAGCACAGCTGTGAGGCGGTCATTTCCAAGGGTGATGAAGGTCGAGTTCTCGATAACTTGCAAAGCCGCGTTGGCGCCAGCTGCCCACGCCAGCAACGATTTTAGAGAAGCCCGCATGTTTCTGCTCAAAGGGGCGAGGCCTCAGTGTATGGGCAAACTAAATCGGCCATCTGGGTGAGTTCACAGGACTTATGTATGCATACAGAAGGTGTCATTTTTGCCGGGAATCAATGCACCGAGCCAGCGAGGTGTCTGGGGCCAAACAAACTGGTAGTAATATAATCATTCTATCCAGTCACGGGGTCTTGGAAATCCGCCAATTATCTGGGGTTATAAGCTCGATGTCCAAGTTGGATGCCCAATCACGCTTCAGCTGTAAGAATGCCAAGGCACTTAAAGAACGCTAAGCGAGTGGTCTCCGTGAGCTCACAAGTCGAAGTCCGGGGATATGCGGGGTTGGCACCGGAGAAATTCCTCGGTCATCGTTCGCCCGATTTCTAGCATTTTCAGTTTAGACTTGCTGCTGAGGCATATGCACTGCGAGGCCGTGCCATTCTTGGAGAGCGAAATAAACTCCGATGCAACAACCCGGAGAGGCTGAGACAAAAGCTTGATATCCCGCCGGAGCCCAATTCGGAGAAATCGAGATTTGTCAATTGATCGGTGCACCTGGGCAGCAACAAAAATGCAAATAAGACAAACAAGACTCATGAAAGACTGATGGCTGCTCTATCGCGCATTGACTTCGACTGTCCAGCGGTGTGCTTTTTAGCCGTTAGTGTCTGTGGCAACGTCTATAACAGAACGGCGCAATTCACCAGGGCCGCTCCAATACCCACTTAGCTCGAGTTTTTGTTTGGATCAACTGCCAACGTCGTGGGCAGACGGAGAAGCCCTGGGAGCTTCCCCAGGTGTGGGTCCTGGCACTAGTCCCAAGTGGGGCTAGTGGGGCTACTTTGGGAAACGCCAAAACATCAGTATACACGCAGAGCCAAAAACACTCCAATCTCTCTCCAATCTCTCTCCAACAGACACTTCATTCATCGAGGGCCTTACTGTATTAAAGGCGTGTCCAAAAAAAAAAGTAAAATTAGTCAGCATCTCACTGCTTCAGATAAAAAAAAATATCACAATCCCAGCCGGGGAAATGGCGAAACATCTGCCCAGCGACTTCCGGTCCTAGGGAATCGAACCCGTGGCTCGGCAATCTAGAAGGTCAGGGTGCAGATATGGCTCCCTGTGCGACCAACTAGACCACCGCAGGTTTGGTGAAATATAATACCTTTCTGTTCAATATCTCTTCACTCCTCCTATATCACGTGACCCATAGTGTCCCAATTCGGGATCTCGGGGTTCCGGGTGACATCCCGAACAGCGGCCGGGGTGAGGTCCGGACGGCGCTTTGCTAACCTCGGGCTCTACGTGGATCGGCAACGCTGGGGCGGAATTGAGTCAGTTCTCACATCACAGACTGGAGCATGGTCGGCAATTGCTCCAATGAGAGGTCTTCTGGATCAAAAAGATATCAAAGTGCGGCGTCCCCCCGTCGCCAAATGCCCACAGTACCTCCGAACCCGCATCGATCGACCCCATGGGGGTGGATTGAAGGGGCTGGATCCAGTCGAGGTTTAAGGCACCTCTTGCGCACCTGGATGTCTCCATATCATCCTCAGCAAATCTTCCAGTGGCTTCATTGTCCCCTGTGTAGCGTGCCTTTCATCCCGATTTTCCAACACCAGCTTACAACCTACCGAACTGGATCAATATACCTTTACTCAGCTGACCACTGCATGACACCTCCTGTATCTAGCTCGACATGATCGGAAGAACAGAAGACGACTCCGGCCCTGAAGCGCGAGCAAGCCATGATATCAAAAGAACCGGGTCTGAAGATTCAGAGCATCTAGAGAATGTCGGCGTGGTTTCTCCAGTCACCGTCTCAGATGACATGGAGTGCGAGAATGAATCACCGCAGAACCCTCGGAACTGGCCCCATTGGAAAAAGAATGCTCAGATTTTGATGGTGGCCTTCCATTCCATGATGGGAACTTTCATGGCGGCTGGCATCGTTCCGGCGTATGACGCCTTTGCTGAAGAATACAATGTCACAGTGCCGACTGCCACTTATTTGACATCAGTGCAGGTATGCTTTCTTTCCGTCGACTAACCGCAGTCATGAGACAGTTGCTGATCAGAAGGAACGTGAATCAGATTTTACTCCTAGGCTTGTCACCTCTCATATGGAACCCAGTCACCGCGATATACGGCCGATACCATGTCACTTTGCTCTCGGTACTTGGAAGCATGGTATGCAACATCGGTGGTGCACGATGCACTTCCTACGGTGCTCAGATGGCCACAAGAGTGCTCACGGCTATTCTGATCTCTCCACCCATCGGTAATGGTAGTGGCGTGATTACAGAGCTATGTGAGCCTGAGCATCGAGGAAAGAAGATAGGTTGGTGGACATTGATGACGACCATTGGGACACCGTTTGGCCCATTCTTTATGGGATTCGTGATCAAACACATTGGCGTCCAGTGGATTTTCTGGATCTTCGCGATTGTCAACTTCTGCCAGTTCTTGTTTTATCTTGCCATCGGAGACGAGACAATCTACAACCCCAAGAACGAGCGAAAAGAAAACGGCTTCTGGAGTAAGCTGGTCCCAAGAAAGATCAGCTCCAGATCCCTCCGGCCCCAGGACATCGTTGCGCCGTTCACTTTGGCTCAACACCCACGAATCCTCGTCGCTGCATTTGCTCATGCCATCACCTTCTGCTATGCCAACATTGCCATCATCGTGGAAATGCCCATAGCATTTGGGGAGAAGTTCGATTTTGATGCCCAGCAGATCGGACTGCAGTTTATCGCCATCATCATTGGGTGTGTGTTGGGTGAGCAAATCAGTGGGCCGATGTGCGATTGGTTCATGGGGCGAATTCGCAAGTCGCGAGGTCAATCCTATCCGGCCGATCGGCTCTGGCTTTCATACATTGCTTTCGCCACAATCTTTGCTGGGCTGTTGACTTGGGGATTCCAGCTTCAGCATGCGACAACCTGGAATGTGACCCCTTGCGTTGGAGCCGCGATTGCGAGCTTCGGCAATCAAATGCAGACAACCATTCTCACTACCTTCGCAGTAGAGAGCAATAAGGAGAGAGCAAGCCAGGTTGGTGTTTTTGTCAACGTTTGCCGACAGATCTATGGATTCGTGAGTTTCAAACCCCCCAGCCCTTTCCACTCCATCCCCCGGTATTAACTTTTAGCAGCTTGGTCCTTTTTACTTCCCGGACATGTTCACTGCGCTGGGATTAGGCGGTGCGGCTGGTGTGATGGTGGCAATCATCGGGGGATGTGCGTTACTCCCGATCATCGCAGTGCAATTTGTTTCGACGCGGATCGACGCACGTTGAGGAACCCTGAATGGAAGCTTGGTCGATTGAAACTGTTGTTTGGAAACGTACTTTCCCATCCTGAGACCCCATTCCCTGTCATAAAGATCGTTACCTATATACTAGAATATGAATCATTCCAAGGTTATTAAAAGGCTCCCCTGAAGCCAACATGGGTGAGAAACCCAGACTCCCGTTGTACTGGTCACGCCAGATCCGCTAGTAAAGATTGCTAGGAACGCTGTTCAGCCAAGACATATCCTGGAAGTCAGGGAACTCAAAGCTGTCTAGGATAGAGGTATTCATTCCCTCCCCGAACGACATGTCGCCAAATGTCGCGGATCGCTCTTCCTCATCACTTCTAGGCCCATGGTGAGTTGGAGGCACACCCTCAGATGCTACCTGCTCGTAGAGAATCTCAAGTGCTGCTATGCAGCGTCTTGCAGATGTGCTGTAGCTCTGATACTTCGTCAAAATCTCCAATGCTTGGTTCCAAGATTGAGTGATAGACTCTTCCGACACCTCGGCCAGGATTGCCGAGCATAAACGGCCCGCTATTAACACGGTCGCAGATGTATATACGTCTGTTTGAGTCAGTACCGGAGATTAAAGAATTCATGAAAGCTTGCACGAACAAAGAACATTGTACCACCATGCAGGCAGAGGTCCACCAGTTCCATCCGAGGGTACGTTGTTGTAAATCAGCTGGATAGATTCTTGGGCGGCTTTGACGCATATTATAGAACACTGTAATGCGACACGGTGGGGAAAAGAGTCGTGTATCGGTATCAACGAGTCGCTTGCCATGTTGTCTCGAATCGTGCAGTACCGCGAGAGAGTTGGTCGAAACAACAGGATCCGTACGTGTAGAAACCTGAGATGACAATTTTGTAAGTATCTCCGCAAATATGGGGGGGTGAAAGAGGGTATTCCACTGACCTAGCGCGTAGCACGATACTCTGGCGACAAAATATTGGATTAGTAGATTTCATTGCCGAGTCCCCGCGCAAGTGCATTGGAATGCTTTTTGTCCACCTAGAAAGGCAGTGATCCAGTTCGAATATGGTCCTCTCCCCCTCGCCTGTAATGTTATTGAAATAAAAGTCATGAATGTCTTCGCCACTGACATCAGTTGACTGATTATAGAGGCTCTCGAGTACATCGTTCATTATGTCATAAAGCTCCAGTGACTTTCCAAAAAAGGCCATCATCGAAGGCCGATCGGGCGGCTGGGAGGCCTCTGACATTGACTCCGATGGAATGAATTCTTCGTCAACAGCGGCCGGTAGAGGGACAGCTCCGCTAGAAGCCTTGGTGATCATCGCAGGGCGGCCGAATGTCATGGATATGACGCTGTGAGGAAAGGTCAAAATGAGAGCACAGGTGCGCAGCAGAGGGCATGTACCGGTCCATTAACACGCATCCGTGCCAGATCTTTCGGGCTAGTTGCTGCTCCTGAAAGCTCTGTAGACTATTAATAGTCTCGGGAAGGTGTAGCCCCAGACTTTGAGCATTCCTGATAGCCAGTCCAGTGACGATCCAGCATTGATGCGCAGAATCAGTGCTCTGTAGATACTGGGCCATTAGAAGCAGACATTGGATCAGACCTGCCGATCCAGTATCCCACAAATTGAACTGAAACAGACCTTTGGCCCGAGAGAAAAAGGAATTGGCAGATGCTTCGCGCTCTGTTGGTGGGACAAAGTCAGCCAGCTGGCTTGCCAAGGCAAACATGACATTGAGCGTGCACATGAGCATGTTTTCATCCGACTCCGGAGTTTCTCCGGCCCAGATCTTTGCGTACTCGCTCTTCGTTTGTGCCGAGATGAGGAACGGATATAGTGGGAAAACGTAGTCCCAGTAGACTTCCATAAGGCTGTCCGCCATTTTCCTGGGGGGTAGCACATAATTTGCGACGGGGTTTTGGGCAGTCTCTGTTCGGGTGGACAGCAGCGTTGAACTCACGGGTAGATGAGGAGCTGGAGATCTTCGGTAATCCGGGGCTACCTTTTTGTCAACCGCGGTCCTGATCTGACGCATGAATCCTGCTGCACTAGAGCTTCCGAAAAAGCCTTGGCTGGCGCGCTCTCCTTCAACCGCCCCCATCATCGCGTTGACACCATCCCGTTGGGACGCGGGTGTGTTTATACCACCTTGACTCTGGATACTTCGATAGGTTCCGGGTGTCTCGGGCAGTGTTCCTCGGGGTGTTGGAGATGGCAAAGTTGGCCGCTAGGTCTCCGTCAGATAAGTGAAGGGGTGGGGACCAGAAGCAAGCTCACTGGTGTAGAAATCGGTGTAGGGCCTTTCCTCGATTCCTGAGAGCCTTCAGCTCCTTCCAGTTCTTTGATCCGAGTTTCAAGGTTGGATATGTATCTTTTGATGCAACAATCAGCCTTTGTAAATCCATATTGTCATATGAGAGACAATATTACATCTGATTCGCTTTTCGCTTTTCTAACTCGCCGGTGTAGTTGCATTGCGCTCCGTGGTCTGTTCTCTTGCTGCATGGTCCACACACTGTATGGGTTCAGCACGGGTGATGTTCCGGACAAGTCCTTGTCACATACCAGGTTGGACACCATCACAGCGAACTTTCCTCGCCCGGCAGTCATCACATGCGACAGAGATTTTTCGACGCTTGGCCCTGTTCGGGGATTTGGAGGACCAGCTTTCCATCGCAGAATTCAAATACTGTATCGATATGGTGACCGGAGAGAACGCGATACAGGTGTTCGGGATCTTTCCCGGGCGTTCCGCATATTACGGGAGACCAGTTCAGCCTTGATGGCACTTGTGGTGCCCCATACGATGAAGGTGATTGGACAGGCATGAACTATAGACCATCTCCACCAGCGCAAAACCGGGGAATGTGTAGGGCATGAGGGAAATCCCGCTTTCGGGTCTTGGTTCTTGTCTGCCAAAGTTTGTTTGCTACCTCAAGAGAAATTGCCCCATGTAAGGCAAGACTCCGATATCTGCTGCATGCCTCCATCCATCAAGTTGAAGAACAAATCATGCTCATCAAAATTTACCCCATCAAGCAGGTGATCATCGCTTCGAACCAGTCCATCTCCCCATTGACTCTCATCAATCATGGGAGAAAGCTGCTCAGCCGAAAGAACTTGATCTAAGACATGTCGAATTGCTTTCTGTCCTTGCTGTGCCACGCGAAAGTTGCCTTCATCCGGCTTGATCATGGTGTCTAGATATGACGCATAGAGGGTGAGATTTTGGATTATCTCTGACCTAGGAAAGGGGGTGGAGTTTGCTCGTATTGGGGATCTAGAATGGCGCAGTAATTCTGCCGAAAGCACACCGGCGCAAGGTAGACCTGGCAAGCAAAGCTGGAGAAAATTTTAGAGTCTCAGAACCCATCATTCTTGACTAGAGTAATGCATGGGACGAAGGTAAGAAAAAGGAAAACTCACCACCCATCCAGTGCCACTCATAGCATGCCCACAGCGAATGATCTTGGTCACCATCGAGATCAATGCCTTGATGACTTCACGAGAAGTTTCTAGAAGCTCCGGAGGCTGGGTATGTGTGCGCCGTCCTAGAGTTCGATACAGAAGGAAGTCGTTATAAAGGAACTCTGAATGTAACTCAAACAGGAAGGAATCTTCGATCTTTGAAATCCCTGCTATGTCGCCATCTGGCGTCCACTGGAGAAAGTCTGGCAGCCCTTGTTTTAACCGGCGAGACTCTTGTATCAATTCCCTGTCAATGTAAGAGACAATTCTTGCAGCAAGAGATGGGGATCTCGGTAGCTTACTCAACTCTGTCGCTCAGATTCTCAGTCTGTGTACTCAATGACAGCTCCAGCACTTTCTCACGAATGACACTTGTAATCAGTGCGGTTCGAGCCCAGACACCCTTTTTCAGCGTTCCCTCTTTGTTCCATCCGGTGGTCTCGTCCAATCGGGCTAATGCCGCATCGCGAACGCTGGGTTCGGCGAATATCTCATCCATACTCAGGTCAAGAGGCATCTGAATATTACAATAACGCCAACCAATGAGTGGTGGTCGGCCCAGGAAGGTTGCAAGGACTTTGTCGACTGTAAATGCAGCAACCATAGTTCGTTTTCGAAGCTCTGCGAGGAAGAAGGGTGCATTTTTGCTTGAGTCTTGATGCAATCCGAGCGCAAACACTGTTGTAGATAACTCCCCTAGCTTTCTCCAGGGTCGAATATCTGGAATCAATGTCAGGCAGGATCACGGGCGCTGGGTATAGCCTTCAAATCACTTACCACTTTCACCATAGACGACTGCTAAAAGCGTAGTCTGGTGCAATAACATCCAGCTCACAAGATCATTGACTATGCCAGCACTCTCGCAAAATTGAAGACATATCTCTCCCACTGCGCTCGCAGTTGTTGCAAGTGCCTTCGGGTCCATTGTATTGGTTTCCGTGAAAATTGGGTGGTCGTGGGGAACCAAGTCCGTAGCTAGACCTGTGAGGATGAAAAGAATGCCAATCGTCTCCCACCTGCCGGATGACATCTTTTGGAATTCCTCCCAGGTTGTGGTTGATGTTACCTCAAAATTCCTGGTGTGGGTTTCAAAGAGCTTTCTGGACATGAGCATCGCACGCGGCATAGTGTCTGGCTCTACCTCTCCATAGAGTTTCCACATATCTTCCACCGTCGTAAATATCATGTTTGCAACGCTCCAACCAATGGCCCACCCCCTCCAGATCTTGAATCGGGTAGTGATGGCCTCTCTGTAGAATGGAAGGTTTTCCAAAAGTGCCAGGACTTGGGCCCCGAGATTGATTCGTTTTGGGTCGACGGGAACGGTATCTTGATCGACCACCTGCAGTCTGCCGGTGGAGAGGCCACTCGTTGCATCCGTGAAGACGTCCGAATAACTTGTCTGGCCCAGAAACCCGGGAGCTGAGACAGATGCCTTTTTTCGCATCCAAGACTCGTCGTTATGGGGCAACCTATTCGGGCTCCTGGTGTGCTGTGGCTCACGCGACAAGCGAGTCCTTTTGACTGGAGTGACTTTGTCGAGTGTACGGGTCAAGGGTGCAGGGTGATAAACACACGAAAGGCCGCGGCGCTCGCAACGCCCGCACCTCGGGCTCGTATGATCACACCGCAATTTCGATGTCCGACATGGCTCACATGAGGATAGCTGACCATTCCGGCGAGGGGTTGCCATGTTCAAGCTCCGAGTGCCGCAACTGAAAGGGCTTCGCAAATTCTCTCGAAGCACAACATTGATGTTGTGGCTAGTACTCCGGTGCGGAGCTCGGGGCTCGGGGCTCGGAAAGTGGAGCTCTCTGTGGGCATCGGAGCTAGCTGACTAAAGTGACAGGACAGCACCGATTCGCCAGCCTATGGAGCGGCCTGGAATAGTATCAAGTGAGATCTGAGTGAGGGTTAGGATCATGGGGTCGCATGGTTGAAAGTCCGAGAAAAAATTTGTGGCACCTCTAGGGCTTCTTTCAAGGTTTAGATAATTCTCTTCCTTCTAGTACTCCGAAAGCAAGACTAACTCCGGTATTAACTAGTCCGAGGTCAATCCAACGTGAATGTGATCAGCAAAGCGATATGAATCTGAAAAAGAGGCGCTTTGAAACCTTGGAACCTTGTAGGCTAAGCTGCAGACTGAATGAGGACTCCGTATACTAGGTACAGCTCCGAGCTCCGCGGATTTTGCACCACCGTCCATCTATGAGTCGCAACGAGTAAGCAAGGGTATATAAACTGGGAAGTTTGCGCTGATGCAAATACATTTAAATTGTCATTCATCCAAAAGACATACTTATCACGCATCTCGAAAATGGGCCGTTCTACGATAGTGAAGAACTTATGGGAGAAGCTCGGGCGTGCCAAGGTATATATATCCACACCATCCATCTGCCAAGGCTGCGTCCTTAACCGTTGGAAACAGAGTCCCAGCGATACTGAGTCCATTCGCCCATTGAAAAAGACTGACGAGAGCACCGAGAGCACCTCGGAAAAGACCAAAAAACGTGGACTAGAAGAGCTTGATCTCAAGAAGACACGATACACCAGTGAGTGGTTCTGGCAATCCGATGAAACATTTCTTCTCATGCGCGAATAGTGATGACCTCCTCGATTTCACGAATATGATGCTATATCGAGATTCGATTGAGTTTGAAATTAGAATTATAATGAGCGGAGCAAATTTTGGCCCGAAATGACATGAAATGACCGTTTTTTTGAAGATTGGCGTTTTCTGTTTAGAACGTGATTCGGGAACCTTAAAAGAGTTCCACGGCTGGAAGCAACGTAGAGTTGTGAGGACCAGAGATGGCTTATAGTTTCTAATTGCACGCCTGGTATTCATAGAAGCTCGCATGGCTTAGTGGTAAAGCGCATCACTAGTAATGATGAGATCCTCGGTTCGACTCCGAGTGTGAGCATTTATTTTTTCTTCCCCAATTTTTTTTTTAGGGTAGTACGTACCTACGTAGAGCTTTCTCTCCCATCAATTTGGAAAAAAAGAGCTTTTTTTTAACGATATTTTTGAATGTTTCCTTTCATTTATTCTAGGAACCTGGAATTGAATAGACTTGGTCTCCAACCCTGGAAATCACCGACGCGTTCCAAGGCTCTCATGCGCCTCAAGTGCACCGGTACCAAAACTAACCCCGGGACCTGGGGCCCTGAGAGCAATACATGCGTGCTCGGTGGTGAAGATCGAAATGTGGAAAGTACAGACACAACATAGAAGAGCTAAATCAAATGTGCTGAGAAGCGAAATGAGTGAAGTTTCAATAAAAATCAGATAGTTGAGTAAATAGTTGTAGAGACCTCGGGAGGCAAGGGACAGATCAATACGCGCTAGGTGAATTGCAGCTCCGACATCCACTAGCTATATCCATGGCTCATGAATATAAGTTCACTGAAGTACCTAGGTAGTCTCCCTTCTAGTACAATGGGAGCTTGTAAGCATCAAAGTCATACGTCCAGGTATCGATGGAAGCCTGGTGGAACACGCAATCCATGGTAGTTCCGTTGTTCTTCCACAGAGGGCGAAGCGGCCAAGGGCAAATCTCTTGCTTCTCGCCCTCATGTTCACCCTGAAGCACAGTTGCATTGAGTCTCTTGGGAGAAACACCCTTCTCAACCCATTGGATCAATGTCTCCAAGGTTGTCTGAGGGAAGGGCCCATTTGGCTGGTAATCGCTTGGACCGCAGTGCGCGGCTCCAGGGATCAGATACAGACGGTACCAATCAGCCAGGGCGTTGCTGCCATCCTTGTAAGACATGTGAGGGTACATCGTCTTCCGGACTGAGTTGTGGTAATGGACGGAAGATCCAGCGGGAATACTAGGGTCAGACTCGCCGTGGACAGTGAGAATCTTGCCGCCTGCAGCGTGGAATGGAGTCAAGTCGGGCATTGTTGTCTGAAGAACATCCTCGTAGCGGCTCCAACCCAACTTCATCCACTCGGTCAATGTGTCGTAAGTCACATTTTGCAGGTTAGGCAGGTTGTCGAGATCGACCAATTCAAGGAACCGGGTGACCCATTCGCCGCCCAAAGAAGTGATGCTCAGTTCCCACTTTCCAGTGTCACTGTTATATTGAGTCTGAGCATCATCGAATGATGAGCTGGGCTGGTACCAGATGTAGGCGCGCTTTCCGTCGAGGGTGTGCAGGCCTTCCAACATCTTTTTGGCGGCAGCGGCACCCTTTGCAGTCACCTTTCCACTCTGTTCCGGTGTGTTGCTCGACATCGAAACACGCTTCTTCAGGTTGATGGTGCTTGAAGAAGCGGCGCAGTGGTAAGAAGCACCAATGGTAGAGTTCATATCGAAGTGCAGCTTGCAAAGATCAGTGCGCGAGACCACCCCGTCCTCACGGCCATCAAGCTTATCGCAGCTGGCAATCGTCAGGTTCATGATCTTCTCCAGCTCACACGGAGGGGGGTAGTAGTTCATGGTCTGCTCAACGACGTTGGGCAATAGGTGGTTGACCTGCTGCTGGCCGTATCGCATGGCGGGAGCACCGATCATAGCACCATCCCAGTCGTCTGCATAGCGCTGCACTTGGCTCCAGCCCTCGCGGCCACCCTCCGAACATCCTTGGTAGTAAGCATAGAGCTTATCCTTGCTACCAAAGAAGCTCTTGGTAAACGCCTTTCCAATCACAGTCAACTCGTGGTGAGCCTCGTATCCGAACATGTAAAGCGCATCGCGATTGATGGTTCCATTGGCAAGGAGGAAGACTGAGTCCACCTGTTCGGTGAATCCTCCAAACCCACCATCGGTGATACCGGCAGCGGCGCCGTACATGATTCCACCGGGAAGGGACCGTGATCCAGAGTTGATTGCGAATCCACCGCCTCCAGTCGACAGCCAACGATTCTGGAACTTGTCGGGCGCTGGAAGCCAAAGCTCTAACCACACTTGATCATCACGGCCTGCATGGGAGTAGGCAAAGGTGACATTGCAGTAATCGAAGGTGGCGTCTGGGAAGAAGATTTGCCCAGAGACAGAAGTATTGTACACGGGTGAGGCGGTAACGGTAGATGCCTTGATGGAGACGCCCTCCATGAAGTCACTTGCCGACAAGGCCGATTTGGCATGACTGGCAGTGCAAACATCCTTGAGACTAGTCGCGTATGCCAGCCCGAGAAGGCTGGCCCCAAGAGAAAGCTGCTGGAACTTCATCTCGACAAAAACTGACTGCAATCAGCCAAAGAGGAAAGCCAATTGTCAAAGAAGAAGGGAGTGTACCAAAATTGAGAACGGGGCAGACCTCCTCAGAGGTCCATTTAAGGAGTTCGACGTTGGAGCTAGAGAGCACGAGCACCCTGGCCCACACCCTGGCCACTTCCATCCTTTACAGTACCGAGACAGCCCACATTCGATATAAAGATGTGGAGAATATTCAGAGTCCCCACAGTGGTGAGGAATGTTCCTGCATCGGGGGATGCTCCGCTGTCCCGTCCATACAAATCAAGGAGGACTAATAGTTGAGGGTATGACCTGACGCGGCCGACGGCTAAGCCGACACGACCTTCTCCCTCTCACCCCACTCTCGACCCTGGGATAATTCAGTTTGATGCATCTCGCGCTCGGATGAGGACGCTTGGCGTCCGGAATAGGTAATTCAACCCAACACCTCGGAGATAACTGAGTGATCGACAAGTGAAGGGTAAATGCTAACCCGACATGCTGTACTCCGTACCTGAGCCAAATGCCATTTCTCCGACTATAACCCGCCGATCGCAATCAATTGATGTCCGTGTCAACAGCATGATACCGGAAGTGAAAACAAGAAACTTGGAACAAGGAATGGAAAAATCAAACACTGGGAATTGAATTGAATATAACGAAAGCCTAAATTGGATATATTGCGAGCCGAATCCCCCATCATTCTATGAGACTGGCTGCGCCACTGCCCCGTTGATACTCTCTAGATGTTCCACTTTTGATGCCTTGATGGCATCAACGTCAACGTCCTTGGGATAAAAATCAATCTTGCCACCCGGTTGGATCACATTCATCCGATCCAAGCAGAGGCGGGCTCGAACATAGGGATCAAGCTTCCAGTGATTCACCCGCAGTCGCTCCACCAAATAATCTCTCTCGCTCACTGCCGATTGAATCTTGGACGCGTCCTTTGATTTTGTTGCATCGATCCACGAAGATGTCGCGCCCAGGAACTCATCTCCGATATTGGATCGCTCAGCTCTGAGAGCATCCCGGGTCGTGGTATCCTCCATCATAGAGTTCTCGGTCTCAGTTGGCTCGATATACTTATAAGACCAGTCCTCGGATCCACCCATTTCTTTCACAATCTGGTCACGGGGAATGAATTTTTCCAAGTCGGAGACACTGTTGGTGAATTGGACCTTGGCCGCAATTTCGGGGTCCATCCAGCCTCGGATGAGTCGCCAGATTCCTGTAAGATTGCAAATGTTAGTCGATTGAACCGAGCAAGACTGATTACAAGCAACAGGCTGAAAGTTTTTTCGGGGAAGAGCTGAACTCACCTGAGAAGACCCAGGGGGCATTGTGAATGAGCATAATTCCTAGTGATTCCGGATAGTTGGCCTCGAAACACTTGAGGATGAATTTGACCGGCGGATATTCCTGAAAGGCGCATATTAGCCAAACATATTCAACTTGCTGCATGGCCATTGGGCAATCGACATACCATATTCGACAATCCGAACCCTGTCATATCGAACAAAACCGCCTGTCAAATATCAGCCATGTTGCCCGTAAAAAACGGGGATACCCAAACCTACCGCAGTCTCAACGGGAGAAGCTAGCGTGAGTCGCACCGACTCAATGACATGAACAATATAGCGCTCCAGTGACTCCTCCGTCTGAGCGCCGGGCTTGTGCAAGCGAACTCTGACAACGACGATTGGCCGACCCACTCGGTCAACACCATGCACATAACTCTTTCCCATGCGCATTTGAGACAAGAAGTCCTGACCGGCTTTCTGATCAGTCGTGCTTGATTTGTTCTGGGTCTGTCTGAGGGCGTGCAGTTCGCCCTTCGCCATAACATCATCATCCACGTGCATTTCCTTCACACGCCATACGATCGCCTCCATCATCATCGCGAAGGCCTTGGGGACATCCCACTTCCGGGCGCGAAGGAAACGTAGCATCATTGCGTCGGGGTGGTCGTGCTTCAGTGTATCGAGGACTCCCGTCCGGAGTTCGGTGGGGGTGATTTCCGAGAGCGCCTTCTGGATTGCCTTCGCCTCAGGGGCGCCAGCGCCCATTTCTCCGAGGTATTTCATGATGTTCTGTTGATAAGGGGTATTGGCGACGGGCATCGTTTCTGAGACATTGCTTTGCGTGCGGCCGAGAAGAGATTGTCGCCTTTGCGGCTGGGTCGGAGAGACATTCTGCTCTGCGCTGGGACTGGAAGGTTCGTTGCTGAGAGTTGTTTCGCCTGCCTTGAGCAATACTGCCCAGAGCTTTTGCAGTTTGGCTTCTTGGTCTTTGTTGAGGTTGCCCAGGAAGCCGGGCTTAGGTCCGTCGGCAGCCATGGTGAGAGTAAATCGGAGGGTGATTGAAATTAGAAAAGAGCGATTGAATAAAGTGAAAGGAGAGTGACAAGGTTGAAGACTAGTCAATTTCCTAAGCTATGAGGGGCTAGCAGGGTAGAGGATATAAATGCGGTCCTAGTGTGCCAATGATCGTCCAAAATCCACATGAAACCCCTCATCGCATCCCCCGGACTCTGCCTCGGTCCTGATAATGCGCAACAGGGCCAATGCGCCCCTGTTTTATGTCGATCTATCACTCTCGTGCTTGGAGATAATGAGAAGCCACTGCAGCAGCCAAGTTCCAGTTGCAATCTTCCAAGGTTCACCCTGGGTCGGCATTCAGTGCCAACGGGCAACGCAAAACCCACTTTTGGACCAATGACAGTCTCATTAATGGTGAAAGCGGATACAGCGGTTCGACAAAGCGACATTTCCGAACAAATCAGCCTCGGGAAGGTAAGTGTGCAATTCGCCCATTCACACATACTGTATGCCCGTTGAGCTTGAACGTCGAACCCCGCGTATTCGGGCCCCACGTCGCTTCCAGATCATCTATTTGGGGGCCAAGTTTCAGATTTTGCAAGTCGCAAGCCTGGCAGAACTACGCATTTGGCCCTAACCGTTATACCCAGTGACAGCACTTCGGGAATACTTGACAGATACTAACTTTCAGTTTCGGTGATTTGCTTACTGTAGGACCTCGTGTTCAAGACTCTCCCCCTGCCTTAGTGGGGAACTGGCCCCAGACCCCATGCAGATCAATTCCCTTACCCCAAGTTTGATCAAGACCAACGAGTTTGGCTTAGTGCGCGCTGATCGCACTGGGGTAGCCCAGTCGATGGCGTCATATTCTCGGTAAAATGCACCAGACACGATGATCCCGCACATGAGGAACAACCAAGTAGGCAGATCGCCTAGGCTTCACGCAGAAAATCCAATCCTGTGAAAACCCGAAAATTGGGTCAAGCCTAGTGTGGGGCGACTTAGCATGAACCTCGACTCATTGGCTCACATTTGTCTGTTCGCTCGCGGTGCACATACAGTAGATGGACTGCGCAGGGCTTCCTCGTATGTGACTTCAAGATCTATGTACAGTCCCTGTGCCGCGGCAGATTCTCAGTCCTGATGAGCAGAGCACATACACCTGGATCAGCCTCGCATTCTCTCACAAACGCTATATGCAGAGACGGAACTGTGCAGACCGCTTCCTGGGCTCTTATTGGTGCGCCTACATGCGAAGTGCCCGAAAAAGAAACCTGGTTTCATTGGCTCCTGAATTCAGAGTGCACGACATTTTGTTTAATACCGAAAACTGGTGTTGAATACTGCACTCTTACACTGATGTTAAAATCATCTTCTATATTCACTTCACTTCATGACTACAAGGAATCACATCTTGAAACATGATATATGCCCCGAACTCGCAACTTTGATTGTTCTCTTCGAATACACATTCCTTCATGCGCAGGAATCTACTAAAATCCCAGTATCGGCCTCGCTCATTGCATGCGTGAGTCAGATTGTTAGTGGATCCGTATCCAGACGGAAGGCCATATCACAGCGATATCACCTTTTTCACATCGAAATTCGTCTCCTTGCTCCAAGGGGGCACATAACCCCGCTGATTACTCACGAGCTTGATATCCCTTTGCTTGAACTCAGTCGTGCAGTGCATATGACCAAATATCCAAAACTTTGCCCCATCCCAGCTCTCCGAGATCAACTCTGTTCCAAAGGCCACACTCCAGGGATTGTTGGCATGGAGGTTTCATCTCAGCTAAGACATAATTCGATCTGTGTTCCTTCCAAGCACATACGACCACAGGGTGTGGAAAACAGGGCTTCCCGTCCGCTCAGCCGTACTTAAGCCACACGCCGGTGAGTTAGTAGTTGGGTGGGTGACCACCAGCGAATCCTCACTGTTGTATGTTTTTGATTTTTTCCTCCATGCCATCTCAATGCCATTGTCAAACCCATCACCATGGGATTGCAGACGATCAACCCCGGAAGTGATCATCTGAACACAGCTAGAATATTGCCCTGAAGCAACAGAACGCCGATTACAGGGAGAAACAAACCCGAAATCAAGTAAAGGCTAACGAGAGAAGCATGGTCAAAAATAGAAAGGAAAAGAGAGCAATAAAATAGGCCATGGCAAATTGTGACAAGAGAGCCGTTCCCAAATCGGATCAGCCTGGAGACGATGATGACCTCATGTGACTCAATCCTTGAGCACATATAACAGGTACCCGAATTTAGCATTAGAGTATTCCGTAAAAAGGCCCTTGGGGCGTTGAAGGAAGAAAGAGAAAAACATAGAAATCAAGAAGTAGTAGATAGTCGGTCTTCGGGAGATGGTCGAATATTTCGGAGACTCATGTGCACCTGTCCTAAAGGTCATGAAGCTACTGAATCAGCTTCCACTGGAAGAAAAATCAATTCTTCTGTCGAGAGACAAACTGAGAAGGAGAGATAAGAGCCAAGGGACAACCTCGGGGGTGCTATGGAGACGATGTAGGTCTCTGAGTTGCTAGAACCGCCCGCGCGGGGTCGCCTTACATATAGGTCCTCATGAAGAGCAATTGATCTCATAGTATTTGATTTACCTACTAAAAAGCACGAGAGGGTGAAAAGCCATCAAATGTTTAATCTAATTCATGCCCTTCATGGTCAACTGGTTGGAATAAAATGATTATCATATCATTTCAGACTTCACCATGCCTCGGCTTTCCAATCGGCTCAAATGGTTGATAGGAAATTTTCGAGCCCAGGAAATCTATCAACTCATTCCTATCTATCATCTTCTCGTAGCTTGAGATTGTCCCCCTTGAGCTTTTTCTGTCTTCGAGACTCAATTGCATTTTTTGGGTTAGACGCCAGAATTTTCATCGTGATGATTGAAGATTATTGGGCTTCAATTTCGTCCATCGATCGTTGGAAGATTCTGCTCACGATATTCTTGGTGATCAATTTCAAGAGCCTACCTTTTGTCTTCCATGTAAGTATTCACTCAAAACACGGGTAAACTTTTGCCTTCAACACGGTCCCGAATCTGACATCTTTGAAGTATCGCATTTTCCGTCCTATAATCCATAGTCTCTTCAGAAAGAAGCAGAGTCATCAATTCCTGTCAGATCATGCCCAGCACAAAGAGTCGCCCTTGGTTTTTCGTCCCTGCATAACGACCACCTACACTCCACTACTTGAAGCCGACTATAACCTTCACAAGTCGAACAGCACCTACTTCACAGACCTTGACGCCAGTCGGTCACATCTACTGTCATATCTTTGCCATTACGGAATTACAATCGTGGACCAAGAGCTCACTGCAGAGGGCAAACATGGAATGATGGCTGCTATAATCGGATCTGTCACCACGAGCTTCAAAAAAGAGATCAAAATTTTCCAACAGTACGAAGTATGGTCACGGATTCTTACATGGGACAGAAAGTGGCTCTACATTGTAACATATTTTGTTCGAAAAGGAACTGTCAAACAAGATATCCATACAGAGACAGGAAAGTTCCCCCGGACCTGTGATCCTCACAAGGTGAATAGCAAAGACAACTCAGCGCAGCCTGTTGTTTTTGCAACTTCAGTTTCGAAGTACGTGTTCAAGAAGGGCAGGCTGACTGTACCCCCCGAGCGTCTTCTGAGGACCTCGGGCCTTCTCGGGGACATGGGAAATGGGGAAGAAGCTCACACCCAGAACCAGGGGTCGCAATTGAAGTCCGTCGATTCTAAAGCAGATAAGGAAAATGAGCACGTGGCGGACTTAGAGCTTGATCAAAGTATTGAGAAAGAGAGACTCAGAGGGTTGCGATACGCGGAGTCTTGGGATGAGCTAGAACCTCTCCATGGGGAGCTACTGAGGGGAAATGAGACAAGTTCCTCCATCAAAGCTATTGGTCACTTCAGTGATCTAGCAGGCTACGGGATTTCTTACAAATAGTTCGCTTCATGGAATCAGGAGATTATATTCTCACAGAAGCCATGATGAATAGATGGCCAAGGGAAAGAGCATTTTGGTGTATTTTAGTTGAAGTGTGAAGTAATATTACAGATAAGACGCAGGATCCTGGGAGTGAGTAGCTATATCAGGATGTTTAGTTTGGCTCTTTGAAATTCCAAGTTGGGGCCTTCGCACACCGGTAGAGCTACCTAGTATGCCCCATCAATACTACCCAAGTGAGCTCTAGATCTAAACATATGATGATATTTACATATAAAAGAACGAGAGAAGAGATACCTAGCTCGTGACTGGAGCGATATATGCAATGAGAGTGAGCAAGCGATGCAAAGTAGAGGAAAAAGTCGCATGTCGCATGTGCCGGGATCCGTACACAGAGGCCTGTGAGAATATGATTTTAACCCACGGTCCAATGTACATCCTTCTTGACACGAATGGACATAGGTTCGATGTTCCCTTCTATACTATCTCGATCATTTGAGTCTTCCATCTCCACACGAGTTGAAAGGGCTGTCAACCGCATACAATCTTCATCTGAGATGAAAAGCGGTTTCGACCTCAAATGTCCCTGCTGTCCCTGCCCGTGCCAAGCCTCATGTTGATCACTCCGTTTGCTATTAGTGTGTCTTTGAGAGCCATTTGGTTTCGGCATCGAAGAAGAGACACGTCCTGTTTTCGAACAGTGACCAGAAAGTTTCCGGACGGTCCCTCGAATCAGCGGTTGTAAGTATGGTAGACAGGCGCAAATGATTCCAATGGCCGGCTCGACTACCGACCACACAGACACTTCACTTAATGTCCATGTTACATCTTCGCCGCCATCGAGGAAGGTCAGGTAGTGGATCCGGACGATGCTTGCAACACAAACACTGAAAAAATGAGCGTTGAGGAATGGAGTGAATGGAGCAAAACGTACAATCCACCAAGGAGAAATAGACTGCAAATTGCAATTTTCTGACCGGTTCGCATCTGAAGTTTCCACACAATTGGAATCGGAATGATAAAAATCAGGACATCCAACACCACGTTGGATGCTGCGTTTCCGATATAGTAGTAGTAAAAGTTATATCGCCATATTCCAGACGAAGGGTCGCTCACTTCGCTCCAAAAATATGATATCGGCTTCGGGGCCGAGAGGGCTGCAACCATGCTTCCTGTGCACCAGCAGCATGACAAAATGAGACAAGTCCAGATCATCCAATTCATGTTGAAAATCCGGCGATAGAACATCAAAATCGAAACTTTTATAAGGAGCAGCTCGACGAGGTATAGTAAGACGTAGGCAAATAGACCCTATACCAGATTAGTTTCGAACTCCGGCAATGAGACGATGGCTCACTTGTTTTATAGTGACCATGTGCCCTAATGTTGTACTCCAAACATGTCGACCAAGTCCGTGGTGGCCGCCTGTTATACCTGTCAGTAATAATCCAATTCCGGTCATACCAAGGGCCATACTGAAGACGGATATAGAGACCAAAATCACTAAAACAAGGACCGATGCACCAACAAAGAAGTCATCGGCTCCCAATTTCATGCCTTGGAGACAGAGCCTCACGAAGTAGCGCATGAGCACTGTAATGAAAGCAAGCGCGCATAGTACGGCAACGATCGTGGTGTCCTTGGAGACTCTGTTGTCATTGAGATTGACGCCAGCCGGTGGCGGTCCATAAATAGTCGTGATATTATTCATTCGGGCTCATCGGCTCAAGCCCAGTATCGACGGACTGGGAACTGTGAGCCGGATTGAGATCTTGAAAGATTGACAAAGGGGAAAAGACGCCAGAGGCAAAGGAATCGGATCCATTCAGTCAGTCTGGTCGAGAATTACATGACATAATCCTCGATGGGTTTGGAGCATTGTCGTGAGCTGAAAATGTGAGCTCCTAGTGAAATGTAGTCTCCACCCATGGTTTGATTCAGATATATGTATGACTATCTTTCTAAGTACAGGCATACCGGTCCCGGTCGAACGGGCCGAGTGGGTGTCGGCGAGACAGCACGGCTCGAGATTATAAGTTGTTAGATCTAATTGGCGCGAGAATTTCTTCATGTAACGTCTTTGCCTTAGGAAGGGGTTCCCTAGTGAGTGCTTGATCCTGAAGGATCCTTGATACTCCGATATGGCGCCGAAGTTTAACCTTGGTCTGCAACATCTATGATGAATGCGGCGATGCAGTTGATTTGCAGGACCAAAGGGATAGTCCCAGTGTATTCACAGAGCACGTCCGCAGTCGAATTTTGAGTCCTTCAATGTTGGGGTGGAACAAGCAGTTGTCAGCTCTGACATGGTCCAGTTGACGCCTTGAAGTCGATGGAAGAGATCGGCAGATCCTTCATATGCAACAAAGGGGCTAGGGGGAATTTTCAGATTTTGCTGGGATTTCTCGACTGTGGAAAAAAGGAAAGCATTAATATTTGAGTATTTCATAAAGATATCGAGCATAGGCTGGTGCACTCTGTTGGAGTAAATATGAGGTTGAGTTGGCCGTGCGAGAACGGCAATGCAAGGTGATCCGCGAAAACTTCCCCACCTCCCACTATCAACTCAACCTCCAACCACTCCCAATCAAAATGCCTAAAGAAGCAGACGATAAGCGCCAAGCCGCGCGCGAAGTCATTGATATCCTTCAGGAAATCTCCGATCTGCTCGTACGTACCTCGCTGTGGAGCGTGGATGCAAGTACACACTAACCTCTGTCAGAACACCAACCTCGATCGAACAGAGCTGTCGCTGTGTGTTTCTTTGATCGAGAATGGGGTGAATCCTGATGCTCTGGCGGTATGTTTTCTGGATTGCGCCTATTTCCTACGCGACTGAATACTGACCGAGCCCATAGACTGTAATCAAGGACCTACGTAAAGAGCCTGGTGCTTCGAAACGCGTCTCCAATGCTCCTGCTGAGTAACTTCGAGAACGTGGACCCTTTTCTTTTTGCTGGCTTGTTTTGCTTTTGGCGTTGTCGACTACACGTTCTTCTAGTCGGAGATATACCCTTGTTCAATGGAGATACAAATACAGATTCAATTTGAGAGATGTTGGAAATCTCGAAAATGTCTTAGACTACCTCTACAGGCACCGCGGAGAGGGAGTAAATATTCGTAGCACGCGAGAAATATGGTGTGGGCTGATGCAAACAAAAAGCGCAGATAACAATTAGGGATATTCAAATTCCGAGTGCGATCATTTCGACTCTTCGGGCTTGCTGGCGCCCTTCGTATCACCTGTTTCCTGATTCTTGGAACCGACCTCCTCAGACATGGCCTCAGCGGTGGCTTTCTTGAGTTGGTCGCTTTCCGGAACGGTGGTTTGATCCTTCTTGGTGTCCTTCTCATCGTCGCTATCGCCGAGACTGAACGGATCGTTCTCTGCCACGGGGGAAGGCTCAACAGTGGACAGTGGCTGCCACTTGCTTGACTTGCTGCCGGTTGAACTGTTGCGCTTGTTGGAGGAAGGGGCGTCATAGAGAGTATCGATCTCCGTGGGCGGGCCCTCCTGGAAAGATACCTTGCGTCTATCAGGCGATGGGGACGCGCTGGTCTTGATGTTGGGGCGAGGAGGGCGCGGAGGAGGAGCTGTACACGATCAGTGATTGGCACTCAACCCAATCCACAGGCTTTCTTACCTTCACCATCCCTCAACTCGAGGGCCGAGAAGTCGTCCCCAAGAACCTGGGGGTCTGCGTCATAACGCTCGCGATCCCCACTGCGACGGCCCATGTCACCACTGCGTCGAGGCCGGCCGTACGCGGGGGTTTCTCTTTGGTGCTGGCTAGGCTCCTCGTCCAGATCGTCGCCATCAATTCTCTTCTTTAAATTTGTCACCCATGAGTTGACCGTCTTCTGGGTATCCAAAAAGCCCTTGCGGAGGTTCTCGCGGATCACGGGTAGATCATCTAATTTGAGTTAGCACAAACCTCATGGCAATCGCGGAGTCCATACCATCGAAGAAGCTATATTCCCTTTCCTCTGACTCCTCGCTTCCTCGGGGGCGCTGGTACCTGGGGTCAGTTTCCCAGCCTGGGGGTGGTGCGCGGCGCCGCGACTGGTTGTAGTGCTCGGATAATTGACGTGCGTACATCTCGTCGGCTTCCAACTGGCGCTGCTGCGCAGTGGCCTGAGTAGGGCGGGGAGGCTTTGGAGGCGGCGCCATCTCTTCTTGGGCCTTGGGATCCGTCATACCTGTAAGCCGAGGTCAGTCAGTCCATAGCCATCCGGTGAGCACCTCCGCACGTACCCAGAAGGGCATTGAACGCTCGCTCCACATTCCAATCGCTTGCAGTCAAAATAGCTTTGACGACTCCGGGTTCGACGCTCGGGAACGCCTCCTTCAGGGTGTTCTCAGATTGTTCTCTTGGGTTCAGGGGGCGTGGCGGCTTTGGCGGGGCTGCCTCCGTGGCAGCGGGCTGAGCGGTCGCAGGAGAGGAACTAATCACTCCTGTCTCTTGAGGCTCGTCGTCAAAATCCATGGGGCGTGCAGTAGTAGGCGACTCGGCACGAAGGCTGGTAGGGGAGTTCAGGGCAGCCAAAGGCTTGCTGGGGGTGGTCTGTAAATACGTGAGTCCCATGCGACACAACAGAATGCGTTAGTTGGGGCTGTAAACATACCATCTTGTCCTCCTCCGACATGATTTGTTTATTCAAAGAAGCAGGCAGAATAGTGACAGTTTCTCGAGACAAACCCAGAAGAACAGTGTTGCCTGCGAAGAATGTCGCGGAAGTATCCAAAGCTCCAAGTGACGTGGGGTGCACGTGATAGACCATCTACAGATCGACCGCCGATGTTTCTGCAACTCCGCGATGTCGACGATCTTCAATTCTGCGAAATTCGGAATGGTTGTCTATTCATTTCAGTTTCTATGAGGTCGACGAGGATTTTGTTTGAATTTTAAGCATTTACACAGGATTTGCTCTAAAATGGCCTCAGAACAGGAGTTATCCACGTCCTTCATCCCGGCTTTGTACAAGCCGGCTGCTCTATTACCCATTGCAAGGCACAAGAAAAGTCTTCTGTACCTAGTTGAGAAGTTCCCGGTCACAATCGTGGTGGGCCAAACGGGTAGTGGAAAGACGACCCAATTACCACAATACCTGGAGCAGGCAGGATGGTGCGGGGAAGGGAAAACAATTGCTGTGACACAGGTAAGTACTGACTGATCCTTGAACGACGTACCGAAGTTGACCCTCGATATAGCCTCGGAGGGTGGCCGCCACCACGGTTGCAACTCGAGTAGCAGAAGAAATGCGTTGCAAAGTCGGTGAAGAAGTTGGCTACTCCATTCGTTTTGAAGATCTGACATCTCCTGCCACCAAAATTAAGTTCTTGACAGATGGAATGCTGCTCAGAGAAGCTCTGGTAGACCCCTTGCTGTCGCGGTATTCCGTGATCATGGTCGATGAGGCTCATGAAAGATCTTTAAGCACAGACATCCTTCTTGGAATTCTGAAGAAGATCTGCAAGAAGCGACCTGAGCTCAGAATCATCGTCAGCAGTGCAACACTACAGGCTGAAGACTTTCTCCGTTTCTTCGCTGGCGAAGAATATAACCCTGAAGCAGAGCAAGCTGATCTGGGTGGGAGCGTTGGAAGGATCATCAGTCTGGAAGGACGAATGTATCCTGTTGACATGTTGTTTCTTGAGTCTCCGGCAGAAGACTACATTGAACGCGCAGTAAAGACGGTCTTTGACATCCACACCCAAGAAGCAGAGGGCGATATACTTTTGTTTTTGACTGGCCGAGAAGAGATCGACACCGCCATTCAATTGATATCCGAAAGAGCGGCAACGCTTCACCCCAAAGCTCCTTCACTGCAGTCACTGCCTCTCTATGCCGGCCTCACCACAGAGCAGCAGATGTACGTTTTCGAGCCGGCCCCAGAAAACACTCGCAAGGTCATCGTCTCCACAAATATTGCAGAGGCATCAGTTACTATCGATGGCATTGTGTATGTGGTAGACTGTGGATTTGCCAAGCTCAGAGCATACAACCCAAATACTGGTATTGATACATTGACGGCGGTACCAATCTCAAAGGCGTCGGCAACCCAGCGAGCTGGACGGGCGGGAAGAACTAAACCAGGGAAGTGCTTCCGGCTTTACACACAGCATGATTATGAACAGATGCCCGAGGCCACTGTGCCTGAAATTCAGAGGTCAAATTTGGCACCTATCATAATGCAACTCAAGGCCCTTGGAATCGACAACATTGTCCGTTTCGACTTCTTGAAATCCCCGCCGGCTGAGCTGATCATCAGAGCTCTTGAGCTTCTGTCATCACTTGGAGCTGTAGATGACTATGCCAAGCTTACGAAGCCCCTTGGAATGCGCATGGCAGAAATTGCCCTTGATCCCATGATGGCAAAGGTTGTCTTAGCTGCGCCGTCTTTTGGGTGCCTGAGTGAGATACTCACCATCGCAGCCATGGTCAACCTCCAGGGAACAGTTTGGGTACAGCACTCCGGTGACAAGAGGTCTGCGGAAAGCAATCGACGCAAGTTTGCCGTTGAAGAGGGTGACCATCTGACATATCTGAATGTCTACCAAGCCTTCGTCACAAAGGGAAAGAAAGACTCGAAATGGTGTCGCGACAATCTCCTGAACTACAAGGCATTGCTACGAGCAGTGAGCATTCGGGGCCAGTTGAAACGGTACCTAGAACGCTTCGGTATCCAAGTCGACGAGACACTCTCGTCTCATAGCAGCGTTGATCTGAGCGCTCGGCCTGAGAAGATTCGGCGATGTCTTACAACTGGCTACTTTGCCCATGCGGCTAAGATGCAGCCAGATGGAACGTTCAGAACCGTCAGCGGAGGGCTCACATTACATGCTCATCCCAGTTCATTGATGTTTGTAAGTTACCTCTACTCGCCAGGGCAGTCGTCTGAACAAGACTAACTGAAAACTAGAACCGAAAAGCGGATTGGGTCATCTTCCATGAAATTATGCAAACGGGAGAGAAGACCTATATTCGTGATGTCACGAAGATTGAGAAGAGCTATCTGCTGGAGTATGCTCCCGAATACTACCAAATTAGGTAAACCATTGCGATTGCGCTATTAATAAAAACGAAAGGCCATACCTCAATTATACCCTGGGGCTGAGGGAGGCACGAGAGAGATCCACCTGGGCATCAGGGAAATAAAAAATACCACGCGCCAAACTATACGCAACAAAATCCTACTGCAATAAAAAAATCCACGAAAACAGCTATTTCACCAATGGGGCAACATGTCCGTGAACTCGAAAGTTGTAAAAGCACCGACTGGTAGCCGGCGAAGGCTCATAAAAACCTCGACAATCATATATCCCCGAGCACTAGCATAAAGGAGAATTATTGGCAGTATGATGAGTCCTTCCCAACGCAATATGGGTTTTGCCTCCCATTGCTCTTTTTCAAAAGCATCCATGCGAGAGACGGTATCCTGACGCGCTAGAGCCACTTCAGCATCGATCTTTTGTTGCGGCGGTGGGCTTTTTATCCGCAACCAGACCAGGTACTTGTCCCATCTACCAAATCGCTGACGAGCAGCAATAGTTTCAAAGACCCAGTAAAGTACCGTGGTTACTGTGACAACAGAGCTTGATATTCTCCAAAGAATTCTTTCCACTCTGGAAGGAAAGACGAAGTTCCATCCGATCAAATGAAACGAAGCGAATGCCGACGTCAAACAAAAGAGCGCGAATTTCTCGAAGGTGCCGATGTCTGGGAATCGATCATCCGGAAATCGCCGCAATGGCCTCTCAGAGTCGTCAAGGAGTAGACCGAAGAAGCCCATCACGTCGTAGCCAAAGGTGAACGACTGCTTGGCAACAAAATCAAGCGGCGTATGACGGTAAGGTGTGGCAGCGAGATCGCCGGCATTGATAAGAATATCCGCAGTGCTGGACTCCATATTCAGCACGATCCCAGTGTTGACGTCGCTAGGCTTATGCATCCAGCAGATGAAGGTTCCAAAAGTGCAGATGACGATAGCGCCTGCGGATAGTTCCAATGTGGTGATCGGGAGTTTGAGAATCAACCGGCCAAACAATTGAATCATCAACCAAGTAGCCTGGCCCAAGCTGAGCAGTCTGGTGAGTGTGTCGGTTTTTGACTTGTCTCAAATCTCACTTTGCGTGATCTGTGGGCATTGCAGGTACTGCTTCTCGACCAGGTATGCCAATTGACGACCGTTTACCAAAAACGGTGTACTGTCGCTTGGCTGAAGGAGCATGTCGCCCATGTCAGCGTAGAAGCTATGCCGAAGGCTCCATCTATCTTCTTTCATGCCTAATTTGCGAAACCGCTTCACAGATCGTCGCGCTGAAGCATATTGACCGATGGCGACGGCAAGGACCAACTCTGGGGAGACGATGGCCCAGAACATCCATTTCGCCCGGCGACAAAGAATTTGAAATTGGTTATCTTTTGGACTGGGGAGATTCAAACAGACTGCTGTCCAAGTGCACAGAAAAACAGTTAAGATTGAAGACCAAATAATGTCCATCGTTCCCCTTGTGTTGGGCCCGGATACCCAGCCAGCGGTGCCATTGTTCGAAACAATATCCATGGCGAGAATAGCTGGACCGGGCTACAGGCATTAGATCCATAGTTACGGATCGTGGAGATTATTTGAGCTAATATAGCCATTGCATCCAAGGGCGAACGCATTGTGCCCAGTCTCTAGGGCGTTGCAGATCGGACATGGATACATAGGCGCAAGCGTCTTTAGCCTCATACATTTCATTGCTATCCATTTCTCGTCAGTGAATATAGTAACATTCCTGCAGGCCCTTGGCCCAGCCGCAGCGTCGAGAGGTCACAGCCAAACATTGCTGTATAACCGCCGAGGGGGCCTTCAGCGGCCCCGGAACGAGCGACATGCATACTGCCCATCTAATCTTAGAGATTTCACCAGACTAGCGAACATGTCAAAATAGGCCAAACAGACCAAGTTTGTTTGTGGTGGATATCAATTACTATACCCAAGTATACTATATCTTAACCCGGTCTGCGTTTGTTTCAACACTGGTTGACATAGTTACCATGTAGAAGCCACGAATATTACTCCTTATATACCGGGAGATCTGCTCTGCAAATTGTAGAGCGAGGTAGCCCCATAAACTAGTCTCCGCGCCAATCATGGCACGTGTTTAACGTGATGTGATGAGTTTCACGGTCGCGCGCGAAAAGAAGCGCTTAAGTCGGAACAAAAAGATGCACATCCGGAGCGTTTCATCTCCTAAAATAACCCCAGAATTTTCATCTTTCTTGATTGCTGAATCGAAGTTTCATACTTTTAGATGACAAGTTTTCGAGAATGACTCGGCGCGCGCTATCACCACATGAGGTGTCTCCATTGATGGAGAGGCTGCCAGCCACCTCCAAACCAGATGATTGAACATATTGGCCCTCCATCGCAAGCAAAGACCAGATTCCAGGATGGCTACGAGACAATGATTACATCTTGAAGGGTCACCCAATGCCTACCTATTCATACCAACGATCCTTTCGCCTATGGCGCTGTTTGCACATGGAGACCATGAACATATGGACACATCTGCTGGGCAGCTTGGGCTTCACTGCGATTGCTTTTACATTGATAGCCAAGGGTCTTGATTTCAGCCGCGGCGATACATTCGCTTTCGGGGCCTTCTTGGCATCAGTTACCATCTGTTTTGGTCTGAGTGCTGGATTTCACACACTGAGAAGCCATTCTTACAAGATCCACCACCTCTGGGGCAAAATGGATATTCTGGGTATCTGTTTTCTGGCTCTCGGAGCTGGCACATCCATGACATACTACGCATTTTTATGCAGGCCCTTTATCCAGCGGACTTATTGGGGACTGAATGTATTCTCCGCAATTGGAGCTGCTATCACTCTCTTTGACACTGGCGGAGGAGGAAGCAAAATGCGGACTCTGAGAGGAGGCGTCTTTTCGTTACTTGCAGTCTCTGCTATGTTACCTGTCATTCAAAGTGTGATACGGCGAGGCTGGATGAGTGCATGCATTGAGATTGGGGCTGGGTGGTATCTTGCAGAGGCATTTTCCCTACTCACTGGAGTAATTCTCTTTGTCTGTCGATTCCCAGAGAGATTGAGTCCCGGGACCTTCGATATCTGGGGTCATTCACATCAGCTTTGGCACGCGTTCGCTGTACTTGGGTGTGTCTTTCATTTCTTCGGGCTGATCACCGCGTACAATCATAACTCGCTGCACAAAGCTTGTTGAGTCGTCACTGGTTGATGTGAACATAGAGTAGTGCCCAAGTGGAGGTTAGGACTGGGCGTTTCAAAGGTTAGAGTACCTAGGTACATAGCCATACATGGATGTCACTATATTCGATCCAACATCCAGATTACCCCAGTTTCGCTACGGTAGATTGGAAAATAATATCACAGATCACAGTTTGAAGAGATCAACAATATTGATCGGTGATGTTTGAGGTTTATTTGAGAAACAAGACCCTCATGAGGCCTGAATACCTAGGTAGGTAAGAGATATGGATCTTTAGTCAACGTCACGGGAGCCGAGTCTCCAACATTTGAACACCGCATCCAAAAGACTCCCGGGCACTTTCTTTGGACTTCACATCTCACAGAATGTCTCATCATCACCACGATCATAGTGGCGGTTGCCACGGCGAAGACCATGATCATTCGAACGACATCACTCCCGCCATCCAATCTCTTCTCTACTCCCAGATTGATTTCGGGAAGATCGTCACTTTGAATGGTAGGACAAAATCAGAGGCGCCTATAAGAAGCTCAAAAGCTCACGAGCCCAGAAACTACACCCAAGGCCGGCGCGGCCATTGTGCAAAAGACCTGGGCGGAACGACTGAACGACGAACCTGAGCTCGAAAGCGACGCAGACGAGCAATTACTCATGACTATTCCGTCAGTATCCCTGTGCCCTCCCATCAATCCATCGCGTTATATGCCCATTTTCGACGCGCTCGTGGCCACATCGTCAACACCAAAACAACCCCGCTACCCCTCACTGACAATCTCAAAGCTTCAGCGGACAAGCAAACATCCACTCCTTGCTCCTCTACACCGCCCCCACAATCTCCGCCCCGAAGACCGTAAAGCTGTTCAAGAACCGCGACGACTTGGACTTTTCCACGGCGTCGGAGTTACACCCCACACAGACAATCGAGGTTCCGCAGCCAGTACCTGGCGCGGACGTCTTCGAACTCCCGCTCAACCGCGCGCATTGGAACGCCACTACCTCGGTCACGTTGTTCTTTGAGGACAACTGGAGTGATGGCGAAGAAGACGTTACCAAGGTTGGATATGTGGGTTTCAAGGGGCAGTTTATGAAGTTGACGCGCGAGCCGGTCAACTTCCTCTACGAGGCTGCTGCGAACCCACAGGACCACGTTTCCATCCCTGGAGTTGGTGGAATTGGAAGTGTTTTGCCCGGACAGTAGTTGGATCGAGTTGAAATGATCTACAGGCGTAGACTGATTGAGCAGTCGTATGGTTAATGAGGATACCACCATGTGATTTGGACTCTCAGGCTGTTGGCCTTCCAACGACTTGTCGGTGCTAGGCGCCCAACCCTGGCGCTTGTAATTTCACTGCAGACGATAATGTGGTATTATGTTGATTACCATTGAGGCATCTTAATCTTTAGATGTCATCACCTATAGCGCTTTCGCAAGGACTGAGCGCAAAAGCACCCTACGCGCAATCGCCAACGCCATGAACATCAAGTCTCCAAGTGACTTAAACAGAGCTAAAACAAACCAACGCCCAGAATGCTTTGTGGCCGAATGCTATACAACATCATTCATGCAGGTAGAGCCTCTCTCCGCTCGGGTTGAGGCTCAACCCTCTCATCCTCCGATTGGGCCCTCTCGGGTCTCACAGTGGGTGGACTAGGCAAAACGACCGGGTCGGGCAGGACTTCGGGTCCAGCAGTTTCACGTCGCAGAGCCTCCAATTCATCCTCGACCTCGTCTTCATCTTGATTCGTCAGATGGCCAGCGAGCATCTGGCTCACCTCCTGTTGAAGTTAGCAATCAACATTGACCCAGATATAGTCGGATAACAGTACCTCTTGGTATGCTCTTGCATCTTCCGATTCGCCCATTAGCCTTTCCACGTTCTCAATACCACCCATCTCTTTATTGATGGTCTGCAGGACCTGCGTGCCTTGCTGCAGCCCGTACAGCACATCCTTCTGAACCAGCGCAAACTCTACTTGTCCCGTGAGCTGCTCCAGTTGCGCGAGCTGTCCGTCTGTCTTTGCAAGCAGTGATTCTTGGTACTTCTTGCGCCGAAGAGCGAGCAAGGCGCGCCGCCGATCATTTCGCGCGAGGCATTCTTTGGCGATTTCGGTCTCACGATCAGTGAGGACGGTTATTCGGCGTTGGTATTGGTGCAGCTTATCACGCTGGTTCTTGAGGTCGAGAATGGCCCTATTATTAGACCAAATGGCTGTCAGTTACCACATGCGGTGTTGATGTGGGGATGAGGGGATCTGAGGGGATGTCTGCAGACGCTTGGGATGAAGGGATAGTCTATTGTGACCAGCCCGTATTTGAAACACATCACTCACCTATCTTGAGCCGAGATCTTCGGTGAACTGCTCGAGTTCCCCATGATGTTGAGGAGATAAAGAGCCACCTCGAGCTTGGGAATGCCCAGGTGTAGATGACGTGAGTCGGAAATGAGGGTGTAAATACATTGTAAATTACACCCGATCTTTCAATGTCAATCTCCGATTTTTCGGAACAATTTTTGTTATCGCCGTTCTGCAATTCACAATGCCTGCAAGGAAAGGAGGCAGACCGACGCTGAGCCAAGGCTTGGACCGTGAGGTATGCGTTTCGATTGTCTTTGATTTGCTCTCATTAACCCTTCACAGGTCTACCAGGTCGTGCGCAAGATCATTGACGACCAAGGCGACAATGGGCGCATCCGTCTATCGGTCCCCTCGATTTACGAGACAATCAAAAAGTCGAACTCGAGTCTAAACCGGAAACCGAAGAGATTGATTGAAGACAGCCTGGAGCGGGTCTTGGAAGTGGTTAAAGCCGATATGGGTGACGACGATGAGGACTCGGTGGAGGGGGATTTCGAGGGACTCGAGGAGCCCCCCGCGGCGGTATGCTCTTCGCAACTCTCATATTTGCGTTGACAGGAAATGCTGACCAAAGTCATACAGGAGCCCAATGGAATGAATCAAAGTCTGGTTGGCTCATGGGCTACACCCAAAGCGAAGAAGGAACCCGCTACGGCCCCAACTGCATCTAAGAGAAGAAGAGACGGCGGAGAATCTGCGTCTAAGCGCCGCAAGGCCGAGCCTGCGGACCGATCGCCGCCCACGCATGTCAGTCTCGCCGATCTGGGTGGCTTGGACGATGTTGTGCAGGAGCTTGGAGACTTGGTTATCCTGCCTATGACCCGGCCACAGGTCTATCTCTCATCGAATGTGCAGCCGCCGCGCGGTGTTCTGCTTCATGGCCCGCCAGGTTGCGGTAAAACATTGATTGCCAACGCATTCGCTGCGGAGCTCGGCGTGCCTTTCATCTCGATTTCCGCGCCTTCAGTGGTGTCAGGAATGTCCGGTGAATCCGAGAAGGCCTTGCGCGAATATTTCGACGAGGCCAAGCGACTTGCCCCCTGTCTAATTTTTATTGATGAAATCGATGCTATTACGCCTAAGCGGGAGAGTGCCCAGAGAGAGATGGAGAAGCGAATTGTCGCCCAGCTCTTGACCTGCATGGATGAAATTGCCCTTGAGAAGACCGACGGAAAGCCAGTCATCGTCCTAGCTGCGACCAATCGCCCAGACAGTCTCGATGCTGCTCTTCGCCGTGGTGGCCGTTTTGATAAAGAAATCAACATGACCGTGCCCTCAGAGCCAGTCAGAGAGCAGATTCTTGGAGCTCTCACACGCAAGATGCGCCTGGCAGATGACATTGACTTGAAGACACTCGCTAAGCGTACCCCCGGCTTTGTCGGTGCGGATTTGAACGACCTTGTCTCAACGGCCGGTGCGGCAGCTATCAAGCGGTATCTCGACATTCTCAAATCTAACAGCGGAGAAGAGATGGAAGTCGAAGTTGAAGGCGAGGCCGAGCTCAGCCCTCGAGTCCGCGAACTTCGCCGCCTAATTAACCACGCCAAAGATACACCTATGGGCGAGGAGACTGAAGTTGTTCTTGTTTCCAATGCCGATTTCTTCACAGCCCTTCCCAAAATCCAACCTTCTTCTAAGCGTGAAGGCTTCGCCACAATCCCCGACACAACCTGGGCTGACATTGGAGCGCTCGGTGGCATCCGCGAGGAACTTGTCACCGCTATCGTCGAACCCATCAAGAACCCAGACATCTATGCCAATGTTGGTATCACGGCACCTACAGGTGTCCTCCTCTGGGGACCTCCTGGATGTGGTAAAACACTTCTCGCCAAGGCAGTTGCCAACGAGTCCCGTGCCAACTTCATCAGCGTCAAAGGACCTGAGCTCCTCAACAAGTTCGTGGGTGAATCAGAGCGCGCTGTTCGCCAAGTCTTCATGCGTGCGCGCTCCTCCATTCCTTGCGTCATCTTCTTCGACGAGCTTGATGCTCTCGTTCCCCGTCGCGATGACACCCTTTCAGAAGCTTCTGCTCGCGTCGTCAACACACTTCTCACAGAGCTTGACGGCCTAGGCAGTTCCCGCCAAGGAATCTATGTGATTGCCGCCACTAACCGACCTGATATCATCGATCCGGCGATGCTCCGTCCTGGTCGTTTGGAAACCCTATTGTTCGTCAACTTGCCCTCGCCGCTGGAGCGCGTGGATATCTTGAACACTCTTGTGCGGAACTTGTCTATTGAATTTGGAGAGGATCTCCGCCAGCTTGCAGAGGAGTGTGAGGGCTTCAGTGGTGCTGATCTGGGCAGCTTGTTGCGTCGGGCTGGTTACTCCGCCATCAAGCGGAGGGACACTATCAAATTCGAGGACTTTGTCAATGCCAAGTCCTTCATTCGGCCTAGTGTTACTGATCTGAAGAAGTATGAGAAGTTGAGGAGGGATTGGAGTGGTGGTGTGGTCTGATGCTACTCCGTATATATCCGCCTAATGCCTGATGAGCCTGGGTGCTAGAACTAAAATTAATTCTTACGCCGACAACCATTGAATTCCACTTTTAAGATTTCTCAGTAGGCCACTTTTATTCGCTAAGATCTCTACTTAGTACCTTGGTACTCAGAATGAGGGATTCCCATACGTGCCAAAGTGCCCAGGTGGTAATACACTACCAAGTCGAGAGCTCTGGAGCCCTAAAGAGGTGGCGTGGTTAGGTGGTAATCTTGCCCAGCAGGTATATTGAGAACAACTTTTTTGTAATGTGACTATACAAAAGGAAATAATTATGCACAAAACAAGTGAAAACGCCCAAATGTCAATCATGCAACATCTCTTACATCCACAAGCGACACGTTCCATCGGCACCGGCACTGACGGCCCACGCCTCACGAGGGTGCCAATCAATATCCAACACACCAAGTTCGCCTGTGATCTTGTGGCCCTTGAGAACCTTCAATGGGACAATGGTAGCATTGCTGAGCATGTCACCAGTGACACTGCCGTGGAAGATCTGTAGGGATCCATCGTCGGAGGCATCTGCGAACAGCGGGTAGCGTCCGCTGGGATGGAACTTGACGGCGCGAATAGCCTTCTTGTGGTAGCGAAGAGTCTTGTAAGGGCGCTGGGAGAGATCGAGATCGTGCCAAAGGAGACGACGATCGTAAGAACCAATGATGATGTTGTCACCACCGGAGGCGCTGGATGAAGTTGGGTGAATGTCGAAAGATGAAATCCAGCGGGCACCAGGCTGCAAGATCTTGACGAGGAGCTGGCGGGAGAGATCGTAAGCACGGATAGAGCGCTGGTTCGCAACGAAGAGAATGGGCTTCGAGGGGTGGAAGTGGGCAGTCTGAGGGGGACCACCACCCTTGAGACGACGTCGGAAGGGGAATTGCGTCAGGTGCTTGCTGACAGTGTGGATGGAGATTGCAACGGAAGCGGGGGTCGAGGCGCCAGAACAAACGGTGACGAAGTAGTCACCACGGCGGTGCCACGAGATGGACTTGGGGACGTAGCGAAGCGGGATGACCACGCAGACACCAGCATCCAGGAGGGCGGCCGAGGGTCGGATCCAGGTGGGAGGCGCGCTCTTCTTGCCCTCCTCGGAGGCGCTGGGGGCGGGACGGGAGGCAGCGAAACCCCATCCTGCGTCGATGATATCCAAACTGGCCTTCTCGATCTCAGGGTCGACAATGGGAGGCACGCAAAGGAAGATATCGTCACCTGCAGCAGCGGCGAGAATCACGCCGTCCTTGCCTGGACGCCAGCGGACAACGTTGATGGCCTCATCATCACTCAACTTGGCACTCCACAGCTGACGACCTGTGAGAAGCTCCCAAACGCGGACAGTACCATCGTCACCACCAGTGGCCAGCCAGATTCCGGTTGGGTCCACATTGACGGAGCGCACACGGCCCTTGTGGCCACGGAAGACGGTGGCACATGCAGTCGGGAAGGGCTTCAGCTCTTCGGGGCTGGGGAGCTTGGGAAGAAGGCTTTCGGGGTCAATGTTGAGCTTGCTGCGACGCACACGTGGAGCAAGGTAAAGATCCAAACAACGCTCGAACTTCTCCTGGACGAAGTTGTCGTATCCAGGAACTCTGCGAAGAGAGCCAAAGTCGTTCGGCAGGAAGTCCTTCTCGCGATCCTCGGGGTCCATCTGTGCCCATTCCTTGCGCTCCTTGTTATCAGGCAGGTACTCGGCGGGTGGGTGGTAACTCTCCTCGTAACCAGGAGGCGGGAGTTTGGGTGCCGGGATGTGCATGACATGGTCGGGTCGCTCAGCTTCATCAGCCCACAGGTCGTAGTTGATGAGTTCATCCTCCTTGTCCTCCTTGTCCTCGGGAGCTTGGTAGGGCAAGATACGACCCTCGCGAATAGCCTTCACAAGCTTCATCACACGCTTCTGCTCGTGCTTGGATGGCACAAAGCGACGCTTAGGCTCGGGAGCAGCGCTCAGTGGCATGATCTCGGTCTGACTGGTGAACCATTCTACCGTAGGCTCATACGGGTCGTAACCCTCAGAGGGAACCTCGTTCATCTGCACCTTGCGCAGCAGCTCCAATTCATCCTGGCTGAGCTCCAATGGCTTTCCGGTCTTGGGATCGGTAAGACCAGTCCAGCCCTTGGGGATTTCAATGCTGTCGAGCAAAGCATCTAGGGCCTCGCCCTTGGCAGGGCGCATGATCTTCTTTCCATTGATATCGTAACCAATGTGGGGATATTCGTCGTAGAACTTCAGCGGAATATCGCCAATAGTATTGGCGTTTTCATCGGCCTCGGAGATCTCGGAGTTGTCGTCGGGGTGGATTTCGTCCCAAAGGAAACGGTCGTTGCCATTGGCATCCTTCACAACGCGGAAATTACGTTCACCAGCAGCCGGCTTGTCGCCCTCAGTGTCGGAGGGAATCTCATCGCTGTCCAATTCCTCTTCCTCATCTTCGTCATCACTGAATTCATCAACCAATTCGACCTCCGAGTCGCTGTCTTCACTCTCCGAGAGATCGTTGGCGTTGTCGGACAATTCTGCGTTGCCTTTGCTCAGTTCGTCGCCGGAGAAAACACCGGCTTCTTCCTCCACATCGCGGGTAACAGCCTTGCGCTTCTTGGAAGCCGCCTTGGGGTTCATGATGTCGTTTAGCGGATGTTGTTCCGTTGCGGTCGATCCATGGATTTTTTTCTAGATAATTTTCTTGCCAGACATCACTCACCGCCCACATGACCTCAATCTTATCGGGCCTATCTATGACCTAAGCGCTAATCTTCTCCAAGACTTGTATTTCTTTCGATCGTCTCGTTATATGCAGTGACTTATCCACGATGACACTCGCAGCAGGGAATAACTGTGGGAGTAAACCTCGTCTTGGGACGCAAGATGCTTCGGCAAAAAGACATGCAGCATGCGACGAGTGCAGTGGGTCTCACAGGCAAATACAACCCCGTTATTTACAGAGTACTGACTATGTTACCGCGGAACAGGAAAACGGAAGCTGAAATGCTCAGGGGAGTTGACGGGCTGCACTCGATGCACCAAGCAGAGTCTTACTTGCAACTATTCCATACAAAAACAGATGGGCCGGCCGCCCAAGAAGAGAACAAGGTCGGACGACGATGAGGTTGATCTCACAGCCCAGTCCAAGGCGGAAACATGGCCTACACCAGAGGCATTGCAACCATCTTCAATCCAGGCTGGTCAGGAGAAAACACATTTTCCGGACTCTGACCATCTCTGCCCCTCGTTCTTCTGGCCGCCAAGCATGAGTGCGAAATCGCCACATTCCAATTCTACTCCAGAGCTGCCAGATTCGTTGTCTGGCCACGAAGACAATCACGCATGGCAGCCAGAGCGCTTGAAACAGCCAAACCTTCCTGTTCCTGCATCATCAAGCCCATGGCCTGATTTCTCCACGGTCTCTGAAGCCACCGCTATACCTACGGCTTTCCCAAACTCGACGAATTTCCCTGCCGTGGGCTCCCTGCCGCTCTCCCCCTCAAATTCTATCTCATCCGAACCCACGGCAGCCACTTGCTCGTGTCTTTCCTACCTCTACCTCTCCCTCAGTCACATGTCTTCAATATCATCCTTCCCAGTTGACTCCAACACCATCTGCTCTTTATATATCGCAGCAAGAACAGCGCAGGACGTGATTCGCTGCCAAGTTTGCCCCAAAGTGTTTGCTACAGGCATACAAAACATCACATTTGTGGGAACTCTACTAAGCGTTGTAGCGGACTCATGGCTGCGTCTCTCGAAAGGCAACGCCACAGAGCTTGGAATGAACGCCGCGCCAGCAGAGTATGTGAATAAAGTGATGCAAAGCCCAGATCCAGAAAAAGCCTGGAAAATATGGCTCCGTCAAGTCGTCCGTCGCGCCGTCGTTGGTGGTTATATGGAACCTGGCGCTGCGGCCGTCTGCTCTCGCCATTTGGCCCTGCTGTCTATTATCACAGAAATTGAGAATAGGCAGCGTCGCTGGCACCAACCTGGACAACACCCATTTGAGGAGTGCAATCCTATGGCTCCAACCCCTTCGGACCGATCTCAATCAGAGCACGAGAACGAAGGTAAGGAGGAGGATCACCTCTGTGTTCGAATTGTTGGCAGTGCCAGATCTGTTATCGCAAAGTTCGACTTTGATCCTTCCGATTATCCCGAGGGTGTTGAGCCGCTGGCTTCTCATCAATCGCCAAGAGAGAGATAATGTCATTGGGTCGGTCATCTTCGCCTACTTTTTGAATTATAGCAGGGATGGTGGGTTATTTGTTTTCTGCGTATACCATGTTAAGCACGTCGATTTTATTAGCCGGAAAATGTATCAACTTGCATCCATCATCGCAACATGACTACCTAGGTACATACATATCGCACACAGTGGCAAGCCTACAACCTTGCAAGGTTCCAATATTCGGAATATAACTTAACCTTGGGAAAATGTAACTTGTCATTGACCATTTCATTAAATTTTTTTCTAGTGCAAGCTTCATATTCGATATTCGACTTGAAAGGAGCCCATTCCTTTCAATGCTTGTCCATGTAAATGACGCCGGACCATGTGGATATGTATCAAGAAAGCAATAAATGGAAACAAAGCTGTTGGTGGAAGGACAACGGAATCACTCATCATCCTCATCGTCTACCACATAACGATTCTTCTTGCGAGCAGGTGGTGTGCCGGCCCGAGCTTTAGGCTCAGGCTTAGAGCGGGCCTTTGGTGCAGTCTCCTCGTCATCCTCACCCTCAGCATCCATATCTTCATCCTCGAGCTCTTCTTCGTCGTCATCATCGCCCTCTTCAACATCCTCATCACTGCCGACCAAAAATCCATCATCCTCGTCATACTCGTCTTCTCTGGTGCGAGCATTGCCACGAGAGTAGTCCTCTTCGTCGTCAGTAAAGATCTCGCCCCGGCGGTTCTGGCGACGAGGCTTGGCACGGGGACGGGTGGTGTGCAAGCCACCATCTTCAAGCCCACCAACGCTGAGACCACTGGGTCCAGACCGAGTGCCACCTTGGCGGCGACCACGGTCTGCCTCGCGCTCCGCAAGCTGTTGGCGACGACGCTCAGCCTTGATCGCCTCTTTCTCCATGACTTCAGCACGTCTGCTAGCCAGCTCGGGGTCTTCTTTTTGATCATAAATGGGTGCAGTGCCAGCAGCGGTTTGCTTGCTACCGCGAGCAGCAGCAGCCAATTGCTCCTGCAATCGAGCAACGGCATCGTCTGTCTCTAGTGTGGTTGGGAGTACGGTCAAGCCGTGAGTAACATGAGAAGTAAGTCGAAACACCTGGGAGGTTTCCAAGCCAGCCGCGAGGTAAACGTGCGAGTCGAGCTTGTGATCGTAAGCGCCGGAACGTGAGAGGGGCGCAAGAGGCTTGGATGCGACGCGATATTGCTCGAGGGGCTGAGAAGCGAGCTGAAGGGTAATCGATCCATCATCCCACTTGATGAAGCGAGCGTTTGATTGCAATTGAGAGTCGTCTGCGGGATCCTTGCGCCAGCAGAGGGAGGTGGCAGCGGTATTGTACGGGGGTGGAACGTAGGTCTCGGGATTGAACTCTTCGGTTTCAATCGAGAGGAAGTCAGGTATACGCATTGCATAAACCTACAAAGCATCAGTTCGGAACGAAAGACTCATATCGGAATCTGCAAACCTCTCCATCATTGGTCAGCGGGACTGGCGCGCGCGCGAGGTCCTGTTCGGCAACGTTGACCTCTAATTGTTCTTCCTGGACATCCTCCATGCGGTCGTCCCGCCGATCGTAGCGGTTCTCATCGTCACCAGAATCGAGCTGTTCATCGTCTAAATTGCGACTAGGCCTAGGAGTTCATTAGCGAACAGGGTCCGTCGCATATGTTCGGATTGCGTACTCCATGTCCTCGAGACCGCCTTCTCCGTCTGACCCGAAGAGGTCATCGTTATCATCCTCATCCATGTGATCCGCGCCAGTATGATTTTCGGCACCCGAGTCGTTGGCATTGTTGCTAGGTGCAGGGCTCTCATTGTCGGCAGCCCGGCCGGGGCGCCGAACCCCCTCCTCGTCGGAGGACATTGCTCAATTTTCTGGTATTCGTGCAGAGAAGTAGATAAGAAGAAGAAGAATGAGGGTATTTGAAACAAGAGATCAATGGCACAGAGAGAAAAGAGATAGTGAATGAACATATGGTTATTCGGCGCGGCATTGGAGCTTTCGTAGTCAGCATTAAGGTTACCCCGGGTTCCGGTCTGTAAAGGGATTAGTGGCATGGGCCAGACCAAAAGGGGATCCTCAAACTGGACATCTCACCGTCTCATTCCCGACTGCGTTTTCTTAAATACAAGCATTGGTGCTCAATTACAAGATGGCGACTTTTTTCCAGAGTGTGTAAGTGCGATGCGCGCTGTCGCGGGCTGTGGCAATGCGGCCCTTCTCCTTCGATCCCCCCTCATACTGCAGTCCCCCCCAGCGCCACAATCACAAAGCAGCATTCCGTTTTCCAAAGTCTATTTGCAATAATCTATTTCCTGTTGCTGCATTTTCATCCAAATCTCAATCTCTTGTCCACTCTCAGCTCCCCAGTACCATACCCTCACCGTCATCACTGGCTAACTCCATCTTCGATACAGTCGCCAAGGATTTGGCCGGGGAGGAAACAACAAGGGAGCGAACCCCCCTAAAAGCCCAGCACAATCTTCTGCTCCTCAACACCAGTCCAACATGTCAAACTCTCCGTCGATCTCCAGCAGCCTGGGCGTCGAAAGCCAAGCCAACGATCCCGAAGGCCCCAAGTACTTCTTTCAGGAGAAATATGCCCCACTGAACGTGAGGGGCAACTTCTTGACCCTTTGTGCTTGTCCTAAGAATGTGGAGTTGGGCGAGTGGCTGGCTCACCAAAGTATGCCATAATTGAAGCTTGTCTGGATCGTGGGATGCTGATACGATTCCACTTAGTCGTCGAACAATACCGCCTACTCCACGGCATGCTTCAGGTTATCCAGGAGACAAACAGTGTGACTGGTCTTTCCATTTGCAATGAAAACACCTGCCCGACGATGTCTGCAGGACGGTATGTGAATATGGCGGGGTAAATTAGGAACGGGGCTAACGAACCCCAGGTTGACCTACACCTGGCTCGTTGACGGCCGGGCTGCCAAAATTTCCGCGCCCAAGTTCATTAACCGCGTTGAAAAGTGGATCGTCAGCAAGATTCATGATCCGGTCATGTTCCCTACCGAAAATGTCAAGGGAACCCCCGAGACATCTGCCGTCAAAGAAGCCAACGGTGTCTCAACAGCCCCTTCAGACCCTTCCAACCAAGAAGACTGGATTGGCAAGTCCAGTGGGTTCCCGCAAACGTTCTACAAGGATTGCCAGGGTATCATGAAGCAAATGTTCCGTTGCTACGCTCACTTATACCATGCGCATTGGCTCAACCCCTTCTGGCACATCAACAAGCACGACATCCTGAACATGTGTTTCGTGCACTTCGTGACGGTCTCCAAGTATTACGGACTCGTTTCTGATAAGGAAATGGAGCCCATGCAGCCCTTGATTGAACTCTTCATCAAGCAACAGCGCGTGCCCCCCGAGGCGCTTAATGGTGGTCACTGGGCTCAGCAGGTCACCCAGTAAACATCGCGGGCCTGGGGATTCCTTTTCTTTTTTGCTACACTGACCATTGACGACCATGATATGTCTGTCCTCTAACCTGGCGTTGGGCCGCGCTGTCTTTCTACACGCGTATCGAGCCTTCCACCTGCTAAAAAAATGTGGATTTGCCGTACGACCAAGAGACAGGGCTTTGATTGAGCGTTTAGCATGCGCGGTGAAAACTTTTACTTGATGATATTGCATATCTTCAGCATCAGCTGGCCATCGTTGCACTGCACGGTTCTACCTAATGCTTTACAACGTTCCTGATCTGATCATGATTTCATAGCGCATTATGAGTTTATTCACATTGAAGTTTCTTTTGAGCTGTGCTCTTCACCAAAATGAACATCTTGACTTAGAACCAAATTCGATCAAGCCCTTATCAACCCCAGCAGGGCCATGAAGATAGGCGATATATGCGATGATACTGTGCGGCCGTTAAATGCTGGGAATCTTCAAGCCCTTCGGCGGTAGTGGTACCCGAGTCGATCTCTAGCTTCTCTGGCTCCGGTTCCACACTCCTGAAGCCGAGCCTCAGCCTGGCTGCAAGGTATGCCATAGAAGGTATCCCATACAGTAGAAGATGTTCAATCAAGACTGGTCAATGATCGCCCACATGCAGTTTAGCACATGCGATAAGCCGTCCAAGGTCTGCGAGACTGCTTTTTGAGACTGCTCCGATTCAGATGCATAGTAGAATGTTCTTGGAAAGTGGCCAGGCCCGTCACAGGTATACCCCTTCATGGGTATTTTCATCCTGGCCTTCACCGGCAGATTCAGGAGCCTCCGTATTTCCGCCGGCCCCATCTCCATTCGGAACCTCGTCATCCACCTTCTTCAGGTCTTCGAGCTCAATCCACGGCTGTCCGCGATTTTCCACCTCGGTCTTCAACAAGGCAATGCGCCCGTTCATGGAAACAGCAACTTCCTCATTTTCAGCCACGTACTGCTCGATTTCCCTTTTGTCTTCTTCTGAGTCGTTTGTCTCAGCCAAGTAGGTGCGGAGCTCGGTATTCGAGCGTTGTAGGTGGGCGATGGAGTTTGTAAGCTCGGAGACTTTGCTGTAGAGCACAGCCAGGGGAAGCTCCTTTATAGCCTCTGCAAAGGCCCCGGGGGTAATAGGCAGAGCTTCAGTTGACATTTTGAAAGTTCCAAGGTTGTTTGGTGAACATTGACCGACCTCGGGAGCGGCTGGACAATATGCGGAGCTGATTGCTTATCGTCACGTGGGGGTATACAGACATCCGCGGACCATTCCGAGGCCGATCTCAAAAAGTTCGCAAACCCTCGTCGGATGAAACACGGCACCTTCTGAGGCGCCGCCAGTGGAAATGAACAATGCGGTTTGGGCTGCATGGCGGGTCTCCTGCCTGGGCCTTCGCCCGGTAGCTTCCCATGCTGCCAAACTGCCCTCACTGCGCATGTACAGCACATGTCCATCGCTGCTTTCAATCCAGACTCCAGCACCTCATCTGACCCCACAATTACCTCGATCACCGGTCACCGTCATCTCCCGTCGCTTCAAGCGCACATCTGCCAAATCCAACACGAATGAAGTCATACCCCGTGTCCCCGATGCCGAAATCAAAGCCATCTTCGGACCGTCTAGGTTCAGCCCCAGACTCGGAAACCGTATTTTGAGCACCCTACAAGGCCACCGGCTTACTGGAACTTTGGACGCACAGCTGCCCGCCGATATTGTCAGTGCCGTCAATCAGCAACAAATTGACACCGCAATGGAATGGCTCCGGAACAAGTACCCTGTCGATGAGGACGCAGCCATTCTCGCCCGTATCGAGCGGGAGGAACGCGCCGAACAAGAAAAACTCGTGCGCCGGGCCGAACGATTGGGATTGTACAAGCCACAGAGTGGCTCCTACGAAGCCGAGCTAGGAGAGGAAGGCTCTCCGTACGGCCGGAGCGTTTTGAAAGAGGCCCGTGAACAGAACGAGAAGCGTCTGCTGGCTGAACAGGAACGGAAACGTCAGGAATGGCTTGATGGCGAAAAAGAAGAACAAGAACGCCTGAACCGTCAGTTCAACAAGGACACCTCTTTGCAGCAGTATCAAGAGAACGCACTTACCGAGGGTATGTATTGGAGGCCTGATTCAATGCTTACGCTGACTGTTGAAATCTTCAAGCCCGTCCTCGTGCGGATCCTAACGAACGGCCATTGCTTGCTTGGGTCCAGAAGCATCATATTGCCGGTACTCATGAGACTGGCGATATCGAAATCACCACTGTAAGAAATGCCTTTTTTTATCTTGCGGTATTTAAATTCGTTGCTGACATTATCTCGGCAGGCTCAACGTCTGCTCGCTCCGATTCTATTCACAATTGCAGTCCTCGGGCTTTGCTATGCCTTCTCCCAGAAATATCAGTTCCCTGCGAGAAAGGATCGGCTCATGCCTGACGTTCCCCCTGCGGTGGCGACTGTTGGTGCGATAATTGGTGCCAATTTGGCTGTCACGCTGCTCTGGAAATTCGTTCCTCCCGCTTGGCGCTTGCTCAACCGTTACTTTGTCATTGTTCCTTACTATCCTAGCTCTCTCGGTGTGATTGGAAGTACATTCAGCCATCAAACATGGAGACACCTCGGAACAAATATGATGGTTTTGGCTCTGATGGGAACTAGAGGTAAGCCATTGAGTATGCTCGGATGGAAATGAAAGTTTTCTAATATTCACAGTTCACGACGAAATTGGCCGTGGAAACTTCCTCGCAATCTACTTCGCCTCGGGAGCTATGGGATCTATTTTCTCTCTCACGAGGAGTGTGCTTCTTGGACATCTTGGCATGACATCCCTAGGCGCAAGTGCGGCCACTAGCGGTATTGTCGCCGCGTGGTGCATGTCTCACTTTGAGTATGTTCGGCCGAGTTTCTTCTTTATGGAGCAAGAGCATATGCTAACGATTGACAGTGCTAAAATCACCATGTGGATTCTCCCACACGAGCTGCGTGAGAAGATCTGGACACACGGATGGTTCTTCCTCGCATGTTTGGTTGGAACTGAGGTCTTCAGCCTGTTGGCTCCAGCGCGCTTCTTCCGCGTGTGGCCACTTTCTCGGCTGACCAAGATGGACCATGCCGCCCATTTGGGTGGTTATGCTGCTGGTGCTGGATGTGGATACGCGCTGATGCAGAAGACGAGAGAAAGAGAGCGGAAGGCGCGAGAATCGAAGTGGTTCTAATCCTGTAGCCCACATCGAAGGTATGTGTCGCCTTTACTGGATTATGCATGTATTGTACTTTATTGGCGTTGTTGCATAGATAACCTGTTCATTTGTTCAAATTTACTCTGCTCATTGTTGCCCCTTTCTTGTCTAGTCCTATTGCAACAGCGGGGTCTCGCTACTTACCTCGCGTCACACACGTTCAATTGGACCATTTCTTGGTCATAGTGTTGATTCAATAGATTGACACCACTAGAACACGTCGCCCACTCAAGACCGATAGTTGAGATCATCATCTGGAGTATGTAGGTAGTTAGGTACAGGGGATCAGCACCCAACATTGCCCCTGGGCATCCCTTGCATATCTCCTCAGGTCATGGACAACAAATTCCCCGAGGTCAAGACAGGGGCAGAATGATGTTCAGACAATCATTCTTCGGGAAAGGAAATTCATATTGAGGATCTGGTGCCATTTTTACGAATTCACAATCTTGAGATTTCCCTCCGAGAGATCAAGCTTATTCCAAGATTGCCCTGATGGCCGACTCTCTCAGATTAGAAGAAGCCAATCCTCTGCTTGAGTCCGAAAGTGACTCTCGCAGCAGCTTAGAATACTTACAGGAAGCGACCGAGTTTGACCAAAATGGAGACCCGGAAAATCCCCTGGAGTGGCCAACCTCATACAAATGGGGAATTGTGGCTCTATTATCTCTCATGGGCTTCACAGTGTACGTGCTATTCCTACCCGTGGACTGCAGGGTCAATCATCTAACAATGATCAGAACATTCACATGCATTTCAATAACCCCAATAGCAGGGTATATCATTGACGATTTAAATGGCAGCCTAGGGTCTCCAGGATCAAAATCAGCCAGCGTTGCTCTCGTGACAATATGGGAGCTGGGCGAAGCAGTAGGGCCTTTTTTCATCGCTCCCCTGTCTGAGATGTTTGGACGTTATCGCTTGTATATCATCATGAACACGATGTTCACTATGGCCACCGTTTTTGCGGCTCTAGCGCCAAGTACAGGATTGCTCATCGCCTCACGCGCTCTGATGGGCATCTCGGTGGCATGCAACGTGCTCAATCCTGCCATCATTGGCGACATGTTTGTATCCGAGCAAAGAGGCACTGCCATTACTTTCATCATGTTCATCCCCTTAGCTGGCGGTACCATCGGCCCGGTCCTGAGCGGTGCCATCTTACAGACATTTGGCTGGCGCACTATCATTTGGATTGGCGTGGCAATGGCAATTATCTGCCAGATGTTGTTTTTGGCTTTCTTCAAGGAGACATACAAGGTTCAGATTCTCGGTCGAAGGAGTGCTAGACTCTTTCAGGAACTTGGAGCATGCGAGAAGGACAAAGATCCCAAGATGGACTGGGCTGGCTTTTGCTGTTCAGCCATGCGCCCGTTTGTGGTTCTATTCAGCTCGAGTGTCCTTGGAGCTTTACTGGTGTTTGGTTCATTCAATTTCTCATACTTCTATGTTGTCACCACCACACTTCCGGATATACTGAAGGATGTATATGGACTCTCCCCAACTGCAACAGGATTTGCATTTATCGCAAACGGTACGTACATGACAGCTGAGCCATGATTCATGGACCTCGCTGAAACAGTGCACTAACATGAGGTCCAGCTATTGGCACCGTGATCAGTTTGGCAATATCCAAAACCTTGTTGGACAAGATATACGTCAAACTACGCTCCTTGAACGGTGGAAAAGATCTACCTGAATATCGCCTACCGCTCAGCATCATTGGAGGGTTGATGCTCCCCCCTGCCATCATACTGTATGGCTGGTGTGCTGAGTACGGGCTGCCTTTGTTTGTTTTCTTATTTACAGTGACGTGGCTTCGAACATCCATCATGCTAGCAACATCACCTTTGACAGCGTACGTTGTGGATGCATGTGGCGTTTATTCGGCATCCGCAATGGCTGGCTTCATATCGGCCCGGTGCTTGACTAGCGCATTTTTACCTCTTTCAACGTCCCATTTGACTGGCAGACTAGGCTACAGTGGAGGGTTTTCCGTGCTTGGGGGCCTCAGCCTTGCTTTTGCTTCGATCCCTGTGTTGATTTACCGGAACGGTGAACAATGGAGACAACGGTCTTGGTATACTTCGAATGCATAGAGAGGCTATTTTGAAACTTGGAAAAGACCCTGAAATTTAATTTGACTAAAATGCTCCGACCCCGCGGTGAACAGTCAGTCCAATATCGTATGCAAGGATATAGTGTACTAGTTTGTTTTAAGAAAATGAGATCATGCATCATGCCCAACTTCAAATAAGATCAAAAATTCAAGTGGTCGTCAAACAGCCTCGAAAGCATCGAAATACTTCTTGACACTACGATCCAAGAGCTTGACACCAACCGGCTTGACAAAAAACTCTTCAGCACCAGCGCCTTCGGCAGCCTTTCTGTCTGTCGGGCTATCCTGACCTGTGACGATAAACAGGACTGACTCTCTCCATTGATTTTCTTTTTCGAGTAATCGAATTCGCCGTGTAGCTTCAATGCCATCACACTTGGGCATTTGGAGGTCCATGATAATCAGTTGAATAGCGGCTCGCTCGACGCCGACAGGCGATGACTGGTGTTGGTGGAACATTTCCACGGCTTGGAGCCCGTCGGTTGCGCAGCAGTATGGCAAGCCTCGCTTACTGCAGTACATTTGCAGAATGCGGAGATTCACGGCGTTATCATCGACGAGAAGCGCTGTTGGTCGAGGTGGGTTCGTCAAGGGTGATGAGAGGGGGATGATGAGTTTTGATTGTAGGAGATGTTCTTTTTGTGCACGGTTCTTGAACGACAATGCAGTTCTTGAACTTGATGCATCGTTGGCGGATAAAACTGCTTGGTTGGTATTTGAATTTTCGTCCATTTGCTGTAGTGAGAGGGACTGCTCAATGGATTGCGCGAGACGCTCCGGGGCCGATTGGAGGGTTTGTACCAGGTCATCCGCCTGTTGGAGTGCTAAGGTTAACGTTGAATTCAAAAAGGGACCTTTCACGTATACGATGTTTTCTGGTGAGTCGTCAAAACACGCAAAATTCTGTGAGGCCGGGATCAGACAGATAATGACTTGGTCTGAAGGAAATTGTGACCAGTCCGCGCGGTGCTGTTCGGCATCAGGCGCATAATCAAGAATCGCGAAGCAGTCATCTCTGGAATCTGAGTTGGTGAATCCATTGGAAATAAGGTATTTGGCGAAAAGTGTTGACAGTGACGAGCCATGCGGCTCTGATCTTAAGTTATAGAAATTGGAGGGTATGCTGTTAAAAACAGATGCCAGTGGCAAAGAGGGGAACATCATGGGGAAGTGTTCGATATCATTGAACACAGCCCTGAAATGCGATCCATTGTCGACACTCGAAGAAACGAGATCCACAGATCCGCGAAGAAGCGCTGCAAACTTCGATGAAAGGGTCAAGCCTAGCCCAGCCCCGGTCGAATGTGCACCAACTCTTTCATATGGCTCGAAGATTCGTTCATGGTGTTCGGTGGGAATCCCACGACCGGTGTCCACAATGTCGATAGCAAGCTGATTTTTCTCATGGAGTACCGAGGTAGTTATCGTCACGATGCCGCCGGGTGTGTTCTGAATTGCATTGACGATGAGAGGCGTCAAGCTGTCTCGAAGCAGTCCAAGATCCAGCCGAATGGTATCGCAATTGAGTGGCAGCTCGTGACTAAAGAATATTGACGCAGTGTAGCGTTTGTCTCCGGAGACCCCTTTCAGAACATCGTGTGCGAGACCGTTTTCGAGCTCGAATATTGTGTACGTCGAGTGTTGTCGCTCTCTCAGAGCGACATCAGCCCATCGATTCAAGGTGATCATGCTGTTCACGATAGACACCAAGTCCCGACCAGCGGTTTTGATGATGTCAAGGTGGGCAGACGGGCCGCAAGAACTTGGTGTGTTCAAGCCTTCTGAATCTGATCCAGGTGACGAGGCCGAGGCCAAGCCGCTGAGTCCTAACTCTTCGGTCAGTAGTTCTACCGAGCCAATGATGCCGTGCAGAGGCGTCCGTAGCTGGTGAGAAAACCCTCGCAGGAACTTTTCCTTGGTTTCCATGACTTCTGCTAGTATGTGCTTATGCCACATCTGGGAAATCATCCCCGCACAAGTCTGCACAAACCAAGAATCAATATCATCGAATACTAGTTGGAAGTTCTTGGTCGCAACTACAAGTAGAGCTTGACCCGACATGCTTTGGCATGGTGCTGACATGACCCGGACTACCCGAGTGGACGGGAATTCTTGATTGTTCGAATTTTCGATAAAGTCGTCGATGTAGTCAACGTCCTCCCATACTCCGTGTTCGAGTTCGGCGATTGGTATCGGGTTCTGCCCTTCTAATTCAATGTGCGTCGTGGTCGCGGGTTGGATGCTGATGATAGCATCAGGGTACATCATCCTCAAGATGCTGAGCACAGGCTTTTCGGAGACAGTATCGTTGGTTTCATGCTCAGCAGTTGCAATGAGCTCATTCATGCGCTGGCGTTCATGTTGCCGCTTTGCTCTTCCGCATTTGACAATATCCGAGACGATCCAATCGGCCAAGCGAACGAGGGTCATCTGCTGTGTTTTCGTCAACGGTTCTTCTTTTGTAGTGGATGCTACGCAAAGTGAGCCGAGGTTGACACATTCCCCCGGTTTGTATTGTAACCGGAGAGGCGCCCCAGCGTAGCCCCGAAGCCCACCACACTCAAGGTAAGGCGATTCTTGGAATCTCCAGTCTTCCATCAGATCTGGTAGAAGAAAAATACTCTGGGGCGTGGCTTAGCAAGCTTTCTGGATCAGCAATGGGATACTGCACTTACACTTGGGGGCTGGGTGACGGTATGCGCACACAGAGTCTCACCACGAGGGAGACTCCCAAGTTTGAGCCCGACGGTGGCCAAACGGTGGTAGTAATTCACGTCTTGAATGCCAATAACGGCGAATTCCCACCCCGTGGACTCCTGGGCGAAACTGGCCTTCTCTTGAAGGCCAGAAATGAACTCTTCATCATCCAGCGCATCACGGGTATGATACCATAGCATCGACAGCCTGATTCTTTCATTCCTGGCGAGCGACGGTCGAAGATATTTCTCCGTGCACGACTTGGGCTGCGGAGGAATTACAGTCGGTGCGTACGGCTCTTCTTTTGGGGGGTAGCACGAAGCCTCTATGTCTGCAGACCAAGGCTTAACCGGGAGATCGACATTCTGCGGATCATAGATTGGTCCGACGACCTTCGGCCGAAGCGGCGACGGTCCATGCCTCGACAATAAGATGGGGGCGTCGGCTTTGGGGAAGTATGGCATCCTAGTGCCTCCGGACATCATGTTTGAGCATGAATTCGAGAGAATTCGAGAGTTGGAAAGAGAAAGAAGTCAACCCGAGATTCTCCTCCTGAGAGGCCCAGGCGTTCCGTCGGCAAAAATGTTCTGACTTGCAGGGATCCAAAGATTGAACCGTGACTAAGCATCAATTCCAAATGAAGTGAACAGTGAGTACGGAGTATGGAGTAGGGCAAAAGGAATTTTTAGTTTCTCGTTTAGGATCTGATTTGGCGACTAAATCAGGTTTTGGGCTGTGGAGCGACCCGCCGAGACCAGATCCTGTGTACATACTGTATACTACGGACTACAAATTGTGGCCGACTCAACATTCGACACGTTCTAGGCTGTGCATGGATCTTGTTTTTTTTTCTCGTCGCCATCACGGAGCACGGGGGGGTGAATTGCCACCGGCCGAGATGATTCCTCGTGATTTTGCCGCGGCTGGCGCGAGTCCTGGCTCTTGATTCTGTACGGAGTATACTGAGCCGTTTGAAATCTCTATTCCCCATGCCCTGTACACCCGAGAGTCATTTGTTTGACTTTTTCCCTATCCGTTTGAACCCTTGGCCATGGTCCAATTATATGAGTCGCAGTGCCTGGTAGTCTTTCCGACCGGTCAATGTAGATGACTCACTTTAGCATGCCACCTGGACATGCATAAGTACGAGGCAACATAACGCATTTGGCATTCTTTCTTCGCAAAGAAGAGCTATCAACTCTGAAGGCTCTCAAAGAGACGCGTATGGACCGAGTAATTATCATTGGGTGACACTTTGTCCAGCCACTCTCCTCGATTGAGCTAACAAAGTGATGCAGTGCCGGTGTCCTCGGTCTAAGCTCTGCTGTGGAGCTCTCGAAACATGGCTATAAAGTCACGGTCGTTGCCCGAGAACTCCCAGGGGATTATAGTGTCGATTACGCTTCCCCATGGGCGGGGGCGCATTTCCGCCCCTCCCCCGCAAACACCGTTGCGGAGCGGCTAGAACAGTCTCTCATGCGAGAGACCTACCGAGAATTCGAAAAAATCGCAGAAATACCCGAAGCAGGGGTGAACTTTATACCGGCGGTTGAATATTTTGATGCTCCTTCATTACTCGACAGTGGTTATACCGAATGGCCGGGCTTTCGCATTCTCGAGGCGACGGAGTACCCCTCTGGCCATGAGTCTATTCGGCTTGGTGTGACCTACCGCGCCTGGGTTTTGAATTCTCCAGCATATCTCCAATGGTTGCAACGCCAGGCAGAAAAATATGGGGCTCAATTCATCAAAGCAGAGTTGGGAGATCCACAACAGGCTGTGGCTGTTTACCGTGCGAGCCAACCACACGGTGTTGCGAGTGATGTTATCGCGATAGTCAATGCAAGTGGTCGAGGTTTTGACGATCGTGATTCGTTCCCATCGCGTGGTCAATTCATCATTGTCTCGAATAAGTGCGATCAGACGATCAGCCACCACTGGGCCGATGGCTCTTCTACAGTCATCATCCCCCGGCCTCTTGGCGGAGGGACTGTGATTGGCGGGACGAAAGAACCTCATGACTGGTAAGTTTTTTTTCTGGCAGATATGAGTACTTATCATGCTCATTATCAACAGGTCCGAGAACATATCGAATGCTTCAACCGCCCAAATTCTCCAGCGGGTTGGGGACCTATGCCCCAATATGGTTGATCGAGGCACCGCAGACGTAGGAAATACGCATGGCTTCCATGTGAAGCAGGTCTATGTTGCTCGCCGCCCTATGAGGAAAGGCGGACTCCGACTCGAAAAGGTAGATCTCCGGATCCAGGATCTCCAAGCCACTCTTCCCTTGATCCACTGTTATGGCGCCGGGGCAAGTGGTTACAAAGTCAGTTGGGGGGTTGCAAAGCAAGTCAACGAAATTGTGTCTCACATGAGCACTATATCGGGTTGAGCGGACCTCGGGAGCATGAGATGGAAATGGGATAAAGCCATATTCGGGTACGATGGCTTTTGTGGCGGCCGGGAGCTCCAAGTTGGGCAGACTCACGATATGAGCCGGGACTCGTACAATCGCCTACTCACTCCAATCGGGTGGCTCTCAATCACGGCAGGCAGAAGTAGATGGTCTGGCTTATCTGCATTGATACGAATCGGCCAAAGGGTGTGATTCGAATCACGTAGAGTAGAGTTTGAGATGACCTGCACAGTTGCATCGATTCTCCATGGCCGTGAGTCTTTCATCGTGAGATTCAACCCTGGTCAGTTATTTTATGGCGAATAGGTAGCCAGGCCGTAGATGTGAGCGGTCTGTTGCAAGAGATTGGACCGGGTCCGAAGCACGCTGTTTTCATCAAATACCTTTAGAGACTTTCATTGTCGAAATGGAAGGGCGAGCGGATATCAGGATAATCAATCCTCAAGTGTCAAGGCAGAGCGAGAGGACCAGGTGGAAGACAGAGAGGCCACACACATGCCTGAAATCCAAGGCAGAGATATCTCTACCCCACCGAGCTTACTCTGGAAGTTGATTAGCACCAAAGTCCGTCTTCCCTTTTCCACTTGAATTGTAACTGAGATTCCTTGTTTCTTTACAACCTCGCAACTTCACCTTTGCGCCATTTGCCGCCCCCAGTGCCTAATTGAAGAGTTCTTTGATTAGACTCTGCTCGTTCTCAACAAGGCATCTACTTCACTGATCATTTACTTCACCTGGGCACTGAGCGTTGATGCGCCGAGCATCGAAGGCGGGGAAATGAGCTTTGGGTTCGGGGTGGGAGATTTCCTTGCAGTGATTCAAATCGCACAGAAGATTCGCAGGGAATTCGCAGAAGCGCCGGCTCAATTCAAAGCAATCTCCGAGGAGTGAGTCAGCTAGGACTTCTCTTCTACCTACCTCCCATCGCTGAGTTTCCTACTCGACAGGGTACGGAGTCTATCATTCGTGGTCCAAGATGTGGAGGTTGAATTGTTGGGCAAAACTCTCACCGATGGGCAATATGCAGAGCTGCATACGGTAGTCACAAGCTGCCAAGCCGTGCTATCTGACTTGGAGAGGACTATCGAGAGCTTCAAAGAGCTAGCTACAACTGATCTGACTACTGCTGGGGGCAAGAAGTCAGAGAAGAGATTGATTCTTTCCCCGAGAGAAAGAAAGGCGAATGAGGAAAAAGCAAACAGAGAAGAGAACGCGAGCTACTTGGGGAACAGCCAGGGTCCCCTGACCGGGGTGCTCACAACAACAACAGATACCGCGAAGAGAAGCATCGCAAAGCGGGTTTGGAAGCGTCTAAAATGGGAACCAACTGAGATACAAGAACTGCGGAGTCGCATCAACAGTAACGTCATCTTACTGAACTCATTCAATGGAAGACTGGTGAGAGACAATGTGGCAAAGCTGGTACAGCATCAAGACGATCAAGAGCGCCAAGATCTTCTCAACTGGCTGTCGTCTACGAACTACGCGACCCAGCAAGGTGACTATATTGGCCGACGAGAGGAAGGAACTGGTCAATGGATGTTGGAGTCAAGTGAATTTCAATCCTGGGCCTCGGGATCGAAAAGCACATTGTTCTGCCCAGGTATTCCTGGAGCCGGGGAAACAATTCTAGCGTCCATTGCCATCGAAGAACTCGAAGAGAAATTTGGGAACGACGCCATGATTGCAATAGCATATATCTACTGCAACTTCCAACGCCAGGGTGAGCAGAGCGCAGCCAGCCTCTTATCGAACATTTTGAAGCAGATCGTTCAAACACAATCTCCTCTACCAAGCGATGTGGAAGTGATGTATGATCGACACAAGCTCAAAGGGACTAGACCCTCGGTTGATGAGATCAGAAAGATCTTACAGTCCATATGCAGCTCAAGACTCCAGAGAACTTTTGTTGTGATCGATGCTTTGGATGAGTGCCAGATCTCTGATGGCTCACGAGCAACTCTGACAGATTGCGTACTGAGCCTTCAGGAAAGCTGCAATTTGAATTTACTGGTTACATCTCGATTCAGTCCTGACATCACCGAGAGTTTCAGATCCTCGCAAATGCTTGAAATTCGCGCTTCTCAAGGAGATATTACAAGATACTTGCGTGGAAGTTTGACAATTCTACCGTCATTTGTTTTAAGAGACCCAAGTCTCCAGGAGCAAATATCATCTGAGATTGCCGAAGCTGCGGATGGAATGTAGGTGGATTAAAATTCACGCATACAGCATTTTTCTAACTCAAAAGATAGGTTTCTTCTTGCACAGCTATACCTCAATTCCCTCGTTGGAAAACGCTCTCCTAAAGCTATCAAAAATGCGCTGAAAGGTCTTATTTCAGGCGCCAATACATATGACTCTGCTTACAATGATGCCATGGACAGAATCAAGGGACAAGTTCCTGATCAAACTGAATTGGCTCTGCAAGTACTTTCATGGGTCACATGCGCCAAAAGACAACTTACTACTGTTGAGCTTCAAACCGCGCTGGCTGTCGAGATTGGAGAGCAAGCCTTTGACGAAGATAACATTCCCGACATAATCGACATGGTTTCTGTTTGTGCTGGACTGGTAACGGTCGATGAACAAAGTAACATCATTCGTCTGGTTCACTATACAGCACAAGAATATTTCGAAAGACACCAAGCTACATTGTTCCCAAACGCGCACCATGAGATCGGGACTGTCTGCGTGACGTATCTAACAGTCTTTGGGTACAAATTTAATGCGGATTTCTCGGCTGTCTTTGGATTCAGCTCTGAAATGGAAGCTGGGCGGTCTCAGATGAGGGCGGCCTTATACACGCAAATTGATCATGACCCATTCTGTGGATATGCAGCAGTCTTCTGGGGCCATCATATGCGAGAGCAGACACCAAATGCGATGGATTCAGCTACCGAACTGTTGATTCTGAGTCTTCTTGACGATCATTCGAAACTGAACACATTGCTGTGTATCATGTTTGCCAGGGACACTGAGTTCCTAGGAAAGAACCAGGAGCTCTATTTCCACTGTCGCGATGATATATCGGATATCAGTGAGAGCATGCCTTCACCGCTTCACGTTGTGACATGGTTTGGATTGACCAATTTGGTCCAGGTCTTGCTCAACCGGGGCTGTGAGATTGATCATATGGATTGTTTCTTGCAAACTGCATTATCGCGGGCAGTCAGCAAGGGTCTTGACGATATAGTTCACTCGCTGTTTGCTCACAGTCAATCTAACATCGAAGACAGCGTTTATTTCCACAATGGGTTACTACTGTCTATGGCAGCTCGATACAATCATGCCACAATAGCGGATTTCATCATCAGCTGTGGCTGCGACATTGACAGCTGTGGTTTCGATCAACTTACGGCGCTTCACAATGCATGCATTTCAGGATCTGAGGCTACAGCTCAGCTGCTGATGAGTCAAGGGGCCAATGTACAGCTCAAAGATCGCCGGAGTCGATCACCTCTTTTGTGTGCGACAACTTCCGGCTCTATCTCTATTGTCATGGCCTTGCTTGATGCTGGTGCTGCTGTAGATGGCACAGACGATGACGGAACTACTGCGCTATGGCATGCAATGTGGTTGGGATATACTGAAATCGGGCAATTGCTTCAGAGCAAGGGGTCTGATCCCAATGTTGCAGACACCTCAGGAGTCACCCCGTTGATACTCGCATCGAAATATGGCCGATGTGAAATCATTAGTATGCTGCTGGGCTGGGGGGTCGATACGGAATGCACAGATGTATGCGGCTACACCGCATTACTGTCTGCAGCATCTTCCGGTCACTCCGATGCTATCTGGCTTCTCCAAGAGGCTGGTGCCGATCTTCACTTTGTTGATGTCTCGGGGCGAGATGCCTTGTTCATTGCGGTATCAAAAGGACATGAAATCCTCACAGCACAGCTTTTGCCTCAATTTGATGTCAACAAAACCGATCGATATGGCCGGACAACTCTTCATGCTGCAGCCATACTTGGCTATCTGGGGCTATGTCGCACACTGCTGTCCACAGAAAGGATCGACTATAATGCTCGAGACAACTTTGGCCGCACCGCGTTGTATGATGCTACCATGCAGGGTCACCATGGGATTGTGGAGCTTTTGCAAGAACATTCGGCAGTGTCAAATGGTCCTCCTGGTCGAGCGAAATATATGAGTGGAGCTGGGGTGGCGTATAGGGCTTGTGATGCCTGCCTAGTTGATATTGGTCGACCAGAGGCTTTTCATCATTGCTTCATATGCCATGGTGGAGATTTTGATCTTTGTGATCTATGTCATCAGATCGGAGTACGTTGTTTGAATGGCGTTCACCAAATGACCATGCATACAGGCCGAAGCAGGTAGTCTAAAACTCAAGCCTACTTTCTCTTGCAACATTCCAGGTCAAAATCATAGTCATAAGTATGGATGATATGTGGTATAATATTTACAATCCTGAACGGTCTCCAAAGAACTCCAAATCCGCCCAAACCCGATGAAAAATCAATCACGAAGATGAAATAGTGAATCAAGCACCAGTGAGCAACCAAGCCATGGACCCGGCCCAGCCGAGAACAAAGATAGTGGTCAAGATACCAGCGCCAGCCTTGTCACCGTTGGTGATGGGCTTCTGCTTGTTCTTATCGGAATCTCCGCCCTCGCTGCCGGCATTGGGGTCACTCTTGCTATCTCCGCCAGTATTGGCGGTGACGGGGCCATCGATGCCACCAAATTGCACCAGGTTTGCAAGGAAAACATTGGTCACACTGATCTCCTGCTCCATTCCTGTCGTGCCATCCCATTCGCTTGTGTACCATTTGATTCCGCAAGTCTGGTTGTTGTTTCCAGTGCAGCCTTTCGCCGCAGCTTGGGCGGAGGCTTGCAGTTTGGGTCTGATCTGGTCGGCTGTGTCTGGGACCAGCATACTGGTGAAAGCGAGCCAGGACGAAACGAGGCCCTTGAAAAGAATCTCGTTGAAGTTGCACATTTTCCTAGGCTCGCAAGTGATATCTTCGAGAATGTTGCCGTGCGGGAAAAAGGTGCTGAATGTCTTCTTCAGAAGTCCATCTACCGGAGTCTTCCACTTTTCGTCGCCATTTGTCTGGATGCGTGTAAGTTGAGTGCGAAGAAAAAAAGTAAGGAAAAGGTCATGGCAGACCAGCGCAGGTCTCACTTACATAGTTGTACATGTAGGCACAGCCCATCAAGTATGTGCCGTAGTTGTACGACCACTGGTAATTACCAGCGTCGGCGCAGTTGTTATCCATGTTCGTAGAGTCTGCCACATTCCATGTCTTGTTGTTGACCAGCACGGAAGATGTCGACCAGTCCCAGATCTTCTCCGCCCACTTTGTGTACTTTTCGTCATCGGTGTAACGAGCAAGACGCGCTGCCAGTTGGAAGAGACCTCCGTTCGAGATGGAGTTCTTCATGGCGTAACCGTTTTGGTAAGGGAATAGCTGCCAGCGTAGTCCTCCGCCACATTTCGTTGTATCCCATCGCGCGGTTTGGGTGTTGAAGACTCCCTGGGCAAGCGAAAGCCACGAGAAGCCGCCTTTGACATCGGGGAATTTCATCTCCGCAGCCATCATGGCCGCAAGGCCCCAGAACATTTGATCGTCATTTCCCTATTGTTTCGAATGAAAATTAGAACATGGTTGAAATGTGGAGGTCGATGCGATCTTGGGCGCTTACCAGGTAGCTACTGTAGTTGGTGGGCATGTAGTTACCGTCGTCACCGGACTGCCACTGCAGGCCTTGGCTCAGTGCATCGTTGTACTGATCGTCGCCGGTGAATTGCTGGTATTGGAGGAGCGCAAGGAAGAGCGCAGACCCTTCCCACCATTTGGTTGGGAAAGAGCCAGGGATTTGTCCAGTCTCGTTACCGGCATACCATCCCATCATGGAATAGGTACTCGTACTGGCCGCATCTTTGATTGATTCTAATGAACTGTGTCAATCGCATGGTCTCGGGATTTTTATCACGGAGAATGCCACATACCTTTATCATTGATGTCTAATTCAATGGCAAGCGTTAACCCCGACAGACATAATGTTGCGATGAGGCCATTAAGGATAGACCATGTGCCAGACAATTGCATGGCGACTCGAATCAATCATCGATATCTTACTCGGGAGTGGGAACGGTCGCAAAGACAGGGTGAGATGACAGGAAGCGCCTGGGGGTTGGGGAAGCGAGTGATGATGTAGGAGCCAGCCCGTTCAAAGTTCCTAATTAAAGATAGTTTCAGGGCTTCCTCCACTTTTCTGTGGGGTGGACAGAAATTGCAAGCTTCTGGTTGATTTAGCCAACGACGATCACCTCTAGATCTATCAGGTTCGCCACACGGGTGATCCGACGCAAGCATGTTGTCTCCAATATGTATGTACACGACCAGCCGAAGGTTTAATGATGCCGCACGGAGTCGGCCTCAACAGCCATTACGCAGTCCGATGGGTGGTTTCAATCTGGCAAAGACTGCTTTCAAAGGGTCCAAGGGATCCGATATCCACTTTTCATGCAAATCGATGCCAAGCCCTGAAACGCGTGTCCAACGTTGCTTGATCCTGTGGAACTGCCTGCACAGATGGAACCATGTTTCACCTGGGAATATTCAATATTAATACTGTACTAAGTATTAACTCGATGCTTGTCTTCTACATGTGCTGCCCTTCAGTTGCCTCTACCTGATTTCCGTTCTCTCGTTGAACGCTCTTTCCGTCTTCGGCCATCCGCATTAGGAAATCCAACCATGGGTCCAAGTGGGTCCAATCCAGGGGCCGCTGACGTCAGGGGCGGGAAACCCTGCTGCATTTCCCTTTTGGGCGATCTTCCATGGCTGTGTTGCTTTGAAAAGGGGTTCTGGAGTTCTGCCTCAGCCTCTGGTTAATACTATACAGTCTAGTAGTTGAACGACTAGTCTCGGGCATCTCACTTGTGTGAATATGACATTGCGTGACCTTTGAAATGCGCTAGCGCTTATGAGTCCTTGTGCCATCGGCTGCACAGCCCTCGAGTCAGACCATTGTCTGCGGAAACTACAGTAGTATTGTGCCATGCATGAAAGAGAACTCTTGACGGAGTACGGAGTATTTTGTATGTACATACGGGGTACAAAGCTGTCACTGCCGACAACTAACGCAGGTACGTCCCATTGTTCAATGTTTCGTCCGAAATCCGGACGGCGCCCCACATGGCTGTCAATAGTTGCTTCTTGTTTTTCGGAATGGTTCGAGAACGTACATTGGCATTGTTCATTGCCCACAAGCACTGTTGATAGGTCTCCTTACAGGCAATTCAGCCCGGAGAATACCCGTGGACGTACAGTACTGTACAGCACATAGACACATATTCACGAAATGCCTGCCGTAAACACCTGGCCATCTTACTTCGAGTCGGTATGTACAGCTCGGTGTGTCAGAAACTCATGACAAACCATGCAGTGTAAAGCTATTCATTTGTACCGCGTGTCGGTTCAACACTCGCCGATATGTCCACAGGTTATCCAAAATGTATCACTTTTAAAACCCAAATGTCTGCATGAACATATAAAACATAAATACCCACAGGTAAACAAGACTCGAATAATGAGGAGCAACTTCAGCTTGCCCACTCCTACTCCGTTCCACAAGTTGATACCGGTCCTGGCCGTAGGTCGCATTAAGGTGGACATTACCCGAGACGGACCCATCTTCCAGCCGAACCCAACTCTGCATATCACTTGCCAATGACTCCTGATCCAACATGATTTGCCTTCCACCACGCGCCCAATCTCCATATCCTCCGTATCCAGAGTGTCGCCCATAGCACATGTTGATGCCATTTCCTGTGAAGTTGAGTTCGGGCAGTTTGCTGTCCCACTTGAAGCACCTGTGAGCATGGGTTAGCCTCTTTACCGGTTACGATAATGGAGAACTCAAGATTTACCAGTCATTGTCGTGGTCGTGGCCACTAAAAGTAGCCACAAGGCCGGTGGTGTTCAAAAGCGCTTTTATCAATGGGTAATCTTGTGCCTCATACCCGCCTTTACTGGCGTAGCCCTGCTGTTGTACTCGTTCATTGTTAATGCCTGGCTCACTGGTTGGGCTGACTCCTGTGACTTGAAACGCGCGCATCGCATAAACCGGAATATGGACAAATGCCAAAGATGGAATCGGCTTGCCGTAAGTCGATAATAATCTTGACTTTGTGTTTGTGAACCATTTAACCACCTTTTGGGAGTCAGTCCGTATGCACATTTGGAGGTAAGAGCATTCTAGCTATCCATGAACATTATAATACTCACCGAATCATCTACCCAATCCTGCCTTGGAACAGCAGTTCCATTGTCGCCTGCTGCTCTAGGATAGTGGCCGCCTTGGCTATCAAAGAACCACAGGATGAACGCCGGGTCCGTGTTGTTTGAAGAGCCGTGTCTGAAAATTGGAAGGTAATAATTGGTGATGCCAGAGGTAGGACCAGAAACCATCTCCTGAGTCAAACTGTTCGTGTAGTTCTTCTCTCGGCGAAACGTCTCTTCTGGGTCCAGGTTGACCTCGCTATCATGATTGCCGTAAGTTGATGCCCAGGGTAGATTGCGGTCGACGAGTGGTGCAACAACCCGATCAAGGTAGGCACTAGAGTTTGAGGAGTGTGTCGCCTCGCCTGAAATCAGATCGCCGTTCAGCACAACTAATTGCACATCTTCAGAAGAGAGAATTTTGTCCATCACTTGTTGTGATTTTTTGTCCTTCTCATGATCTATGTATAGGTTTTGTCAGAGCTTGACCATATCCAAGTCGCGATTGTCCATGATCATACCTTCCGCAAAATGGAGGTCACTGAATACTGATATTTGAAATGTGCCATTTTCATTGAATCGCAGGGTTTGCTCTCCGGCTTGACGCTGATATTTGGTTATTGACCGGCGAGCTGGCATTTTCGTTTTGTGAAGTGCCACGGGGGATTTGTATTTGGCGGCAATTAGAGGTAAGGCAGTTCACCTTAAGAGTGCCGGTGGCCAAGATTTTAATTCATTGCCCAGATTCCAAGACGCTTTAGTCGAGGATTTCGTTCCCATTTAGGAAATGTAACCTTACAGAATCGGCTGCGCCAAGGCGGCGATAAGAGCACAGGACTCGGCATCCCGCATTTTCCATGGATTGGAGCGAAAAACATGCCCTCGATCTAGGCATTTCGCTTACCGACCCCCATTGTTTATAGTCTTGATGTCATCAAAAAGTGGCGCGCAACCCATAAACTTCAAGCAGCTGAGCACCCGATTCGCTCTTCCCATCGCTTAACTCTCAAAGCTGCAGCCTTAAATGCCAAGGTCGCTGGTTCTCGGCATCTGTGCCATTTGATGTATCCATGTCTAGCTCATGTGAGCTGCTTACTGTACGTCACGGCCAAGAGCCAAGCCCTGGAGGGCTGGTCATTTTTAGCGTGGAAGCGGATCTCGGCGCCTCACTTTAACCTTCGGCCATTGGCGGCTGCGATCGGCATCTGGCCAATCATGCTTCTTTTCAAGGCTCCTTGATCCACCGGGGTCCACTTAAAGGTAAGCCAGAGGCGTAACTCCGTATAGTGCTTTAACTCCGAGTGTAATCAGCAAGGGTTCCGGACCAGCGTAAGCTACGTATCCAATTTTGCGGATCCTTCCGAGTAGATAATCAGCACAAACACCTGTGTACTGCAGTCTCATCTTTATCACCTGTAGGGATCAACCATTTGCTTGCTGCTTGTGGCTGGGAGTTGCTCACCGTGAGACATTCATGGACACAACATGTCTGAACCCATACTTTCAATCTTCAGTTGGAACGTATTCTGAGAACTTGGACATACTATGCAAAGAATACTAACATCAACCCCCGAAATTTGGAGCCAATGCTCGGCGTGAATTTCGGCTTCCGAAGGTCCGAGAGAGATGAACGACAATGGTCAACAGAGCATGCGTACCAAAAAGCGACGTAATCTGACTCGGAATTACTGTCGTACAAAATGGTATAATCTTCCTATAAGTCTGGGGCAACAGTGAAGCCATTCACCTCCAATATTTGGGTATTTTTGCTCGGATTGACAACAGCCACCGCACATTATGGCAACCGTTGTGAGATTTCTGGTATTCTTGGTTCAGGCTCTGCCTTCTCTTGGTCTCCTTCAATCTCCCAATATCCGCGAGCTATATAGGTTTCCAAACGGAACTTGGCTCGAAAACATCGCAGTGCGGCCCAACGGCAATCTTCTTATCACGGATGCAACAACATCAAGTCTCTGGGAGATCACACCGTCAACAGATTCCATTCGCAGCTCTCCCCGTTTGGTTCACCACTTTGACGAAGCAAAAGACATGGGCGGAATCGCTGAACTTACACCGGATACATATGCAGTCATTGCCTCCAACTCCGTCTGGAAGATTGACTTAAGCAAAGACCGTCATTCCCCATCGCCAGTTCGAATCGCGGATATTCCCGCTGGATTTCTGAACGGAATGGCTGCACTCGATGGAGGGAATGCTGTTGTCATCTCCGATTCCCGCCTAGGTCTTGTGTGGTATCTCAACGTCCAATCTGGCAATTATAGCATCTCCCACCAACATGAGACCATGCAAGCAAATTCTGACTTGGGAATGTTGATCGGAGTCAACGGGCTGAAGATCATGGAGGATTACATGTATTACAGCAATAGTCCGAAGCAAATATTTTGTCGTGTTAGAATCGACACACGTACCAGCCGAGCAATGGGACCTTACGAAATCATCAGCTATAACACACTCGCTGACGACTTTGCGATTGATCCACGGAGAATTGGGTATCTTGCCAGTTTGACAAACAATGAGATCATCAAGGTTTACCCTGACGGGCTTCACGAGGTGGTCGCTGGGGCGGAATATTCAAGAGTCTTGATGTCTGCTACCGCTGCTGCTTTCGGCAGGACACAAAGTGATCGCCATGTTCTTTATGTCACGACTGGAGGTGAAACAGAGCCTCCTGTCCATGATACAGCGTCCTTGGGAGGGAAGGTAATGGCAGTCTTCATTGGGAGCTAGGGATGTACTCCATATTCGGGGAAATCTGGGGTCTGGGGTTATGATTGTCTTCGCTGAAGAACCGGGGAGTCTTAGGGTCTGCCTCAACTTCTTTGGCTCGGGCATCAAGGATAACGAGATCCCAAGGGGTTGGCAATGCAATGGGAATCCGTGGATCCTTGGGCATCTACATCACGTACTGCTCGATTCTCTTCGGTCACAAGCTTCTCTAGACAATCGACCGGCTCCTAATCTGCTTTGCCGGGTGGCTTTTGTTCTCATCATCTGAATTCATTCATATGTACAGATTCTTTGCATTCCTAATAGCAGAGCAGACGCCAATTAGCATTATGAATAGTTCCAAGGCTGCACATGCATGATCCCCGTTGACTGGTCCCCGACTCCCTTGGCGTTTAGGTGGATTTTTTTTCCTGCTTTTCTTTCTTTTCTTCACTCTACTTGTCTTGTTGGGATGGACCTTGCTTCTAGAAAAAAAAAAGAACCAGACCATTACAAATCTACAGGCGCGTGGACACAAATGCAGATGCTTATGGCTCAATCTCGCCACGACGAAGTGCAAGGAAAGCCCGGACATCTGTGACATACTGCAAAGCCTCGAACATGGGGATCAAATGGATTAGACCGTTGTCTGTGGGGTCATTGATCCACCCTTCAATCGGGATTGCATTGTCTGGATATTGCCGTTAGTCAGATTGTTCAAGGTAACTGCGGGTAGGGGTGGTTTTTACCTTCATGGAAGATGTAGCTCATTGGGCTGTTGTCCAAAATCATTACTTTGCTCAAGTCCGGTTCCACTGAGCTCAGGTCTTTGATGTAAGCGCCATTGCGAAACGTGCAATGCTGTCTGTATAAACGACCTGCGAAGTATTTCCGTTCCTGTTCGAGCCAGTCGATGACAGGGTCGGCGTATTCTTGGACACTAGCCGTGAAAATGACAAGCTTGTACCACTTGCTGATCTTGCGTAGGAATTCATCACAGTGTGGTCTCTTGTGGACATAATATAGAATGGGATGCTGGGGTCCCAATGTCGTCTGCGGTCCACCGGGAGACAATGCAGTTGTCGTAGGCATTGAGAGTTTCACCTCGACCATGTGCCCACTGGACATTCGGCCTCCTTTGGCGAGCGAATGGATCAAGGTTTCATCAAGGTCCAGAACCAGAGTCTTCTGCGGAGTTCTGGCATTTCGAGGAGCTGCAGTGTAGGAGGGGACTCGTTGAGGAATAAGAGGGCGCGGCGGAGTTGGAAAATGAGGGTATTTCGTGATACGATGAATGTTGGGGGAGGTAGGAGACTTCAGGCTATCCAGCTGCACCGCGCCCTGGACCCGAGAGACTCCCTCCGGCATGGGCGGGCCCAAGTCTGCACTTTGAGATCTTCTTTGTCGTTGCCTTTTGAGGGATTCTTCATTATGGAGCTTGATACGTATGGATCGACGGGGCGTAGTTTCGTATTCCTCCGCTTCTGGGATTGGGTCTGGATCAAGACTTCTCGACTTAGAGTGCCGATGCTTCCCACCTGCGATATTTTTCCGTCGATCCGTGTCGGACTCCGATGTCGTTGATGCGATAGATTCGTTGGATATTTGGGGTCGGAGCTTCCGGGTGGAGCCACTGCGACGCCGACCTTCTACCCGGGCAGCCCCTTTATCCGACCGGCTTGTTGGGTCGGCAGAGGAGCGCCGTAATTTTCGGATAGGCTCAAGGAGTGAATAATAGCCCTCCTCGGCTTGGAAGCATTGGGCCAGGTATACGCCGGGGGCAGCAATCGTAGACAAGATGAACTTGATTGTCTCGGTAATCGCATCGAAGAACCGTTTGGTAATTAATCGCCAAGTGCTTTGGGCCGTAAGTGTGCCAGTCTTGTAGCTGTCATGGATCAAAGGCGTCTTCTCATCCGAACCGTATATTGTGTCTTCCTCTCCGTCTTCCGTCACGGGTGGGCCGTCATAGTTGTGCTCGGTGGCATCGAGAGAGCGGAAGTTATCCTCGCTGTAAGATCGATATTTTGAGAAGTCGGCTGGTAGAGGTATGCGCTTGCTGTCACCTTGGGATTGCGATCGTGGTCGCGATGAGTTGGAAGGTTGGCCAATGACTCGCGATGACAGGATATTCAACGAGTTCATCTTCCCTCAAGACCCGGAAGACAGCGATCTATTGATAGTTGAATTGTGAGTAAATCATCAAAGCCACTTGGAGCGGTCCATAAATCGATGTGCGTCAAGAGTAACTGGTTTGGGGAAGAGGGGGGGATCGCAAGGAGTAGGCTGGTGTTCTAACCTCGATGCGCCAGTCACCCGTTGCCTCGGAAGTACTTCCGCGAATGCAAACCAAGATCTCCCGTGAGCTAGTTGTCGGCGATTCAAGTAGGTTCCAAAAACCAGAACGATAAAACAAAAAGACTGCGCAGCACAAAGCAGAGCAAGCTGCCCAAAGAAAGCCGAACAAGAAGGATCCCCGAGTGTGGGGAAGCGGACAAGTTCGAACGGCAGAAAATCATCAGTTCTTTGTCGCTCTCCCACTTTGGCTCTGGTGATCCTTTGACTTCCTCTTTACAACCTCTCGATTGCTGTTTGGAATAGGTATGAATACTGAATACTGATCCCCACGGGTCTTTCGTCGAGTTCAGAATCTTACTGAGACCGCGCAGATTTCTACATCCCACTTCCTCATGCCGTCTACTTCTTTGGCCCTGACACCGGGCCTGGGGTCGTTCCTCCAATGTCTCAAAACAAACCCGATTGATACTTCCATTGAGACTCTGATCTCGTATGTCTCTTGAACCCAAAGTCGAGAAGAAAAAAAGACTGCCCCGCCGATCATATTGCTAAACTGGTGCAATTTATGCAGATTGCTCAAGAGACGTCAAATCCGCCATTCGCGCTCATGCGCCACAGCAACCGCCTGCCTGCTTCGCGGTGTTATCACCTCATGCCGTACGAATGATTCGGCGAAGCTCATTGAGCGGGTCCAGAACGTGGGAAGACGGCTGATGGCTGCGCAACCGCGAGAGATGGTCGTGGGCAACATTGTGCGTCGAGTCCTCGGTCTCATCCGTGACGAGGCCGAAGATAATCGCGAAGCGGAGTTCTCCCTCAGCGAAGTAGGCTCAGATAGTCAGCCTCAAACACCCCGGGCATATGATGGTGAGCCGCACCTGGTAACATATTTACAGCGGTGACTCACAATTTCTTAGATCCCTCCCTGCCTCTTGACCGCGACTCTCCCTCGCTGCGGGATGACAGGGCTTCTCGTCCTCCTCTGACCTCTATGTTCAGCCTGCTCTCCCAGCCCGAGCCCGAGAACTCCCTTCCCAGCACACCAGGATCCATGTCTCCAGGCGGACGTCTTTTCTCTCACGCAACTACGAAGGACGTACGATCCGAGGTAATTGAAGGTATCAAAGAGATCATTGACGAGCTGGGTCAGGTTGATGACCAAATTGCCGCCTATGCACTGGACCACATTCACTCCAACGAAATCATCCTCACCCACACATCCTCGACTACCGTTCAAAAGTTCCTACTCAAAGCTGCAGCCAAGCGCAAGTTCACTGTCATTCATGCTGAATCATTCCCCAATAACCATGAAGCCGTGCACGCCACCGTCAGCGGGGCCGCAAAGAATGAGGATGAAAATTTGGGCGTAGAAGCCTTCCAAAAGCCACTAATTGAGCACGGCATTACTGTCATTCTCATCCCAGACTCTGCAGTATTCGCAATGATGTCCCGTGTCAACAAGGTCATCCTTGGTACACACTCTGTTCTTGCTAACGGTGGTCTCGTCGCTGCGGCGGGCACTCGTGTCATCGCCCGTGCCGCCAAGGTCCACCAGACCCCGGTCGTCGTTGTAAGCGGTGTCTACAAGCTCAGTCCAGTCTACCCCTTCGACTTTGACTCTCTCATTGAGTACGGTGACCCCAGCAAGGTTCTGGCGTATGAGGATGGCGACCTTGTCGACCAGATTGACGTTCAAAACCCCATCTATGACTATGTTCCAGCCGAACTTGTTGACCTTTACATCACGAACCTGTGAGTCTCCGTGCATATTTCCCCGGATGTCTAATTGACGATACTAACCTCTCCACTTCAGCGGTGGCCATGCGCCTTCATACCTTTACCGTATCGTCTCGGATCACTACCGGAAGGAGGACATTAGCTTCTAGGGTGTTCGAGGCAGCTGTGGTACATAGTTCACAAAGAGTGTCCAATGAAATCATCGGACATTTAAAACGATACCCGAGGAATTATGTTGACGATTGATGCGCGCGGGAGTCATGGTTTCAATGAGATTCTTGCTCTGGGAGGATGGAAGGACAACATAGACATTAACAGCGCCAATGAAATCATATTGGTTAATTCCGATCCCTGTAGCTTCTCAAATTCTTCTCGGGTTCTATCCGCCTCTAGGTGGATTCTGGGACCTCGGGATTAGGCCCTCGATACCTAAGTATATATTCCGATGTCCAAACTCAGTACCTACCTAGGTAGGTACCTAGTAGGTTGTCTTCAGGGCCACACCAACCTTGGAGAGAACCTTGGAACCCGAGATGAGATACTATGTACGATCCACCTGGGTCTACCTATACCTAGGAGGTATCTAGGTGTGTTTCCAAGTTGTTACTTCAAGGTTCAAGGTTGGTACCTACCTAGGTAGGTACCGTTAACAAGATCTGATGCCTCCCCAGGCGAGATATTGCGAGATTTGATAGCAGTGACAGTGCCATATCCCAAGGTTGCGGAAAGGCCGGATCAATGCCCAGGTGTAGTTCAACCTTGGAAACGGTAGTCACATGAATTGATAGGTACTCAAGTTGACCTTGGAATGATGGGAATATTTCTGTTTAGACTCATGGATGTACATACATAGTGCCTACTAGATCACCATCCATGCCTACATACGTACAGTACATTCCAGGGTTGTACTTGAGACACATTATCATTGGCAGCTGGCCAGACGAACCCTTGCAAGACCCCACAATGGTGTTTGCAATTGCACAAGTTGTCTACATGCATAGGAAAGCAGTGTAAGCGCCAGCTGATCACCGAGATACCCACATGCCCAGGCGAAGACCTGGGGGGTTACCAACTCTACTACGCAAGGATAAGAGCAATTGATTCGAGAGGCATTGTTGGCAAACAGCGGATGAGATGAACAGCACAAGTAGCATGCAGTCTACTATACGCCCTAACAGAGTGCTGGGAGGCAAGTGGTAATACAAGGTCAGAGACCAGAGGCAGAATTAGAGAATCGTGGCGCCATAAATCTTTTGGAATTTGTATCAAATCGTGTTTAATTCGCAATAAGCGTATCGATCACGTTCCAGACGAAAGCCCGCCGGGGGACTCCCCAAAAAGAAAAAAGATCTCGTGAAATCAGGCGCTGATGAGGCGGGCTTTCAGTCCGGCACCGTTCAACACTCCCAAGTCTCCCGGTCGCTGCATTTTGATTTCGAAACAACAGAACGCGTTGAGTTGTTTAAGAGCGGGGCTTCTCCTTCTTCTCCTTCCAGAGGGCGGCGAGACCGACACCGGAGACCTTGACGACCTTGAAACGGACACCGGGAATATCACCCTTGGCCTTACCCTTGCGACCGAAACCGGCGAGCAGGACCTCGTCGTTCTCATCGATGAAGTTCAAGCAACCGTCATTGGGGACTGTTAAAGATTGCTCGTCAGCAAATGCACTCCAAGCCGTGTGGCGATTTCCATCTCGTCGTGAGTTCCACTCGTAGATTTCCTCCAACACAGTTGTGATAGGGATTGGGGTTACCCACCGAAAGCAGCGACCTTCTTGCCGTTCTTGATGAGCTGAACCTTGACACACTTGCGAATGGCGGAGTTGGGCTGCTTGGCCTCAACACCGACCTTCTCGAGAACGATACCCTTGGCGTGGGAAGCACCACCGAAGGGAGATGACTTGTAGGCGGTTCCGAGGAGACGCTTCTTGAAGTGGTCGTCGGCCCAGCGCTGGTCCTTGCGGTGCGACTGGAGCTTGCGGGCGGCGTTCAGACCACGGGGTTGTCCTTTACCCATGTTGGCGATTTATGTGTTCGACGGTCAACTGAGCAGGGAGAAAAATGTTAGTCTCTTGTCGAAAACAATGGCGAGTAGCTGAGTGTGTGTTGGGCGGAAGATGTTGATCGAGAAATTGAAGAATATCGAATTTTGGTGCGCAGATTGCGATCGTGGACCAGGCTCGTGATCCCACAAATGAGATATGTCCGACAGGAATAGACAATGCAGCGATCGTGAAGGGGAGGGTATCGAATACGTACCGACTGGGAGGGTGTTGTCGGCCAAAGGGGCTGAGGGTCGATTGTCGAAAAGTCGAAGATTTCCGATTTCCATACCACAGTGCTAGCCCTCGGGGTTCAGTGAAGCCGCTTGCTTAGTCACTCGCTTAGCCCCGAAATTCTTGTTTTGGAAAGTAGGGCTAGGGCCACTAATGTCTTGGCAATCTCCATAGTCATGTGATCCTTCCTCCCAGATAAGATAGCACTATCGGTTATCGCTCCAGAGTTCCCGACCTCGGGAGGCCGGCCCCGAGCCTTCCAAGGTTGCATGAAGTCCACTCCTCCGTACTCCACGCTCTCCATACTGCACACTTGAATTACTCTCTGTGCACAGTCTTCAAGATGGAATTGACCAGAAAAACCACAAACCCCCAACGTCTTCCTCCCCCTGCTCTCTTTCAGGGTCCACCTTCACATAATGCCTCGAATATCTCTCTATCCGTACCACCCTCATCTTCGGCCTTGGCGACTCCCTCTGGGAGCCAACCCCCACCTGTCTCCCGAAATCGTACACCCCAAGGAGCAGAGGGTAAAAATGCCGAGAGATCAAGCCTGCTGTCGCCTTTCGTTTCTCGTCGGCAATCCAAAAATGACCCAGATGGATCCGACGCCATTTGGCAAGAGATGCAAAGCGCGTTATCAGAGGTGGAACTTAGCGCTGTAACAAGTGAGAACGTGTTTGGAGAGAAGCACTCGGAAGCGCTGGAGGACCTACGCTTGAAGCAACTCAAGCTCGCTCAAGCCTGGGCACGCAGCGAAGCAGATGATGAAGTCGTGGACCCAAGCCATACTGGCCCCGATGCGGTCAGTACCAAAGACAACTCCACCCGACGGACTGAAACCAATATCAAGGATGATGCTGCCACTGAAGCCAGCGCTGGACGCGGCTCGGTATCTCATCATACGCTGGACGAGGAGACGGAGAAAGATATCCGTCTTGCGCGCAAACGCCGTGAGGCTAATGATCGGTACTTCGATCGCGTAAATCAGGGTGTTTTGGATGTCGTTGCCAAGCTCGAAGAAGTCGCCCAAGCTATGCGTACCGTGGAGCGAGAGAGCAAGGATATTTGGAGCGATTCGGAGAGTATTGCCACAACTGCGCCATCCTCAACTCACTGATTATGGGTTTGGTGCTTGATTCATCGTCATCGTCATCCAGTATGGCATTTATATCTAGCCTTGGGATATATCCTCCAAGAGCTACGATCTTTCCTCGGTCATCGCCGAGGCTGACACCGTTTATACCGCATTAATATTTCTTATGTCCCATCGACAGAGGGCGCTGGACGCTTCGACAACATACCGCAAAAATCAACCACACTAACGTATGTGAGATATGACGAAGTTCAATATAAAATGAGGGGGGTATCCAAACTCCGCTGCTCAAAGTCCAATAAAACTGACATGATAATGTATGTACGCCAAATCCTCATTGATCATTTCGGGGGAGAGGCGCTTTACTCGCGCTTGATGATCTGCGTAGCAGCCTTCCAACCATCGGCAGTAGCATCTCTGATATCCTGCCATCTTGTCTCATAAGCTTTCCTCGTCAGATTCTCGACCTCTGTGTTCCACCTCTGCTTCAGTATTTCCTTCATGGTCGGTTCCGCTTGTTTTTGGGCTTCTAATTCTTCGCGTCGGCGCCGTGGGATATCCACCGGGAGATTGCGACGATCATATGCACCAGAAGAAGAGACTAGCCAGTCTATTTGATCAACTTGCTCCCGAATGGCTTTGCGCTGGGCTATGCGAGTTGAGCGGTGGACGTGTACTGTAACGTAGAGAACGGATGATGTGAAGGCAAAGCCACCAAGCTGTCGAGGTCCCACCGTTAGCAATTGACTTTCTGTAGCATTGGGAATCTCATACGAAGCCAGTGAAGAAGCCCATGTTTGTTGCCGGAGCTCGATACGGGGTAGTTGCTGTGGTGGAAAGGTCCGAGTGCAAGCGCGGCTCACAGAATTTTGATGTTTGGCAGAACCTGAGTCTTTGGCTTAGGCACAGAGCGAGTTTCTCAGAGTAAACGAAAGGCGATATCGAAAAGTCGCAGGCCAGGTGCTAGGAACGCGGAAAACCGAAGTCGGACGAGTGGCGGAAGGGCTCCGATTGGCTGTGAGAGCCCGAGACAATTCTTCTGGACCGACTCTCCTGCCAACGACGCTTTAGACATTGCGCTTGGGCTTCCACTTTACTTCACTACTCTTACTAATTTGCTCTCCATCTCTTCACTCGCATTACCTTCACAATGGCTGGCGGTGGAAGCAGATATCGTCACTTGAGTCGCGACTCCGCGCATCGACAGGCCCTGCTCCGAAACCTCGTCACCTCCCTCTTTGAACACGAGTCAATCACAACGACATGGCCCAAGGCTAAGGAGGCCCAGCGTTTGGCTGAAAAGCTGATCACTCTCGGAAAGAAGAACACCGAGGCGAGCCGGAGGCGAGCATTGGAGATTTTCTACGTACGTTTGGATCCCTGCAACTCCCATCAAGTCCAACACGAAAGATAAGCCTCTGTCTGGTCAAGGATTGTGACGTCCTCAATGGGAACTCATATGAAGGACCAAAGTGATCGTCGATATCTTCTACTTGGACATATTGGCCCAAAAAAAAAGACAACCGTGCTAACCCATCCTCAGACGCCGCACCAAATGCTTCCTAAACTTTTCGGACCCCTCCGCGAGCGTTATGCAGACAGACCAGGCGGCTACACACGGGTTCTGCGTGTTGAGCCCCGCGAGAAGACTGAATACTACTCTGTCAACAAGGGTGACAAAATGGCCACCCCCGAGCGCAAGCCGCAAGTGAAGGCTCCCACTGCCATTCTCGAGCTTGTCGATGGGCCAAAGGACATGCGCTTTGCGATGACTGCCCGCACAGTGGCGCGTGAGCGCGAGCTTGGCCTGGATCTTGTGCATCAGCTGACCAAGTTGAATGTGAAGAAGGTGACGCAGTTCCGAAAGGACGGCGTTGAGGTTTTGGAAGACGCGATCCAAAAGCTGAGTGTGTCCAAGAAGAGTGTTGAAAAGAAGGAGTAGATAATGTTGCTTGCATAAGGTCATCTTCCCCATTTTTGTTCTACTATCAGGAGTTCTTCCTTCTGTTCAATTTCGCATCCCATTTTGGATGCTTGCGCATGTGACATAGCCTCTGTATAAAAGATTCTGATACCTTTCCATCACTCTATTGCCCTATTATGATGATCATAGTTGTGTCTCGACAAAGTGAATTCTCCTACCTATGCAGTCTGGGGTCCGGGGTAGCCTACTTTCAAATTCATAGCTCGAGCAGTTTTGTGGATCGAACCTCGAGCGAATCACCAGCAAGGGCGGCAGGACTCATTTACAATCCTAAGGTCTCATGAAAAGCCGCCTCGGTCCAAGGTTGGCCCGGGCTCTCAAACTGCTTCCAAGGCTCGAGATGAATATCGACTATCGTCCCCAGAAAATTGTTCTTTGCTGATGGATCGGGCGACTCCTGTCAATAAAAGCCCCCTTTGCGTCAAGGGACAGGCTAGTGGGATTTGAATCATCTGCCCACCTGGGCAGGGTTTGTTCGAACAAAAGCTTGCACTGCCCAGGTGGAGCTTGTATATCACATAGTATCCCGTGGAGTCCGCTGAATCTTGATTGATCCGCAGTCATAACATTCAAATTCTTCACAAGCCGATGCAGTACTCCGTGCTCAGTATTCAATATATGGCAGGAAACGAATTCGTGCGTTCATATCAGTGTTTTTCTCCCTGTCAAGTCCAATTTGGGGAACATCTGATACATCCACTCGATTTTGGACGAAATAAACTAGCGCTGCACTCGGCAATCCAAAACAAGGGACATTTGATGTCAATGCAGAAATTCCAATAGTCAAACTCTCCAGCATATGATCCAAGCCTATGGGGTCACGGCCAAGTCGGTCTGCACAAGGGGGTATTAGATATCGTCCTTGACCGGCCGAGCTCTCTGAGCTTGAGTTTTCCATATTAAGAGCTGAATATCCGTTCCTTTCCTACCCTGGTCCCTAAATTTAAGAAATAGCATCCGAGCTTGTTCGAAGGTTGTTTTCCGGCCCTGATTTATTGTTGCCATTATATCCAAGTGAAGTATGTTTGACCCGCTATATATTCGTGGATACAACACCAACACCCACTAACCAAAACAGCCCTGAGAGTCTACCTGAAGAGAAGAAGAATATTGAACTTGGAACTTGGAACCTTGGAAATGTCCTCCGAAACATACAAACCCCACCACCAAAGGTCTACAACACTTCCAGACGCAGGCACAGCCAAAGAAACCGCAGTGTCACCCCCACGTCGGCCCGCAACCATCGAAAATGCTCCGAGAGACGACTGCACACTGGAAGTCAGCGAAAAAGATTGTAAACTTGAGTTCAGCGATCGACAATGTAACCTCGAGTTGAGCCAATTCATCGATGACAAGCAGATCAACAAGGAGGCCGAGGCTGGCGTTGATAGCCAGGCAGACGAGAGCCGGCAGCAATTTACCGTGGATGGGAAGAGAGACATTGAGTCGGATTCAGTGTCAGGGACAGTCAAGCGCCGGACATCAAATCGGCGACAATGGATGATTGCAGGCTCGGTCCTTGGAGTTATCATCGTTCTAGTTGTCATCATTGTTCCTTCAGCGATTTACGGTACTCGGCATGCAAAAGCTCAAAATAAGCTGCCCCAGGAGCCTGCTCCATGAGATCTCAATGGGTGGGGATGTTTGTATCTTGATATGGGGATAGGGAAGGGATTCCCGGGTACATATGGAGGGCGAATCGATATTTCTGTATTGAATGCTTAATTAATTAGAATAATATACGTCAGTTTGGCGAAATGAGCAAGACTTTCCACAACTTTGAAGCCAAATGAGAACATGAAAACCATAGGGAATGGTCATCATTCTAACGAGAGGCTACCGAGGGCACCGTAGCATAGGGGACAAAAACCTTTGATGCATAGCATCCATGTTCCCAAATGAAAACGAGTATGCAGAAGTTTGAAAGGAAGGTGATACCTAGAGATCTGGATCCTCCAAAATTAAGTCCTGTGTTGCAAAAACAATCCTGTTAACGAGGAAAGGAGCTCAAGAACGAGGAGCTCAAGAACGAGGAGCTCAAGAACGAGGAGAAGAAAACCTGAAGGATTCTCAAGATAATTCACCACTGGATTTTCTTGCTGGGGCTTGTTTTGATTCTGGGGACTCGATCTGCATGGCCTCTCGACTCGACATGAGTGTAGATAGGTGTCCGCACTTCCTTCGTGTTGTTAGCATGACATTTCCAGCCCTAAAAAGCCGTTTGTTTTCACTGCTCTACCACGAAATATGATACCCACTGAAAATAAGGAATCAAGAACACTGACAATGGTCCACAATTGATCCCGCATACGCCGTCGATTGGGCCAATTTAGACATTTGCTGATGTCGATATCCGGAGTGTACTAGTACACCTGGGCAAAGTCCTAAGCAAACCTGAGAACCTAAGCCTCCAGGAGTAAAACGAGCCCCACCTACGGTGTGTCAGTTTGCCCAATGAAAAAACATATTAAGATTGGATAGGATGTCGGACATATGTACTACAGTATAAGGCTAATTTGAACCAAATTGGGGGCCAAATACGAGGCAGACTAAGTCGCGTTTGAACAAGATCTTCATCACGCACCTGGGCATTGCTTACTCGTATTGTTTTGAGTGAATTCCATTTTTCTTATCCTTTATAGCCACGACCAATCCATATTGAGCTCAGCTTCAAGGCTCTTGGATCTACTAGACCCTCCAACCTGTGCACAAGGTATGGGAATCACCTTGATTGCTCATTACTTCTAGGCGTTTTATGTGGCTAATCAACTCCAACGAACAGCTCGAAGACAAACAAAAGGGACCTAGGATTGAAGCTCTCAAAATGACCACCGAGGCATATACACAGTCGCCACAGACCGATACGTTCAAGCAAGTCGCAGTCGCACGGCCAGCAACCATTGAACACAATGGTGATTGTACATTACAGGTCAATGACCGCGATTGCACTTTAGAGCCCAGTGATCATGACTGCACTCTTGAAGTTAACCGACGGGCTGAGGATTCAAATAAGGAGATGGTGAACCAGACGCCTCAAGCAGAGAACCAGACAGAAGTGGATGAGAGTGGCCAGGGCCAACTTGCGGTGAAAAAACCCAGGAAGATCAAGCAACGGCCATTCACCATCGCTTGCGCTGTGATTGGGGCTATTGTTGTCCTGATTATTATAATTGTCCCGTCAATTATCGCCACGAAACACTGAGGTCGTAGTACCTTTAAGGTTTTGATTTCCTGCTTCCCATCTAGAATACTATTGTTTGAATACCTCCCGGCGATATGCAGCTCCAAGGATGAGCTGTTCGTTTCCCAAGCGATGTATGGACCTTATGTGATGTACCTAGCATCTTTTCACATGATAATCTACCTACACATATGAAAATTATCTCACATTCGAGAGAGATACGAAGCTGATACGAGAGGGTCACCAGTTGATTGAGGATATTTTGGATATTTTCAATCCACTTCACTACATTCCCTTTTGGATTCAGGGACCGCAGGACCAATCATCATCACCCTAAATCATTTGAGAATGCCTTAGTTGAGAATGAGGTAGTTCAATGTGAAGACCAAGAGCTACCTAAAGAGAAGAGACCCGCGAGCGCCCACACCACCATGCATTGCCAGTTGTACTCAGTACAAGCCATGAATCTACCGTCACATTTCAAAGGATGAATGGATATCACAAGCAACAAGGTAACTTAAGAACAGCCCATATGGATCTTAGGGTTATGACCCATGTCAGCCAGTCCACACGAGTAATGCAGGTGAACAATTGAACAAGTCATCCAAAATCAATCTTGCTTTGGAAGGGCAACACCGCCTGAAACTACGAGCGGTCCGTTGGAAGCTGCGTTGTTGACGTACATTGGCACGTGCGCAGGGACCGACGCTGGAACAGATCGAGTTTTCAAATCGAATTCGGATGGGACCTCGGATGGGGGAGGTTTGGGAGGAAGGTGTGAGGGTGTCCCCCACTTGGCAATTGAGTCTCGCGGGCCCGTGGGCATCCGAGTTGGATCCATAGGTCGATTGGCAGTAGTTTCACTGTACCCGTTCCACTGACCAGGAGGGCCGTGTTGCATGAGGCCGTAATGCGAATTTTGTGGGGGTCTGCCCGGGTGGCGCCCAGTCGGAACTCCACCAGGGACGAATGAGCGTGTCTGCGGATTGAAGTGTGACCGAGGGTATCCAGGCTGCATTGGGTGAGCCATGGAGGGGTTTTGGAAACCATGATTCATCGGTTGGCCGGGGTATTGAGCGTAAGGGTATCCACCCATGTTGGTGCCCATGTGTGGCATGTTAGAGGGCATGGGCTGTTGGTAGTTGGGCCAATGGACAGGGGGACCATTTCGCTGCTGTGGAGACTGTTGGAAATGCGTTTGGTAGGGTGCGGTGTTCCAGTTTTGGCCATGCTGGTACGGTGAGGTATTGGGTACAGCATAGTTGCTCATTGCCGGCGAGGACGAATTCGAAGATGGTTGGTTCATCATCCCTGGCGGAGCCATTGAGGCGTACCCAGGATAAGGTGATTGGTGTGGCATGGCAACACCTTGCTGCCAGGGGCCATTAGATGCCATCTGTGGTGACATTGTAGCTGGATACTGTGGCGGCCCTGGCATTTGACCCGAGTGCATAGCACCGTTTTGCCCTGATGGCAGATAGCCACCCGCTGGCGGTGGTACGCCAGGTCCGACCAAGTAGGGTACCTGGTTTGAAGCCGAGTTGTCGCTCATTGGAGTATTGTAGGAAACCGGACCATTGCCGTATTGTACTCCGGGGTACCAGATTTCAAATTGAGAGCGAACCTCAAAGCTGTCATCAACAGGCGTTCTTTGCTTCGGGTTCTTTTTACGACCGTTGGTAGAGCTGGAGCGTGAGACGTCGTGATTCGAGTCCCCACTGGTGGGCTCTGACTTTGCGGAGTCAGGGAAGTCACGGAAAATTCGCTCGCGCACTTGGTGGTATTTTGCCTCACGCTCTTCCCTTGTTAATGCCATTCGATCCTTGGCAGGGGTAGCGCCCGATGAAGAACCATTGCGCTCTCCATCCGGCCCGCTGTCACCAGCATCTGAATTGGCTTTGGAGGGGTTGGAAGAGCCTCCCATGCTCCCGTCGAGTTGCCCACCGTCATTTCGTCGCATTATTTTCATTGCTGGAACAACTGGAGGCGGGGTAGTATTGGTGGCAGCATGCACGGCAGATAAGGGAGGAGGAAGCCGGCAAAAGGGCGTGCGATGAAGCCTGACCGAAGTTACATTGTTATCAACAAAATGCGTGAGATGATAGTAGTCTCCAAGCTTGTGAGCAAGAAGACGCCCAAATGCGTTGGAGGGTGGCAGCTCTAAAGATTGCTCAGTGCAATTCTTGATGAAGTATCGGATCTTCTCCTCCAGCTGTAGGATTAGCAGGCGGTCTTTGGGTGATTTCATTGCCTCCAGAAGCTTCTCATCAGGCTCAAGGGGGAATCCATGGAGATTCTGACCATCCTGGACACTGTCCGCATTGGCTGGCATGACAAAATTGTTTGAAACCGAGTCTGGGGGGATTGTCCCATTCCCCGACTGTGAGCCATTAAACAAAGGACCAGGCACAGGCAAGATACCACGGGGTCGTGTAGGAATGCCGTCTCGGAATTGCTCACGGAACGCACGGCTGCCAGCTTCAGAGCCTGCTACTGAGTTTGGCGCCCCAGAAGCATGCCCGGACAGGGACTCTTCTTCATCGATAGCCTGGACACTAGCGCTATCATCAGGTCGCACAGAGTCCTTTTCATCCATCGCAAAAGTTGTCACAGAGGCAAGACTTTTCGAATCGAAATTGGTCATTTTGGTAGATGAGGTAGAGAGATGCGTGCGATCATCTTCAAACGAATTCTCTCGCTTGAGTAGACCGTGGTCTTGGCGAGAAAGTAAAGAGCTTGCGCCCTCGTTGTGCTTCTTCAACGTAAGGCTGATATCCTGCACGCCTCTGTCAAGATCATCCACCGCCAAGTCAGTGGAACTAGCCTCCGGTGTTTTGTCTGGGTTGTGGTGGCTGGGCAAAGAAGCACCGGAGCCATTGATTTCCGAGTAGATTGATTGTTCCTCTAAGGAAGAGATTCCGTGATCATCGGAGGCCGAAGAAGATTGTGGGTTGGAAGGTGCGGGCATGGCGGCAATCTGGATAGTGAGTTAGCAACATATCACGAGTGTAGTCGAGACCGTCTCTGCCAATCATGCTGACCTTTGCAAAGGAGAGGTGACCTTCCCCACCTGGGGGGCTTTTTGAGGCCATGTCTACACTCCGTGGGGCTGGTTGCTGAGTCTCTGTAGATATCGCAAGAAAAAAAAGATCCGAGATTGAGGCAAGATGCGGATGCCCTCAAGACGCTTCGGATTTGCAGACGTGAAAGAAAGCAATGCTTGTTTGATTCAAAGGTAGGTCGCTTCGTAATTCAGTTTCACACAAGCCCAAAACGAAAGACATATCTCTGGAAGAGGGCAATCGCCATGGAGGAAGCTGAGGAACGAGGAAGATTAGCCAGAAATCACATCAAGGGCTGAAGCCAGATCAAGGGCATAGACATAGATCCATTCCAGCGGAATAAAAGCCACGAAAAAAGTTTCGGTTCCTTACAATATCTCAAAGCTGGCTCATGGTCAGGGAGACAAGAAAGGCCTCGTACTCAGATTGGAGGGGAGGAACCTGGCAGCGGCTCGACAGTGCAAAGGCGAAATTCCCTAGGTCATCTGAGATGGATGACGATAGAGTCAAGAAAGAGCTTGAAATTCCGAAGAAGCGCGGTTGGCCCTATCAAACCTGATCGCCTGAAGATTCGTGGGCGCATTATTGCCGCGCCATACCGCCTGTACTGCGCGCTACATTTTTGGGCTTCAAGTGCAAGTAGCCAATTTGCGCCGATTTACTTTACGTTCACTTTCTCTGGTCAATATCGACTGCGCACTCACCTACACAAGAGAGACTGCCAAGAGAATCATATCTCTGCGTTTTTATCCCAGCCCGACTTGTTGAACGCCTTCATGAATCGATATCGAAACGCTCCAACCCTCCGAGGCCCCAGCAAAGCCTCTGCTACAACACTATGCCAAAAATGCCTGAAACGAGATATGTGATTTGCTACCAATGACGAGAAAAAACCTAGCTAATCTTTCTTTGCACGGCATTATAGCTATGAATGCAAGGCATCCGCACAAGAACGCCCATATATCCCGCGGCCCTCGCGGACCCAGCAGCTACTGAACCCGAAATTAGTCCCCAAGCTTTCCACTGAGAATCCAAACGAGTTGTTGCGAACGTACGTATCAAAAACAAAAGCTCCCTGGTCTACAGTACGGTGTAGGTGGACTTTTGCTAACTTGATATAGAGAAGGTTTGGCAGACGAACTATTAGCTGGCCGGGAGGAAGAGCGTGGGCGAAAGAGAGATCTTGAAGCTGCGACAGACCGCCACGGCATCTCTCCAAAACGTGCTAGGTCGATTTCATCCCACTCGATGAGTTCAATCTCGACGATCTCTACAAATCGGTCTTATTCGGCGTCGCCCCGCCGCGGTAGAAATGAAACACACGACAGCCACCATCGAGATGTCTCTGCATCCCCCGGGCCCGCGAAAACCCGCAAAAGACGCTACAGTGATTCGTCCGAGGGCCGCTCTGGCTCGGCGCATTCAGGGCCTGCACACCACTCACCTCCCCGCGAGCAAAACAGTGACCGAAACACCAGACGTCGTCGTCGAGAGTCGAGCCCTGAACAACGGGGACGCAATCGCGGGGAAGGAAGACACAGTGAGCGTCGGCATCGTCGCAGTAGGAGCGCAGATAAGGACCGACTTCCGAAAGAAAGGCGTTCCTTGACTCCAGATGCTCCCCGCAACCGCGACCGTCCTTACCGAGATCGAGCAAGTCCACCACGCCAAGCTCCAGCTGGAAGTTCTGGACAAGAAACTAAATCGCGGGCCAACCAGCCTCGAGAACGAAGTCTCAGTCCATTCAGCAAGCGTCTCGCTTTGACCCAAGCTATGAATGTTGGGCGGTAAATGAGCTTGAAAGGGTGTCTTGGATTTAGGAGACCTCTTATGACGCAGATTGGTAACGGAACTCATTTGGCGTCACTTTCAGCCCTCGCACCGCGAGGGCAAAATGTATTATTAGCATTATTACTGGGGTTCAGCCCATCTGCCTCCACAGCAACACAAAAACAAAAACAAGCCATTCAATTGCAAGGGATACGATACTTCGTACTCAAATGCTCATCGAGCCTGCTCTGACATTGGACCTTCCCAACGCCTCAGTTTCCTCTGCAATATGCCAGTTCCCCAGTCGGACGCCATGACCAATTCAGAAAACCATAGAACATGATCAAATGGACAGGATATAGTAATGAAAAAACAAGAAAAGAAAAAGAAAAAACAGATGAAAGCAGAAGAGCTGGATAGCCACTCCCTCCTGCAACAAAGGGTATCATGTTCAGATCGTTTCTTCGTCGCTCTTTTCTTCGTGCTCCCGCATGTGAATACTCTGAACAAGAGTCTCGCCTTCGAGGCCGACTTCCTCCCCCTGCTCGTCTCCTTTGGTAGCGACCCCACGCTCTTTCGCAGCGCGCTTATCGTCTTCCACTCTCTTTCGAACAATACGAGCGATGGCATTGTCCGTTCGTACATCAAGGACCTTGAGCTTCTCTGCCAAATCTCGCTTCAAGTCCCAGTTCGGTTTTTTGGGTTGCAGTTTGAGTATGTCAATGGGCTCGTCCTCGTCTTCTGAATAATTCATGACCTCTTCTGCTGTGGCCTTTGCAATCTCCGCTGCTTGCTCTTCCAGTGTCACTTGACCCTCTTGCGGACCTTGCTCAAAGCCCAACTTAGGTCCACGAGCTTCAGCGTCATAGTTGCGACCGGAAAGGTATTTTGAAGTCACATCCGGGGTCGCTTCGGCATCAGGCAGCTCCTGGTCTCCATCGCCGTCTTCATTTGTGTCTGGTTCGGGCTGCTTCCGCTTCAAGGCGGCCAGTTTGGCAAGGCGGGCTTTGCGGTCGGTAGCTGCCGCATCGAAATTGGTGTGGTTGGATGACATGTTACTTGAGAGGGAGCGAAGGGTGAAAGAGCAGAATTTGACCCCAGCGACGAGGAGGAAGAGCGAATGAAGTGATCTGAAATAACACCAAGCTCCTCTGTTCATGGAAAATTGAAGATCAATAAAAGTAGGCGGTGCGCCACACACTAGCCACGGCAAAATCGGGCGGAGGTCCCAACTTTCCTTTAGGTCAACTTTCTTCTTGGTCAACTTCAGCCCTTTCACTGAAACTGATCGGCATCTTGATGTATGCCATCTGAACATTCTGGATGTTGTCGAGCTCACGTAAACTCGCCCGTGCTCGTTTGAACGGGCTGCTTTTACCATGCCGGACTCAGCAATGGCACCGGGGCTTCGGTGCGCATGCTGCAGCGAGAGCGCCACTCCCTATCTTCAATACTTCAGCAGCTTCGAACCCAAGACTTGGGCCCAACGCCACGGAAACCTTCGCACCCAAGCCATCCGATGCTGAGATTGTTGATTCGCCCACAAGACAAACTCCACCATTGACCGCAGCTCGTCCACGACGCATGCCATACGGGAACATGAAAGATGATTCCCATGAACTCCACTTACCGAAAGACCCATCGTTCACGAAGCCGCTGATTACGGACGAAATCGTGCATAAGTCAGCTGCCCAATATGGAGTTCCTCTCTCTTTTGCATATCAGACGGCCAGGAGAGTGAACCGTGAAATCATGAACAAGGACAAACTTTTGACAACCCAATCACTATCTCTAGTTCAGGGTATACGTTTGACTTCACTATTTTCCGCATACCAGGGACACCGGGACTGGAAATATGAATATAAACGCATCTGGATGGCCAAGCTGAATAACCGGCATATCGAGGGCAGCCAAGGCAGAGCAGGTCACCTTGATGCCAATGCAAAATACCTCCTCAATCTGGCCCGTGAGGATTGCTATGGATCTTTTCAAAAGGCATGGGAGGAAATGGAGCCGCCCGATCGGGCCCGGGTCTGGCAACCTATGGCCCTCTGGTTCATTCACCACGACCAAGAAACAGCACTTGACTTTCTACTTGTCACTACCAAGCCACTCCACAAGCCCGATTTCAAAATGGTAGGTGATTGCCTCGTCTACCTGGATAGATTCTACTTCAGTTCCTCGATTGCGAATGAGTCGAGTGACGCCCATGACTATGCGGTGGCCATCGCGGATTGCATAAAGCCAGAAAATTGGCCCATTGTCAATCCATCGCAGAGGGGGCTGCGGCTTTTTATTAAACGGGCACCCTCTGACCAAGTTCAACGGGCATTCCGGCTAGTGAAAGAGCGAGGTACCACGCTAGAAGCGATCACAGCGCTTTCGTTCATGAGTAGGCTCATACAGATCAATGATGTGGATCTTGCCTTCGAAGCTCTTGAACTTGTTTTGAGTATCAAGGACCCAGATTTCACACCAGTCTCTCTGGGGGTGTCGCGGCATTGTTGTAAGCTTTTGAAGTTGGATGAAGTCGAGGACAACGCAGAAGGCCGCAATTTCCGAATCCTCCCGAGGCTTCTCAAAATGGGCATTAGACCAGACCGTGACATGATGAATGTTGTGCTTGCTAATGCCTTCAAAACTGGCGACTCTCAACTTGGGGCTGATATGCTTGCCTTCATGCGGAGCCACCACCACGTGTTCGACTCATACACCTACGTGACTCTCCTCACCGATGCAGTGGCTCGAGGTGACCATGCTCGTGTGGAAATCTTGACCCAGGAAGTCGAACTCCAGCACCAATTAGCCGAAGACCCTTTTGTTTTCAGCAAGCTCTTCCATGCCCACTTTACATCCACCATGAAGGATTCTGATCCCGAAACAGATTCCGAGCGCATGTTTTCTTCCATGCTCGAAATGTACAACAGATTCCATGACATCTCCCCCCTCAAAGAGCTCCTTATTCTTCCCTCTCACTACAATCCGCCACCGGGCGGACTTGCAAAGAAACTTCCCCCTTCACCAGTGGCTCTGTTCCTTATGATTGCATCATTCTTCCGCTGCAAGAACAGATATGGCCAGGTGCATCGTGTGTATGAGCAGTTCCGCGAAATGGTGCAGATGGGCCACCCATCTATCGCTCCTTTGGCTGGAACCGACCACGTCTATAATGAATTCCTCGTCGCCTTCCGCAGGAGCCCACATAATCTCCGGGCAAGTGTTCGTCTTGTTGAAGATATGCTCAATTCTTCTTCCCTCTCCGTGCGCACCGGATCTGAGACGGTTTTCAAACACACCGCACCCACCCTGCGTACTTGGACTATTCTCCTTAGTGTCTTTTATTTCCATCGCCAGCCTCATGCTGCGGACAAGATCAAAGAGATGATGGCCAAATACAACGTCAAGTATAGCCAGGCGACCTGGAACACCATCATCGGCGGGCACGTCAGTATGCAAAATATCCCAGAAGTTGCTTCCTCGATCCGGCAAATGGAGGAGCAAGGGTTCGCTATCGATCACCATACCATGAAAAGTCTACGTTATCTTCGTGACCCTGAGCGTTTGTGGGTCTCAGTCGAGGAACTGGACCAGGGAGCCAAAGAAGGTGGAAAACAAGCGTCAGTTGCTACAGAGCTCACTCCCGACGAGCGCACAGCCCAACAGAAGCAAGATGAACTGGTTGCTCTTGGCCTTCAGAAACTGGAGTCAAACTCGAAGCCATTGGAATAAAGTAGGATACTTGGCGTTTGAAGAAGTTGGTCTCAAGCTTGTTTGGGGGGGGTTTATTTTTTGTTGGTAGGGATATCATGTACTATACATTGCATCATAAAGAATTATTTCTGTTCATCTGATTGTCTCCATTGCCTTTAAACCGATATCAGCTCTCAAAGAGCCGCACGCTCTCACTTCTCACGTGACTTTTGGAAGTGAATGACCGAATGTGATGCGGAGGTAATCTTGGAGTTCAGACCGTGCAGTTCCCAGAAAGGAATCTTCGTAGCGAGAGGTGAGGATGTAGCCATGATCAGCCACCAAAGAAAATAGAGACCTAGTAAACGTTCGTTAGTATATGGGCTTGACACTAACACTCTTGAGCGGTGGTGTTTCAGGATAAACTCACTGCCATCAGGACACAGCAGATGCTCACATATGGGCTGAGTCGCTCTCCAATACGTGCGCACTTCCAGAAAATCCCAAACATCCTGTTTGAGAGATACATTAGCGTTTGCAACCTCATCCACAGACCTTTGACCACCTAAAGGACCCCAGACATACCCGTTCTGATTCCGGTCCATGATTCCGGGCATGATCGAATGTGCATAGCTGCTGGTGCAGATTATCAGGAGTATCACAAGAAGCAGCGAGCGAAAGTTGAAAAGGGCCGACTAGGTAATTATACATATTAGCGCATTGCAACTTTCTGTCACCGATGTTGTTGCCATGAAACCGGTCTAGCCAAATAACTCGCAAGTTATGGGGCTTGTGAACGCCCAGGAGACGGTATTGAGATTCGGAGTAGCTCACCATGTCGAATCCTTGCCCGTAGCTTGGGCGGAGAAGAACAATCAAAGTTATCAAGACCAGAGTTGTCCAGTTGCTAACGAGTCCCAGCGCACTCCGCATTCTGCCCAACATGTCCGCCAAGCGCACGGGCCACCCCGAGAAGCGGGTAACTTTCCAGCTGTCGTCGTCATCTCCGCAAACTTCTACCGCAAGTCGCGCACTTAACAATCACTCGGCCAATCGACGCCGATTTACTGCCAATAATCGCTTGCCATCCACCACTCCCAATACTTCCCCCAAGCCTCAGACGGCTCATGCTCTGCGCTTACCTCGCTGGCCGTTCAATGAGCAAGACACTCGCCTAATATCCGCTGGATACCAACCCCAGTGGACACCCAACCCACCCCAACCTGAGCCACAGAATAAAGGCCAAAACAGATCAGCCATGGCGGAACCACGCGCCCGAATGGCCCGTCACAAGGGGCAGATGAACTTTCAAAACGAGCGTACGTCCCGTTCATCTTCATGGATCACCGTAAGCGGTTTAACTAACACATCGCAGTTCGTCTTCTGCTTCTCGCCTACGGAGACCCAAGCCCTCACCCTTCCTTCCCCAACGAGCCACTCCCAGAAACAGTCCGTGTCCTCGACGAAATTGTCACAGACTTCGTATTAGAAGTGTGCCACGGCGCCGCGCAGGTCGCGCATCACGCTCGCCGGCAGAAGATCAAGGTCGAAGACTTCCGCTTTGCACTGCGCCGCGATCCAAACAAACTCGGACGTGTTCAGGAGCTGCTTCGCATGGAGCGTGAACTGAAAGAAGCTCGTAAGGCTTTCGACCAGAACGACGACCAGGTCGCGAAAGAGGCGGGCAAGAAGGGTGCTGCTGCTGCGGCAGCGGCGGTGGCAGCTGGTGAGGATCCCGAGGCAGCAGAGGCGGCCGCCGCCGCCAGTGTTACCGGAAAGAAGGGAAAGAACAAGGGCAAAGGAAAGAGGGATGCAACTCGTCGAGGGTCGGATGCCACTGAGGAGTCTGCCGTGAAGAAGCGCAAGACCATCGGCTGAACATTATCTGGCTGTTTCCTTTCATTTATTTCGTCCTTTTTCGCCCCGCGCTTTCAAGATTGCTTTCAGTCATGGCGTTAGATCGGGGACTTATGGGATTACAAACATCATAGGCATCGGCGTTTGGGGATTTTCATTGAGCAGACCACTGGACGTGGCTGAGATTCGGGTATTATGAACATGAAGACCTACGTGAATATACTTATTAGGATACCCAAATTGAAACATTCCTTATTTGACTATACTCAGGCTTGCAGGAGTTCTTATCAACATGAGATGTCACTAGGATTTGTGGACGGCAGCTAGCATCATCAGGGCCGGCACTTGAATCCCCTCGTACATGCAAGCAGACTTGTAAACTATACAAGATCCAGATGCTAACCTTGGAACTAGTGCAGAAAATACCCACAATACTAGGTACAGGCAACCCTTGGAATTCGGACATTGGATTGATCCTCAGAGATAAGGGACGCTTGTCTTTGGCCTGTTACTTTGCTCGACAAGAAGTGCGAGTATCTACATGACTAGCTGACACGAGTAGCAAAATCATCAGTAAAACAAAGGGACCTGAAAGACATAAGAAGGGTGCCGCGCCAGATGAAGACAGGCTCGGAGTCAACCCAGACAAGAACTCATCAGCAGAACAACAGCTTTACTCTTCCTCTAGCCATCTCCGAATGTGCGGGAATGAGCGAGGCCAACATCATATGAAATTGATCAAACGACTTAGAGAATCTACTTGCAACTTATAGAGAAGTTTCCTCATCGAGGCAAGTGACACAGTGATTGACCTCCGGGCCTAGCTTTCGTAGAGATCCCCAGATGTGGCAACGTCAACCTTACAGCGATTCACGTAAGATCGACATGAGAGATTAGAAGGGCATTAAATCCAGTCCAAAGAAACCAACAAAGGGAGCTTTTGAGCCATTGATGATGAAGTTGTTTGTAGACTGTATCTCAGCTTTGTTAGTCTTACCTAGCCTCGGCCTTCGACCGTGGACCTCTCCATACGTCTGTTGGCCTCTCTTCTTTTAGCTTCTATCCGCGAACTTCGGCGAGTAGCTCTAGGTCTTTTTGGGCTGCATTGATCCAGAGTTTCCCGAGATTCTGGCTCATTGCTTGACGAAATATCAGAGAGATGTTCCGAGTTGCTGTTCTGTTCTTCGGCGGGGGTATGGGGCGAGAAGATTGGGTGCTCCGGTGCACTCTTCCAGGGAGTCGTTATCCAGCGCCAAATGCTCAAGGGACAACGACGTAGGTACCTGTCACTGATGTTAGCCTCTCTGTCTGGGGCTCGAATCAGGAAGCAATAGGAAGGTAAATTGCAACCTGGATGGAAAGAGGCTTTGCAAAACGACCTGACATGCTTTCTCTGAACTTACGGCACGTAAAGGCTCCAGTAAAAGGCCACAAGGATGTCATCCAGATAACCAATGAGTCTCTTGATAACTCTGCAGAGTACCATGAAGCGTACGACCTCCCAAAGGAAGTCTCGCGTCACACCAAGGACACGATCGTCGGGTTCCAACATCACCCAGTTATCATTGATCCCCAGTCTGCCTACCGGGTCGTTCGTAAATCGAGGGGTGCTATGTCATGTCATTTGATAAGTATTGTGCAGGCCACTGAAATACTGACTGATGGCTCTCCAACGATTCGCAGGAAAGGAACCCTTCAAAACTTACTGGAGTCTATACGACCATCCCAACATGTAGGCTTGGAATGCACTCAGACAGAAGAGGATGAGCTGCTTGGTGTTCATGATGGATAAGGCTCTCTTGTAGTTGGGAAGTTGACAAGATGAGGTTTTATCTTGAGGGTGCCCTTGTGTTTGACTTTAAATGTACCTGTACATGTGAAGAGTAATGAGGTACATGCATCCAAACAGATGTTGCCATCATGAGCTACCTTACATATGGTCAAACATATGACTCTACTGTAGAATTTATGTTTTCTTCACCCATATGCCCAGAATCTCATGAAGAGGTCAAAATTTAGTTATGGATGCCCACTCGCGTTGAATGTTTGGGATTAAGTTTTGAGCCGCATGGCTTGGCAGGCTAAAAGTCCTACATACTCCTGAATTCTCGGGTGCAGCCCTGGAGCAAATGCTCGAGCCTGTAACTCTAGCTTAAGTTTCAAGGCCTGATATACAATTTCTCAAAGAAAATTGATCCAGGGTGATATGGCTTCTCTGAAAGATGATCCGTTGTTAGATTTATATTTTAGGTGAAGCACGTACTAAAGCAAAGGTCTACCTAGGTAGGTAAGAGGTAATCGAGTGTTTGAGCACATCTTCTGGCTTTCCAAATTCTAATATTTGGCCGACATCCATGGGTAGGCATATATTGCCTATCTAGTACTAGGCAGGCATGATATTACCTAGTATCTTCAAAGTTGTGCGTCGGCGCGTCCTTTACTCTACAGTAGTCATGAATTCATGAAGTGCATTGAGTTCCAAGGTTTACACCAAGATCACTGGCATCAGGAAATGAAAATCCACTACTTGTGCTTGATTCCAAATGTAATCAATTTCATTGGGATTACACAAAATAATTGAATATATGGTCAAAGGGCAGCAAAAGAGCCCACCCCGAAGCAAAAGATGCAAGTATCTCCATAGTTTCCAAGGTTTGAGCCATGATGTACGTTTGCATGGGTCCGAGGATCTTAGTGTTGTGGAGAAGGTGCTGTGGATCTTCACCAATAGCATGGCAAATGCTACAACTGGCACTTCCAGTCAGTCCACTAGGGGAGCTTTGCATTGAAGAAGCACCAAGGTTTGGTAGCATATTCACTCAGTGTACACCTAAAGCAAATACATCCGTGGGTAGACGAAAAGCCTGCGTGAGACACTGGTCAGAGAGCAGGCCTGGGACTTGGTTGAGAAATCTCGGGACACAGGCAAAGCTGACCTCGAGAGGTTCAGCTCTGAAGAGATAGATGGAAGAAGATCACTTATGCCGGTTTTTTCCCGAGTGTTTGCGTAGAAAGCTTATGAAGGTTCGCAGAGTTTCTTGACATGCAAGCTCGATAGTAAAGGTTCCAAGGTTTGCAAAACAGGAACGAGAACGACTTCATGAGACTGCGCAGGTGGTCATCAATAAGTGAACTGGGTCTGTACCTAATCAGAATGGTCAAGATCCTCGATATCGCCAAGTTAGATGACGGCCAACGCTCTGACCCGGATCGTGCTAATTTGCACTCCAACTGTCGCGATTGACCAGTCCTCTTTTCCAAATGTGTAGAGCAATGTATTATTGTCCTAATGCTTCAAGATCAAGAGTGATAGTTGCGCAACAAATATTGATACTGGGCAGATGACATATATCTGAATGCCTCTGAGCTCCCACCAAATCCACAACCGTATCCCTTTCTTCTCTGCTTCCAAGGTTCTCGCCTTCTCAAAGTTTCGAACCTGCCCGGCGGTAGCTCTCATAATATACTGAATAGATTGTTTATTTCTGACTGAAGCAAAGTCCAAGAAGACGCGAGTCCGACCTCAGGAGTGTATTACAGTACGCAAATGAAAAGCCCTGGAGCCACGCAACCTCAGAATATCAGATAGAGACCAATGTCAGCGTCAATGTCAATGCCAGGCTAATACGTTGTACAATACGAAAGAGCTCTAGAACTTTTATGTCCATTTCATCATAACTGAAAACGCCGCGCCCATAAGATGCGACTTCGTAAAGATCGACCCCGTCGACCCGTTTCGTCTTCAACAGTCTAGACTCATCACCCCAGGATTTCTGCACAGAACAGAAAAGATCAGCTCTCGCAAGCTTTCCAATATAACGGTCTTTATATGAGACCAGCCATGTCGGATGGACCATCTGCTCGGGACAGACCGGCCCCAAAACCAATGGACAGAGGTGATCGATTCGTTGATCCGTGAGCCCTTGGTGGAACATGAAAGTCTCGCGGAAAAAAAACGTAAAAAACGGTAAAAAGAAATTGGGAAATTGGCGGAAGAGGGGTGGTAGCAGGGAAGAAGATCAGCCAAAAATAGGAACATCGGGAGGAATGAGATAGGAGGTGAACGTTGGACGTATAATCGACGTTCCCTTGATGATGGTGTTCCTCCCGCGTGTCGTCACATTATGCATCAGGGTTAGGTGTAAGAAGCCGTTCATGCGCGCGTCTCCTCGGTGCGCTCCTGGCGGCGGCCGCCCTGGTTGTTGCCCTTGCCACCGCGCTGGTTGCGCTGGCCCTCGCCAGTAGCGGCACCTTCGCCGCCACCAAGGGTCAGCTGGGCGGTTGCTAGTCGGGTAGAAAGTTCCATCTGTGTGCGAACGGTGTTGGCAAGGTAAGAAACGACAAGAACGTCCTGGATGTGGTTGTTGCTGTGGAATGTTAGCGAGAAACAACATGGATGGATGAATTGCATGGGACACATACAAGTCGCGCTCAATGTCAGCGGGCTCGACCTTGGGGGCAAGAGCAAGAGCGTTGAGGAGGAACTGGCCCATGGCGGTGGAAGCGGGGGTCTCCTCGTCGATGACGGACTCAACGTAGCGGGAAACGCGGTCGATCATGGAGATAACCTCCTCGACGGCGCGTTCCAGAGAATCGATGTCGGAAGTGATGGTGGCGGAGCGGTCCTCAGCATCCTTGGCATTGGCGATAGACTCGAGACCGCTCTTGTCGGCCTCAGCGTAGCGGAGCTCGTAGGGGACGGGAATGAAGGCAGCACTGTCGGCGGCGCGCTCAGCGGTGACACCCACGGGGGCGGAAATATAAGCCCGGGTCTCGAGGTCCTTGCCGGCCTCAGTGGAGACAGTCAGGTGGACAGCGGGGTGAGGCCATGTGCCATCGCCCTGGCCGCTGTAGAAGTTCTGGATGAGGGCGGAGAAGGTGTTGAGCTCGGAGGCAGTGGCGTACCAGCCAACCAAGACTTCGCGGGGGTTGGCCTTCAGGTGGAGAGCGAGCATCTGCTTGTGGTATTCCATATCGACTTCGACCTGGTCCTCAGCCTCAGAGTGGCCGACAGCGAAGGCGGATCGGACCTCAACCTCGCTTCCATCCTCGGATCGTGTTCCCAGCAGTGTACCGATGACGCGCTCCTGATCGGCATTGCGGCGGAGGGAGTGGTCGAGAACGGAGAAAATGGCCTAAAAATGTATGAGCTTTACCCCTCAGATCATAGGACACCTGTACATACCTGGGGTTGGATGACAACGTTAAGAGGGGCAGTGGTGGGCGCGGTTCCCACACTGACGGGGCCCAGAGGGCGAGCAAGGTGGAGGAAAGAATCTTCAGCCATGTTTAATCGTTGATGGAAATCTTGAAGGTTCAAATCCCCAAACTCGACAGGCTTCTCTCGGAGGTTCAATTTTTCCTTGGAGTGGAGTGAGCCGTGATTGTTCCGATTCTGCTTTGTGTGGGAAATTTCGCGCTAAGATAAGAGATAAGAGGAAATTCTCATTTGGCCGACAGCTTCGAGCCCTTTTGGTCCCTGCAATCTCTCACAACATGCCTCCTCCACGCGGTGGTTCTTTCAGAAGTCGCGGACCTGGTGGTCGTGGTGGCCGAGGTGGTCGCGGTCGCGGTCGTGGCCGCGGTGGAAGTCGTGGTGGCCGCTTCGCCACTTCGCGATTGAACGAAGCCGAGTGAGTGCTAGTGCTCCTTTGCAAATCGAGATCCTCTTAGCTAATTCATATAAGATCAGACGATTCTTCCGGAGATGATTCAGCCAGCGAGCTGTCACAAGAGGAATCTGGTGATGACGTCTCTATGGACGACGGGTCCTCCAGCAGCGAGGAAGAGGAGGAAACGACAGAACGCCCATACAACGAACTTCTTCAATTACTTCAACCAGCAGAGTCCAGTGGACCCGCTCGGAAGAAGCGCAAGGTTGCGACCGATACCAATGAAGAAATTCAAATGGCCGACACTGCAGAAGACCCGGAGCCAAGTGGAGATAACGACTTGGAAGCTCAGGCTCCGTCCGATGACGAAGAAGAGCAAGAAGACGATGACGATGAAGATCCAACTGGTCCCTTCGAAAGACACTTCGTTCAGCCCGAGAGCACAGAATTGGTAAAGCAGGCCAACGCCATCCAGTCCAACAAATGGACCTCCACCAAGAAAGAGATAGATGGGCTACGACTCGTGCAGAGTGTTCCCGATACAGGTGCGGACAAGGCAACATTGCTTCCACAAATGAAAAACACCAATGGCTTAAAGGTATGTTAAACATATACCAATTCAACTATCGACCATGACTAACACCCATATGTGCAGTTGAAACAAAAGATCAAGGCTCGCGCCGCAGAGTACCTGCCTAAAATCAATGGCCAAGCTCAGATTATTGCTCCCTATGTTTTCGACTATCAAGACGTTCTCTACGGCGCTCGATCTCCTTCAAATGTACAGGAGATGCGCGACATCCTTGCCGTGCACGCAGTCAACCATCTCCTCAAGACTCGTGACCAAGTTCTCAAGAACAGTGCTCGTCTTGCTAAGGACCCAGATACTGACATCGAGTGTCGTGACCAGGGATTCACTCGGCCCAAGGTTCTTTATATCTTGCCCACAAGGCAGTCTTGTGTGAAGGTTCTCGAAGCAATCACTCGGATCTATCAGCCTGAGCAACAAGAGAACAAGAAGCGATTTACAGACGGATTCTCGGCACCGGATGACGAATCATGGGAGCACAAGACGGAAGATTTCCGAGAGCTGTTTGGTGGCAACGACGACGACATGTTCCGCATCGGTCTCAAGTTCACTCGCAAGACCGTCAAGTATTTTGCGCAATTTTACAGCTCCGATATCATCTTAGCAAGCCCTCTGGGTCTACGCACAATTATGGATCAATCCGATGCCAAGAAGCGCGACCATGATTTCCTTTCCTCAATCGAACTGGTTGTGGTCGACCACGCCGACGCCCTGCTGATGCAAAACTGGGACCACGTCGATCAAATTTTCCAGCATCTCAACTTGCAGCCCAAAGAAGCCCACGGTTGCGACTTCAGTCGCGTTCGTAACTGGTACTTAGACAACCAGGCTCGCCATGTGCGCCAGACCGTGGTCTTGTCATCCTGCGTCACGCCAGAGATCAATGCCCTCTTCTCCAACCAGATGCAGAACGCCTCCGGTCGTCTCAAAGCAACTCCAACCTACGCAGGTGCCATCACCGAACTCCCGCTCCCAGTCTCTGTGAAACAAACCTTCACTCGCATCGACAGTCTGTCGCCAATGAAAGACCCCGATGCGCGCTTCAAGCATTTCACAACCGCAGTCCTCTCATCCATTGTGAAGAACATCACCCATGGACGTGGTAAGGGCGCAACCGGAACTCTCATCTTCATCCCCTCTTACCTCGATTTCGTCCGCGTGCGCAACCATTTCTCCACTTCTACGCAAACGACCAACGTCTCATTTGGCGCTGTTTCCGAGTATACGGAGCCCAAAGAAGCCAATCGAGCCCGCAGTCACTTCTTATCGGGTCGTCATTCGGTCTTACTGTACACCGAGCGTGCGCACCATTTCCGACGCTATCAAATTCGCGGCGTCAAGCGCGTTGTCATGTACGGGCTGCCGGAAAATGCGCAGTTCTACCGTGAGATTGTTGGATATCTGGGTCTTGATCCGGCTGAATTGGTTGATGCTGCCGAAGGCGGTGTTCGTGCTCTTTTCTCCAAGTGGGATGCCTTGAAGCTGGAGCGTGTTGTGGGTACATCTCGGACCGGAAATATGTTGCGTGAGAAGGGTGGTGATACCTTTACTTTTGTATAAGCTGTCGATGTCCGAGTGGGCATGCATATATTTATTTTCATAATGTTTCAAACACAAGCATCACAACTACTCCGAGGTCGTGACCTAGTAGACTTCCAAGGTTCCAACATTGGGAGGTTTAAGGACCAGTGCCCAAATCCAAGGCTGCCTAGGTAACGAGACACGTCGCCGCGAAATTGAAAATAACAGAGCCTATCCTCGAATCGCCTGATGCTGGGGTATCGAATATATGGAGCTACTCGGTACGAGAATCAGCTGTTTCTCTGATGCCCACGGGTGATGTTGTCTTTTCATCTTCCAGATCAAACCTACTTTCACTTTTTCTCCTGTCACCGTACCTAAGTACTTACTCACCTGCAATTACCAATCCCAACAACCACTTGGGCAAGCCCTTAACTCCCGAGGTCTTTTTCTGATTTCCTTCAACCATGCCGGCGAAGAAGAACTCCAAGCCAGACTCGGACTCTGATGACTCAATTCCCGAGCGACCCGTCTTCAAGCTCGCAACTAGAGTCAAGGTGACCTCCACCGAGCCATACACCGACGCGTACTCGTTCGAGCTTGGTATTCACTATGCCGGAGAGAGCGGAAGCATCGCAGTAAGTTACAGAGATTCCCAGTGTGCAGTACCTCTATGAGACGACCTGCATCTAGCACGCCCTTCGTCATATCCAACTACCCTTGAGGACCAGCAGATCCCGCTGACATAGTTGTGGTGCATAGCTCCGAGGCACATTCGACTTGAAACCCGAGATGATCGTCCAAGTTAGCAGCCTGTCGTTCTATGGCGAGGAGATTGGCGCATTCGAAGGCAACATCACCGACCCACCGTTCCGCTTTGAGCACGATGTCGATCTGGAAAAAGTGAAAGGCGTTGTGCGTTTTTTCATCGATCAAACCGAGTCGTTGGTATTCGGCATTGATGTCAAGAAGATCGACGGCAAGCACCTGCGCACGATGAAGAGAGTCGCGTATATTCACCAGGAATCATGCATTTTCTGATCTCAGTCGTCATCCGTCCTGATGGAAAAGGCTTTCTCGCACGCAACCTTCCGGTACAGCCTGCCTGATCCTTTTGCGTCCCAGTACTAAAGAATCGTCGTTTATCTGCTATTCATATTCCAAGGTTCATGTTTCAAAAAAAAAAAAAAAAAAAGAATATCACAAGACAAGTTCCCAGTGCCAATTCCATCTGCTCTTAAAAGTTCATGGCGCTTCCAGTGTTATAGACCAACTAGATTCTTAGGGTCGAGGTAATTCCTGGCAAAAAAGGCGGTCTAATTCTGCCTTGAACAAGAGTTATAATGACCTTTAAGGTATGCCCTTTCGCCCTTCGGGGCATTTGGTCAAATGAAAATATACAGAGAAGATTAGCATGGCCCCTGCACTAAGGATGACACGCTCAATCAAAGAGAAGCTACCAGTTTTTTTTTTCCCTTACAGAAGCAGATTGAGGCTATTCACGAATAGCCTCCCAAATGGGTGGAGAACCTGATGCCCCGCTCAATATTTCCTGATTGGGTGATGTAATCACGTGCCCCACTGTCGTGGGTCTGAGGTTCGAAACCCACCAACCGCGACTTCAAATTCAGCGGGATCCACGAAGCTAACTTCAGCCCCACTGCTTAGGGCCCGCATATGTCGACCTCAAAGACCTTATCTGCGTGTGCGACGGAGTACTCCGTACAGTATCCATGGATGAGTACAAGCACAGTAGTTTACTAGTACTGGTAAAGTGCTAAAGATGGTGGATAGTTATCGAAATATTGTTACAGCCAACGAAGGGGTGAATTGCCCATTTTGAAGGTATACTACATACAGTACTGACCCAGGTCCATGGGTCCACTGTATGTATCCTCGATTGAATTATCAGCAGCCCTTGAAAATTTCTCGCATTTCTATCCGATTTTGACAACCTAGTTGTCAACAACGAGTTGAAGACCCGTGACCCGGGTTGCAAAGCCCGGGAGCGGCATCAAATGATAACCGTGATCGGCTCCCGCCGTTTCAAATTCCAGAAGCCACCAGTAATGCAGGCATTCACAAGCAGAGTCCGAGGCCCGGTAGAAGGTCGACACCAAGAGAGCACAAAACCCTTAACAACTTCCCAGAATTGACTGGGACCCTTTTCGCGACCGATGATGTATTCCACTGCGCTTTGGAGCTCGTCGTACTGCAGTATTTCGGTTCCGTGGTTTTCCTCTGCACGACCAAAGACATGAAGGCGTGGGGGGTTTTCCCAGAGTTCATTCAAGAGCCAGTAGCAACCAATGCAGGAATCAAGATGTCCGTAAGGTGGAGTATGCGTGATGAGGATGTCGACGGCTTGAGGGATCTTCTCACACCAAAAGTAGTCATCGCGCCGATATTGGAACCCCAGATTTCCGTCCCGAATTGGTGAATTTGGACTTCCCCAGACACGGAGCCGTCTCCCATTTGGAGCTGTTATGGTGGTGCCGCTGTTTTCCAGGTACACAATGTCGCCCCAGTCGATTTTGTCACAGTCTCCACGATCCCAACCGCGACCTTTGCCTTTGGCGCGGTCCAGAAGCTGGTCATTCATACCGCCAACGACAATTTTGATGGGATGAGGCTGTTCATTGAGCCAGTCCAAGGTCTTTTGAAAGAAGGCGAGTGATCCATCAGGGGTAAGGTCACCTGCATGGATGAGGACATCCCCTTCTGGTATTTTGGGGCTCTGATAGTAAGTGTTTGAGATGCAGATGACAGAGACAGGCTTTTTTGGTGGTTGAGGTAGAACGATTCGGCGATACTTATAAAGCTTGAGTGCGAGAAAGAGGAATGGTTGTCGTTTGAATCGTTGCCAGGCGCTCGGCTCTCGCGGTACGATGAACGTGACATTGGGGTCCTCTGTTATCGCATATGGGTCCCATGAGTTCATGTTGATGACCCGAATGTTTTTCTTGGATGCTGGTGCGCGAAGATGAGGAAGGATGAGGAGAAGCGAGAAAGAAAAGCGGAAGAAGAGGAAGAAGAGGAAGAAGAGGAAGAAGAGGAAGAAGAGGAAGAAGAGGAAGAAGAGGAAGAAGACAGAAGACAGGAAGCGACCTTGAGCTAGAGCGATGAAACAAAATCTTCGGTTAACCTTGATCTTCAAATGTCAACACGCTCATTCTTCTCTCACTAAGCTTCGCCACCAAGGCTTTGATACTTAAGGAACCGATCAGAGTGTCCCTTTGGCAACCCCTACCTAATACACTTGTCACCAACACTGATACGCCTTAGATCATCGTTTAAACCCACAAGACTGACCCAGAATTTCATAGAGCCGACGGTACCCGGAGCAATGGACACCTTATCCCCGAATCTTCGAAGTTGAATCCACAGCCGCCTATCAACTTAGAGCCGATCGTCACACATCCGAGTAGTTTGTGCATTGATATATGGCAATAGTATCACAAGCCCCATCAGTGCTCATTTCCTATGAGTCTTGATCTAAGAGGGTGTATCAGGGTCAGCCTCTCGACCAACGGGTCTGTCCGTCGGGGTTCATGCATTGCCTACGCCATCTCATGCAAGACACAGCTCGAATGAATTGCTATTGAGCCCGCGAGAAGAAAAAAGTGAGGTCTCGTGATTTATGCACGCGTTCCCTAAATTCATTGATGAGAAGGAGACTTTTTCGGTCGAAGGACTCGGGAACATCGCTGTTCATTAGGGCTGTTGTCTCGTATAGATCGCGGCTACGCTGATTGGACACTCCGGATGTGGAGCCACAAAAAGAGAACTTCGGCCCCGGGAGCTCACAGCTTAACCTCTCTCTGTCGCGAAATTCTGCCTGTGTGGTCATTCAGGAGAAGATTGGAGGTAATCCTGTCGAAATCTGGTAAAATTGCAGCTGTCAGCCGTGAACTGGAATGGCACCTCAACGCGAAACGGGAGGAATGTCCGATCTCACCATCTCGGACATTCATTCCTTGAAGAGGGACGGGGCACTGGATATCCTTGCCAAGATTTCACGCGTCGAGAAAAAAACCTTCCCCACTAATGAAGCATTCCCGTTCGGCGAAGAATTATGGAGGAAAAAGCCCAACACGCGGGTTCTGTACGCGACTCGAGCCAAGGGATCGCAGTCAGATCTGATCGCCTACGCGGTCTATGTCCGACAGAAAGGCGTCGCGCTCTTGCACAAGGTCTGTGTCACAGAAGCTAACCGCCGTCAAGGTGTGGGCCAGGAGGTGCTGTCCTACATTCAGCAGCGCCTACGAAAGGAGGGCTGCCAGTACATCCAACTCTGGGTAGATGAGGCCAGGGAGCCTGCACGAGCCTTGTATCTTCGCAGTGGGTTCGAGGAGCGCGAAGTAATCCCTGATTACTATGCCCCTGGACGGACAGGCATCAAAATGGTCCTGGATTTAGAACGTGGTGCTTGAGCCACACCCGTTAATGTACACCCCACGGGCCTCTTCACTTCCGCTCACCTTTAAAAATGTTCCTTGCCTGATTTGGCCCTTGAGGATGGGCCGGAGGGGCAAGAAATCATGCCTGTGGTTGGGCGCGTCTGTGCTCCTTGGCTACCGCAGGAGATCACCCCTTGCATAGACCCGGGCATATTCGAAACGTGAGCCTAATGTGGGCGATTGCACCTGCGCCTGGGTCGAATCCCCACTGTAGTTCTGCTACATACTTCGGTGACGTCTAAAATATCCAGGCATGGCTTTTCAGAAAGGGTATGCCCTGAATGTGTCCCTGTATCAAGTGTCCCTTTGGGGCGAGTGCCAGGGACGCAAACCTTTTTCGGATGACTATGAGCCGTACTCTTTCAATTTTGTCTGGGCTTTTCCTTCTTTCATCTTCACTACTCTCACCATTCCTTCCGAGATTGAAGCTTTGTTGGCGATCGGATGAGCCAGCTGTGTCTACCCAGCTTTACACGGTCCCAGTGTGCTCTTCCTCGACCAACCATGGCGTCCTTTCTCACCATCCTGGCTGTTATTTCGATTGCCAACGCAGCAGCTCTAACAGCCAATTACCCCATAAACGCGCAGCTGCCACCAGTTGCGCGCGTCTCAGAGCCTTTCCGATTCTCCTTTGATCAAAGCACATTTTCCAACAGTGACAATGAAACCGAATACTCACTATCGGATGCGCCATCGTGGCTTAAAGTCAACAGCAGTACTCGCACTCTGTCAGGGACTCCTCGCGAAGACGACAGTGGTGCACCAAAGTTCAAACTCGAGGCGTCCAACGGATCAGAAAAAGATAGCATGGAAGTTACTTTGATTGTGACTGCAGACCAGGGACCTACGGTACATAAACCGCTCGTTTCTCAGTTGCAGTCAATGGGACCGGTTTCGTATCCTTCGACGCTGTTCGTTCATCCAGGTCAGCCATTTTCTATCGAGTTCGACCCCGATACTTTTGAAAACACCCATCCTTCCACGATTTACTACGGAACCTCGCCAAACAATACCCCGCTACCTTCCTGGATTGGGTTCGATCCGGCAGCGCTGAAATTCTCTGGAACTACCCCTCCTTTTGGTGGCTCGGGATCCCAGACATTCACTTTCCAGCTTGTGGCATCTGATGTATCTGGGTATAGCGCTGCCAACATGACTTTCCAACTGACTATCGGTCCCCATATTCTGGCGTTCAACGAGACCGTGCAATCTTTGAATCTTACTAGAGGGGACAAGTTCAGTAGTCCCAGCTTCAGCAGCCTACTGTCCACAGATGGGTCGCCCACTTCAAGCAAGGATTTGGAAAAAGTGGAGGCAGACCTGCCGAGTTGGCTGAAGCTTGATAAGGGGAACATCTCGCTCAGTGGAACTCCTCCTAACGACGCCGTGAATGAGAACATCACCATTGCTGTGTCCAACTCCTATGGAAACGAAGCAAAGCTTATGGTTCGTCTGGAATTCATGAAGTTATTCCTCAACACCGTTGATGGCTGCGAGGCTGCTATTGGCAAGGAATTCAAATTCATCTTCAACCAGACCATTGTGACCGATGACTCTGTGCAACTCGATGTTGATTTGGATAGCGAGCTTTCTTGGCTTACATACTTCCCTGAGAACAAGACGCTGTACGGACGTGTTCCAGACGATATGCACCCTAAGAAATTCACACTCCCCCTCACTGCGCACCAAGGGTCAACCACGGACACAAGGGACTTCATTCTTGACGTTCTGAAAGCTTCGGACACACATGAAAATCCCACAGATCCTTTCACTCACGACGAGTCGAGCTCCAGCCCTAACCATAAAAAGGCTGGCATCATCGCAATCTCCGTCGTGCTACCGGTCGTGGTGATTTTCAGTGCTCTCATTCTGTTCTGCTGCTGGCGTCGTCGGAAGAACCCCCCAGTAGCTGAAGAGGAATCTTCGAATATGAAGCCTGCTCCCCCGCGCCCCATCAGGCCAGATACTATGCCCAACTGTGGGCCAGAAATGAGCGAAAGGAATTCTCGAGATGATGAGTCGGAAGACTGGAGAAGTCCAATTTCCCCTACATCAGATCTTCCCAAGCTTGAACTTGGACCAGCATGGAACGTTTCACCTTTCGATAAACAGGAGCACCCTGTCACTTTCGATATGCCCGAGCCTGTCATCCCCCCTCGCTCCCCTGCTCGCCAATCTCCCACTCGAAGTGGTTTCGTTCCATTCCGGGATACTGTGATTGAAGAAGATAAGCCTGTTGAAACCACACCATCCAAGAGAATGAGCAATCGTCTATCATCCACAACTAGCCCTATGTGCCGACGCACCACCAACCGATCACGACGAGAGCCATTGAAAACCATCCAGCCGCGCGCAATGAAGCGCGAGTCCGTGCAGTCCTCCAAATCAAAACGCTACTCCAAGCGCTCGAGCGGCATCTCCTCTATCGCTTCTGGCCTCCCGGTGCGATTCAGTGGCGCAGGTCACGGCGCCGGTGGATTCGGTCCCCCCGGTCACGGCATCGTGCAGACATCATGGCAAAACCCACGACAATCGTTGATGAGCGACGAATCCAGTCTCACCAACATGGCACCAATGTTCCCCCGGCCCCCAGCAGCAGCACGGATGCGCCACAGCATGGCCTACAGCATGGCATCCAGCATCCCAGATAACTACAAACGCATGACACTACGAACAGTCGAGCCCGACGAATCTACAATCTCGGAAGCCGACTCCCTGGAGGCCTTTGTGCACAGCCGTGCCAAACACCGCAACTCTGCAAACCCTCTCTTCTCCGCCCAAATCAGCCGCCGCACCTCCTCCGCCCTCCGCCCTCTCAACCGCAACCAAAGTACCCGCAGTCGTGCCGACACGGTTTCCGGCTCGACCTTCAGTGACGAATACCGCCGATCCATCCACGATCGTCCAATGTCAAATGCTTTCTCGGTCTCTGAATACGGCGACGATAACAACCGCTTCTCCCACTATCAAAATATGCAGCCCCCTGGACTCTTCCCCCTGACCGAGAACAGTGTCAATGGCGCGAGTCAATTGAGCCTGGCACAGGAATACCGCGGTGCCATCTCCCCGATCCCCCGCTTCTGGAGCGAGAACAGTCTGGCCAGTGCCCCACAGCTGGAATCACGAACTAAGTTTAATGATGAAAACGCGGTGCCGCAGAGCTCGTCTATGATCTCGGACTTGGATGAACATCTGAACCGCAAGGCCGCTCCCTCGACCAAACCCAATCACCAGTGGCGATTCTCGCCTCTTGAGCCTCCACCACCCGTGAAGAGTTCCAGCAATCGGGGTCTTCCTATAGCGAGCAGTGGAGAGCTAGCATTTGTTTAGATTTTGCATTTTCACCACCCACTCCCCCTCTTTGTGTTTACTCTTTTTTTTTGTCTTATTTCGGAGTTGGGCATTGCGAACATGATATCCATTGGCTTCTTATGGTTGATTGGTTAGAAGCTTATAGTTATAGTCGAATTGAATAATAATGAGCACTTTGCTGCAGAAACCGGTTTTCGTTCGGACTTCGCCTTGGAAGCTTCCTAGTCTCAACTGCAGTGGTGAGGCGTCAGGTTGTGGCGGGAACATACCGACTAGCAATTTCAATGTGAAGCGATCGTAGGCCTCAGACTCGATACCGGATGCCCAGGTAAGACCATGATGAAGTAGAGTGTTTGCCAGCACCTTTCAGAACTGAGGACCTCGTCAGCGGCGGATACCACGGGCTTGGCGCGATCTCGGAGCAGTGTAGGTGCTGACTGGTGCTGACTGGGGGCTTAGGCAGCTGCCTGACAGGCTAAGCCTAAGAGCCTAAGAGAGTCGTTTTCGACAGGTCGCATAACAAAGCTCAGGAGGTGCAGCTTGCGAAGTCAATGCAGAGTCAACCCCGATCTCCCCTCTCACGTGACTCTATACCAGCAGCAAAAGCGGTAAAAAATCTCTGCCTCTTGAGTTTTTGAGGGGATCTTGAGACTTATTCTTCGATTTCGCCTGTTCTATTCCATTCTGCCATATATCTATAAGCGAGACCTGTCTCCGATTGAGGTTATCCCAGTTCGACTTATCGTCATCTTCGTTTCCCACTTATCGCGGGACCCAGACGCGCTGAAAGCCCTGCTCATCTGACCCTTTCTCTCTGCTCTCCTCACCCTTCCTCCCAACAATTTCTCCCTCTTCCCCCCGAATCATTTAATCTTTGTCAATATGGGTCAAACCCTGTCGGAGCCGGTGGTCGAAAAGGTGAGTCGCTGAACACTCGGCTTTTTTTTCGTCAATTCTCTTTGCCCCCCCACATTCGCCATTGTACATGTGGGTGTGACTCCCCTCGGCCTCCCACCCTCCGGAGATACCTTTCAGGATGCTCCCAGCCACACACCTCGCTAGCTGGTCTCCCATCAGGGCCTGCGATCGGAAGAATCTTCCTCGGTCTCCCATGCGGGGGGCCCCTGCGTTCGGTTCGAGGGGCGATGGTGGGGGAGCCGAGTTATCATAACCCAAATTACCCAAAATGGCATCGCATGTGGCCAGCTGTCCTGAATGTCCTCGGGCCAAATAGATCGATGCAAGCTAACGTGTTCTTTTCTCTTCTGGGTAGACATCGTCCGAGGGCGGGGATGACTGCTGCGTGTACGGTGTGTCGGCCATGCAGGGCTGGCGAATCAGCATGGAGGACGCCCACGCTGCAGTTCTTGACCTCCAGGCAAAGTACACCGGTGCCGACAACGAGAAACCGACCGATCCGGAACACCGTCTTGCCTTCTTCGGTGTTTATGATGGTCACGGCGGTGACAAGGTTGCTTTATTCACCGGCGAGAACCTCCACAAGATTGTTTCCCGGCAGGACGCTTTCGCCAAGGGTGATATCGAACAAGCTATGAAGGATGGTTTCCTCGCTACCGACAGGGCGATTTTGGAAGGTTTGTGGTTGTGCAATTTTGTTGTGGGCGGGGGACTGACGAGGCACAGATCCCCGTTATGAGGAAGAGGTCTCGGGCTGCACCGCCTCTACAAGTATTATCTCACAGAAGAAGATCTGGGTGGTATGTCGATTGTTCATTTTCTGGTTTCTCGAATCAGTACTGACTTGTGACTAGGCAAACGCCGGTGATTCACGATCAGTTCTCGGTGTGAAGGGCCGCGCAAAGCCCCTCTCCTTCGACCATAAGCCTCAAAATGAGGGTGAGTACCCAGTTACCCGAAATGATTACATACGATGAAATGGATCTGACAAACAACTTATTACAGGCGAGAAGGCTCGCATCAGCGCCGCCGGTGGTTTCGTCGACTTCGGCCGTGTCAATGGCAACCTCGCTCTGTCCCGCGCTATCGGTGACTTTGAATTTAAGAAGAGCGCCGAGCTTTCCCCCGAACAGCAGATCGTCACCGCATACCCCGATGTGACCGTCCACGAGCTTACTAACGACGATGAATTCCTTGTTATCGCCTGTGATGGTATGTCTTGACTCCTGCTTCCCCGGCAAGCCCGCCCGCTAACCAATCTACAGGTATCTGGGATTGCCAGTCCTCCCAGGCTGTCGTGGAGTTCGTCCGCCGCGGAATCGCCGCCAAGCAGCCCCTCGCCCGGATCTGTGAGAACATGATGGATAACTGCCTGGCCTCCAACAGCGAAACCGGTGGCGTGGGTTGTGACAACATGACTATGACCGTCATTGGCCTGCTACAAGGCAAGACCAAGGAGGAGTGGTACAACCAGATCGCAGAGCGGGTTGCGAACGGGGATGGACCTTGTGCTCCGCCCGAGTACGGCAAGTCTTCTGAGGAACCCGAAGGCATCCCCACTACTTCGTGCTGACGGCCAGTTCGTGCAGCCGAGTTCCGCGGCCCCGGGATCCGGAACCAGTTCGAGGATAACCCCGATGAATATGACATGGACGTGGACCGTACCCGTGGCTACAGTGTGCGTTCGGGCCGGATCATCCTTCTAGGCGATGGCACCGAAGTGATCCCGGATCAGAATGAAGAGGAGCTTTTTGACCAGACCGAGGAGGACCAGGACTTGACCAACCAGGTGCAGCATGAGACCAGCACCCGAGACCGCGAGGCCACCCCGGGCCCACAGGGGAAACAGGAGACTGGGACCACTCAAATATCCGAGTCCCCGGCCTCCACTGACGCTGAGAAAGAGAAGTCCGCATCGTAGACTTTTGTGCTTCTCTCTTATGAACTCAACTGCCTAGTTGCTCCCATCTTTGTTTTGTCTTATCCACGACCCTTGATTCTACGATCTATGCCCTGTTTCCCCCTCTTTGTTTGCGCTTAGTTATTTCCGGGCCCTGGTTCCGCGCCCTTCTTATTTCCTTATTTCCTTCTCGACTTGAAATGAATATTTGTCAAGAGTGAGACAGACCACATGCCCCTCGAAGATGAAAGAGATGAAAGAGCGGGCTTGGAGGCTCCAAGCACGGTTGAAAGAGACGTCCTGCAAGCCAAGAGGGGCCTCTATGAGCTTGTTTTTTCTTCTTTTTCTCTTATGCCACCAACCCACGAGATACCGCAGAAAAATGCCCGTTATTGACGAGTCCGGCTTCTCTTTTACTCGTCTGACCCTTCCACAGCCATATAACCCCGTGCGATCTGGTTGATACTATAGATGAGTATTTACCAGGGTAGATCTACCTAGTGCCAAACCCTATCAATTGCCATTCAAGTGGCTTGCACTTCAGACAAAGAGCATAAAGCGTCTTTGAACCGCAGTACGAGTACGGAGTACTAGTACGGAGTATCTCGTAACGGCGGCTTTGTTCTATTTTCGGCATGGGAAAAAGGCATTGAGGTTGCGTATCGTCTCGTACATCCGAATTCGGCCAATGTGTCTTCACGGTCGACAGGTAGTATCGAGAACGTCTGCTCCAGGGGAGAAGGGCACAGGTGAAGTCCGGAAGTAGTAAGCCAGGTACGAATCCACACGTGGTCAGAGTGTAACCGGGAGGGCGCCAAGAGCGCAATTTGCAATGCCAAGCTCGGATTTGCAATCCCCTGTATCGTAATTCGTATTGTAAGATGCTTCGTACTGCCAGCCACTGTCGTAACCGCCCCCAATTGACAGTAGCTGTACCATCCCCCCCACTCCTTTCCCCAAGAAAATTACAGTCCCCTAAAACCGGGTATCCATCATTCAGGGTTCAGCATTAAATCTCTCTCCTAATCCCTCCTTTCTCTCGGATATCCCTCTTTTATTCCCCCGGGCATCTATTTCCACATCATGTCGCCGAACACTTCTCCTGCCGCGAAGCGCAAGCGCAGCGCTTCTCACCTTCCCGCCATCAACAAGTCCGTAGCGGCCGACATTCAACCCTCCTCGCGCGACGCGTCCGGCGAAGAAGGCGGCGACGACTCAACCGGCACCCCCAATGACAATGCCCCCAGTCACCCATCCAAGCGTGTCCGGAAGAGCGTGGACGCCGCCCAGTCGAAGTCCAACGGCGCCCCCGTTTCCAAGGAAGACCCCGGCGAGCCCTCCGAGACAACCGTTGCCAGCAGCGATATCGAGGAGCCCCGGTCCAGACCCGGTCTGCACATCGACTTGCCTGAGAAGGAGCCCGAAGTTCAGATGGCCCCGCCGGTCGTCGGCCGTCTGCAGGATCCCGTCGGCTACCACACTAACCCTCCGCCAACGGGGCGCCCGGTGCGCGTCTACGCTGATGGTGTTTTCGATTTATTCCATCTTGGGTAGGTGCTCACACGACGGAACGAAAATTGACTTTCGTGTTTCATCTCAATCGCATTCGGTAATGATTACTGACGATCAATTGCGCTATTTAGTCACATGAGACAGCTCGAGCAGGCCAAGAAGGCTTTCCCCGATACGTGGCTCATCGTCGGCGTCACTGGCGATGAGGAGACACATCTGCGCAAGGGTCTGACGGTCCTCAGCGGCGCTGAGCGCGCGGAGACCATCCGTCACTGCAAGTGGGTTGACGAGGTCATCCCCTGCTGCCCCTGGATCGTTACCCCGGAGTTCCTCTCTGAGCACCAGATCGACTATGTCGCTCACGACGACCTGCCCTACGGCGCCGCCGAGGGTGACGACATCTACGCTCCCATCAAGCAGCAGGGCAAGTTCCTGGTCACCCAGCGCACAGAGGGTGTCAGCACCACTGGTATCATCACACGGTATGTCGGAACGGACCCACATCTGTTATTGGGACGCCAAGACTAATTTCCTCCAGTGTCGTCCGCGACTACGATCAGTACATTTCCCGTCAATTCAAGCGCGGTGCCTCGCGCCAAGAACTCAACGTCTCCTGGTTGAAGAAGAACGAGCTCGAGATCAAGCGCCATGTCGTCGAGCTGCGCGACAACATCCGCAACAACTGGACCATGACTGGCCAGGAGCTTGGCCGTGAACTGCGTCAGATCTGGCAGAACTCCCGTCCCAACAGCCCCGCGCCTAGTGCCCGCAACTCCATGGATTGGGGCAACAACCGTGGTCCTCTCACTAGCCCGACTGGCGGTAGCAAGAGCCACCTGTCCCGCGTTGGCGGCGACATCCCTGCCCGACCCGATAGCCCCATGGGCTCGCGCCGCAACGATGACTTTGCTACCGGATACAGCCTTGGTCTGGTCGGTGGTGTGCGCGCCTGGGTAAGTCTCAATTCCCCGGAACCGGTATCGCTCTGAGCTAACATGTTTTCAAATAGATGGCTCGCAGTCGCCAATCTCTCCAGGAACCCGCTAGTGGCATGCGGTCCCCCACTGATATGCACTCCCCCACCGATGAGGAGATCGACCCGGAGCAGAATGGCTACGAGGAGGAAGTGCGCGGTCGTGCTGGCCACGCCAACCACGCTGACCGCGTCCCTGCCCAGTAAAGCGTGAACAAAAATTTTTTACCTTTGCATATTATCGTTGCTCTTTATTCACTTTCCACTTTGCATTCGGTTCGTGTCTTATACTTTACAAATTGTGCCGTAACAGGCTGTTTTTCTTTTGTCGGGCGCCTGGCGTCCTGCACCGTCTCACATGGCTTTTGACACGGCCTGTCTGACGGTTTCCTTTTGCTGTGTGGCCTTTTTGAATCCTTTTGGTACTGGCTCCTGGGCTTGCCCGTTCCCTAATATTCCAATGAACTTGCTCCTGTTATAATGTCTTTGTCTGTGGGTTTGGCGGATGCTCTGTCATTTAGCGCTGTTGGTGAAAGCTGTGGATGGGGAGTCTTTCCGCTCCCTCGGATTTGGACTGCACATATAGATTAAGCTGCTTTTATGTTTGCGTTGGACGTCAATTGGAACCTTTTTTGCCTTGTCTTGTTGGATGTAGCTTTACGCCATAGAGTCGGACTAATTGAGTGCGGATGTTAGAAGACATAGATGCTGTCAACCACGGATGCAATCCGCACGGGGTACCCCGGATTTTGCATGTGGGCCCTTGGCTCACACCCGTGGACTTAGCTGAACTTACTTTCGCAAACAAACCAACGTCTCTTCTCTGACCTTAAACTCGACCTCGGGAGTTTCATGATAGCCCATCAAGTCGCCGGCATGTTTGTGGCAGGCGGATGCAATCATTGGGTATGGGAAGACGCGTGATGACTTACTTCATCGAAGACCGCCCAGAGACACGTCTCATGCATGATGAGGCTTGAAACACGCTTTACTTGGCCTGGTGGCGGTGTCTCATGGATATGAGAGCCAGGCTGTGTCGGCTCGAGCAGACATGGCTGGGTTATTAGCGTTGGCCCCGTGCACTTCTATGACCAATGCATTCTCCGGTATCTTCTAGCCGGTTGGAAGATCGGTGATGGCCTTCCAGGTCAATTGGGGCGCAGCTGCATGGCTCCCCGCTGTGTACATACAAAATGCCCAGACTGAGCCACCACAGCCCTCCAATCTTATGCTAACACGCAGCTTCCCCCAAGTGCCCAGGTACCTGCTTGAGGTGGCTGTACATAAGCGCTCCGATGGTACTTTTTTTGGTATATTCTTCAAAAATTCTTTTTCCATCGTCCACGTTCATTTATTCTCCCAAAACACAAACCAAGCGATCTTCCACCCCGTTGCACCCTTGCGACACAAATTGAAATCCGGGAAACATGAACTCTGGGCACGAGGGGATACGCCAAGATGACTCTGGAATGGTGCCTTTCACTGGATCTCTCCTCCGCGAGGGTACGCCTTTTCCGAGGCCCAAAGCTTGCGCCAATTTCGAGCTCAGTCGTGAAAGCTTGAACTCGAGCTATGTGGAGGGCTCTCTTAATGAGGGAAACAATGCGAGCACTTCGCTAGCTCAAATGCACAATGATGATACCCTAGCAGATGGCTATGCTTTGTCTCCATGTTTATCACTCGAGGGCTTGGACCCAGATTCCCGCATGGATTCCGGTGGTTTTTCCAATTCTTTCGATTCTTCGGCGACGGCGGCATATTATCATGGTTCCCACCAGCATTTAGCTGATGTTGCCACAAGAAATGGCCATCTTACATTTGCTGAAAGACCATCTCATGGGCCTTTCGATCTGAGTTCCAACACCAACTGTGACTTCTCCGGTCCTGGTGATTCTTCAGCCATGGTTGTCCAGGGGCATCAGTTAATCACGCCACCGAGCTCCGAGGGTTTCAAAACTGCTCAAAAGTATGCCTGCTGTTTTTGTGATGCTCCATTCAAGCGTTCAGTAAATATTTTTGTCCTCTTCAAACGACATATAAGTCAAAAACACTCGTGTTCCCAACACACCTTTCATTGTCCCGACTCAACTTGCTCCAGTGTGTTTGTCGAATCTCATTCACTCGAAAGCCATATGATGTCTCAACACCGCAGAAACATTGAAGCGGCGGAACTGAGCTCGGCTAAGAGACAAGAGCCGCATCCAAGTGCTTGCGCAGTATGTCAAGCGCCAACAAGTGACTGGGAATCCTTCTTTGACTGTTTGAGGGAACACTTCTTTGCGAGTACTAGCACAGTATCGTTGCCCTCAGTGCTGTCGCCCAGAAATGAAGATGCCGATGCCTCCCACTCTGAAATGGGGCCTGCAAGCCAAAATAAGCGAAAGCGAACAAATGAGGAGCAACTCCCAACGGAGAATCCAACTCCGAAGAAGTCTCAAGTCCAGCACTTGACTGTGCCCTGTGACACATCTCCAAAGCCTTACATCGATGCACAGCAAGAGGGATCACCTGTCTCTTTCGAGTATAGCTCTTCGGCGAGCGACTCCAAAGAGACAGACATCACTCAGCCAGACCTTATCGATGACTCGATAGACGCGGGGATCACTGGAGACAGACATCTTGATCATGTCCTAGACTCTTCTCGCTACTTTAGTGAGCTTGACCAACTCGAGCTCGCCACTGCACAGGCTCTTGGTATGGAAACCGGTCCCATTAATGTACCCACAAGTCTGGATGCCTGCATTGAGTATCTCAACAAGTGGAAATCTGCTCTCGCTCATTTGCGATCTCAGGGCTTTTGTGGCTCTTCAACGAACATTCTGGTTGAAAGAAATGGCAGAGAGAATGTTGCTGAAGCTTTTCCTGTCTCTTTGGCAAAGGTAGAGCGATTTCTCGGTGAATTTACTCACTTTGGTGGCGAAGACTCAATTCCGATGGTGAAACACTGGATTCAAAAAATGCTCAATCTGAATGAAACTCAATTTGCGAAATTGAGCATCATCGATTCTTTGACAATACTCTGTTCAATCCTATCAGTCGGGCTCCTTTCGTTTTCAGGCTCACATGTTTGCCCATTCGATGCGAACCTTTGGAATCGACAGGTGGAGAATATACCTATTGGTCTTCCTGGATACTCTTTTAGACCAAGAAAACTGGCTTGTCTTGATGAATTTATTGGTGGTCCGGCATGGGTCTTGGGGAAAACGACACCAAACAGTCTACCAGACGGAGAGACTGTGCGATACTCTCAACAAGGTATCGATGACAGGTATTTGCAACAAAACTCAGGAATGAAAGTCTCGCTCTCTGTTCAACAATTTGATGAACTATGGGGTCCCATATCATTGGTTGGTGGATTCGCAGATCATGGGCTAGCAATCCGAACTGAACGAGGTTTCATTCTTCCGCTTCCCCAGTATCAACAATCTGAGCCACCTAAATCGCATAACCGCACGATTGAGTGCCACTGGACAGCCGAGATTCCGCAACATATTTTTGAAGGATGCCCCCGCGGAGACTTTTCCGGTGTCCCAGTTTCACTCCAGCGCAGATCAAAACTTCTGATTGAAACAGACACCAACGCTGAGATCGGGCTATCAGTCAACGAAGAGTGCAAATCATCGATATCATCGATCCAGCGACAGATCGCGGGTCGCCTTCAATACCCTGGAACATGCAAAGCAAAGTACGTGAAGGATGGACTCGACTTTCAGTTCGGTGGTGGTCAATACGTCACGGGTGGACTGGTGAGAAAATACAAGCGGATGCCAAAAAGAACCCTAAGGGCAATGCTCCTCGAAGACTGCAAGAATCCCAATACCAAGCTCGTGCCGCTCCTCGGACTCCGGGTTGGGCTAGAAGTGAGCGCATGCACAGGCAATGCCCAGCGAGTGACTCTGTGGGACGCTCTCCGCCTCTCCCAAACGGGTGTCCAGGCTTCGGACAATGCTCTATACTGCGAGCACAAAATCGGCGACAGGAATTGCATCAGTACCTGCTGGACTCGGTATCATTCTAGCAACGAGATTGATTCCTTTGAAGGCCAACCGACCGATGGCAAACTACTGAGCGGGCCTCAAGCCCGACGTATCATCATCAACTCTCTGCTTGCCCTTGAGCATACAGGATTAGACAGCGAGGGAAATCTCCAAGTCGCCTGGCCATTCAGCGATATTCCCGCACACTGTCCTGTATTGCCATCCACGCCAAAAGAGGCAAATAATTGGCTCCGCGTTGTGAAGGAAACGCGTGAGACATGCAGTTTCCCCATTTTCAGTCAACGATGCCTCGAATTTCATGACCAAAGCCTCATTCGATCATGTTCTGCACCTTACATCGATGGGCATGCCAAGCCTTTGCAAACAATTCTCTCCACGCAGATTCTCACACTAGCTACAGATGGGCCTGTCATTAGGCTACTGGAGGGCGCGAGGCTTCTGGTTGGGGAAGCTCATCTGACAATAACGAAAAAAGTCCAAGGCCAAGTGGCTATCATTGCAACCGTGAGTATGAATCCTCTCAGCCCATTGCGGCTTCGGCTTCGAGGAGTATTGCCAGATGCTCCGGCGCACGGGTACAAGGAAAACATTCGGCCTGATATCTCGGTTGGTCTGTCGGTTCCGGTGTACGTTCATTAATCATAAGAAGGTTTGTTGTATATAGATTGATGGAAATGAATGTAGAAATCCATGGATGTGTTCCTGGTAATGGATCTTCACGCGATCAGCGCTATCTCAGTGCTGTTCAGCCTTCCGCAGTGACCATCTTCTTGGAGGACCTACCATATCTAGTGATGACGCTTGTGATACACTACCTAGGTAGATGTCTTGACTATCACATTTATTGATAGTCTCGGCAGGTCTGACAGGACCTTTCTCCGAGGTAAAACTTTTGGGGGTAATCCTCTCACAGCTCCATTCGCTGCGCATGGGCAATATGAAAAAGCAAGCATGTGTCCGGGGCCGGTCCGGGCTCCAGCGGCCCCGGTAGCTTGTGAGCTCAGCTTTGCAGATCGTCAAGTTCCAGGTGACTCGTGATCATGCAGTTCGCATGGCGGAAAAGAGTCCGGGGGTCGTGTGCTCCCAAGTTGCATTGAGACTATGCAGGGAGAACAATAGCGGCGAATCAGAATAGAATCAGTAGAACATCAAAATAACAGGGCAATAGGAATAGAAAGCCGCCATCGCGAATGGAACACTAGAAAAGTACCAGGCGCCAAATGGTTAGCGGTCAAGGGAGGTCCACTTTCTGTCGGGAAAATCTCTTTTGGTCACTTCACTACTCTTCACTTCCCCTTGGGCTGGGGATATAAGACTGTTCTTTATCTGCTCGTAGGTTACGAGTAACGAGCAACCAGCAGCCTATCTCTCAGGGCTACGTGGGACAACGTGCGCCAAGATGTCACCAAACCGATCGTCCCCCGCAAAGTCCCCACAGACTGATTTCTCCAACGAGTCAACGATCAACGACAGCGTTGATCCAAGTGCTTACCGCGATCACCCAGATGCGCCCTTACCAGCTGGGGAGTCGCAAGGATCTGAAGACTTAAATCAACATCACCCTCAAAGTGAAGAATCTATTTACCGATGTGAAAGTGGTAGTGTGGCCGAGGTCCCGACTGTGCTTGCGCAGTCAGAGCCCCGGCCTATCGATGACGATTATGAAGATGACGTTACTGCAGCCTCAAGGCCCCGCCGTGCATGGCAAGTCTTGTGGCTGCGCAACAAGGGAATGGCGCTTGTCTTGCTGGCGCAGATGTTCGGGGCGTCTATGAATGTGATGACGCAAATCCTGGAAATCCACAGTGCCATGCATCCGTTTCAGGTAAGATCATAAGAAAACAGAATGGACGGGAAAATGTTGAACTGGGGTTTTTATTTACATTTGCGAATGCAATTGTTCTTGATTGACGCTGATTCCAACATCCGTCCCCCTCACCTCGCCCTACTATGAAAATTACTAACAAAATCCCAGGTCTTGTTCGCTCGCATGTCTATAACAGCAGTAGCAAGCTATCTCTACATGTGGTGGGCATCCGTCCCATCCCCATTCGGAACCCGGCCAGTGCGAATGCTTCTGCTTCTTCGCGCCACCTTCGGGTTCATGGGCGTTTACGGACTCTACTACTCTGTACAATATCTCCCGCTCTCTGAAGCAACCGTGATCACCTTCCTTGCACCCATCATGACCTGCTATGCGTGCTCACTTCTCATTCCGGGCGAAACCTTTTCACGACGCCAGCAGCTAGCCGCGCTAGTCTCGCTCGGCGGTGTGATTCTCATCGCACGACCCTTCAGCAAACGCACCCCGCAAACCGTCACCACAGCCCCGACGGCCGTTGCCGCATGGGCCATGAGTCTGTCCGCGCACGACGAGACGCCCTCAGATGCAGACTCGTACCACCACGTCATGGCGACGATCGTCGCGTTCGTGGGTGTGATCGGAGCCGCAGGAGCGTATACGTCTATCCGCATGATCGGACGACGAGCACACCCGCTCGTCTCGGTGACTTACTTTTCGTCTGTGACGACAATTATCTCCTTCGTCGCAATGGCGACTATGCCCTGGGTGCCATTCCGTTTGCCAAACTCGGCCATCGAGTGGACCTTGTTGACCGGCTTGGGCGTGTGTGGCTTCATGCTTCAATTCCTGCTCACGGCGGGATTGTCATATGTTCCTCCTGCGTCGGTGTCGAGTGGTAAGCCCGGGAACCAGGGGACCAAGGCTACTTCGATGGTTTATATGCAGATGCTGTTTGCGCTATTTTACGACAAAGTTGTTTGGGGGAGTACGCTGAGCCCAATCAGTTGGGCTGGGTCGGCGCTGATCCTTGCCTGCGCCATTTATGTTGCCGTTGCGCAGGAGACTGCTCCCGCTCAAAGGGTCGAGGCTCCTGTTGAGGAATATCGGGATGATGAGGGCTACAAGGATGTTAATGATGAAGAGAGGGCTGCATAGATTGGACATTCGATTGCATCTATACAATTTGTACAATTTGGCGTTTTCTTTTCTTTTTGTTCTGTCCAAGATACGACTGTCCATGACCGAAGGAGCACTAGATGAATCAATGCCACATTTTCATGTTTGTAACTCGACCATCGCCAAATCGCCAATGCACACCGACGTCATTGGGTTGCAGCCTCCGGAGTTGGAAATGTCTAGTTAGTAGCAGTTGACCGTTAGTGGAGATGGACGACCCAGTTTTTTCCCCACGTTCTCTTCTTTGCGTTTTCCCTTCACTCTCAACATGCGCCATTTCGATACCTGGGTCCTCCGCGACCCCTACTCTATCTGGCACTATTATCCAACCGGTCATCGCTGGCGCGACACTGTCCGAGACCTGATTCACTCTCGTGCCATCTGCTCCCCAGAAACCCCCAGCAGTCCCACCCCCATAAACCCATCGATACACACCCAATCCCAATCCCCACTCCTCCGACTCCCCGCCGAACTCCGCCAAATGATATGGTCCTACGTTCTCACCAACGACGCCACTCCCACAATCCCAACTCCCCAAACTCTCCACCTCGTCCAACTGAAAGGCAAGATCCGCCATGTCCGATGCACCTCACCAACCCCCCACAACGGATCCCAAACCCCCAATCCAGCCCTAACGCAAAACCGCCACTGCTGCCCCACCACCCCAGCCCGCTGGCGCATCTACGACGGCCGCGTCCCAGGCCACAGCGACAGATTACTCTATCCACACACGCACGAGCATCTACCCTCAACACTGAGTAACAGCAATGTCGCTCTGCTACGAGTGTGTCGGCGCATCTATGCTGAAGCCGAACATGTCCTCTACCAGGCGTCGCGATTCGATGTAGACGATCTATACACCTTCATTGCATTCAGCGAGTCCCTCTCGCCCAGTGCGCGGAACTCCATCCAGCGATTGACGGTGCAGTGGATGCCTATTTGGATTCCGATGGCGGGACTCGATCACAAGGGATCTATATATGGACATACGCACAGCGATGAGCTATGGGTTCGGTTCTGGGGGAGTGTGGCGCGATTGAGTGGATTGAAGGAGTTGGGGTTGAGTTTGGACCTGGGCCGATTTACGAGTGTGGCAAGTGGGGTGTCTGGGCAGAGAATTCCGTTTGGAATGGGAGAGGGGTGGGTGGGACCGTTGCTTGGGGTTCGAGGGTTGAGCAGCTTTGATTTGGCGGTTACGGCGAGGTGTGATCTTTTGGCGCGCGGGGTGGTGGAAAGTGAGTTGGTGAAGGAGGTTGGGGAGTTAAGGGATGGGTTGCGGGAGTTATTGTGTAGACCGAAAGAGGTTTTGGATGAGGGCTCAAAGAGGGAGAAACCGGCTAGACTGGCTATTGCTGCCCCTTGATCTTTTGTTTTCTTTTTGATACCCTATTATATAGATATTCGAGGCGTTCGTCGGTGATCGCTGCTGTCATGTCGTATTCACTTTGGCCGAGTGGTCTGAGGTGAGTAACTGGAAATCAATTCCCTAAAATCCGCAGCGGGTCTACAAGAGCTATGACATTCCTGATCGCGGTCATGTGTTTACAAGACAGACTGATCATGGACATTTGTGATCTACATACGAAAGTATAGCAAGATATACAAACCAGGAAGAGACAATGATACACCTCCAGCCCACTATTCAATCCGCATGGCCGAAGAAACATCTGGGACGCCAAATCCACTGACAACCTTGGCATCAATGATTTCATCAATGGGAATTTCGCCCAGTCGAGAAACAACATGATGGAGTGTAGGAAGAGCATCCCAGTCAAGACCGTGGATATCCACCTTGGCCTTGGAAGTACGCTGCACTCGGGTCACCTTTGAAGGAACGACCTTGGACTCAGCAGCATGAGGAACAAAGATCGGGTACTCAGCCTCAGCCTGGCCCTTGGTGTCTCTCCCAACCTTCGGAATATACCGATACACCAAGATTCCGTCATCTGCTTCACCACCAATGGTCCCTGCATCCGCAGCAGGGTCCTCATCCGTCAGATCCTCTAGTTCAAAGTGTCCCCAGACAGCACCTTGCCAGCTAGTTTGCATCCGGTACGAGTCAGCCCGCTGATGAACGTCGATGGCAGTGTACAGCTTCGGCATGCCCAGCTCCTCGCGGCCGGATACAATGGGGTCGGCAAGGCTCTCAAACAATATGGGCATATACGTCCCTTTCAGAACCTCTCCATTCTCCTTCTTGTATTGGACACCGTGGATGTAAAGCCCAATGTGGCGGTATCCACCACCTCCTAACCAATCCATGCCACCCAGTGTAGTCTGTGAAAAGCTGGCCCGCGCAACTGTACCAGGCGCGATGAAACTATACCGGTCTGACGGGAAGAGGTTTTGCAGAAGTGTCCGGCTGGTTTTGAACTTGATCGATGCCGTTGTGAACTTCGACTGGGTTGATTTCAAGACTCGGTCCCGGCCCATCCAATCCTGGCGTGGGCCCGGCATTGGTCCGAAGACGATTGGCTGACGCCAATACACCTGGGGGTTTTGAGACCAGAGATGTTTGCGGAGGACCTGAGCGGAGTGGTCGAACTCGTCGTGGCCGTAAATATACGCGATCATACTCCAGGCTGAAACAATTAGCTTGGAAGTGAGGTACGATTGTGAGGAGATTCAAACATACCTGATTGGGGTGATTGAAGCTTGGTAGAGTCGCGAGTCATCTGCTGTATGGTTGTGGCACGTTCGTGGCGGGCTTTCTCGTAGACTTTCAGACGCTCCGGCACTTCTTCTCTCGAGATATCACCCGGTAACATGACGGCAAGCGAGACAGCATCTTCAATAGCCATCGCACCGCCAGAAGCACGATAGGGCAGGAAAGGATGAGCTGCATCGCCCAGGAGAGCCAAACGATCGTCGACCCATGTTGGGAGCGCATCCATATCCAACAGCGGCCATAGTCTGAGTGTTTGAGGATCTGCCTTCTCAAGTAACTTTCTGACCTGAGGGTTGAAGTGCTTGTACACATCAAGTAGGGCATCCTTTCCAATTTGCTGATTGTAGGAGTCACCGCCGGGGTTGATGGCAGTCGGGGTGTCCGTCTCTGGATGGAGGCAAATAAAATTGAGCATCTCGTTATTATCACACGGATAAATGACCACACGACGTTCTTCTGAATCCCACATATCAACTGCGCCCATATCCTGGGCGATGCTGGCTGTTTCAGGATCGTCCAGTGCCTGTTGGCGGGTGATGAGGAAACGGAAAGCATTCTTGCCTGAGCTGAAGGGCTTGATGTCTGTTGAGATTTTGTTGCGTGTTATAGAGTGCACGCCATCTGCACCAAGAAGCACATCACCTTCGATAACGTCGCCGTTCTCGAGAGTGACTGATGCGGTGTGCGTATCTACATCTACCACCTTGCTGGCAGTATACAGGCGAGCAGGCTTGCCTTTCCCAGGCGCCTGTGCGACCTTTTTGAGTCCCTCGTGGAAGTGCGCCCTGTGGACAAGGAGCCAACGCTGTGAAATAGTCAGACAGGCATCCGAGAGTTGATGCATCGTAATGAGGGCACATACATGTCTCCACATTCCCGCGGTTTCCTTGATGGACATGATATGCACCTCCTCGCCAGTGGGTGTGTATTCTCGCAACTTTCGAAATCAGCACAAATTATAGCAAGTTTTCCGTCGAGGTAACTCACCAGCTCGGCCTCGACAGCCCCGAACTCCACCGCGTTAATTCCTAGCTTCCGCAACACCCCGTTGGCATTGGGGGACAGATGAATCGCAGCTCCAACTTCATTCGCAAAGCGTGAGCGCTCGAATATCTCCACATGGTGTCCTGCTTGTCTTAGAGCAATGGCAGCAACCAGACCACCAATCCCAGCACCAACGATGAGAATGCGTAGGCCTTTGGCCTCGCCATTGAGATCTTTGCGTGTCATTTAGACTTTGGGTAAGCAGAAATTTAGGAGATGCGTTTGAAACAAGAGATCTGCTTTTATTTATGTCTAGCAAATGCTTGCGCTCCGCATGCTGCCGTTCGGCCTTCGGCCTCCGGAGTTGAGTGCTGCACAACCCTCGGGTGCCCATTTCGGCTCCACCTCCGGGGACATAACGCGGATGGTATTTATATTTCTACTCAATTTCTCGAACAGCGAAAGAGCCTTGCGACTATATTCTTCTTTTATTTCTATAATTGGCATCAGTGTCACCAGTTCGGCAAAATGCCAAACCCAGTCAAGGACATCACCCTTCGCGACGAGACAACATTCTCCTACATCTTCGAGCAGAATGTGACGATTGAACTGAAAGATAAATCAGGTCTCGTTCGTTGCAATGTATATCGCCCCAAAACTTCAGAAGCAGTACCTGTTCTCGTCACCTACGGTCCATATGGCAAAGATATCAGCTATGAAGCGTAAGTTTTCCGCCTAAACAGGAAATTTGACCTTACTAACGTGATTCAGTTTCCACCCTCAGAGCTTCAGTGAGGTGAACCCTGAGCAGCGCTCAGAGCACTCAGCCTGGGAAACACCCGATCCCAAGTTCTGGACTAGCAACGGCTATGCTGTAGTACGCGCCGACGAACGCGGCACAGGCCAATCCGTCGGCAAGCTGGACACGATGTCACGCGGAACCAGTGAAGCCTTCTTCGACGTTGTGGAATGGGCTGCCGAGCAGTCATGGTCCACCGGCAAAGTTGGCTTGCTCGGAATCAGTTACTTTGCAGGCAGTCAATGGCGTGTTGCCGCACGTCAACCCAAGGGTTTATCCTGCATTGTCCCTTGGGAAGGCATGTCAGACTACTACCGGGATCGATGCCGACATGGTGGAATTCTCTCGAACAAATTCATCAAGTTCTGGTGGGATCGCCAGGTTGTGAGTAACCAGTATGGTCTCGCTGGTCGAGAGGCTCGCAACTGGGGTCCAGATACCATTGAAGGCAATCTGTCTGAAGATGAGCTTGTGCAGAATCGTCAGGACCAGACCGTTGATAACTTGGAGAACAAGTTCCGGGATGATCTTTACTACGCGTCCAAGGAATATAGCATGTCGGATATCAAAGTGCCACTACTATCTGTCGCAAACTGGGGCGGGATTCTCTTGCACCTCCGGGGAAACGTCGAAGGCTACACGCATGCAGGCTCGGACTTGAAGTATCTGCGCTTCATCACCGGAAGACACGATCTTCCATTCTACTACAAAGAGGAAGTCGAACTTCAGCGCAGCTTCCTCGACGCTTTCTTGAAAGGAGATGATCGCGCAGGCTGGGCAAATGGAACCGCTCCAAAGGTGGACATGGTTTTGCGCAAGGGGAACGTAGGCCACAACAATGCCGAGGCTGAGAGGGCTTTCCCTCGCCGACAGGAGGCAGAGTGGCCCATTGCCCGTACCCAGTACACCAAGTACTTCCTGACATCACAAAAGGAGCTGGTAACCACAGCACCCACCGAATCACGTTCTACCAAGGTCTCATACCAGGCATTGGGAAATCTCGAGGATCCTCAATTGGTTCAATTTACTACACCTGCCTTCGAGACTGAAACAGAGATTACGGGGCATATTGTTGCGCATCTGAATGTGTCTATGAGCGCGAACGCGGGCGCGCCTACGCCACAAGACATTGATTTATTCCTCACAATGCGATACATATCGCCCAGTGGAGAGGAAGTATTCTATACCGGCACAGCGGGTGACCCTGTTCCCCTGTGCAAAGGCTGGTTGCGTGTTTCAATGAGACAAGTTGATTATGAAAGTCCTCGGAATCGCCCCTGGCTCCCTCATCGCAATTACTACTCCACCGATGTACGCCCTGTCATCCCGGGTGAGGTCTATGCGGTTGACGTGGAGGTTTGGCCGACCAATATCGTTGTGGAGAAGGGAGGCAAGATTGTGCTGGAGGTTAGTAGCGGGGATACGCAAGGCAGTGGGATTTTCCAACATAACTCACCTGTTGATCGGTAAGTCTCGTCTTTATCTCACTTGGATTTACGTACTAACTCTTTCAGATCTACCGAGCGCTTCCAGGGTCAAAATCACATTCACTTTGGCATTGCGGAGAACTATGTTACTCTACCAGTTATCCCGGCGGTCTAGTCGAATTTTTAGCAGACTATAGACAAATATACCTGATTCAATCTTTAAATGCAGATGAGAGGCATTGCTTGAAAGATCATGGTATTCTTGACGACCTCGGGAGTTGCGTCCCGAGTCATTGTAGACAAGGTCCAAGGTTTGAGCCAACCTGGGTATGTAGCAGCGTTCAGTACAAGCGTTCTAAGGTCGTGAAAAAGGCAATTGAATTAAACTACATCTCAAACAGCCCAATCACAGGCAAGTTCCATCCAATTGAAAAGTTGACTTCAACATACCTGGTCCTATTGATGACGCCGCCACCACCACCTGCATACTTGCGTGGCTACCTAGGTAAGCAATAGCTATGCAGAAGGCAACAAGGCGTGATCACTCAAATTTGAAGGAACACATTGGAAGCCGCAGGATCACAATAACCAGCGAAATACGAGTAAGGAACTAAGGACTCGGGAAATGGAGCTGTGACTAGAACTTGGAAGAGATCCAATATTCTAGCTAGGTCCTCCACCCGGGAATAAATCCATTGATCATCAATTTTATGACATATCAGTGGACCTTAAAAGCACCATAAACTCCGAGCCCGCGCAGGTCCAAAAGTTAGAAGATCCCAGCCGATGTGGACAACATCGTCCCGAGGCGGGGGAGCAACCTTATAGAGCTCAGCTACAATATTTAGGTAGTCACCATAAGGCGCATTCAATCAAAATCATTTATCTCATTTCAATTTCTACCTGCCACGCACAAACATGGCTGAAACGTTCCCCAAAAACATCCGTCCTCTAAGTCGCTTCATCACCACTCACGATGAAGCTGGCAAAGCCATCTTTTCCACAAGCGTCCCTGAAACGCTGCCCGTTCAGAGAATAGATGCTGGGGCTGATTTCAGCCTAGCCTACACCACCTCCGATTTTCCCGTTCAGCTAAGTGACGAGGCCGACGTGTCCAGCTACCAGAGCTACCTCACTGATCCACCCGGCATTGTCGTATCAGGTGGCACAGTCTGCCGAATCGTGGATATGCAGCCCGGTGCGCTGAGTCCAATGCACCGAACTGTCTCTCTGGACTATGGTGTTGTGCTGGAGGGTGAAGTCGAGCTTGTGCTGGACTCCGGTGAAGTGAGGCTGCTTAAGAGGGGGGATGTTGCTGTGCAGCGTGGAACCAATCATGCTTGGCGAAATGTTACTCCTGATGCTGTCGTCGATGGCAAGAATGTTCCTCAATGGGCCCGTATGATGTATGTGCTTCAGCCCTCGAGCGAGATTTTGGTGGAGGGGAAGCCTTTGAAGGAGGTTGTTGATGGGATTGGGGTTAGAGCGAGTACCTAATGGTATTCTTGAATAGAATTGGAGAACAAAAATGTTTGTTCAGTTTCAACAATTTTCTTTATATTTGTCCGAAAACAGCTTTGTTTAAGTCGTGGGCGGAGATCTAGAATGTAATGTAGTCAGGGCCAAATGGTCGACTGGCGTCAGTTTCGTGCTGCTGGCCTATGGCCGAAGCCAGCCTAGGAGAGTAAGGAAAGACTGGGAATATTATATGCTTTGGATATCATGATTCCTATATTTACCTAGTCTAAAAACCAAGTTCACACGCGGACAAACTGACTGTGAAGTACTAGTATTGTAGATGTGCTGAAACAAACACAGTCTCGAGTCTCGACATGTTGTAGTCTTCATTCCCAGGGCCATATCTACCACTCCCCTCCAACCTCATAATGGAATATCTTGTCATTGATTCTGCCACCAGTGAATCTCCAGAGTCTAGAGACAGCCTATACACTGTTAAAATTTCGCACCTCGGTGGCAGCAAGATACACGTACCGCATTCAGCCAAACACCATGCAACATAACTTGGATAAACACCATTTCAGCCGGGCTGCTTCCACCAGGTCTTTCTTCAAATGACAAGTTGCGATTTGTAGGACGGAACGCCGGTATACGACGATGGTGTGTCGGCCATTCGACCGGCTGGGGCACTGTGTCGTGCTCATTCACAGGGTCGCTGCCACTATGGTGAACTTCGTAGTCGGCGAGCACAGAGAGTCTCTGAGTAGTAGCAGTAGTGGTAGTCATATTCAAGATAGCATGTAAACGCCAGTGCAGCATGTAAGGATTGAAATCCCCAAGATCATCAAATGAGCCCCGGCGTCTCCCCGGATTAGGGCTTGGCATGTCCACATCCATGGATCTCCCCCACATCCCGAAGTACATGGGCTTCCGAGCAACGATCTACTTATCCCATTCTTTGGTTTGCTTCGATTTCCAGCTTGATCCATTCTACTGCAGTGATGGATCTCTCCCGCGTCCTTGCCGCGAATATCGACGGCCGTACCCAAAACACACGCTATCGTCAATCCCAGTTGCAGAAGCTTCAATTGGCCCTCGTGGAGCATATCGCTGATATTCAAGATGCCATCCATTCGGATTCAGGACATACTCGAGCCGAGGTGCGCGCGGAAATAGTGTTTGCGTTACAGGAGCTACGAGCGCATTACTCGGGTTTGAGTCTGGAGAAAGATCTCAAGGCCGAGTATCGAATCGCGCACGGTAAGGATAATCCAGATGGAGCGCGCGGTGTTGGGATAGTTTACATTGTTCCGAGCGGCCATACACCATTCTTCTCGATCGTGTCTGCACTGAGCGCAGCACTGGCAGCGGGAAATTGCATTGTCCTTGAGGTTGGTTTTCATGAACAACACACCTTTTTGTAGTTACTGACTCTATCAGCTCCCTCAAACAACAAGCATGCTGCCAGCAGTACTCCGCAACATATTGCCTAAAGCATTGGACCATGACACTTTCACCATTGTGGCACAAAGACCGGATGCATCATTCCTAAGCAAGACTTTGATGGTGGTGCAGACAGGCGAAAGCTATACTGGACTGGTCTCGCCCTCAAATTTGCAGGCTGTTGCTATTGTTGACCGCACAGCCGATGTTGTCCAAGCAGCAGAGGCATTGGTTGCCGCGCGCTTCGCACTGGGTGGCCGCTCAGCCTACAGCCCTGACCTAGTATTGGTGCATGAATTTGTCATGAAGCCTTTCGTGGAAGCTGTGATTACCCATGCATCCAAGTACCTCGCCGGTGAGAATGGAGAAGCAAGAACTCTATCCCGGAAATCCACTCTTTTGGACACAATTCAAAAAGAGCGCACAGCTCGAGTGCTGGTGTCGGGAAGTAATTGGGGTGTAGTTGAGGTTCAGGATCGGTAAGTTTGACACAAATTGCACACAGAGCGAGACTAACCCTTGGAGCAAATCATCGCTTTTGAGAAGGAAAATCGAGGAGAAAGTACTCCTGGTTCACTCAGTCACCAGTTTAGACGATGCAATTGATACAAGGTCAGTTTACCCCATTTTCAGTCATAATGGAGCTGAAAATCTCAGCACCGAAACGCTGGCAGCGACTTATGCCTTCGCTGCGCCGTCGTCGGCCAAATATCTCACGCAATTCATCGACGCTCACGTTTCGTGGGTAAACCATGTCCCTAGTCACATGCTCAGTGAGTTATTACACCAGGAAGCTGTGACTATGAACTAACATGACCTAGTCGGTCCCGCCATCCCTCAAGGTTCACCTGTCACGCAAACCCGCTACACAAAGAGCCAATTCGAGATCCCACGCCCGCAGATACTCACCTCGGCCCTAGGCTCCGTTGAGAAAATCCTGCAGAATGAATCCAAAGCCGATCAAATTTGGAGGGAGGCTCTTGCACCGCTGCCGTCGACGAACCAAAGACCTGGCTTCAAGATTGGATTCTTCGAGCAAGGTATCATCACAGGTGGGTTGATCACGCTAGGCTCGCTGGTTGCGACGGCTTCGACCTTGGGATACTATACTTGGACTTTCATCAGAGCTTGAACCTCTGGAGAATTCGGGGTACTCCACGAACAGATCCAGGAGCCAATATTAGATTGTGTAAGCTGTTGAGACATTTTGCCATATAAATAGATCTCTCTTTCTCGATAGCCCTGGAGGTAGTCCAAGTAATGAACTTGCTTTACGAACGTGACATCGACTAATTCAAACAATCGGGCTGAAGGAGGGACCTTGGAGTATAGGACGGAGGATGAACAAGATCCATCCGTACCCACACTCAGTTTCTGGCGAAACGTCCACGGGTGTTACCTAGTAGACACCTAGGCATTACACCCTTGGAGTTCCAAGGTTGAACCTGGAGATGCCTTCCAATTGCGATAACTGGACAGGGTGATAGCTGTGTTGGAATGCACTTCCACACCGGGGCAGTGTCAGAGATACGTACTTGCTGCTTGCCTCTCTCCAGGGCCCCAGGGATGTCTAGCTCCTGGGGCTCCCTGGCTCTCAAAAATTTCCAAGATTGCTCTTGGTTTTGAATTTCAGTCTCTCCAGCTTGTCATGCCCTGTTGTATTAGGTTGCACCTGTAATTACAACTATTGTCAACCAACAGGGTCATTATGAAGAATAGCTTGTTCATTAATCGTGTCTTCGTAAGCCCAGCAAGCGCTAAAGGCAAGTCCAGATCAATACCTAGGTATATCCCAGACAAACAAGATAAAAATTTATCGTGAAGCAAGAAAAGCAGAGCTATCGAGCCGCGATGCTGGGAAAGAACCGCGGGCCCGCATACCCATGCGCAATGATACTTTCAATATCGATGGTGCCATCGCCCTCGGGGAACGGACTCCAGAGCTTGATCAGAATATACCGACCGGATCTATCAAGTCGTTAGCATGGAAACCACAAAACGACATAGACACGTACGGAGGTGGATCAAACTTGATAGTGACCATGTTCTTCTCGCGTTCCATGAAGAATCGTGCATGTGGTTTCAAGACTTCGGCGGAGGGCTGCGCGGGGTTGGGCAGGGGATGAACTAGAGTCTGCTCGCGGCGATGACGACTCAAGGCGGCGCGGCGTTGATTCTGAATGACTCTGCGGCGGAGATAATTCATGTCGTCCTCATCACTGGGCGTTTCATCGGTATCAGACGTGTATCTTTCAGTGGGTTCCTCCTGGGTGTTGAATTCGAGGGAGCCTTCCTCTTCGTTGTCTGAGTAGACATTGTCCTCGTTGTTTTCATGATACTCAGTGGTAATACGAAATTGGGCTCGAGGGTCTTCCGAGGAGTTTAGAGCAGAGTATGAGTTCGGGCCCGTGAGGATAGTTCGCTCGATATTGGGAGGAGGTGGTCGGTACCCGGTCAGGTATTCCTGGGAAGGCGGTAGACCACTGCGCCGAGAGCGACGGCGCCATCGGGGCGAATATTGGATTTGACATTCGGCGGTGCGCTTAAACAGATCATCAGTAGACATGGCGACGAAAACCATCCCTTCTTGGATTCTAGTGCTGTTAGTTGGCAGTACAGCACCTCCGGGAGTATACATACGGAGCATCAAACCGGCACTGAGGGGGAGCTCTGATGACGACCTTTTTTAAACAGAATGGTGCCTCATCTCTGTGGCATAGCACCAGGTTGCAGCGGTCCTCTTTGGTAGAGTAGACGCTCTGGTTACTGGCCAAGACATTCTCCGGGCGGGAGCTCGCTCCGTGCGAATCGAAGTTTCCTCCGTCACAGCTGGCGATCTGCATTTTTAATTCACCCGGCATGACTTGTCCATATAATCCATAGTTAAATCCTCTAAAGGCCTCCCGGTTGTCATCTGTGTCCAGCTTCCTCCGCTTCTGGCGGCCTTGGTCGTCACGGTCCGACTGGCTGGACGGCGGCATGAGGGACGGCGAGCGGGATGCGTCCGGGCTTGGGGCCAACGTAGGCCAGGGCACACTTCGGCGGCGAGGATGAGAGTCCGGGGAGAAACGGCTGGGCGGGCGTTCGGAACGAAGCTGGTTATACCGGAAGTGTTGGGTCCGCTCTGCGGGGCTCGCTAATTCCGACTGGAGATGTTGGATCTGACGATCTACCGCCGTGCGGGCTTGCTCAAACTGAGCTTGTTCGAAGTTGGTACGATCACGGGTCCGGTCCAGTTGATGATCCACAATCTCCTGATTTAATGTTTCCAAAGCACGGGTAGCGTCAAAAGAAGTGAAAGCGCCGGCCAGGTTCCGTTCGGCAACCAGGTTACGGAGATTCTGGAGACGGAGGATATCAGGGCGTTGACTGGCACGGGGAATGCGGGACGAAGGAGGATAATCATAGTTCCCTGACTATCTGTACATGAGATATCACTCCAGGTATCATGGCTGAGACACATACCATGGTTTCAGGAGCGTTGAAGTTGCTGGGTTCCCCGACCGAAGTGAAAAAGGATCACATATGAGAAGGTCAGATTCAATCAGGGGAACAACCTGGGAACCTTCGATGCTCCCAAGGTACACGTGATGGTCGATTAGATCATCTTTCAACTTCCAGCCCTGGAGGACCTCGAATGTTCATGTCTTTTGTGACGTCCCAATGTCTCACCCTTGCGTTACTTATATTACTTCTCACATCTCACAGATCCTGTGGAGTCGCCGCCCGCAAGAACAGCCAACTGCTCCGCTTCATTTATCCAGAAATGAGCCATATGCTGTAGCTCCTTTGTTCATTCTCTTTTTCTTACATTTCATACTATAAAGAGAATAGTCTACCACTTCGTGTCTTTCTTTCATATAATTACTCTGGTATATTCCGAGGTTATGATCAATGCTCTTGATACACTAGCTTTGGTGCTCTGTGTCCCATGCGGTATTTGGCTAACGTGTCTGAATACCAGATAAGTGTATGGAACCTTGGAATAGAGATAGCTCCAAAGCTATTGTGCCGGTCATATTTAACCATGCCTCCGTACCTAGGTGAATCCTAGTTCCAAGCTCAGATCGTTTGAAAGACCAGCATGAGGAGCATGTATGCCCAGTCCGGCTCTTTCGCTTGCAATTGAATACATCAATACATATGGCCTCACTTTCTGGTCCAATATCAGCTCTCGATATTCGACTCTGGCTTAGTTCGAACCCTTCTCTCTTCATTCAATGGCAACCCTGTTAACGTGCTATTTCCTCGGAATTGGAAATTGTGAAAAACTTACCGGGAATTATTCGAAGACACTCGTGGAACAGCCAAGAACAGTCCCATTGTATGTCGAACGAGCCAAAGGGGACCTCGGGAGCTTTCTCTAGATAGGACTAACCGTGGAAGTAAATGTCCAATTTGATCAAGAGCCTTACCTGGGTAAGAAGAGGAGATCTCGACCTTTGAAAGTCAAGAGACAATGTCACCTTCAGCTTCCAGTGTGCTCCGATTGCGATATGGATTCATCAGACTCGTACTTCGTACTCCGAGCGCGCAGAAATGAGCCTAAGCGGAGACCCACCAGCCCCGCCCAGTAGCTCCCGGGTCACATGATCTTGAATCGGCATTTCGTCGCGGGCTCCGATCTCCCTTGCACTCAGCAACTCCGCCTCAGAAGCAGGAACCTCGGACACCCCTTTAATACTATAGCTCGGACGGATTACCATGGATCAGGAGAATGCGCAGCCCATCAGCGCCGGTATGTCTTATCACCGAGCTACTGACTTGACTCCCATTAACACATCTAGATGAAATCGCGCTTTACGACCGGCAGATCCGACTTTGGGGAGTGCAGGCCCAGGAAAAGTGAGCATCAAACCATACATGAATTGCCACAAGAGCTCTTGATCTAACAGCGACCAGGATCCGGTCAGCAAACATCCTCCTCATCACAGTAAAAGCCCTCGCCAACGAAGTCGCCAAGAACCTTGTCCTGGCAGGCATTGGTTCCCTCACCATCATCGACCACCAAGATGTAACGGAAGAAGACCTTGGGGCACAATTTTTTGTTGCCGAAGCGCAAAACGAAGGCGAGGTGATCGGCAAGAACGTAAGACCCGTCCAAGCCGGATCAATGTCAACACAAGTCTCCTAACAACCCACAGCGAGCCGAGGTTGCAGGACCCCAGATCCGCAAGATGAACCCACGCGTCAAACTTCACATCGACACCTCAGATGTGAAAACCAAGCAACCCGACTTCTTCGCTCAATTCGACATTACAATCGCAACCGAACTCGACTTCCTCACCAACACCACCGTCAATGCCGCATGCCGCTTAGCCAACAAGCCGTTCTACGCTGCCGGACTCCATGGATTCTACGGCTATGCATTCGCCGATCTCATCAGTCACGACTTCGTGATCGAGCGTAGCAAATCCAACCTGAACGCCGGTACCCAGGAGACCCAAACCCGCAGCATCGTCAGTATCAACACCAAGAAGGAAAACGACAAGGTCATTGAGCTAGTCACCAAGCGCGAGGCCTACTCCCCACTCATCCTCGCAAACACCTCTCCCCTCCCAGAAGAATACACCCGTCTGCCGCGCCGGCGCAAGCAAGTCACCCCACTACTAAGCTGCCTGCGCGCACTATGGGAGTTTGAGAAAATGCGCGGGCACCGGCCTTCATTCACACACGAAGACCTGGAACTATTCACTAAGCTGTCGCGGGACCGACACCAAGAGTTAAAGCTCGAGCCATTGACGCTTGATTCTGTGTTTTTGCGAACTTTCCTCCAGAACCTGGGGAGTGAATTGAGTCCCGTTGCGGCGTTCCTGGGTGGGTCGCTTGCGCAGGATGTTATAAATGTGCTTTCGGCAAGGGAGCAGCCACTGCAGAATATTTTGCTCTTTGATGGGGAGAAGATGGCCGGTCCGATTTATCCACTTCATCCATTCTTCCCCGAGGATCTGGCTGGAGCGGAGATGGCTGCTGTGCCTCCGGTGAGGAATCCGGTTATGGTGCCAGTCACTGGGGAGGTTGTGAGCTTGGAGTAAGGGTGTTGCATTGTTACGAATCTCCTTATGATTTCACTAGACATGAGTCTCTGTACATTAGAATACGTAGCCAGTTATGTTTCATTGAGAATTTCATTTCAATTGGTCATTCCGTATCGTTCGCCTGGAATCTGAGCGATTGCAAGGCGCCTGGCTCATCGAGTAAAGACTATGTACAAATTGTCCAGGTTGAGAGATTATTAGATCTTGCATTTGAAGGCTCCAGCCCGCCCTAGCCTGAACGCCGACAAGGAAACATAGCAAATTTTCATATGGGTACACTGTTTTTGGGCTCAGTAGCGAGACTGCTATTTGCCGAGCTCTTCGTCGCTGTTCCGACGCGGTCCCATGGGCAGGTCCTCCTCATCATCAGAGACCAAGCCGTGCAGCTCGTAGGCCTCAGCATCCTGGATCTGCTGCGAGGTGGAGCGGGCGTGGCCGTTGGCGTTGCCATTGGCGTTTCCGTTTCGGTTGATGCTTGTGTACTTGGGTCCATCCTGATCTGTGGAGTCGGAGTTGGGCCAAGCGTGGACTGCGTAGATATGCAGTAAAACGTTGACGACTGTAAAGGTGAGCGAATGTTCACAAGAGGTTGTCAAGGGTAACTTACAAAGGAAAACAATAAACGCAACGCTGTAGAGGATCAGGACGTAAGACACGTGCATGATGCCTGCGTTGTTCAACATGACCATCTGCTCCTCGGTGGCACCCATGAAAAGGAATCCAGAGGCGTAGAGCAACTGCGGGAGTCAGCATTCAGTCTCTCAAAGAGGGGGAGTGAACTTACGAAGGGGGTCACGTATTGGAAGCTGTTGGGCTCTGAAAGAGCCGGCTTGTCCTTCAGGATGAAGGAGATCTCGATGACCCGAGCTAGACCGGCGCCCATCAAAGTGTACCCGAAGATGGCGTGCACCATGGTGCTGATCATGAGCTCCTGGGTGTGGGCCGACATGGCGTACCCAGTGAGCATGATGACAATGGCGGGAATGAGGTTGCGCTTAGGTTGTCCGGTGCGACTACGACTAAGCCACATGCCGAGCAAACCAGCCGCCCACCACACGATACCCATGGTAGTGTGCTGCAGATCGTTGTGAACCCAAGGGCCGCCCCACCGGTGCTCAGTAAACGTGTTCACGCAACCCCAAGCGGCGATGATGAAAGAATCAAAGAATTCCTGACTGCGACCCGTCTTGCGCAGCCAGTATTGGCCGACAAGCAGCAAGATCGTCAAGCAGATACCATATCCGATGAACGCAGAGCCCATGATGAAATGCGCCAGACATTGACCCAGATGATCATCGCGACAGAAGCCCATGGCGGCGATACCACCGAACACCATCTGCGTCCAGCTCACAACTGGCATAATCTTACCCAGGATACTGTGCGCGAGAACGAAAATCCACCGGATGCGTGCTTGACCACCCTTCTCCAAATGCAGTTTGAGGTACACACCCAGGGCGACTTGCGCGACAAGGCCGAGCATAAACCAGTTTGCGACCGAGGCGTGAACATTTTTGTCGAATTGGCGACCCTTGTGGGCGTGGCCGAGGAAGTAGGCAAGGACACCAATGACGGTGCCGACAGTTTGCACAGGGACGTGCCAGCGGGAGCGAACGATCTGGAGAGTATGAGATGGCGCCTGGACAAAAGGGTGTTGATACTTACACCGAGAACCATGCCGATCGGAAAGATAATACCAAATGCCAGGCCCATGAGGATCATATGGACCCAGAGGGTGGCGTCCTGAAAGAGTTAGATGGGCAACTTTGTTTGGAGGCAGATCATCACATACGATAGGGTCCTTGGAGATGGATTCGCCTTCTGGAACAGCTTCATGACCGCCGTGAGCAACAACCGTTGCGGCAAGACATGCCCAAACGAGGCCTTGGAAAGACATGGTTGGGGAGTTGAAAGGAAGAAGTGGAAGCTTGGAAGAGACGCAAATGCGGGTACTGTTGTAATCAGCCCAATCCGGAGCATCCGATTATGCGGGACCGCGTATACCTCCAGGGGGATGCGCCAAGAGATACTTGACGATCGTGATTTGGGCAATGACAATTCACGAATCCAAGTTACTCAAACATACAAAGTCCTCAGGCAATTGACGCCCTGAGAATCGCCTGATCGATTATTCAGCGTGGGCCGTGATTGGCCACGTCAATTACATACAGCCGGAGTATACACATGGGACACTTGGCATCGAACGTGTCTTCCCCATCAAACATGGACCAAGCAAAGGAACAGAAATTGGTATGTACAGCGTTCAATTTCAAGAATCTATACTAACAGTTCAAGTCAAAACTTCGCTCTACAATCACAAGTCTGGAAACGCAGCAGGCCCAGCTGGAGGCTGAACTCGCATCTACCACCTCCCAACTCAAGTGAGTACATGAACATCGCATTTTCTTAGGCCCCAGAGACTAGAGCCTTCATTGACTCGTCAGAAATGACTCTGCCACTACAGTCAAACGGCACATCCGTCTGCTGCATGAATACAACGAGATCAAAGATGTTGGGCAGGGCCTGATGGGGATCATTGCAGATGCGCGTGGTATGAGGCAGGTGGATGTGGAGAAGGAGTTTGGCGTCGGAGAGAAAGATTAGCCGTATCCCTTGACGACAGCCATGGCAAGATATCGTTACTAGGAAATGGCGTATGGAAATGCGATTGATGGGTCATGAATTACGAATTGCAAGTGATTTTGAATGAAATTCATTAATATATTTCGCTTTTTATTGCAAAGAAACCGTGGTTTGTTTTCAAGGATTCAGGGGTATCGAATCCCAATGGTAAGTAGACAAAAAATCCAGAATTCCCCAACGCCATTTTCTATCAGTAGCGGAGCTAAGCGGTGATTGATAACATATATGTGAAGAGAAATAAAGTAGATGGCCATAAGGCTCATTCTTGAGAAAGGGGGTATGAGGGGAGAAGAGGGAGTAATTAATTCTTTCCAAGGGACTGGAGGTTCACCAGCTCATAGTAACGGCCCTTGTTACGAAGCAACTCGGTGTGGGTGCCGCTCTCGATGATCTTGCCTTGGTCAAAGACGTAGATGATATCAGCCTTCTGGATAGTCGATAGACGGTGAGCAACAGCAATAGTGGTACGACCACGAGCAGCGGCATCCAAAGCAGCCTGGACGACCTTCTCGGACTCGGAGTCTAGAGCGGAGGTAGCTTCGTCCAGGAGCAAGATCTTAGGGTTGCGCAGGAGAGCGCGAGCAATAGCAACACGCTGCTTTTGACCACCTGACAGCATGCCACCCTTGCTACCGACGACGGTGTTAAAGCCTTCGGGCAAGGACATGATGAAATCGTAGATGTTGGCGTCTCTGCATGCCTTGAAGAGTTCTTCTTCGGAGGGGTCTTCGTTAGGAGAACCAAGAAGAATGTTCTCCTTGATAGTTCCTTGGTAAAGAGTCGGCTCTTGGCTGACCAAGGCGATGTGGCTGCGGTAAGAGTTGACGTTCAGGTCGGTGATGTTCTTATCGTCGACGAAGATGCCACCAGAGAGAGAATCATAGAAACGCTCAAGGAGAGCGATTGTAGTACTCTTTCCACAACCACTGGGTCCGACAAGTGCGATGTATTGACCCGGCTTGACGCTGAGGTCCAACCCACGGAGGACGGGCTGCTCCGGACGGGAGGGGTAGCGGAAGTGAACGTCCCTGAACTCGATATTTCCATCGCAGTGAGAAAGGGTCTCGCCCTCATCGGTCCAGGTGTCAATGGTGGGACGACGCTCGAAGAGCTTCAGGAACTCGGCAGCGGCGTTCTTGGCCTTGCCCATGTCCGGACTGAATGAGAACACTGTGCCGGCAGACTGGGCACCAAACAGGATCTCACTGAAACAGACAAAGAAGCGGAAGATGTCATACTCGTGGTGACCAAGAAGAGTACCTCCGTACCAAAAGCCAAGAGCAACACAGAAGAAGACTAGGGCCTGAGAAGCGGCGTACAAGAGGGATGACTTGACAACAGAGATCAAGCTCGACCGGCCCTGGACTTCAAGCTGGCCGTGGTATATAGACCAAACATCACTCTCCCGTGTCAACGAAGCGACGGTGCGGATGGCAGATGTAGCCTCGCAAGCGTAGCTAGCGGAGCCTTCGTAGGCAGCCTTGGAACGAGACTGGAAAGAGGCAAGCATGTAGAAGCGGTAGAAACCACAGCCGAGAAGAACCGGGACGACGGAAATGCAAACCAGAGCGAGCTTCCATCCAAAGGATAGAGAGATGACAATGGCAGCAATCAAGGTGGTGGAGCACATCAGAATTGTTCCAAGTGTTGTACCACTGATGCCGGACAGGTGCTTGGTCTCAGTGGACAAGAATGAAGTCAAAGCACCAGTACTGTTTTCCTCGCGATCGAAGAAGTCGATGTCCTGGCGGAGGATAACACGGAAGGCCTTGCTGCGGGCCTTGCGGATCAAGCGCTCGGAGGTGTACGCAAAGGTAACACCGTGGATAGAGAAAGTAATGAACTGCACAATACCAACGACAAAGAACATGAGAGACCAGAAGTTGGCATCTGATCGGAGCTTGCCCCACATAGACTCTGGCAGAGACAGCGCATTGATGGCTTTGGCGTACAAGAAAGCCTGGGTAGGTTGGCCACAACCAGCGAGAATCGAGAAACAGAGACCTATGACCATGAGATGCCATTCTTCCTTGTTGAAAGAACCGATAAACCGGATCAAGGTGAGAAGAGAGTATTTGCTAGTGCTTTCGGTAGTTCGCTTCGAGAGAACAGCGCTTGAGACCGACTTTCGGGATTCCCGGCGCTGCATGTCACCTTCGAAAGCGTCGTTTTCATTCTTGGTCGATCCACTGCCCATAGACTTGACACGGGCAATGTGCGACTTGGTCATTTGCTCAGCGCTGTCCTCGTCGTCACCTTCAAGGGCATCAGCTTCCTTTTCTTCGTTGATACGTTGGGCTTCGACCAGCTTGTAGTATGGTCCATCGTGTTTAGTCAGTTCGCTATGGGTTCCCTGCTCTACGATGGAGCCATTGACAAAGACGACGATATTGTGCGCGGTTTTGATGGTTGAAAGACGGTGAGCAATGACGATGGTGGTGCGGCCCTCGGCAGCGCGGTCGAGCGCGGCTTGGACAACACCCTCTGACTTGGTGTCGAGCGCGGACGTAGCTTCGTCGAGGAGCAGGATCTTGGGGTCGCTTACAACAGCACGGGCGATAGCGATACGTTGCTTTTGGCCACCGGAGAGTAGGAATCCACGCTGTCCGACGTTGGTCTCATAACCTTCCGGGAGAACGGAAATGAACTCGTGGGCATTAGCCATCTTGGCAGCAGTCTCAACAAGCTCCCTGATCTTTTCCTCTGACTCATTCTCAAAGCGGGTTCCGATCAGTCCGTGGCGAATGTTGTTAAAGATAGATGTGCCAAACAAAACAGGTTCCTGGCTAACCAGCGAAATCTGCTGGCGCAGCCAACGAAGATTGAGCGTCTGGATATCATGGCCATCCAAGAAGACCTGACCACCGACAGGGAGGTAGAAGCGCTCGACCAAACCGACAACGGTACTCTTACCAGAGCCTGATGGGCCGACCAACGCGGTGGTTTTACCGGCAGGCATGGCGAGTGAAACATCCTGCATGATGGTCACTTCAGGGCGAGAGGGGTAGATATGTTTGACATTTTTGAACTCAATGTGGCCCTCAACATGGTCAAGAATGATGCCCTTGTCAGAAGTAGGGTCCAGAGGAGATTCACGGTCGATTGTAGAGAAGATCTTGGCAGCCGCGGCAACAGCATTGGTGAAGGCCTGTCCGTTCGGTGCCACGTTACCCAAGGCGAATGAACCGATGAGAATGGCCATCAGAATAGTCAGTACGTGTCCAACGTCGACTTTGTGCTGCACCAGGAAGCGAGAACCCATCCAGAATCCCAGACCGTAGTTCAAAAACATGATACCCATCATGCCGCCAACCATGACGCCAAGGGCCATCTGCAAACGCATACCCCAGCGCTCGGCCCTGGCCAAATGAACCTCATACTGCTGTGCAAGCTTCTCCTGCGTGCCGAATGCGGTCGCGTTGCGAATCGAACTGATGACTTCTTCCGCCACAGTACCACCGGCACCGTAGCTCTCCAGGGACAGCTTGCTGAACTTGACGATAAAGCGAGAACCTCCACCCATGATCAGGACCAGCGCGACGATGGTAGAGGTACAAATACCGGCCAGAGGAGCATACTTGATGTAAGCGACAATGAATGCGGTGACGAAAGTAGCGATGGCGGTCAGAGTCAGTCCAACCTTCTCCGAGATACCATCCTGGATAAGGTTGGTGTCCGCCGTGATGCGGGTTGTGACTTCACCGGCACCGAGCTTATCAAAGTACGCGATGTTCTGACGCAGAATCGCCTGAAGGTAGTTCTCGCGGATCTTTTGCGTGATGTGTTCACCAGTGTAGATGAAGCCGACGGTGCTGATATAGACGGTGACGAATTCACCAATACCAAGGTAGACGAAGTAGAGGACATTTTTAGTAAGGTCGTGGTAAAAGGCATCATAGCTGATTGTATCCAGCATGATTCTCTGGAAAGATGTGGCCAACGATCCAAAGAGGATGGTAAAGAGAGGCAATGCGGCACCAGCCGCCATGGCGCACAAAGTACTGACCACCAGGATTAGGATGTCGATCATCGAGGCATAACGATAGAGACCAAAAAAGGAAACAGGCCTGGGAGGCGCATCGAGCTGCTTTTTCAAGATCTCCTTTTCGTGTGGGGGTAAGTGGCCATAGAGCACATCCTCCTCTGATGGAATGGGCGTCTTGGTTTCCTGCTCTTTGGCGGTTGACGCAGAGCTCGAGTCGAGATCGGGATTTGTCTTCTCCGCAAATTGAGGCTCCTCCACCACCTTCTCAACGGCGGTGACGCCCTCCTCCGGTTGTTGCATAGTTGAAGTAGCGTTGGGTCCCGCGATTGGTGATCTTTACTCCATAGAGCGAAATGGAGAGGGTCCCGCGGATGAGTTCAAAGAACCAGAGACCAGAAAGAGATTGTAGAAGAAAGGATTATTAAAGACTAAGAATGATAACTTGAATATTAAAAGGGGTGAAAATGAGAGGGGTTGATAGTAATATGACCTCGTCCGCATCTTAAGTCCGTATCTTTAATTTTTTCCCCCGTCGGTCTCGGGTCCTCCAGACTCCGCTTTACCCTTATGCACGTTATGGAGTGGGACTAGAACCTTGCGATTCTTTTCTGGACGCCTGCTCTTTAGGCTCGAGTCTCTTACAGTGTCGGTTTCAAATCAGTCTCTACTAGGTTCTAGAGACACATTCCATTCCCGGCAGCTCAATTGAAAAATCTCAAAATCGACTTCCCTATTGAGCATCGGCTATGAAAAGCTTCATATGCACATAAAGCCATTCGTACTCGGCCCTTGAAACAGCACCCGAACGCGGGAACGAATACGAAGTGGATAATTGAGTCACCAAGCTTACCACCTGGCCAGGGTTGAGCCGAATTTTCGTCCTCCAGCTATGCTTATCTAGGCAGCGAATTCGCCATGTGTTCACTTCACAAAGCCCGCCTAAACGCGATCCACCAGTTAGATCTCTGCGATTGTATTTTCGAACCTCTGGAACAATTTATGGATTTCGGGAACATTCGCCCGTGCGTATTTTTATGCCATCGGCAAACGTAAGCCCCGATGTCCGGGAACCTGTAGCCTAATGTATGACATACAGCAGTTGGCAACAGAGGAGCTTCACCGCATGTCCAGTGGCGAGTCCGCACATCAATGCTTGTCCGGAGTAGCTCTGGAGGTGATGGATCATCCCAACTCGGGTAAATAGTACTCCATTTCCGGTCTATGGGACGCCCGCTTGAGCAATTGCCGTGACAGGCGGGGCCACTTCGGGCAATAAGTGAAACAAAGGCGGTGTAGTTCTGCCCAGGGGCAGGCATCAAGGCACAAAATTCCTGTTGCCTTGTTGCCTGACCGCCTGACTGCCTGACATCACCTGACCCAACCGAAGCGAAGCCAAGCCCTGCCGCACACAAACCATCCACTCCCGAAGGTCGACCATTTCATCCGTCCATCCAACAAGCTCGCCGTCGCGATCAACCTCCAAGATGCCGGTACGTTCACCTCATCTCGAAATTCACCGTCACCGTTATCGTCCTCGTCGTCACCCCGTCGCCATGATATCCAAAACGAGAGAATCGAAATGAAAAAAAAACCTTCTGTGTCGAACTAAATATCTAACCCACCATTTCTTCAACAGAGCCACAAGACCTTCCGCACCAAGCAAAAGCTTGCCAAGGCTCAGCGCCAGAACCGTCCCATCCCCCAGTGGATCCGCCTGCGCACCGGCAACACCATCAGGTAAATCACACCGCGAATCCAAGCAAATCCAAACCTACGTCCAGAATCGGGACCGTCTATGCGGGAGGGAAGGAGCAAGCGGGAGAGCCGGAACGACCGCATAGACCAGCCGATCTGGTCGCTTGGGCAATGCAGAGGTGGAATCAAGGCTGATGCATTATATCCAGATACAACGCCAAGCGTCGCCACTGGCGCAAGTCTACCCTGAAGGTCTAAGAGGCCCTCAGATCACCTCGTCCGGTCATCCTCAAACTGTTCAGCAATGTCTACGCGGGGTGTATAGGTTTTCGAACCTTGATGACGTGACGCCCACACCGGAATTCTTCGATATCTGAGAGCGCTAGTCGATGTGGAACTACTCTTGAGTTGCAGACAAAAAAATTTACATTTCAATCCGGGTCCGTCGTGCTTTTCTTAAGATGGCTTTCTTCGCGGTTTCCGAGCGGAGTTTCCTAAGGCCCTTGTCTGCGGTGTCGGGTGCTCGTCTTCGGGCGGGCTTGTAGGACGGCATGGGGATTTTTTTTTTCTTTTTTGATACAAAATTTATGGATTCGAATTGGATACCCTGCCTGTTGGTTGTAGAATGCATGTTCCCGCTGGGCTGTTCTACGTAGTTGTTCTACGTAGTACTTGCCAGTACACGACCTCGGGAGCTATTAGATTCGATCTACGGAATGGGACTGGGCTGTGTCGTCATAGCCGTAAGGAGGCTCATTGATCGAACCCCGCCTTTGAACCCCCAAAGAAGCCAAGCAAAAGAAAATTGTCGTAATTTGGTATTGGTGTCTTGAGGACAAGTACTCGTTATTGAACTGGGGCAGAGCAACGCAGAAAGTGACAGAAGAAAGGGAATAAGACCGACGCCTTGTCGTGAGGGTTATCCCGAATCCAAAGATGGTCGTTAGGGCGAAAGAATATCATTCCAATTTTGAAAAGCAAATGAAGCGGGGAAGCCATTTAGCGGCTATTCAGCGTTAGCATGGAAACTGAAGGTGAAGGTTCAAGAGACTTACTCCTCGGCCCACTCGTTCTCCCGGCGGATCTGATCCTCTTCCTCGGGGGTGAAGTCGTTCTGAATGTTGAAGGTCTTGCGGATCTCCTCGGGGGACTTGCCCTTGATCATGTTGGCCACGGTTTTGCAACCAACATCGAGAAGAGCCTTGATATCGAGGTAGTTGGCAGCCTGGGGATGATTAGCGAATGTGTAGAAATACCCGAAGCCCATGGACATACAAGAATGATCTCGAAGAGCATCTCCTGGTCGACCTGCATGAACTTCTGGTCCCACTCGTCAATGTCGGTGGTCTTGCGGCGGTTGTCATCGTCATCGCTGGCGGAGGGGGGGTCGTTCTTGTGGTGCTCACACCACTCGATCACCTTCTTCAGGACGGCCTCGTTAACCTGGGTGATGAGATTAGCTTTGGGGTCTTGGTATTGCGCTGCGGCGGAAACTCACGTTGGGGAGGGGCACAGCGTCGCCAGAATCACCAAGGTCGTCAAGCATGTTCTTGATGAGGACGGATCGCTCCGCAGTGGTGCGATCTAGATGGAGTCAATCAGTGGTCCTCCCGAGGTCTCATAGAAGTGATTTAACTTACCGACACTCATTTCAATGCCATCGGAACTGGTGAGGGTAATGGAGCTCATGATGGAATCAGGCTACCGGATTTGGTTGGTGAAGTGTATGATACCTGAGAGATATCGGAAAAGTTTGAGAGAGGACGTGCCCTTTTGTAGAATTTGTGAAAGACACTTGACGAAGTGAGAGCGATCAAAGACGGCAGGTGAGGTCCACGCTCTGAAAGATTACCTAAGGCACCTTTAGGCAGAGCTCCTTTTGCCCCCCACATCTTCTGTCTATTCCCTACGACTCGATTCCTTTGTCGTTTGCGTAACCTTGAGTGTGTCAGGTTTATCTTTTAATCCTATCCTTTGGTCGATTGCTATATTTGAAGACTTCATAGCATGGCTTCCTGCACAGGTGGAGTGTCCTGCAGTCGCAAAGGGCCTCTAACAAAGCCCTAACACCAGGGATACGTGTCAAATAAGTACACGGAGTACTCCGTACAGAGTATGGTGTGTCCTAAGGTCCTGGGGTGTCAATGGAGTCGCACTTGAAACTGAGATGCATGATCTGTGCTTCTTTGTGGTCGATCTATCGATTCCGGGTCTAGTCCGCACTCCATACACTACTAAGTGCTAGTCAAAGAGTGTTACCGCACACAAACAAGAAATGAAGAGAATCTAGGGCAGCAGCAATATGAATGAAAGGAGTGAAATTGCCATATGGAAACTTCTGGGTGAAATAGGAAGAAATAAGGCTTAAGGGCTCCTTTGTAAGATTACTACTTCAGCTGCGGACCTCTGATATCATCGGACGATACGCGTCTCGCTGTTCACTTTAGCGGCCCCCCCTTCCACTCCTTTCTTTTTTTCAGCTTTCTTCTCTTGATTGTTTTTTAATATCTAATGATGTTCCTGTGGAACGATGTGGCGACGAACATATCTCCTACTATTGCTGATTCGCGTGTACTTTGCGCTATCACCCAGCTATCTACACCCAGATGAGAACTTCCAGGGCCCAGAAGTATTTGCAGGTATGTCTGAGTGACTCTGAAAGACCGGGAATCTCATCAAGTCTCACTCGCGACCGAGATGACGCGCTTGGATTGCACATGCGATTTCAGAAAAAGATCCCAAACAAAAAATCGCAACCCGGCTGTCCCGCGCCGTACCTCTGATACGAGAAAAAAAAAAACATAAAGCAAAATACTGACTACGTCGCCTGAACAGGTCGCATACTCTCTTATCCCTCTAAGCTACCATGGGAATTTACGGTAGACAATCCTATCCGCAGTATTTTCCCACTATGGGCGACATACGAGTTACCCATGAGCCTCTTGCAATGGTTCTACACTGAGATCGGGTCCGGCAGCCCACCACCAGAACAGGTCTATTACTTGCTGCGTGGTGTGATGTTTCTCTTGAGTTTTGTGCTGGAAGATTGGGCGATCTACGAACTCATGCCTTCCCCGCGCCACCGCCGCGCAACAGTCGTTCTGGTGGCCTCGTCCTATGTCACCTGGACATATCAGACGCACACCTTCTCCAACTCCCTGGAGACACTATTGGTGGCCTGGGGACTGGTGTTGATTCGGCGCATTGTGGAAAATAAGGTGCGATCCCATAGCTCAAGCACGAGCCATTCATCTAACCTTCTCATTAGCGACGCTCGTCCTTCTTCTCCCACGCTGTTCTCGCCTTCATCGCCGTCGCGGGCGTCTTCAACCGCATCACCTTCCCAGCTTTCCTCCTCATTCCAGGCCTACAATTGCTTCCTCATTTCCAGCGCAAGTACGTCAATCATACCATTTCCAGCGCAAGCCCCTCCTAACCACAACAGACCCACCTCCCTTGTGGCATTCGTCGCCTTCGGTTTGCTCTTCTCCGCCATAGCAGTCGTCACGGACACGGCCTTCTACCGGCCGACGTCAAGCCTGCTCGAGAATCTCCGCAACCCCATCATCACCCCGCTCAACAACCTTCTTTACAACAGCGACACCTCAAACCTGGCCCAGCACGGCCTTCACCCCCACCACCAACACTTCACAGCCAACCTCTTCCAGCTCCTCGGTCCAGCCTATGTAATCATGCTCCTCTCCATCTTCAAAAAACCGATGCACAACATCCGCGCCCTATCCGCCCTCTCAGCAACAACCCTCCTCTCCCTCTTCCCCCATCAGGAGCCTCGGTTCCTCCTCCCCTGCGTCCCCCTCCTCCTAAGCTGCATTCAGATCAAAAAGCCCCTCGTTCTAGCAACCTGGGTCATTTTCAACGCTGCCATGGGCTTCCTCATGGGCGTCTACCACCAAGGCGGCGTGGTTCCCGTCCAACTCGCAATTCCAGATATCTGCCCCTCCCAAGCCACAGTCTTCTGGTGGAAGACCTACTCCCCGCCCCTCTGGCTCTTGGGCGAAAATCCTCTGATCACGACTCGCGATCTGATGGGCTCCCCTGGGGCGGAGCTAATGCACCATCTCGACCTCTCTGTGCCTGCATGCGGTGTGAACTCATCCACATACCTCGTTGCGCCTACATCGGCAGAATTCCTAGATGCATACGTCGGGAAGGAGACGAGTCTTCACCTTCAGTTGCTGTGGTCGTATCGCAATCACCTTAACTTGGATGATTTGGATTTTGGGGAAGATGGCGTCCTGCCAACGCTGAAACGTGTCGTCGGTAGACGTGGATTGGGTGTTTGGGCTGTTGAACGGTCTTGTGAATAGTTTGCATGGTCTTTGATTTCATTTCGGTGTTAGGTGGTAGTTTTGATTCTCCATATATCCCCGGTGAAACATATTGCAACGTTAATTTTTTTTTTTTTTTTTTTTTTTTTTTTTTTTTTTTTTTTTTTTTTTTTTTTTTTTTTTTTTTTTTTTTTTTTTTTTTTTTTTTTTTTTTTTTTTTCGGCATGGTGTATTGGGTTAGGGTTAAACTAAAGGACAATATACCCATCTGCATTGAGCGAACATCGAGATATTTCGTATTCATGGTAGTAAATACTCGCCAAGATGCAGACACACTTGCGCCTAGATAGAATACCTAGGTGCTAAAATCTTAATTCATGGATTGATTGGCTTTTACCTACGGGGTAGGTATTCTGCAGCCATCAAGCTTGACCCCGTGCTTAGGGGATGCGGACCTCCCGAGGTCGGGACCAATGTGATGTTAGTACGAGTGCTTACGGATGTCATGCGCGACTCCAGGTTGGCATGCATGTCTCATGTCGATCGATCTATGTACCGACTCTTACGGAAGGAAAATGTACCAGACGCATATGTAGTCCGTTGATCTGACTGCTTCTGCGGGTTCAATAATTTGCGGAACTATATACATCCCAACGACCTCGGGATCTGCGAGCCCGCGCTGGAGGGGTCATATGTCATGAACAACGCATGACCATGTCTAAACCCCGACCATATGACCACCTCTACGACTACTACGTACATGATTTTCCTGTAGAAGCTGTGGTTGGCGTTTAGGCTACACATCCAGTACGGTGTACAACGAACAGGTCTCATTTTGCCCACTATTGGTAGATACACGAGAGATGGACGCAAAGAGCCAGGTTCAGGGCAATAATCTCGGGGCGGAGCGATGTCGTTCTCGAAAGTAGGAGAGATGGGAATCAATTCAAACAGCATGCTTGGTATTCATCACAGAACATAAAGTAAGATAAGGATCTTAGAGGTTAGACGAGATAGGGGGAAGATTTTACTCATGACTCTTCGCTTTAATCTTCGTCCTCATCAGGCTGGTCAAACAGGAAGTTTGCGGCCAACTCCTCGTTTTTGTCGCAAGCAAAGTATGCCTGGATGACCGAGTCGCGGGGGAAACCGAGACGGCAGAGCTGGAAATTGTTAGACCAAGGATCTTTCAGGGGTAAAATGAAACATACACGTTCAATCGCATCGCGCTCCTCTTCCGTGACAGAGATAGCCTGCGCACCAGGTGGCAGAGCACCCTCATCATCCTCCAGCTCCTCTCCGAGAAGTTGCAGGAACTGTTCGGAGTTCTGACCGATGATCGAAGCAATCTGAGGATTCCCAGCGGCGACCTGCTGCAGGATAGGCTCGAGCATGTGGGGCTGTTGTTGGACCAGCTGGCGAAGTTGCTGGAAGTGAGGGTTGCTGCGAAGGAACTCAAGGCTGCCGCTGCTGAGAGATTCACCCCCAGCGGCACCGGCGCCAGCACCAGCGGCACCAGCACCACGGGGCCGGCCACCCTCACCACCAGCTTGGGCAGCAGCCTCGAAGAGGTTCAGAGGCTCCTCGCCACCAGTGGCAGCGGGGGCGCCCGTAGACGCGGGCTGTTCAGCTTGTTGCGGTTGTTGTTGCTGTTGCTCCTGGATGTTTTCGGGGATTCCCTGTGACTGTGAGCAGACATTCCAAAATTGGGGGGATACCGGAAAAGGCTTACGGTCAGAAGGTATTCAATGGCACGGTCAGGGTTATAGAATGCAGCGCGCATGGCGCGGTCAATATCAGTGCGGGCGAAGCCCATAGCTTCCATCTGTACAACTGCGCCCTCGGCGGCGGAGCCCATGGCCAGGGTCGAGGGGTCACCGAACGCGGGGCCAGACTGAGCAGCACCGGCTGGAGACGGTGTTGCGGGGGCAGCAGCTGGAGGAGGAGCAGAGGCAGCCTGGGGAGCTGGAGGAGCAGCGGGCGTAGAGACAGGGGCTCGAGCAGCTGGAGTGGCGGGGGGTTGGGAGGAGGCAGCGGGGGCCTTGGGTTGCTAAGGATTTGGTCAGACCTCATTCGAGGATCGAGCAATGAGCTCGCATAAGGCTTGATATCATACCTTTTGAGGCAGACAGACTAGAAAGTCCTTTTCTTGGATGTTGTAAGATTCAACGGTCTTGTCATCTTGAAGAATCTTTCCTACATTGAGCGAAAAGTAGCGGTTAGTCGAGAACCTTGAAGCCACGATTGGGCGTGGACGGTAATCGATGATAGGTCATACCAGAGTAGATGACCTTCATGCGCTCGGCTTCATATTCGCCCTTTTCTTGGGCGATCTTGGCCTTGACCTCGCGAACCTAGAGAGATGAGCCCCGCACCCGATGACGCTGAGCACAGCTGAGGGTATCGACATACAGTCTCAGAGGGTTCGACATCGATGACGAACTTCTCTTGCTTTAGATCCTACAGGCGATGATTGTCAGCTCAGAGTGCTTAAAGTGGGGACCCAAGGGCAAGTTTTCGAACCTTGAAAGTGAGCTTCATTTTGCCGCTTTTATGAAAGATCAAGGAGAAAGCGGAAGAGAGAGGTGACGAGTAGAGGGGGGGAGGGAAAAAAGAACCGAGTTTGACACAGTGGATCTTCCCGTTGAAGTCGAAGAAGGAAGAAGAAAAGAGACGAGGGGAGCCGATAGAGTGACGATGATGCAGCAAACGAGTGCGGGCGGTGGCACGGATTGACCGCCTTCATCTTTCAGGTACGCATTGCTCACTTCCTCTGGCCTGCTCGACCCCAAACGATAGTTCTCTCCATTTTCTCTTTAGGGCTTTGTTCAATTAACGTTTCTGAGTAGGCACACCAGTCCTTGCAGGTGCCTGATTCAACGGGGGGCATCGTTCGCTCCCTGGCCTGCAGCCTACATCAGGCAGACGCAGTCAATTGATGGGAGATGCAGATCCAACGTTCCAGAGACTCCCAATGACATCAAAGTTATTTCGAGGGCTTCCCGATTCGACCGAATTGATCCTCAACATGTAGGATCGAGCGAGCGCCATTGCCTCCGGTGGACCGTGTCCATAGTATCTATTGCCCCCACACGAAAATTATTGCATATGGGAACTTGAAAGGGCGCGCAAATCAGATTTATGCCGTTGGGCACGGAATACTCCGGGATCCCTCCAGGGTATGTATGTACAGGAATCGGTTTTCCCCAGGAATTCTTTGAATGCATTGGTCGGAGATGCAGATGTAAAGTTTGACAACTAACGCCAGTCGTGATATGGGTACTCCGTACTGTGGCTTTAGTTCCTTCGCATATATTTCTCCGTACTCTGTACCGTACATATGCTTAGGCCTGGCTGAAGCTCCAGGGCTTTCTGTGTCGGGTACTCCGTGCATGGTAGAAAGATCCAGAGGTCTCGTTCAACGTGGGCGTGAATAAAGGAGTCCTTGCATCCGCCTGTCTTGTGGATGATATCCGATCTCTCCTTGCAATCTACACTGATACAAGATATTCCAGACCAGTCCTAGAGACTTCGGCTCACTGCAAAAATGACCGGAATTGATATTGGTTGATATCTTGCGCGCTTACTTGAGCATTTCCACTCTCGCAGCAACCATTTTCACCCTATCCCTTGCCCTGAGGAAGTTAGTGACTCTTTCAAGGATCATCCTTAGTACCCGGTCATAACCCCTGTGCAGACAATATGGCACTCCATTTCAGAATAATAGCACGGAGTACTAGGTAGGGATCATGAGTTTTTTCCGTAGGGGGATTCCTATGCGGAGAACAGCACTAGTATTTCAACCCTTGGAAGGTTGTGTTCTGACCCTAGCTCTCGGATAAATAAGGATTTATACGGAGTACACCCAACGAGCTCAGAGCTCGGAGTTCGGAGTAGATTCTATCACTTTGAGCTTCAATGTACAATAAACCGAGACTGTCGATTGGTACACCACATCTATCCTCATTCCAGAGTTTGTTTTTTCTTTTTTTCAATATACAATTCTACTTGGCACCTGAGCTGGGCAAAATAAAACACGCACAGACCACCCATGGACCCATTGTGGACGGTGTTTGAGGATCTCAAATCTTCAATGCCACTATTCCGTACAGAGTATGGCTCCATACCTATCTTCATACATTTTGTATGTGCAATCTAAAATTGATTATGAACCCATGATCTCAGGGGATCCCCGGAGCTTTTTTCTCTTCTTCCTTCTCGCAAGGGGGACGGATAGATCACATTTGAACAGCGCTATTGAGATCGGGTGGGAGGATCCGCCAGCTCTAGTCCCAGAGGGCCGGGAAATCGATCCACACGACTGACAGATCAGAAATAAAGTGCCATTGTTCGGGCGATTGACCAAACTATCGGAACCACTGGACAAAGGCACAATGTCCTCGCCTCTAATTGCTCGGGGCACGACATTTGTCAATATCGAGGCACTTGATGCAGCCTGGACCGCGGCATCTCTTTTCCGCAGCCAATCGACAGAGCTCCAGTCTTCCCCAGTCTGTCTCAATCGCACAATTTGATTACGCTGGGGCTGATGGATCATACCGATCTTTCGATCCTTTGGGCAAAAAGTGACAGGTTCAGACGGACTACTTCCCCGGCCGATATACTTTGAGCCACGCTGAGAGTGCAGCGCCCCGTCCCGTGTGCGAACCCAATATGTCGGCGTGCCAGATAAATACTCCTGTGCTTCCCTCTCGGACCTGCAGCACCTTCACACTCATTGCCTGCATTGGCGAACGTCTTGGATTGGCAGTCTGCCAACGTTTGACAACAACCCTCTTTATACGTTGTACAAGGCCGCTCGTTGTCAAGTCCTTCTTTGTATTTCATAATGTCCACAATGCCGTCTTTGCCCTACACACTGGCGGGAGCCTCATTGCTCTCAACGTTCATTGTCACCATCTTGAATGGGATCTGCTTTGCAACCTCACAAGCCTCCGCGGATGTGGTCACAATCATCCTCAGTGCGATGGGCTGCCTGGCCCTGATAACCCTCGGTGTTCTCCATCACAAGAACATCCAGAGGGGCCGTGTCCCCTGCACCTATCTAACTGGTGGATATTTACTGATTGCTGCGGTGGCATCAGCCGGTGCAATGGCATTGAGCCCCCAGGGCACCGTGTTTGTGACTCGATCTGTCTTCTGGGCTCTATCAGTCTTCATACAAGGCCTCTACTGTGGATACATTACCACAGCCCTCTTTCAAGCCCATTCCAGCCCTGAATGGCCACGCTCCTACAGCCACGAGCTCAAAGACATGCCCGAGAGCCCTACGCTCATCCCAGCACCACCGCGAGTCTGCGATCTCTCCGAACTCTTCGAGCCCAAGCGAACTTCACTTCGTAAATATCCCCGGCGCTCCAGCCGCTACTCCGATGCAACACTCTGCCCATACGAAAAATCCGAAACCAAAAACAACTCCATCGACACAACATCTACCCATTCACCCCCGTCTCCAACAGACAAGACAACCCCAGCTCGGCCGCTTCGCGGCAGTAATAGCATTCGCAGCATGTCCAGTTCACGCCGCAATGCTCCTACGCCACTCTCTCTGGACAGCGCTGTGGGCCCGCTCCCCTCACCATCAGCCACTCTCGTCGATTCTCCAACTACAAAGCCTGTATCAAATCCCAACTCGACCTGGGAATACAATCCTTTCCGCGAAAATAACATCCACCCTCTCTTCCGCTCCAACAGCCCTTGTCCCTCGCCTACTTTGAACCCCGGAACTGTTGTCAAAGCCTCTCCTTCGGCTGGTCAGACTATTCCGGCAGGTACGATTACACGCATGCGTTCTGCACGGTCGCTGCGGGAGAGTAGGACACCCTCGCCGCTAGAGGAGAGGAAGAGCGTGCGATATGACTTGAACGAATCCCCTTATGAAAAGTGAAGGATGCCATTGGCACACCCTTTATATGACTTGCTATGCTATGCTTTGTTTTATTTTGTAACTATCTGCGCTTGATCTTTGACTTGTTTGGTCTTTGAGGTTTTGTTGAGGTTTGATGTTTTTGCGTTGAGCTTTGCGTTGTATATGTTTGGAATGTATATAGGAATGAGAGCTTGAGGGGGTCGGGCTTGGGACTGGGTTTAATGGGTATATCCGAGTGGCATTGCAATTTCATTTTCCGTTTGGTGTACAATCACAATTACATCTTCTATTGCGTCTTCGTACATACTGGCCAATGGCGAGGTCAATGTTGCAACGTCCGCATCCGTTGTCACCGACTCTTAAGGCCAAGTGGGTCGGTGGAACATCCTTATTTTTTTCTGTCTTTTGTCGGACAGTTGGGGAAAAAGTGTATAGCACATGGAAACTGAAGAGATAGAACCCGGATAAAGATCTTGTATTCATTCTTCTATCACCGAGCACTTCAGGCCAGTCCACCTTAGAAGAGCCTTGTGGTCAAATGCTCCGGTACTTGTGTGCCGGAAGTGGCTGGGGATCGGAGATGCACCTGGGCACGTACAGGCAAGGATCTATGGTATACGGAGTAGGGTATGGAACAATGGTATAAGGGAATGGGCAGCAAGAAGGAATTAATTGAGGTCTGAGAGATTCTGTATTGAGGCCTGGTACTCCGTAGTCTGATCCTATTGTTCTATTAGGCAGTCATGAGCTCCGATGGCGTGTCGCCAGGCCAAAACCACCACGATGAGAAGAATAGGATTGAAGGGAACTTGTATTCTGTATTCAGGCCTCTGTATTCAGAGTCTCTAGATCTCTATATTCATGTAATTCGTATTCCGTGTCGGTGGTCTATCACTATGAGACGGGAAGGTTCTCAGCTAATCATCCACTGTTTTGGCCGTTTTTCCTCTTCTCTCTCTCTATCTCTCTACGTCTTTTCCATCTTCCTGGGCCTTTTCTTTTCTTGTTCCTGTTTTCGCTCCCTCTTCTAGACCTAGTCTGGAGGTTACCCTGTTCGCTTTCTGCTGTTCTACTGTCCCGGCTTCCGCCCCCATTTTTTTTACATTCCCGTTTTCCCCATCCACCCGGTCAAATCCTGACTAGACATCTCTTTCCATCGCTTTTTCCCCCGGTAAGTTCTCATCGTGATCGTCATGATCTTCATCTGTTGCCCCCTGTCATTACTTCCACTTCTCATCTTTCCTTCCACCTGGCGCGCCACTGAACACACCCTGCCCCAAGCCTGTCCCTGATCGCGTGTTCTGTTCTGCATTTGTATTGTTTCGTCTGCCAAGCCTTGCGTTTTCTGCGCTGTACTCGACGTTTGTCCTATTGTCGCGACAGTAATCCGTTCTTGTTTCGTTCTGTTCTGTTACTCTCTGTCCACTCCACTGGTTCACCCTCATTCCCTTGGGTTATATTGCTGCTATCTGATTGGAATCATCCTTTGAATTCCCCTGCGGCGCTTTCGATGTGTGGTGCAATTTTCCCATGTCGTAACCGTGTCTCTCTCCACACCCCCTTGCTGCTACTGGATTTTCCCCGTTCTCAACGCTAATTTTCTCCCAAAGAACAACAGCGATGGTGGGAAGAAGAAAAAATCGTGCGGCTGCACAGCCTGCCATCCGTACTCCCAGCATATCTACGCGTTCAGGGCGCACAGCTCAAGGTAGGTTCCTCACCTCGCTGGCGGTGCAATAACTAAGCCGTGTATAGATGTCATTGCCACTCCTACCCGCGGCAGAGGTCGCGGCAGAGGTCGTGGTCGCGGTCGTGGCCGCTCCAGCCTGCCTGGGCGTCTTCCATCCAGCATTGAAACGCCAACTGAAACCCAGTCACTAATTGTTAAATTAAAAGTTCCTTCATTGTACTTGCTGGAACGTTCCAATTCTATGGACACTGATGTGGATGAAAGCGCATCAAATGCCATGCAAACTCCACACACTCCGCGAACGCGGCGGCCCCGGCAGCCAAGGCCTGTGCCCGAGTCTTCGCGGACTACTCGGCAATCAGCCAGATTGAAGCCCAATGATGATGGGACCTTCTCGGAAGATGTTTCGCCCACCAAAGTTGTCGAGCCCGATTTCAGTCACCAAGATGTTGACATGGATGATTCGCAACAATACGATGACTACAAGTCTGAACCTCCCATCTCAAAAACTTCCCAATCACCCGAACCTCGCATGGTTGCTTCTGCGCCAGCGTCCCCTTCAGCCGGTCAACTTGGCGCTGCCGATGAGTTATCCGATGCAATGCCTCATGATTTACCTGAACCAGCCAAAGCCAAGGATGAGACTCCTGCCGAGAACATCAATATTGCCGATTTCGAGCAGGCACCTTTCAGTGCAGTTTCAACGCCTCGCCTGTCCCGCAAACGCAAGTCAATTGAAATGGCAGATGATACACCGGAAGTTGATTCCGAAGACGTGATTAATAAAAAGTCTCGGAATGATGAGACCGAACCCGAGGATACACCCGACAGCCCCATGCAAAATGGCACAGATATTGACACACAAAATGAAACATCGCCTGAGGATATCCCTGTTCCTTCTGAGGAGTTTGATCCAACGAGCCTCCCGCCTGCCGTTCGAGGAGGCCGAGGTCGCGGAAGTCGCGGTGGTCGTGGCCGAGGTCGTGGCCGGGGTCGGGGTCGTGGCAGCCGTGGTGGCTTTGTTGGCCCTATTCGTTCAGCAGTTGCAAAGCCCCGTGGAGGCCGCGGGCGTGGTCGAGCTAAACAGACTACCATCGTCAAGCGTGGCAAGAGGATCGAAGATGAAATCTGGGACTCCGAACTCTGGCGTGGCCCTACTCCATCGCCGACTCCCGAATCACAGCGAACAAAAGATCGCCAAGAAGAATTATCAGTACTCTTCAAAAAAGTTGGCCACGCACAGCAGATTGCCCTGAGCTTAATTGCGGACCAAAACATGCACAAACTTGCTCGCGAGAAAAATGCCCACAAGGATTGTCCTGAATTCGCTCATATTCAGCAGGAACTGGACGGGCATCAGCGCAAGGCAATTGATAGGATAACGGCTCAGCACCAGCTGAAGACTACATTGGAGATTCAGAAGCGTGATGCCAAACTTCACATTATCAAGGATACGGCAGCGGTAAGTTTTGACATACGTTTTTCCAATCTGAATAGCTCTGACTCGTGCCAAATAGCATCTCATTGAAGAAGTTCAAGATGAAATGACCACCATGCTTATGGGTAAAGTGATGGCATTAATTCAAGGCCGCAAGATTGCCGAAGATGACGAACACACAGAGGTATGAGCACTCGACTCCAAACAAATGACCTTACTAACAGCCATTAGACCGATACATCCGACTCTGAGAAGTCTGAGAAAATATTCCTCTTCCGTGATGGCGACAAAGCCGCTCGCCAGGTCGAACGTGGCTTTGCCGCCGAGGCAGTCCGAGACCCAGAAGGGGCGATCGACTTCGACGCAGCGGTGGACGGCTGGGAAGAATTTGTCCAGAAAGTCCGCATGGGCAATCTTTCTGTCGCCAACGAGCTCACTGACGAGGATGCTCTACGACAAGTCACCAACACCGCTTTCCAAAGCATGCTCCACGCAGCAACCTTTATTACCGAGACCGAAGCAGCCGGCAAAATTATCTCACTTGACGGGACCGTTGAAGTTCCCGTTGACCCCCGCGCCCTCTCCATCTTGGCCGACACGGCCCTGGCCGAGCCAACGGTCCCTCACCTCCCCATGATGCGCACCGATCCCATGCACCGCATGATCCCCCAACAACCACACCAGGTGCACCTGGGTCCCACCGACCCTCGATCCTTTATTCTCCCCCGCCCAACCCCAACCCAGCCGCGCCGCCTTCTCCCCGCGCGCGGCATGGGCCTCCCGGACCCGTTCGCCATGAACGGTCCACCACAGCTCCCGCCGCCGCCAGGCTCCAACTTTGCCCGCCTGCCAATGCCAGGCTATCTGCCCCCACCAGGTCATGCGCCAGGTCATCCCACAGCCCACGCCCCTGGGCCGGGTCACCCACCCCCAGGACATGGGCCTCCGGGTCCTCACTCCTTGTATTTCCCGCCGCCGAGCTCACACCCGCGCCGGTACTAGACTTGTACCATTAATTTCTCGTTGCAGCGTTCCGTTTGATACCACGCTTTATGTATTTATTTAATTCTGTCTTCTCCCGGTTTGTGTGATTAGTTTGCAGGGAAGAGCGAAGAGAATGAAGAAGTTTCTCGTTCCACTCACATTCAGTCCATGTAGATTTGGACAGCAACTTTGGAAGTTCTACCGAAACAGTAGATGTACAAGCCGAGTTGAGCCTTAGGGATTGGCAGATCCAAGACGGATCTGAAGTTAAGCCCAGATGAACCCCGGGGTCTACAATAAGTCTCGAAGCCCTCCCCGTGGACTTGTTATCACTTCAAGTACCATTGTCTAGCTATCACATTTGACCTCAGAACAGGAGTTACACCTCGCGTCAGAGTAGTCGAGTCATTAGCACTGTTTGTAGGGCCCTTGCAATTGAGCCATATCATGAATACCATCCATGCCTATGTACACATGTAGAGAGGGAATCGAAGTTCCTTCAATGTTGCAAAAATAGGCGTGTTTGTAATCAACGTGTTTCCCTTCAGCCCTGGAGGGCTTCATATATCCATGGATATAGATTCTTAATACTTTTGAGCGAATCTCTTGAAGATGAGCAAATTGATCATATGGTTTTAGCAGAGTCGGTAGTACTGAAGTAGCCTTATGTCTATGCTAGATCCTATAGTAGATTCATGAAGAGATCTCCCAATCCAGGCTCTGAAAGGGGTACTGTGGCGATCATACCAAGCTTGAAACATACGAGACTAATGCACTGTCTCCCAAGACAGGGGATGAGTCTATAGAAAGTCGAATGAATCATCAGCATGAGACACAATGAGTCAGTCGGATCGAGGTACTGGTACTTATTCTAATATGTGCAGATACACACTAAGCTAAGTACCAGTACATCTTGCAGCCCACCTCTTCTCGCCTCTGCGGCTCCGGCGGGGCAAAGGCAGAGACCGAGCTGATTGGACCGAGCTTTCTTCTTTTTTTGTCGCACGTCGCTGCAATTATTTATCTGGACTTCAGCGCTTCTTTCGAATCACGATATCCCAAATTTCTATTCCAGACGGTGCTCTGCTCTGCTTCGCTGCTCCGCTCTACCCCGCTCTCACCGCAGTTTTTTTCTTCACCATTCCGGACACTACCCTGCAACAAGACTGAAAAAAAAAAGATGGCTGTCCGCGCGCAATTCGAGAACTCCAACGAGTAGGCCTACCCGCTGCGGATTTGCATGTGCTGAACTGACAATCACTAGGGTCGGCGTCTTCTCCTGCCTGACAAACGCCTACGCCATTGTCGCCGTTGGTGGATCTGAGAACTTCTACAGGTAACGTCTTGAGCGAAAACCCGCAAGCAAAAAGCCAGACAAGCTGACCCAACGAAGCGTTTTCGAGTCCGAACTCCAAGATGTCATTCCCATCTGTCATGCCACCATCGCCGGCACCCGAATTGTCGGCCGTCTCGTCGTCGGGTGAGTTGAGAAACAGACTCCAACCCACGAACCATCTAACACCAAATGCAGTAACCGCAAAGGACTTCTCGTGCCCACCACAACCACAGACCAAGAACTGCAACATCTGCGCAATACACTGCCGGACACGGTGAAAATTCAACGGATAGAAGAGCGTCTCTCGGCGCTCGGTAACGTCATCTGCTGCAATGACCATGTCGCAATCGTGCACCCCGATCTGGAGCGTGAGACCGAGGAGATGTAAGTTTCCGATCTCCGAATGCAAGACACATAAAACTGACAAGCGCAGCATCGCCGATGTTCTCGGTGTAGAAGTCTTCCGTCAAACAGTCGCCGATAACGTCCTAACGGGCTCGTACATGGCTCTCTCCAACCAAGGTGGTATCGTGCACCCCAAGACCTCCATCCGGGACCAGGATGAGCTTTCCTCCCTGCTGCAGGTCCCTCTTGTCGCTGGTAGTGTGAACCGTGGATCGGCTGTCGTTGGTGCCGGTATGGTTGTGAACGACTGGCTTGCCATCACGGGTCTGGACACCACTGCTACGGAACTGAGCGTTGTGGAGTCTGTGTTCCGTCTCGGTGAGATGGGTCCTGGCGGTGCCGGTGCCGCTGGTGTGAATAAGGACAGCATTGTCGAGAGTTTCTACTAGATTTAGGTACCCCTGGTAGCCTTGGGTTTCTTCACGCTGAAATGATCTTTCTTTTCTTTGGCATTCATTGCTTGTGTTTTGGATGTAGTAGGCAGCGGATCTTTTCATTTGGTTACCATATGGAGAGAAAAAAGTCTGTCTTGAGCTTCAATGTCCATGTGACCCACTCCGCCTATTGTACAAAACGAATCAGATAGAAACTAGAAGCCGAACGGATGCAAACTATGGTGGCAAGCAACTGGGGCTCGGGGGGTATTGACAAAAGCTAAGAGCACAGATAAAATGGCACAAAATAACACGGTAGAAGCAAAGTAATGCACAATCTCAATTCCCTTTCTCGCTTTTGGGGGGTATGAATGCAATTAAGAACCTATTCCTCGGTGCTGGTCTGTGGGTTCTGGGTCGGTATCTCCATATTAACGTCGGTGTCCTTAGGGGAGGTGTTGTTTTCTCCCATTTTGGTGTCGCCGTCACCGTCTGGTGAATCGGCAGGGGGAGGGGGAGGAGGTGGCGGAGGGGGCGTGGATTTCTGTCGTTTGGAGGGTGATATGTCACCATCGTTTGCACCGTCGACGTTCAGAGTTCCCTCGCGCTTTCGCTTGAGAGAGGCCTCTTCGTCGTCGGGAGATGGCAAGGCGACTTCATCGTCGAGGATTTGGGCGTCACCGTCGACATCGGCATCAACGTCGGGGACTGGAGTCGCATCCTCTGACTTCATAGACTTGCGCTTTTCGCGAGTCTCATATTTGCTTGCGGCTTTGTCGAAGAAGGACTTGCAGTAGCTTTTGACGGTCTGCTGGTGCTTACTGCTGACCTTGGTGGGATCGGTCACGCGGTTCTTCTTATAGTCGCTTTCCACAAGCTTCTTCGCAGTCTGGCAGATCGATTAGCTTTCCATGCAATTCAAAAGAGAAATTGGTCTCTTACCTCTTTGGCGAATCGTTTCAGATCATCTTTTGGGATCTTGTGTTTGTATTGGTCAACCACACCCTTGATATGTGGGAAAAGCTTGTAGATTGTTAGCGCTGGCCGCACTCCATACTTCCATTTCCTGAGCTGATACTCACAGTATTTTCGTATATCTTTTTCTGTTTCTCCAAGGGGAGCTTTCGCCACTTCTCCACCTCCTTGCTTTTCTTCTCTGGCAGGTCTGCCGGTTGAGGAGTAGCCGGAGTGTCAGTCTTATTTTCAGAAGGTGTGTCTTCCTGCGCGTTCATGATTCCGTCGATGATGCTCTGCAGTGCGAGATTCTGCTGGTTCTTAGAGGGTTGGCCCGGAGTAGAAGCGGCTGGCGTATCAGGGGCAGTAGGGCGCTCCCACGTTGTCTTTCCGGACCTGGAATAGTAGTATGTACGGCCATCTGAATCTGCGGCGTACCACCCCTCAGGTAAGGGCCGAGGGCCACGGCGATTCTGTTGTCTAGGTCCACGCTGGGGGCCCCTGTCACGTCGTTGCTGCGATGGACCTCGGGGAGCATCGTAGACTGGTGATGGGGAACGGGTGAGGGATCGTTGACGCTGCTGACCCCCAGTTTCGCGACGCTCAAACTGGTTGATTGCCTGTTTCGCATCTTTTCCACGTTTCATGCGCGGGATTCGATACGCGACTTCCAGCCCAGCCCAGCTCGCAAGCAAGGCGACGGCTTTCTTTGCCACACGATCATCCTCGCAGGTCGTCAGCGGTTGGATATTAGCTTCGATCTTGGAGTCCTGGATCTTGTTTCGCGTGAGACGCGGAAATCCGTCCAAAATGTTCATGATCTGCAGCACGACGTTTTGATCCTCTTTCCATTGGGCCAGCTGTGAATTCAAAATCTGGTATCCGTGCATCCTGACCACGCGGTTGCGCACGCGTTCATCTTCACAGCGTTGGATACGCCCGAGCAATTTGACGGCAATCCATTTTTCCTGGCACTGCACCAGGGCTGCCATGACCTTGGTAACACTATCCTCATCCAAAGTCTTGGGCTGTGCGCTTTCCACATATTCATCATCGTCCTCGCCCATCTTCTTCTTCTTGGGCCGTTTGGCGACCACGGTATCCCAACCGTCTTCTTCGTCATCCATGCCCAAAGCTTCCATGGTTGCGTTGGACAACTTCGTCGCACGCTCGGTCTGAGTGCGTCCACCAATGAAGCCAGTGCACATAGGCTCTCCGCAATAGCAAGGCTGAGGATCAGCGCCATAGCGATCGACATTGTAATTAAAAACCAACTCTTCGCCGGCTTGAATCGATCGTTCAGCGAAGATGCCCATGCGCATCTTCTCCCCAACAACCCACTTGTCGACAAAGCAGTTGGGATTGCAGGAGTGGTTGCAAAACCGTCCGAGATTGCCGCGCTTGGTCGCATCGACGAATTCACCCGTGCTCAGGGACATGAAGTAGAAATGCTTGATTCCCTCATCGTCGTACTGTCGCATACGCTTCCGGAATTGCTGTTCCGCCACAACCTCTCCAACATATTCGTAGATCAAATCGCCCTCGTTGAGATTCGTTTCCGCGCGTAGTCCGAACCCCTTCTTCTCGGTCTTGATCACCGCCACAGAAGCAAATTGACTTTTCTGGAAACGCTGGTTGCGACAATCCGCACCGCACCCGCAGTCGCCCGCACATTCGATCTTGGTAGCGCGATTGATGCAATCGGAGTCTTCGCCACAAGCTAGATTCTGACCCAGATTCGAGTCTACACGGAACGGATCAGTATTCCAAATCGCTCATATCAAGTCTACGGGGGACCGGGTGGCCCAGAATCAATCTTACCCCACTCTTCAGCACAATCGCACTCCATCGCCAGCTCGGTGAACCCCATGTATTTGTTGGCATATACACAGCTGGGGATCTGCTCGAACGTGGCAAGCGCATCTTGGGTGCTATCCGGGAGGTGCGTGTATAGCGGCGGGGGGCGCGACACGCTTGACGAGCTGCGAGACAGCTTCGGCCGCTCATGCTTGATCTCGGGCTCCTCCTTCATCGCGCCGGGTTCCGGGGTTGGAGACGACTCTTCCTTCTTGGGAAGTGGTGATCGGGATGTGCGGGAGGATGGACGCGAGTCGTCATTTTTCAGAGTGCCATTCAGGGAAGATGGCTCCATCTTCAGCTTAGAGTCCGCGTGGCCATGAGACATGACGACACGGACTGAGTTCGAAGCGAGAGTGAGATTCGAATGACTGTCGGACTTAGTGAAAATGAAGCTATCGAATTCTGCCGTGGAAGAGATCAAGGAAGTCGACGAGGACAAAGTCGCATTGAGAGGAAAATAGCCTAATTAGAATCAAACCGAAGCTATTGACATTTCGCGTTCGCTCTCACCGCCCGGTCAATCGGACGTGGAGATACCATTATACCGCGAAGAGAATAGCCGCTCTCCAACTTCTCGGATGGATCGCTTAGCACCTAGTGCACGAGGCTGACACGTTCAACTTGCACTGTTCTGCGCCGCCCGGGCTGTGTTCTGCGAAGTGAAGTCGATCCCGATCGTTCAGATAAGACCAAGTCCAGAAATCAGAAATAACGGAGAAATCGATTGGATGAGAGTCACCGAAAACAAAAGCGCGTCTGCATGTAATCCTTGTCTGTGCGTTACTGTACTAGTATTTTCATAATTTGTGAATACCAGAGTAAATCATCAGGTTGGAAGTTCTCGTCGGGGTGAGATTTGACGGAGTTAGGGTTAGCTGGCTGCACCTGTGCACCCGCAATGGAATATATAACAGTGTAGTATCATATGTTAGCCATCGTATACTCCGCCTGCTCTATGGTCGTACTTAGTACTAATTGTATACTACTTCGTACTAATACCATTTCTCCCCCAAGGTTAATACTGTACGAACCAACGGAGTATACCAGTTCATCAATCTATTCACAGACGCGCTTTTGTTTACGATCCTACCCCTGAAGCTAGCCTCAAACACAATTATGCTGAATATTATTTTCTCAGACCCAACGTCCCGGGCCATTCACACCTATCAGCGCCGATCCTAGGCCCCAGACAGCCCACTGTTTACCCAAAAAGAACCGATGAAACCACAATAACGACACTAAATCCACCTAGTCCACTAAAACCTCCGGGACAGAAAAATGAGAGCCACAAAAAAAGCAGCACAAATCCAGTGGAAAAAACAAGAAACAACGCTTTCTCCCTCTGTCCCTTGGCTCTGGAACTGCCAGGGCCAACCGTTTCCCGAACCTAAGCCCATTCAGACCTACGGCGAGCTACTACAACTGTATAGATCCCCACTCGACCCCTCGATACTCGCCATTTTTAGTGGTAATTTTGCGTCGAAACTCTTCAAAAGATGAAACTGTGATCTATGGGTTTATGTTACCTGTATCGTCCCTGCAGCTTTCCCGCTCTCCTGCGCGATCCCGGCTTGCTCAAGTCGTTTGGCTAGGAAATCTTCCTGAAAAACTTAGGGGACTTTTGAATGCGTTTTGATTCCTTTTTTCCCCTTTTGTTTGGCTATCAAGCCTCCTCTCTCTTTCTGTGTGTCTTTCGTCAGGATATGGGGACATAACTCTCGTTGCGCGTTCGCCTTTCTTTCTTTCTTTACTCTTCTCGTGGTCAATTGGGTCCTATGACCGTGGCCTGTTCGTCCTTTCGATATCTGGGAGGTCTTTGTGTTTGAAATTTCTTCGTTTTTTGGTTTTTTGGTTTTCCTTTTTCCTATTTTTTCCGTGAATCCGCTTCCATGGGATATGTCGAATCCATCTGATAGGCCATGGACCGAAGAGGACAAGGTAAGACTGGCCCGAGAGGTGGGAAATATCGTGCTGATCGTCCAGTATACTCTGCTCACAGAGATTCTAAAGAAAGCCGGAATCCCATCGAGCTATCTGGTCCGCTTGATTAAAGAGCATGGGATCAGTCCAAGCTGGGAGCATATCCCACTACCTCAAGGTATGATCCAATGGCCGGCACCCTTCAGGATCTAACAGACCCCAAGGCCGTTCACTCAGTTCGTGTAAAATGGCCTATCTCAGTATGCTTCAGCAGCCCGCGCATCCACCACATCCGACGCCATTTCCACGCGACACCGGTCCGACAGACATGCGCAAGCGGCCACTGTACCCCTCCGACAAGCCAGTTCCAAGAGCAATCCAGCCCCGGCCACCAGGACCACCACCCAGCGCCGCCTCATACGGCAGCGAAAGTGGTTCATCCGCCCAACTCTCGCCCAGACTAGATATCGGCGAAAAGCCCCGCAAACGAGGTCGACCCAGCAAAGCAGAGACAGAGCGACGCAAACTACTCGCCGAATCCCGCGGCGAGCCCTACCCTGCGCCATCACGACGACCACCTCGAAAAGCTCCCTCACCAACCAGTCCCGTCCCACCTGTGTTTCCGACAAGTTTCCAAAAACCGCCTCAGATTCAACCTCCACCTCAAACTCAAGCTCAGATTCAAGCTGCGCATCCCCATGCGCAAGCGCACGCTCAACCCCAGCCCCAAATGCAAGTTCAACCTCAATCTCAGTCCCAGGCCCAACCGATCTATGAAATGCGCCCTGTGGAGGGCCGCGATATTCAACGTAACATGATGCGCGAACTACCTCGACCCACGGAAATGGGTCACCCACTTCCATCACCTCACGCACTGCAACTCGGTCCTCCAGATGCTTTCCCTAGATCCAACCCCGAGCGCAATTATGGGTTCTTTGAGCGCTCAGATGGGCGTCGAGACTCGGGTAGTCGACCGGAGCATGAAGCAGAGAAACCGCGATGAAAGTCCATTGATGAATTCTTTTTGCGCCATGAATGAATGATGATGAACAATAGACAGCGTTTATTGTGGGGTTCTCGGTCGATCCTAGACTCATAGGAAACAATTTTGTGACGACGTCCGATGATAACGGCTTTCTTTTTAACCAGCGAGTCAATTGTTTTATTTTTGTTGCTGTGTGAAGTTCAACCGATGTTATGCCTTGCATCTGGTTGTCTTTTTCTTTCCCTTTTTTCTTTCTTTGGCCATGTTTTGCCCCAGTGTCTAGCGTGCGTGATGATTGATGTGCTACATGGCGATGGCGGTCCTTTGTGCCTTGGATTCGAGGCCTTATATTGTATTTTACTTTGCTTTCGATTCTGTCTTTGACTTTTATTTTCTTGACTCTCTAGAGATGTCTTACATTCCTTATGGGCTAATAATGACCTGAATCCATTCATATTCACTCATATTCACTCTATACCATGGACGCATGCTCATCATCCGATCTCAAAAAGATCAATTCACTCAACCCTGCCTATGCACCCTCAGACAACTTTCATGAGAGCATGATCGAAAGACATCGGAACCAGTCCGACTATTGTCACGCAGCAAATACAAATGGTGATTCAATACAACCAATCCAAACCGACACCAATGTCATCAAGAGGCTCAAGTTCGTGAGCTTCGATTCCAAATGATATGCAGGTATACAAAAAAGAAATGCAATATCCCCCGAGTCTAAAGAACTAAACATCACACACCTACTTCTTCGCATCAAAATCATCCTGCGGGTACTCTGGACTCCCTCCGTGGGTCAAAAGCCCCTCCGCTTCAAGCGGCTGAGATTGAGGCTCGATTCCAGAAACAGAGGGACGTTTAGGCTCGGGATGCTCTAAGCCTTTATCCGTATCTTCCGAGTCCGCTTGTCTCTTTGGCATGGAGCGGAAGGCATTGACAGCAGAGCCGAAAGCAGAGCCTGCCCTCCTAGAAGCGAGAGCAAACTTTTGCCCAATCTGGAGGTCCAGCGCTTTCTCTTTGGCTAGTCTCATGACCTCATCTTTGTTCTCCACGCGTCGATTCAGATACACCTTAGGACCAGTGTTCTTGTCTTCCAAGTCTTGTTTGATGCGTTCCAGTTCCGAGCGATACGCTGTCTCGTAGATATCAAAGTCCGCCGCGCCGGGTGATTCACTCACCATAGGTTCAGGTTCTTCCTCCAGCCCCTGCTCTTCTTCAAAACCACCTGGCTCTGCGAAGACCTGAGCAGGCTCATCGCTTACTTGGTGTGAGCCAGTATATGTGGATGGCCCAATGAAGAGGAATGGGAACTCCTCTTCAAGTGGATCACGAGCGTGACCGCGTGTCCCTTCCATGCTGCGCTTTGCTGCAGAGCTGGCACGTGATAGAGCTGGAGATGCATGACCTGATCGTGTCTCGACAATGCCGGGTAGTTGACTGCTTGTGCTTTGCCGCGAGGAAATGCTGGTCGAGTCGCTGGATCCTGGCTGAGGCTCGCGGAACCCAGCGAATGGATGTCTAAGAACCTTACGAACGCCTCCTCGTAGACTTGGTTCCCCGACTGCCGGGAAGGGCTCGTCTGGGTCCATCTCCATTGGGGGCTCGACGAAATAGGACTCGTCACCGCCGAGAATGCTTTGGACAGGGGTTTGGGGGGCGCTGGTTTTCGTGGGATCCGTCAGTCGCTTGAACTTCTTGACGGCTTTCATCTGGGGTTTGTTAGCGGAGCTACGTGGATAATTTGCGGATCATGCGTACCACTGTCATCAAGTGACCCATGGTGGTTGTGATGGCGCTGTCCATCTCTTCCTCTGTGGGCGGTGCAATGATTTGCGACGTATTGTCCTCAAACGAAAGTAAAGGGTCTGTTCCATCTTTGGTTACCCAAGGATGGTCCTTTGATCTGTTAGTATAACACGACTGGAGGCCCCGTAAGTGTGGTTAACTTACTCGTAGTCCAAACATGTCGATTCGCTTCTCTGGATCTTTCTCCAAGATTCGGAAGATCAAATCCTTGAACGATTCGTCCTCCTCATTTTCACAAACCAGAGGATCGCCTCTGATACTATCGTACAGCTCAAAGATATTGTGCTTCTCAAAAGGTAGCCTTCCGTATCGAAGGCAATATAGAGTCACACCCATAGACCATATGTCCGTTGCCTTTCCTGATACATCACCATGTTTGACGACGCATAACTCTGGGGGAAGAAATGCCGGCGATCCTGCCGACTTGGCAGTGAACATGTCCGAATCCTTTTCGAACATCTCCGACACACCAAAGTCAACCACCTTCAGCACATCGTCATTAGTGACCAAGCAATTATCCGGTTTGATGTCACGATGAACGATGCCTTGAGCATGCAGGTACTCAATGCCCAGAATCAAATCGCGGAACCAACATCGACAATGTTCGTTATCGTATGGATCCGCCCTTTCTTCCAATCCAACCTTCATAATCACGCCTTTCTTGCACATCTCCATGACCATATAAAGAGAATCTTCCGATGGGTCGTCCAGGACCTCGATCAATGACACCAGATTATGGTGATTGAGTTTCTTCATGATGGCAATCTCCTCCTTGATCAGATACAGAGGGTTCTTCGCATTTTCATTATCGTCCCCCGAAGGGTGACGATGCAAAGGTGAGTTGAAGTCCGTGCCGGGCCGTCTCGGTCCTCTGGGTCGTCGCAGCAGATGCGACTGCGCACGTTTTCTGAGCCTCGACTTTGAAAACTCCTTGACGGCCTAGATCTCAATAAATCCGAGCAATAAGCACACGCACTCTTCAAGTGATGGAGGTCCCGTACATATTCGTTCCCAGATCGATCCGCCGCTAGATGGACGGCACCGAACGAGCCTCGTCCAATCTCTTGCTTGATCACATATTGGTTGATGCGATGTTCAGCAGTACCGTCGTCTTGACTTGTATAGTACTCGGAGCGGGCGTCCAGTGTTTCCTGCACGATATGTCAGTTCCCCGAAGCTGTCACGACGGCGATAAGCTGACCTTCACCGGACGCCTTGCTCTAGGATTTCGCCGTCGGTGTCTCTGGGGAGAATCATATGATGCAGACCTGCAGAGCGTCAGTATGATATATCATACGCAATGAAGTTACTCACGCAACTATTCCCGGCCGTGAATTTAGTTCGGAGGCCTCCGAGTCTGGCGCATTTCCCTCCATTGAATATAGGTGTGGGGTAAAGAGGAAGTTGAAGCGCGGGGTTTCGATAACGTGAGATGCGGCCTGGTCAGCCTTACGCAGAAATAGAGCCCAAGTCTACATGGAGATAATATGAGCCGTAAGAATTGTTTTCTAGGCAGCGCCTTTTGATCTGTTATCGCGGGATTTCACCGCCCCGTCAGCTTCTCCTGAACAACAACCCAACGGGACTTTGGTCACTCGACAACAATGGTCGTCTACTCGTTTTACATCTTCGATCGGCACGGTAAACTCTTCGCTCGTGGGTTCCTGGAGTCTTGAACTGATTCAGCCAGCCGAATGCATCTACAAGCGCCGTTGGCTTCCGCGCCCGACCTCAATCGTGGGGAAATCCCGATCGGAAGCCGCACCCACAGGCCTCGGCCAAACGGTTCGATCGAGCGATGATGATTCGAAGCTGGTCTTTGGAACGGTGTTCTCTCTGCGCAACATGGTGCGCAAGCTGGGGGGTGAAGAGGACAAGTGAGAAACCCGACGCCGTTTGGGCTCCGGTGCTAACAAGGGTCACTCGACAGCTTCGTGTCCTTTACCACCAGCCAATACAAGCTGCACTATTACGAGACACCGACGAATACCAAGTTCGTAATGTTGACGGATCTCAAGAGTCCCAGCATGCGCATTGCACTGCAGCAAATCTACATCAATTTGTTTGTGGAATACGGTTGGTGGAGTCCAGGGAACTATGCAGCGTGACATTAACTGACCGCTCCAGTTGTCAAAAACCCCCTCTCGCCGACCGAACACCCCGGCGGTGTAGGCGTGAACAACGAGCTCTTCGAAGAGTCCCTGGAGCAGTTCGTGGTACGTGCGGTTTAGTTCTGGCAAGCTGCCTTGTTGTTGACTTGTTTTCTGATCTGGTAGCAGACACGTGTTCTATCATGATACCGCACAAGGGAGGACCGCGAATACGCTGGGGGAACACAACAGGCCTGACCGCTGGGCCGACACCAACTCCAGGTCGATGAGAAAGACATGGCTGCAATTGAGCTCACAAACCCATCCTCTCGCCCGGGGGCACCACCGACTAGCAGCCAAGACCGGGCTGTTCATACCGCCTTTTAACGAGTCAATCAGACGGGGTTCTTACCCACGTGGCATGCCGGCCCCCGGGGCACCAGAGTCGCCCAGGCCAAGGGCTGATATTGATATCACGTCAAGGGCCGATGGTTAGGGGGCAACGGAGAAAGTCGGGGTCGATCATAACGCAATAGCCGTGCCAATTCGTCTTACAATATCAAGTTTTGCCCGTGGTGATCCCGGGGTATAAATTCACCTGTCATAGAATACAGTCAGAGGCTAGGCCTAGAGCGAATACCGAAGCCACTATATGAGCGAAGAGCTATAGCCAACGCCAAGCGACCTTCCCAATCGGCCCGTGGCTCGTGCGTGAACCGACGAACCGATAGGCCTATGCAGTCTTGTGTGCTTCGTATGTTGTCTCAAGATTCAACGCTTGGGTCTCAATCCAAAACAAGCAATTTCAGCAGGAAAAAAGAAAGAAAAAAGCAAAAGAACATGAAAGAAAAAATCAGAAAAAGCAAAAGACAAAGGGAAATCAAAACCAGCTCAGCTTGATCAGCTTGATCAGCTCTAACCTGCAGGACTTGGCTTCAGCACAGACGCACCCTTCAATATCCACGTACAGCCTGTCCAGTAGAAGCAGCGGACGACTGCATTGGGCGTGGTCGTCCGCTCCGAGTTACCCTTGGAACGTGCACACTAATGCGATCTGCAAGAGCTCCGACAAAAGCAAAGACAACAGCTTATCTGAAGCTCCAGGCCAATACATGACCGATGCAACCGAACTAGCGGTCAAGCTGCAGGTCGAATCGGAATGCTTTTTTTTTTTTCATCTACTGTTAAGTATTAACCAGATGGAGGTTTATCCTGAGGGGTAGACGGGAATAGGGTTATGCCCAGTACTGATACCCGAGCCAGTGCATATATTGATATAACGGGGCCAGTCGCGGTACTTCTGAAGGGAAATTAAGATGGGTTCGAAGTTGGGATTGTGATTGGCGAGTGGAAAATCCCTCGTAGCCCTTGAATGTCCATGCCCAGGTGTTTACTCTTTTCGCTTTCCCATCCTATCATGTGAGAATTGGAGTATCTGTACAGAGTACCGTTTACATACTGTTTCGCAGAGGGTTCTGTCATTACCGTGCCGAGGCCACGGAGGCATAGAAGAATCCGGGGTAAGTCGCAACCTGGGAATGCGCAACGACCGATTCCAAGCTCACGCTTAGTGTCAATCCCTGACACTAAGCGTTTGAGATCCCCACCCGGGAATCGAAACGAGACGGTCACCTCGTTGTATTTGCAGGTTCGAATACATTGGACTGGGACTCCGGGGCATCACCTACGTGTTGATCAACATCTAACTGCCGTCTGGAGAGAGCGAGCTCGCTGGTAGACATACATCGGGTGACTCGCGCAGAGACCCCACGCGGTCTCCACGGACCCGATGGGGAGCAGTGCATTAGAAGTTACGCAGCGATCGTCTTTTCAGTTTGGCGCATCTACGTTGTACTGAGTAGGATAGTGAGCACGGGTATCGACGGAGCAAGCTTGGAATATGGCAATTGGTCCCCAGGCGAATTAGAATTTCCCGTATACTCGTATGACCGTGTTCCCTTCTGCCACCTAGGTGTAGACCTGAAGTCCTGTCTTCCCGAGGTCGGAGGCTTTACGGAGTATGGAGACCGCGGAATGGGGTCGGAACTGGAGTGTATGGAATGATCAATCCCCCACCTGCCGGAGAGAGTAATGAGGCACGTCCGAATATTGAATTGTCCGGCTAATAGATCAACAGATCAGTTCACCCAATCAGGGGGGCTCAGAGGGCGCAGAAAAATGGACCACTAGGCGTACCCCTCTGTGGTGCCTCGACTCAACCGCCACACGGCGCACCAGCGCGTCGGCTGCGGGGGTCGGCTCAAATCAGGGTATACGGAGGAGAGCACAGCCTCAGTCATGTGGTGGCGGTAGGAACTTAGAAATCACATCGAAGATGATGGCGATGATTGGACTTGATATTGTAAGATACAGACCTGATGTCACCCACCCAACGTCACCCCCAGTGGATGCGATTGCTTAATCCTTACGGAGTGCGGAAGACCCGTTTCCAAGGATCCCGAAAAAAACCTGGCCGGGTAGACTTTAGGTAATCTCGTTACTGCATTAAATCTCTCATTCTTTAGTTACTACTATACATAGTACTAGTAGAGAGTACTCGGTATATAACACCTTCTGCAGGGTGGCACAACGCCGGAGTCGCCGTATACATATGTAGCCCTATAGGTCCAGGCCAGAGCCCTGAAAACCTCGAAAAAAAAGAAACAAAAAAACACACAGTAACCTTGTACCGTTGCAGTTCCCACATTCTTTGGTAATTTTAGGTATCCCGATTACCCTATTCTGTTGAATGGAGAGATGGTAATTTTACATGGCTCCCCTCTGTATTCCCCGTACCAAAAAAAAAAGAGAAAAAAGCTCGGTGGTATTTCTAGTGAGCATCGCCAAATTCATCCCTCCCACTTGCCCTCATTTCTTCTTTTCTCTACTTCGTGTCCTTTCTTATATAGGTCGACGACCTGCCCTGCGTATGCGTCTACGGAATTAGCTATCCTACTGTGTTGCCTCAGGCCTCCTTTCTGATTACCAGGTCATTTTTGCCTCACCTCGTTTGATCAATTCTCAGTTCCTCGTCTTTAGCGTGTGAGCTGTCGGGCACGGAGAATTTCGTGTTCCCACCCCTCCATTCTCTCAATCCTCACCCGCCGATCCACCGCACATGACTCCACCTTCCCCTTCACCTGTGCCTTCCGCAGTCTCCTCCGCCGCAGCTTCACAGCACTCGTATGACCCTCGGGATGGAGATGCTGCGGTAGCAAGAGCCGTCGCGGGCATGAACCTGTCCGCTCACGCGAACGGCCACGATCTCCCTCCTCCAGCACTCTCCCCAGCTGGAAAACCCACCAAAGCAACAATGGCCGCTCGTCTCACGCGCATGTTCTCCAGTACGGGGAAAAACACACCAACCAGAGAAAATAATGAAGTCCACCGTGACCTATCCGACAGCAGTTTAGAAAGCATCCAGCACACCAACGGCAGGACCTCAAAGCCGTCTTCACGACCAGCATCAAGACCTCCGTCGAGACCCCCCTCCCGAGGCGCAACCTCCCGCACCCCATCTCGGAACCCGTCGCTGAAGAGCGAGCCCGTGGATAAACCAGATAAAAAGAAGAACGACGATAAGAAGAAAGATGGAGTCGCGCCGGTCCACAAGCGCTTCGAGATTCTCCCCGAGGCCCTCGGGAATCACTCGCATCACTTGAGAAGCGCCAGGCGACAGGAGAAGTTGACGGACCTGCTGCGCGACATGCTGGGTGGCCGCAAGAAGGACGATCAGGTGGATGAACAGCAGCTGTCACTGATGTCGACCTGGATCGATCAGTTCAAGACCGAGCGAGATAAGCTGGCGGCCGATAAGAAGGGGGGTCCGAACGCCACGGCCTCGCTGGTCGACAAGTACGGCAAGTGCCAGGAGATCGTGGGCCGCGGTGCGTTTGGTATCGTCCGCATCTCTCACAAGGTCGATCCTCAAGACTCCAAGTGCGAGCAGCTGTATGCCGTCAAGGAGTTCCGCCGTCGCCCCCAGGAAACCACCAAGAAGTATCAAAAACGACTGACCTCGGAGTTCTGCATCTCATCCTCCCTCCGTCACCCGAACGTCATCCACACCCTCGACCTTCTTCAAGATGCCAAAGGTGATTACTGTGAAGTCATGGAATATTGCGCCGGAGGTGATCTGTATACCCTGGTCCTGGCCGCCGGCAAGCTTGAGGTCGCCGAGGCGGATTGCTTGTTCAAGCAACTCATGCGCGGTGTAGAATATATGCATGAGATGGGCGTGGCCCACCGTGATCTCAAGCCCGAAAACCTCCTCCTCACCACCCACGGTGCCCTCAAGATTACCGACTTCGGCAACGGCGAGTGCTTCCGCATGGCCTGGGAGAAAGAAGCCCACATGACCGCTGGACTCTGTGGTTCCGCGCCCTACATCGCACCCGAGGAGTACGTTGAACGCGAATTCGACCCCCGGGCTGTCGACCTGTGGGCGACAGGTGTGATCTACATGGCGATGCGCACAGGTCGTCACCTCTGGCGTGTCGCCCGCAAGGACGAGGACGAGTTCTACCAGCGATACCTTGACGGTCGCAAACACGAAGATGGATATGCGCCCATCGAGACTTTGCATCGGGTAAGAACTACTAATTCCTCTTGTGTTGGACAGAAACTTATTCCTTCACAGGCACGTTGCCGCAACGTGATTTATTCCATTCTGGACCCGAATCCCTCGCGTCGCATCAACGCTTCGCAGGTCCTCAAGTCTGAATGGGTGCGCCAGATCAAGCTCTGCAAGGCCGGTGAGGAAGGCTTCTGATCCAATCAAATCGCCATCGCCCCATTCCCGGGCTACACTTGCATACTCCTCTTTTATCTCTTTGCATCAGGGTGGTTAAATGAATAGACCCATTCACGGAGGCTTCGATCTATGTCTTTGAATGCTCCAAGGAGGCCCGAACCTTTGTTTTTCGGCGCATATCCTCAGCCTGTTTCTTTCTCTTTGTTTTTGCCTATTCGTCTCTTAGCTTGTCCTTCATGTGTTCAACGTCAATGCAACGAAGAATCATGACCCTTTTCTTTTCTATTTTTCAGGTTTCCCCCGGAGTTCTCATTTCGCTCGGGCTTTCTTCGGCTGATACCTCATTTTTTCTGGCGCTGGCGTTATCTTTGTACCACTACGAGCCCACACTCTGGGTCTTTCGGAGGTTGTCTGAACCAATTGTTTGTTTTCGCTCGTTTTCTTGTCCCTTTCGGGCTAAGTACATTTTTGATGCTTTTTGTATATAAGTTGGCATTTTGAATAACGTTTTACGAGTATGACTCCAAGGGTAGTCTCCGGACTTGGTGCCTTGTTTCCCCCAAACCCAATGACATCAATTGATCAGCAAGGCACAATCTCAGGCAGGTCCACTGTCAGAGCTCGAGCTTGCTACACCAGCTCTTTCGAAATGATATCAACATCATTTATCATACAGTCCCGGTTTCACATTTCACACCTACTACTTTCACTCTTCCCTGGGCCAGCACTTACCCTATCTTTGTACGTAACTATAACCAACATGTATGCAGCCAGGTGGATTCTCTCAAGAGACGAGGTCTCCGTACATAGTTGTACAAGGCTTGGCACACGCCAAGACATAACTTAGGCATCTGCGTTACGATCAGAAATTGAGACTCAAATATGCATGCACTTGTACGGTATTACATACGCGAGGTTCAGCCTTGTGCTTCTTGGTGTTCCCCAAAGAATGCAAAGCACGGTAAGGTACGGAGAACTACTAGTATAATACGGATTTGCGTACTTGTAATATTTCCAGTGAAGAAATTGTCTGCGACGGTAGCCCTGTAGCCCTACAGACATGACGTCGCCGCATTGGGTGCTGACATAAGCAGCTAAGCCACCCCTGCCCATCACAGCCACAGTGACTTGGTTGCGCTTGGGTTTGGGTTTCCGATCGTAACACGGAGCCCCCAGCACTTTCTCTTCCAGCGCATTGCGATCGGCTTTCATACATTGCCCATATTATCCTATACACTACTTTTTATCTCGTCTTTGAGTTCTCCGGAACCCACCGGACTACGCCGCCACCATGTCTTGGGCAGGTACGCACCCCCACCTGGAAGTCAACGGTGAAACGATCAGGGCCTAACAAAGAGCATAGGGTTTAAGAAAAATGTCAACCGAGCAACGACACAGGTGATGATGAAGACGGGTGAGTCTGATTTTGTACCCCGCAATGGATCGACGGATCGCTGATTGAGGCAGGGCATGTCGAGAGGACGAACGATCGCGACTATGAGATTGAAGAACGGTATGGCTTGTCGAAAGGGCCGACTGAACGGGGCTGACGATCAATAGCCGGTACCGGACCATGGAGACAGCAGCGAATCGCCTGCAGAAGGAAGCGAAGGGATATCTTGATTCACTACGAGGTGAGACAAGGCAGAAACGGAGCACAAAGCACAAGAGAGTAATGCTGACCACCACAGCTATGACTGCGTCTCAAATGCGCATCGCGGAAACCATCGATGCGTTTTACGGCGACGCCGGAACCCGCGATGGCGTAAGCCGGAGTTACAAGCAAGCCGTGGAAGATCTCGATGCAGAGACCATCAAGGCTCTAGACGGACCATACCGGTATGATATCCGGAACTTGCGGCGATCGAATTGAAAATGAAAAACTGACAATGAAACAGCGCCACGGTCCTTGACCCGATTTCTCGTTTCTGCGCCTACTTCCCCGACGTCAACGAGTGTATCAAGAAGCGCAACCACAAACTTCTCGACTATGATGCGATGCGCGCCAAGGTCAAGAAGCTGGCCGAAAAGCCCGACAAGGATGTCACCAAGCTTCCACGGACCGAGCGCGAAGCCGAAATGGCCAAGCAAGCCTATGAGCAGTTGAACGAACAACTCTTCAATGAACTCCCGCAGCTGATCGATCTGCGTGTGCCATATCTCGATCCCAGCTTTGAGGCCCTCGTCAAAATCCAGCTCCGCTTCTGCGCTGAGGCATACTCGCGCATGGCGCAGGTCCAACAGTATCTCGACGCTGAGACTCGTGACCAGTACGCAAAGGGCGACCTAGACAATCGGGTCGAGGAAGTACTGCAGGAAATTCGGGATTTGAGCATCGCAGGCACGGTCTAATGGTTATTAATTGCATTTTAATTTCTTTTCTTATGTTCTTTTTTTCACTCGTTCTCCAATACTAGCTTCTGTGCTCTATCGAGCCAAGCTCTTCTCGCTTGGGCGTTTTTTAAAGGGGTCTTTATGTACATGCTTAATACAGGAGTTTCCATTGGGTATCAATATCGCAACTCTCCGATGCAAAAAAAAGGGCAATCCAAATGCAATGCAAATCCAACGCACGAGAAAATCACCTATACAACTCCTCCCCGATAATCTGAACCACACTCTCCGCCGTCCCGCGATAAGCCTTCATCTCCGCCTCACTCACAGGCGCAAGAACATAATCCGAAACAGCCCCCTTCTCCCTCGACGACGGCCTCCCAATCCCAACACCAATGCGCAGAATCTCCAAATCAACAGTCGCCTTCCCCCTCGCAGGGAAAAGATGTTTCCCACGCAACGTCTCACAAATACTAATCAGCCCACGATGACCACGCAGACTAAAGGACTCCGGTCCCCCGCGCTTCACCCGCAACTTGCCCAGCGGTGCTTCCATTTCGTCGTGCAGAATAATAAGCGTAGTCGGGTAGCGCGTGGAGGACGAGTTCTCGGCTGGACCACATAATTTCGTGCAGAGCTCGTTCTGACGCGTCGCCCACTGCTCCAATTGCCGGACTAGTTTCGGCCCTGATTCGTTCATGTAGGTTGGGCTGTACCATGTTTCGTGGAAGGCGCCGGTGTTGGGGAGGGAGGGCGCGAGAAGAGGCTTCACAGCATCGAGGAGGAGGTGTCCGGCACTGTGCCGGGTTTGGCGGTAGGGGGCTTTGTTGCCTATTGAGGCTATGAAGAGGAGGCGGCGGGGAGTGGTCATGGTAGGCGTGGTAGGTGTGAGGTTGGAGTTGGAGTTGGGGGTTTGGGACATGAACTGGATCGTCGTGTCTGGGTCTTTTGGAATCTGGACACAAGTATGTTCTGTTTGTGCCAGTGATCTGGTGGTTAAATAGGTCTGGGGAGTTGTTCGAGGGAAAATTGGAGATAAAGCGGCTACAAAAATAGAATTCAGCCTCAATCGGGAACTAAACCTCGTCATTGTTGTACTTATGAATGACTCACTGTCTATCAATTTCTAAGCAATTTCCAATGAGGTTGCCTTTGAATTTTCTTTGGCTATATTTCGAAGGTCTCATTGCCAAAATTCAAGTACTTGTCCTAGATGCGCTGTGTTGTAGCTACTTGGGATTCGGTCCCAGTTGACATTCGTTAATATAAAAGCCCTCGGGAAAAAGATACTTGAAAGAAGCTAACCTCGAAATTCTCGGAGGCGCACAATCTCTACACGGACGGGATGTTTCAAGGATGCTACAGGTTGGGGAGATAATGGCTATGTGATTCTCATTTCATTCTCAATATCAATTATATCAACGGTGATCCCTCAGGAGTATTCTAACCAGGATTATACACTGGCTGGTTCAATGAATTATTAAATCGAAGGGCATGCAAACGCATATATGCTCTCGTCGCGATCAGGGAATCAAATAACTCGATCATGCACAACCGGTGGGACGGGCACCGTCCTCGTCGGGGAAAACCGCTGTCTGGGTTGGGTTCTCGCACTTGCAGGCGCTGGTCACCAGGGGGTAGTTATCGCAGGCGGTATCAGTCGCCGTTGCGCAGTATGCGTTGGTAGAGGTAGAAGTTGTCATGCCAGCCGCGCAGTCGCTGGAGGGCATGCAGAAAGTGTCACCCAAAGTGTAGCTGTAGTACGAGTCTTGGCTACATTTGCAAGAAACCGCTATATCCTATGTTAGCTTCGTTCTGCAAGATGCAAATGAAGAACTCACCACTGATGATGGTCGACACCCCTCCAGCCAAGGTTCCATCGTACATGGTCTTGGTGGTGTAAGGGAACGCGCCATTGCTGCACCCGGTCGTGATCCAATCCGCATCGACGGGGAAACAGGTTGAGGCTTCAATGCAATGACCTGGGTGGTAGACCGATGGGAAGAAACCCGATGAGCACGAAATTGGGGGCTCTGGCTTGCTGCAGTACGAGACGGGGAATCCCATGGTGCAATCGACCGTGTACACCGCAGTGGAGCCGTCCGAGCAGCTGAGCGACGCAGCCTTGGTGATTGTCGAGGCAGGCGGGCTTGTTACAGCTGGGGCTGTCTGCTGGGGGAATGCCACAACAGCACTGGTGAGGAAAGAGAACAGAGCGATGGTGTTGAAGGGACCCATTTTGGCAGTTTTTTCTCAAATGCTGAGGGAGTAATGGATTGTTGAAAAAGAAAAAAAATCCACGTCCAGGGCCAAGCTTGTTTTTATACCTCTGCGGTCCCAATCGGGCTACTCCCCAAGTTCGAGGAAAATTCTGGCTGCAGGTCTTGCAGTTTCCCACATACGTATGCCCAGTGTTGATATTGAGAGACAAACGGGCGCAGCTCCACAACGTTAGTATGTAACCTTCTGATCAGTTGGACGCCTCGAAAAACAATAAACAATGTAAAAATAGGTGGTGCCCAAGACCCTTATCCGAGGGCTTCCACGGCCCCCGCGTGCAGCGGGGGCCTTCGTATCCTGGTGTCCCGGTGGACCCTAGTGCATATGTGGCGGTCGATTCGATGGCTTCGATTTGATCGGCACAGCCTTTTCAGTACGAATACAGGAACGGAGCAGCCTTAGCTTTGTGTCCCATCGGGTACCGGCTAAGGAGTATGTACCAGTTGCACATCTGCACGGCTGCGCCCACACTGTAAGCTGATCGAGGTGAATGGTGAGACATTTCCCGGGAACAGAAAGTGGATCGCTAACATTGGAGAATGTCTCAGCAAGTTGCTATCGAGTTCGAGACATGGCGGCCATAATCTCACTCGTTCTATCATCAGCTTCAATCCTTCGAGGAAATTAAGCCACAGGGTGACATTTGCGATGATTACCAAAGGAATATAAATCATCCATGGATGTCATATTGGGCGACATGGGAGAAATCTGAACGGGCCGGGAAAGAATGGGATGTTACAGGGCTGTATGTCTGTGCTCCAATGATTACCTTCAGCCCTGGAGCTCTATACTTCAACAGGCCCGACGTACTACGTCCTGGGCTCCTGGGTCCTTGTCAGATTGTCTCACTCGTATTCTGACAAGATGGCTGAGATCTGCGATAATTCCAGCACTCAGGAATAGACCTGCAAAATCGAAACATCGCAGGAAGACTGAGCCTTGGTCCCGTTCAACTTCCTAAGCATTTGAACGCCAGGGATCATCCATGGAAGGAGCTAGGTTAAAACGCATGCAGAAACTCGGAGTATTGCTTGGCTCGGCTCACTCTATCTGCTACACACTTTGTCGAGAATCTCGATCGTTTAGGCTTAAATGTGTCGAGAATTAATTGGATTCGAATCTCATATTTAGTACTCCATGCCTTCAATGTTTGAGCTCTGGCATCTTGTTATCTTGTTTGGCCAAGGTAGAGATCTGTTCAGCTCCTTGGGGTTTCCCTTGTTGATCATGAGTTTCATTCCAAACATCTCGTCGCAACGTTTCCCCGCATTGAAACGATTAATCTTAGGTCTATCAAGATATCTTCTGAACCTTGGTCCATTTTCTTCGTTTTATTCGTTCTGTCTTACTTTCCAAGGTTCTTCGGCAGCTCTTGAGGGATTGAATTTGCCTCGAGCACATACGAAGTACAGGGGCACATCTCCGAGCTGTCCGCGTTATGTTTGTCGAATTTGGCTCGGACTTACAATGGATTTATGAATCCTCAGATCAGCCCATCAATTTTCCGTATAGTAAACTCCGGTGGTTTTGGCCCCAAAACACCGAATCGGTGAATGATTGACGACGGTGTTAGCTTATTTATGTCCGAACCTCCAAAATCCGAATGCCTACCAGGTATATATTCCAAGTTGGAGAAGCATGGAGATGTGAAAATCGTACTGTATCTTCAGATATTCTGCGAAGAGCATTGAAACACATCCATATTCCAAGGTTCCTATTCATCCGATACTAGGTAAACCATTACAAGCATGGCTTCAAACTACATCACCAAGGTGGCTATCGTCGGAGTATGTGACACCTAACATCTTGATCTCGATGAGTGACTAACGGCGACACAGGCCGGCGGAAACAGCGGAAACTTCATGACCGAAACCCTACTCAACACTGGCAAGCATACTGTCACAGCCCTTGCACGCGTTGGCAGCCAAAACAAGCTACCAGCCGGTGTAATTCCCAAGACAATCGACTATAGCAAGCCAGAGACCATTGTTGAGGCTCTCAAAGGACAAGATGCTTTGGTCATCACACTCAGTGGTGGCACGCCCAACGAAGTTGACCTCGCGCTTTTCAAAGCAGCTAGCGAGGCGGGGGTTCCATGGATCTTGCCTAATGAATGGGGCCCAGACTCGGCGAATCAAGATCTAATCAAGGATGTTCCGATTTTCCAACCTAAGGGTAAGTGACGTCCAAATTCAGGGAATGCGCAGGTGTATACCTAGGTACTGGATGGCAGACCAGTTGGCTAATTTGATGTACCATATGCAGAAGTAAACCGCAAAGCCATTGCAGACCTCGGGAAAAGCTCTTATATATCTGTCGGTACGGGATTCTGGTACGAATGGAGCCTAGCAATTCCATCAGCCTTTGGCATCGACTTCGCCAATAAAACGGCGACATTGTTCGACGAAGGCGAGACTAAGATCTCGACCTCGACCTGGCCACAGGTTGGTCGCACTGTTGCCGCTCTCTTGAGCCTACCTATTCAGAGCGAGGGGGTCTGTCTTAATGATCTGAGGAATCAGGTTGTCTATGCCGACTCCTTCACCATCAGTCAGAAAGATATGCTGGAATCCGCATTTAGGGTTACCGGGACCACGGAGAAGGACTGGACTATCACAAAACAGTCTGCTAGAGAGAGGTATGAGAGCGGCATGAAGGAGATGCAGGGGGGTGATCGAATTGGTTTTGTGAAGTCTCTCTACACGCGCATCTTCTTCGATGATGGTGCTGGAAATTTCTCATCAAAGGGAACGCTGAACGAGACGCTGGCATTGCCAAAGGAGGATATCGATGAGGCAACACGGCTGGCCATTGAGCGGTCCAAGAACTCTCCATGGAGCTAAGTTGGGGACTACAACCTTGGAAATCTTGAATGATCGTCAGCGTATTCGAGGTCATGAATATTGCTTAAGTATTGGTACTTGTGAATAGAATCCACCTATGAAATAGCCATGTTTCGGGTATAAATTTATGAAGACTTCCAGATAACATCGACGTATCTGGAAGAGATGTGGGCAGACAATGTGTTGGCCACCATGGGCTGAAAATAGAATTCTTGAAGTGCTTTTAAATATATCCATAGAGAACGCCTTTGGAACCCCATGCAAGACCAGGAATTAATGACATAAAAGAGACATTTACAGCTGGAACAGAGTTCTCTTCTTCTCCATTCCACCCTTCCACTCCCACTCCTGTCCACTGGCACGCTGGATGCCCTTATCAACACGACGCAATTTCAGTGTGAAGCGAGGTCCAAGTTCCTGGAGACCAGTGCGGATGCCCTCGGCACCCGCCATCTCTTTTCCGTCAGCACCAACGACCGCCTTCTCGGTCTCACGCTTCTCGCGGAAGACATAGCGGTGACGACGGACAAAGATGTAATCACGCTGGTTGTGCAGCGTAACGACTTGTCGGCCCTCGAAATCAGGCTGAGGGGGGAACAGAGTACGGAACAAATGAGCAGTGAGTAGACCAAGAGGAGTGCGGAAATTGTTGAGGATTAGCTCGGGCCAATGCTCGGTGGCTCGGCCGTGTCCCGGAAGACGCTTGCCCTCGATCCAATTGCTGATGGTGAAGTGGAAGGTAGGACCGACGGGAAGATGCACCATTGTCAGGCCGCAGGGCTTTTTCTGATCTTCGTTCAACACGATGACTGTTGTGAAGTTGCGGTTGGAGGCAAACTTGGAGATCTCGCGGATCGAGAACTTGTGCGAGTACCGGTGTGCGTTGCGTCGAATATACACACTGTTGGGGAACATCTCAGTGAGGATCTCGGCTTCTTCGTGAAGGGTGGAGTTGAGGCCGGTGGTGATGAGGATTTTCGGGGTGGGTGGGGGTCCATCGGTGAAGAGTGTAGGGAATTTGGCGGCCAATGCTTCGGGGGCAAGGCTCAAGTTTGTGCTGCGTGTGGACTGAGTCGGACTCGTGGCACGCTCTGTGGCAGTCGGGAGCGACTTCTTTCGGCCGCGATTGGCGTCCTTTTCTTCATCCTGTTCTTCATCCTCGTCGTCGCTGGCATCCGACTCCAGCATACTGTCAACAGACTCGTTGTCTGATTCCGGAGCCTCGCTGTCATCTTCACCCTCCTCCAATGGCCGGTTGAGCTCGTCCTCCTCTTCTTGCTTGGCGCGCTTGATGCGTTCGACGTCAACGCTCAGTCCTAGTCCGGTCTCGTCGGCGTCGTTGTCGGCTTCGTTCCAGACACGTTTGCGCTCCAGGGTCAGAGGAATATTCCGACTGAGACGCTCAGCCTTCAACTTGGGATTTTTGGCTTCTTCCTTCTTAAAGGCGTAACGTTCAGCTCGGCGCGCAGCATCCTTGGCTCTCTTGCGCTTGACATGGTTCATCTTCCGGCGCAGCTTGTTGCCGGTCTTCTCGTCGCCCATGACGCCCGGGGGAGGGCCTGATCTACCGATAGGACCCATTTTTGCAAGCTGTCGAAGTCGATAATTGCGGTGGCAGATCAATAGAAAATCTTAAAGATCGCCGAGAAATAAATTATTTCGGAGAATCGTTTCCCCGGTGACAATCTGCGATTCGACCACCTGGCGGGAGATCTCCTCGGTATAGCGGGAAAAAGTAAATAAAAGAAAATACTAGCAACCAATTCACCACTTCCTACTCTCTAATCTTGTTCTTTGTCTCCTCGGTGGTGTCTGAGGGGCTGCGTGGTGGATGACTCAATTGCCGCGCCTGCGATTTCCCCCCCGCTCTTTTCTTTCCCCTCCGTCTTTCTTTCGGTCTCAGTTTAGGACCTACACACCTCCCCCGAAGCCTTCGAAACGATCCGCCAAGATGGCCACCGTCAACACCAAGACCGGCCAGTCCATTGACCGGGCCGTGCTCGACTCCATGCTCCGTCGCCGCATGTTCTACACCCCCTCCTTCGAAATTTATGGTGGTGTGTCCGGTCTCTACGACTATGGCCCACCTGGAACCGCTTTGATTGCGAACATGACCGACTTGTGGCGCAAGCACTTTGTGCTCGAGGAGGACATGCTCGAGGTCGACACCACCATGTTGACCCCCCACGAGATTCTCAAGACCAGTGGGCACGTGGACAAGTTCGCCGACTGGATGTGCAAGGACCCCAAGACTGGCGAGATCTTCCGCGCTGATCACCTGGTTGAGGAAGTCCTCGAGAACCGCCTTAAGGGCGACAAGGAGGCTCGCGGCCAGAAGGTCGTCGTGGACGAAGAGAAGGAAGCCAAGAAGAAGAGAAAGGCCAAGGGCACCGAGGCCAAGAAGTTGGACGATGCTCTCGTCAAAGAATACGAAGAGACTCTCGCACAGATTGACAACTTCGGTGGCCCCGAGCTTGAGGCCCTCATCAAGAAGCACGACATCCGCAACCCCGTCACCGGCGGCGAGGTGCTGCCTCCTGTTTCTTTCAACCTCATGTTCCAGACCTCCATCGGTCCCAGCAGCAACATGCCTGGCTACCTGCGCCCCGAGACCGCCCAGGGTCAGTTCCTGAACTTCGCCAAGCTCCTGGAGTTCAACCAGCAATCCATGCCCTTCGCTTCTGCTTCCATTGGCAAGTCGTTCCGTAACGAGATCTCTCCCCGTGCTGGTCTCCTGCGTGTCCGTGAGTTCCTCATGGCAGAGATTGAGCACTATGTCGACCCTGAGGGTGGCAAGAAGCACGCTCGCTTCGAGGAGGTCAAGGATGTTGAAATGTCTCTGCTTGACCGCAATGTCCAGCTTTCTGGCAGCACCGAGTTGACCACCATGACCATTGGCAAGGCCGTTGAGACTGGATTGGTTGACAACGAGACTCTTGGTTACTTCCTGGCTCGCATCCACTCCTTCCTCATGAAGCTGGGCGTTGACCCCACCAAGCTCCGTTTCCGCCAGCACATGGCTAACGAGATGGCTCACTACGCCACCGACTGCTGGGATGCTGAGCTGCAGACCAGCTATGGCTGGATTGAGTGTGTCGGCTGTGCTGACCGCAGCGCTTACGATCTGACTGTCCACAAGGACAAGACCGGTGCCCCTCTTGTGGTGCGCCAGCCCCGCGCTGAGCCTCTTCGCATTGAGGAGTACCAGATCGATATCGAGAAGAAGAAGTTTGGTCCTCGTTTCAAGAAGGATGCCAAGACCGTCGAGGCTGCCGTTGAGGCGCTCTCCCAGGATCTGCGCGAGAAGCTGTCTCTGGACCTTGCCAAGGATGGCAAGATCGAGGTCGACGTCGAGGGCGTTGGATCTGGCAGGGTTGAGCTTGACAAGGATCTCATCAACATTGAGAAGCGCACCCGCGTTGAGAACACCCGCGAGTACACCCCCAATGTCATCGAGCCCTCCTTCGGTATCGGCCGTATCTTGTACAGCATGATCGAGCACTCTTACTGGTCCCGCGCTGGCGATGAGACCCGTGGTGTAAGTCTTTTCTGCGTCGATTTATCTCAGTGCCAACCTTTGCTTACCATAATCACAGGTTCTTTCTTTCCCCCCTGCTGTTGCCCCCACCAAGGTCCTGCTTGTTCCCCTCTCCACCCACACTTCCTTCAAGCCTCTGACCCAGCGTCTGACCGCCAAGCTGCGCAAGCTGGGTGTTTCCAACCGTGTGGACGACTCCTCCGCCAGTATCGGCAAGCGTTATGCTCGCAACGACGAGCTCGGTACACCCTTCGGTGTCACTGTCGACTTCCAGTCCGTTCAGGACAACACCTTCACCCTGCGCGACCGCGATACCACCAAGCAGGTCCGTGCCTCCGAGGACGAGATCCTGCAGGCTGTCAAGTCCCTTGTCGAGGGCGACGAGACCTGGGAGGATATCCGCAAGCGCCTGCCCGAGTTCACTTCCCAGGAGGTCGAGTAAAGTGTTTAGAAGTATACGAAAAATATAGGTTCATTTTTTTTTTCTTCTCACATTATGCCCTTAGTTGATTTATTTTGTGCACGAGTCCCCATCCAGAAACAACCTTGAAACCCAACAGAATGTCTGTCTTCGTAGCAGCACAGACTATCATCCTAGTTGCATTTTATAGATCTGAAGAAAGCCTTGGGAAGCAGCCCCCGCAGCCCTATCACTTTTCGTGCATGAATCCTGCACATCTATTGCTTCATCTGTTTAAGATGCCCTCTACGCATCTATGTCAGGATTTTGTCTTTGTCCAATGCTGGTTGCCATCGCCAGCACCAAACAAAGAGTATAGGCCAAGTAAGCGGCGCCAAGAATCCGGGGCCGCCTTCGTCATCAACTTGTTCTCCCGAGGTCTTTCCCTTTCCCAAGCAAACGATGGCGCCCACCATACACTCTGCCAAACTGACAGTGTCTTGTCCGCTGTTTGCTGCTGACTTTGATCCCAGAGACAATGGTCGACTCTTAGTTGGCGGCGGAGGCGGCGAGGGCCGCAGTGGTGTCGGAAACAAGATCGTATGTCCCACCTACGCGGGAAAGCTTGGCCACGCGTTTGCGTACTGATTTCGATCTTTTTTCTAGTCCCTGATTGATACATCGCGTCGAGACGAGATTACAGAGGCCTTGGAGCTCAAGCTATCGCGTGATGAGGACTCGGTGACATCGCTGGTTGCTGCGCCAGTCGGAAGTGGAGAGGCTGGCTCGCTGGTCACTTTCGCCGGAGTCAACAGCTCGGTCGAGGAACAAAAAAAGAACAACAACCAGCACTTGCGCGCATATAAATTTGAGACACCGCCGAAGGAGAACGAGGCCAAGAAATCCGATGAGAAGGTTTCCGGGAAGGCCACTGCTCTGTCGCAAGCATCACTCTTCAGAACCAAGAATGGGCCGGGGTCTTCGGACACATATCAACGAGTTACGAGGCTGTCGCCATGGCCCAAACAGCGTGGCAACGATGGCCAAACCAGAATTGGAGGAATCACAACTGGTTTGGCGGCATCTGGGGAGATCGTCTTGTTCAATGTCACAGAAACTCCAAGCGATAAGGATGTCATTGGTCGTATTCAACTAGGTGACAACGAGGAGGCCGAGGATTTGGACTTTGTCAGCCTTGAGAACGGGTCAGAAAAGAGTGATGGTGCGGATGGCCGATTTTTGTTGGCATATACTAATGGCCCCGATGTTATGGTCGGCGAGGTTAACTCCTCCAGCCGCTCTAACGCGTCTCCTGATATTCGCTCTGTATATTCCATTCCCCTGCCATCCAATGGGGCCCGCAACGCTCGCCCTAAGTTCCGCGCTCTGCGGTTCCTTTCACCCAGCACTCTACTGCTACTACAGAACGCACCCAACCGCAGTGGTAGCGAACTCGTGCTCCTGCAGCTTCCAAGTGCAACTCAGAGCAAAGCTCAGATCCTCAGACGCCGCAAACTGCCCCGAACTTTCAAGATCGGCCTTGGTCTCGATATCTGTCAACTGGGAACAAATCCACAAGGCCAGCAACAAACCGTCATCGCAGTCAGCGGCAGCGACAACTCAATCCCCCTCTTTACCTTGGAGTATGGTCCGAAGCGCGGCTACAGCAACTTCCGCTCATACACCACAATTCGCGATGTGCATCCGTTCTCCATGACTAGACTCGCTTTCTCGACCTTCATTGCACCCCCACACCCCGTCACCCCAGAAGTCGGTCCGCAGAGCATCAAGCTCGCCTCAGTGAGCATGGGCAACACAATTGTCGTACATACCTTCCCACTCTCTCCATTCCCGACTTCCTCTCGCACCCCGCGTTACGTCCTCGCCGTCCCCGGTCCAGCAGAGGTGTGGGAGCTGGTCTACAGCATTGCCATTCTCCTAGTGTCCATTTTCGTCATCTGTCTATCCATGCTAGCCTTTGCCGAGATCCGCGGCGGGACGCCCCCGTTCCTCGGGGCTACAGAGTGGCTCCCCGCCTCCGTTCGTCACACCATTGCCCGGGAATACGTCGTTCCCCCGCGTGAAAAGCTAACCTACTTCGATACTCTGCTTGCACCTCGCGATGTCCCCGTTGCACAGGCCATCCCCGACGGGGCGATTGAGTCCTTGCGGGAGATCCTCGACCGCGTGCACCGTACCGGCGCTGCACCTGCTGATCTCGCTACTCCCGAGCCGCAGTCCGTCTCTGTGATTGTGCGTTGTGGTGAGGGTCACACAGCCGAGGAAAGTGTCATTATCGAGACTGCCCAGTCTGCTCATCACGACGAGCAACCCGAGGAGCAGAAGTTGCAGGCCTGGAAGGATCTCTCTGCCCCTGAACAGGCTACCTGGAAACAGAAGCTTGAGGATGCCGGCCGTTGGACTGCCGCGGAGGGTGAAAGTGTCCTTTTGGGTGTACTATTTAGTGAGGTTTGCGGTGACTTGGGGAGGGCTGTCCAGGCAGAGCTGCCATGATTTTGGTTCGCCAATCCAGTAGCCATTGAGCCTATTTGTATGATTTGCTATATAGTATGTTTACGCTTGTCAATGATATGTTAGCTTCTAGAGATACATTCAATATCCTCCTTGGGTTGTTACAAGGTTGGTTCCAAGGTTTGATTCGATATATATTCCGAGGTTCCAACCTTGGAAAGTTCCAAGTTGTTTATTGTGTTTCATAACTTGGAACAGCAGAGATGGCTTCGGCACCTCGGGGGTCTCGGGATTCATGATGAGATCGACATCTGTTCGTTTCCAAGGTTACCTAGTAGCTTCGTATGTCACGGGTAGCCATGCCTAGTTGATTGTTTCGCCAGAGCAAAAAAGACCACTCTGACTACTAGCATAGGAGTGGACAAAAAAAGTAGTCGCGCCCGGGATCGAACCGGGAACCTTCTCGGAAGAACAAGCTGTTCACAGGCAAATGTGAACGAGAAATCATAACCATTAGACCACGCGACTGATTATGTGATCATGGCAGGTTTTCTGCTTTATGTTCAACATTGCCATTGTAGAGGTAGTAGCCCTGGAGTACTACTAGTACTACCAGGATGCAGTTGCGAAAGACCCATTGCCGACCCACCGCAGTGTGCCCATTCAGATATCCAAGCATGAAAAGGGACCTGAACAGAAGCATTCGCATTGACCTCGCCGACAGGTGACGGATCGGAAGCAACTTAGCAGACATATACTGGTACGAGTAGAGACAGAAGCCGTATACTCATAGTCCAATGTGGGGCGATCTCCACTTCACCAGTTGAGGTCCACTGAAGTGCCTTGTGTCCATGGATATTTTTAGTCTGCTTTTTTTTTCAATCCGCAGCTTTAGCTTAGCTCACATTTCCAGTAGAACCCCAGGATTTACCCAGGCATCCAATGGCGGTGATCTCATTAAAAGACCGAATACTAGAAATACTCGAGCCAATCACTTCAACCGAACATTGGAAGAGGCATAGATAATCATTCCTAGCATCCATGAACAACCGCATTGGTAGTAAACCGGTGCCTTCCAGTTCTCCGAGACAGCAAAGACAGATTTAACTCAATTGAGGAAAGGCCGACCCTGATGCGGCATTGTTCGTCAACCCGAAGCATTTCGTCTTTTCACATCATTCTGTCAGTCTTTGACCGAGGTCATCTTGGTACCCTTCCCATTCAATTGGGTCTCGGAGTCTTTAAATTTTCAGTTGCTCTTGATTTTGCTTCACTGGGCACTTGATCTTTCGAGTCTGACTGGCCGTCGTTTTGTACATTCTCATGCAATGTGACTTATGTGCTCCATCCATAGAGACATGCGATAGCTAACATATTCTTAGGGCCAACCATATCAAGAGGCCCGCAGCTACTGCACTATGTCTGGTAGGATATCCCCCCACGCACCTGGGCACGAAACAACAACACACTCACATGAGCATTTGAGCAGCTAGTCATTCAAAATTCGGCATCTGTTCTGGTCTGTCTGATCTTCCATCTACGAAATCACTATAACTCATCGAAAACAGCTCCAACACCGCGTCCAATCTCTTCATGAAAACTACGGAAGACACGATGCTTTGACAGCCATCATTCTATCTGAAGTCATCAAACTCACAATATCTGCACTTTTGATTTGTCTTACGGCCAAAGTCTTGCCCAGGCAGTCTATCCCAGCTCCCAACTCCCACCCTCGAGACTGGGGTGGTTTTACATCCAATCATCGTGATGCCGCAGTTCCAGCAGGCCTGTACACGCTCGCAACTTTCCTACAAAGCCTGGGAGCTTACAACCTGGATTTCCTGCCGTACCTCATGCTGTCGCAAATCAAGCTCATCATCACCCCCATCTTTGGAGCGATTTTTCTTCAGCAAAAATTCACTCGTGGGCAGTGGGGTTGCTTTCTCATGATTGGCCTGGGGATCGTTCTCGTTCAAACAGCATCTTCAAATCCGCCAAAAACCCCCACTCCGGTAGCCATGGAGCCACCGAGACAATCACTTGGAGTCGCCTATATGCTACTGTCGGGCATTTGCATTGGCTTGGCTGGTGTACGCACAGAGAAAATGCTGCAGACCCCTAATTCATTCCTGTCTCGAAATGCTCATCTTGCTGCGTACGGTGGTTTTTTTGCGAGTTTTGTCTATATTTGGCGACTAAGAACCGGACTCGTCGGCTTCTTCAACGGCTACAGTCCTCTGGTGTGGGGCTCCATCTTGCTGCAGGCGACTGGTGGCTTTCTCGTTGCCTGGTCAGTGACATTGACTAGCACTGTGACGAAGAACAACGCCCAAGTGGTCGGGTTCTTATTGGCTTCGATGATTCCGTTTATGATGCAACGCAGTATCAACCCTCAGGTCCGTTTCCATTTCCCCTTTCGTGAACCCTAGTGCTGACCCTTCGCAGCATTTTGTTGGCGTTGTGCTTGCGGTGGGTGCAGTTTTCGGGTCAGCCCGTCAAACGCATACTGTTGTGCACCGACCTACGCAGGGGCATACATATCGTACTCCGTAATGATACCCTAATCAGGACTAGCCTCGAGGGCTAACTTTAGTCAAACCGACAGAAAACATCATATTTTATGACCCCAGGGGAAGCAAAGAGTACATAGATGAATGGCTTTATACTGTCCTTCTAGTACCAGACGAAGAGCTACACAGAGTGTGTACTCCGGAGGGCGGTGGACATCACTGTATACACAAATCCTAATCAGGGCATCCGTACGATACTATGTACAACACCACAGGACCGGCCTATCACCAAGCATGCCGCGGAGAAAGAAACCACCCTGGTTTGAGAGATGGTTCAGCATAAAGAAGTCTCCACCCAGGTGATTTTTTTCTCCTTTAGACCTATGAAAGGCACTGACGCCTTTGCCAAGCCCGGTCCCACCGCCCAATTCGGTGAAAAGTGGGCATCACCCTTGATTCCCGCTCCATTTTAAGGGTCTTGGCTAGTGGCGAAGCCATGCTAGCATGGAAATTGTGAGACAGATGCGCGGCCGTTTTAGCAAGCATGGCAATTGGATCAGACTTTTGAGATTGATATACCGCTGGTTTGGTTCATGTCGAGTCGTTCAATCACAGATAACCCGCAATGCTTCTTTCGGCCAAACGGACAATCATCGCGACATGCGCAGTAGCATTGTGCGTGCTACTGCTATCCTTCAAAATACTGATTAGCCGACACCCTACAGCACCACTGGCATTCCCGACTGCTGTTGCGGGGAACTCATCGGGTAAAGCATTCGGGGGCCTGAACCCTTACTGGACAACTGAACAAGAAACGGGGCCCCGATTCGCGTATGTCCAATATGCGACCGATTTCGACTATTTGTGTAATGCGGTAAGTACTGATAGACATGTTCTACTTAGATGTGGCTTTGTGCTGACATCTCCAGATGATGAACTTTGTACGCCTTGACCGTTACGCAACTCAATTCGACCAGGTCTTGATCCACCCAAAAGACTGGGAAGAGGTAAAGTCCCATAATCACTTTGAAAGCAACATATACGAGTCTCCCTAGATCTAACCAGAGAAAATACAGCCTGGCAAAAGCCGTGAACAAGTTGCGCTGGCCAATATTCGGAAACAATACCCGCGCGTTCAACTACGAGCTGTCGACGTGTTGTCGACATCAAGCGGCGATCCGACATGGCACAAAAGCTTGACCAAGTTCCACGCCTTTTCCTTGACCGAGTACACACGCGTGCTGATATTCGACTCTGATTCAATGGTCTTGAACAACATGGACTTTTACTTCCTGGCACCTCTTGCCCCCGTGGCAGTTCCCCGTGCCTACTGGCTCGGCAACAAGGACTCTAACATCAAGGATCAAATGCTCGGATCACATGTAATGCTAATTGAGCCGAACGAGGCCAACTATCGGATGATCATCGATGAAGCAACATCATCGGGTGCCTTCGACATGGAAGTGTTGAACCGTTTGTTCTGGGACTCGGCCATGATTTTGCCTCATCGTCGGATTGCCTTGTTGACAGGCGAGTTCCGTAGCCAGGATCACGATCGGTACATGTCGGAAGATAAGGACGAGGAATGGAATGCCATGGCGGAGGTTTCGAGGGCGTATCTGGTACACTTTAGTGACTGGCCACTGCCGAAACCGTGGTTGCACCCATCAGAAGCGCAGTTCAAAGCTGTGCAGCCGGCTTGTGATGAGAATGAGGCAGAGAGAACCGACAGGCCAAAATGTGCGGATAGATTCATGTGGCTCGCCTTTTATGAGGACTACTTTAGAGAGCAAAAGGAGGTATGCGTCCCGTTGGCCGATAGTTCATAGGCGGGAAGTTTACCTAGGTATTATATCTGCTCTTTTGCCTCCATGGGCCCGTCATACACCTTCATGGGATTATTACTAGCAATGGGTATTTCCTCTACATCCTCATTCACATCTTCGCTCAAAAGCAGATCAGCAAGCAGGATCGATTCATCAAGCCTACCCTGGATGCCTTTTCCACACCTCGACAGCCATCCATGGATAATCCCCCTTGGGACCTTTGAGGTAAGAAGAATCCAAGATAAAGAAAAACAGCACATATTCGTCATATTGCTCTAATTACCATCCATTGATACAATGCTCGGCTACACCGATGTAGAACACCAAATCTTTAACAGATATCCTTAGGACCCCGGGGAATGCAAGATCCGACAAAGTTGATAGCACCGATGTAGGTTCCATCCGCGGTGTAGACAGACTTCTGCTGGGCGTTGGTGCCACCGGGCTTGCCGAACCCAGTAAGGGAGCTGAGGGTATCGCGGAAGGCATTGGTGCAAGTCAGTTGACCAAGGGGCGCGGCGTCCTCGCAGCTGACATCCTTCGCCTTGCCGAATCCAGCAGATCCAGCGCCACCCTTTCCGGTGATGAAGGCCGAGGCACATCTATTGAATATGTTAGCTTGCTCGGTATCGAATGCCGACATTTTTCGAGTAATCTAGACGATCATCTCATGCCTGGGGGAGCACGCACCCATCCTCAACAAGCTTGTTGCAGATGTCGTCAAAGGAATCGTTCTCGAAAATGGGGAGAAGACTGCCGCAAGTAAGGCCACAGCCGGAGACCTTGGTCAGATCTCTGAGCTCGGCCCAGTCAGCAACTGCCACCGAGGGTAGCAGTGCAATGGCGAGAGAAGTGATGACGGCGGAAACACGCATTTTGTTGGCTGGTGTAGAATCGGGAGGTAATGGAAGGAGACTGGGATCGAGGAGTGTGTTGAGAATGCTTTCCGATAATCTCGGGCTACAACTAGATATTTATACCCCTAGCATCTGGTCGTCGAAAATTGAATGTTGTGCTTTCAAGATCATCGATTTCCCTTCCCATCTTGCGATACTCGTGGGTATGGATGTGGATTCCGGGGCCAAAAACTGCTTGGCAATCAGATATCAGAAAGGATGCTATGACAGAGATTCTTCAAGCTTCCCCCCAAAGATGATGCGGTGGCTGCTGCGAAGAATGGGGCCAAAAAGAG